AAGGCATCCATGATTTCTACCGCGGGGAAATTCGGGACCTGGAGGGTAAGCCATTGCCATCTCCGCCTTGTTACCGAAACATACAACGTACAACCTGTGATATGCATTTCTGGCTTTTTTTTTCTTCCCCCAGAGTCTTTATTTTTTCCCCTAGTTGCCTCAAGGTTGCTCAATCCTTCCTTTGTTTCGTGCTGGTCCCAAGTAGAGTGACAGTGTAGGTTCACTCCTCAAATTACAGTATTACTTTGCCTAGAGAAAGGTTTGCAAGGCTCGGGACTCGGAGGTAAAAGATCGAGTTTGTGGGCAATGGTGGGGACCACGTCCCGAATGGTCTTGGGGGTGTGCATCAGAGTTCGGACATGTAGGCGAAGTGACCTACCGTGCATGACACTAAGTCCCAAGTGGGTGGATGGAACACATAGCATGGCTGAAATGGTGTGTTCCGGGTGGTATGGTCGACTGCATGATGCAGCGACTACCGTGTAGATCGATTCCTCGCATCGATCTCGGACCCGTTAACAATCCTTTGTCTGCCGAGGAGGGGAGGGGGAATTGAAGTGTGACCCAAACGCACAGGGCCTATGTAAGTATGTGTTGTTGATCTTCGGAGCAGGGCCAGATCGGTTCCTTATCTGCACTCTCCTCCACCTGCAGGAAGAGGTTGCATTTGGTTCTTCAGAAGATTCATTGATTGTAGGATGCACCACTGATGTGTACTTCCCATGCATCTTTCCTGAGCGTCAGTGGGATGTGGGACCGCAGAATACATATTTTTCTGAACTGACTGGGACGGTATGAGCTAGGCCTAGTAAGGGGGAGTGGAAAAAAACAAAAAAAAAAACAACCGAGCAATGAGCCAAGGCACCTTTAGTCGCAATCCAGATCAACAGGATGCATAAGAGGTTCCGAAGATCTCGCTACGATTACCTTTCGTTCTGGACCACATTGAAGGCGTTCAGTGGACGTTTGGGCCCTGTGCCCCAGGGCCGACCGTTGAGCCAAGCACCCGTTATGGGACCCGCTGTCTGTGCACCAACAGACGTGACATGAGAAAGCCAACCGGACGGGGCTGGGAAGGTACCGTGGACTTGGAACCGAGGCCTCCAGGATTGGAGCTTGTTCTCAGCTTGACTATGGTCCCTTTATCTCTGCTCTGGGTCGGTTGAGAAGTCTTCGGAGAAATCATGGTAAAAACGGGGGTGTTTTATGACATGACAACGGTCAGAGCGGGTCCCTCTTAAGGGGCCAAAGCATCGTAAGGTTTGTAAACGGGGCAAAAAAACAAACGGAGAAGTTTCCAAGTCATACCCATAAATCCTGCACATGTGTGTGTAAACCCTGTAAACCTTGGGGAAAAAAAAACAAAACAAAATGGTGACCTTGAGAGATGCCAAGTACATACAGTAAGCGTATGCTTCTGGAATCTCCGGGTATAAAGCCTTTCCCAGCTTGCTCTTCAAAGAATAAGACGACGATAAGCTTTGGCGGACTTGCCACATACGCCTCTGAATTGGATTTCGATGAGAATTATTCCGCCTTTAAAAGACACGCATAGACAAGACCGATGCACGCGGCCGGGAAAGGCAACCGGCACCAATCACAGCAAGTGTTGCATATCAGGACTTTTCCCTTTTCCCATCGAGATGTGATTTCCAGACTTACGTCACCCTGTGGAATGTTCAAAACCTGACCTTGTTAGGGTACAAAATTCACCAAATTCATTGTAGGGTCAATGATGGGACGATCTCACCAATAACGTTCCGAGTGGTCCGATCTCGATCCCGAAGCTTAAGTATTGTGCACAACGTGTATTAGTGACCTGGAATGACCTAGCCTTTCCGGAGTCAGTACTGAAGTTGGAAGGACCGCCGAGGCTTGGATGATTCATATAGAGAAAGAGGGGGAAACGGGAAAATTCAACCATGTGGCCAACCGGGGAGGGGATTTCTCGTGTTCTTCTGATTTTCTGATTTTCTCATCTTTGAAAAATAATATATAAGCTGAGGTTCTGATTGGATGTGAAATGTGATTTGAGAAGAAATGAAATGTTAGTGACGTCGGAGTATGTAGAAGATCCAGTTAGATCCATACGGGGCGGCAGTGCCCGAGATCGAGCAAGGGAGAAAGGCGTTATGGGATGTCACGTTGCTTTTTATTTTCACTTTTTTTTGTTTTTGTTTTTTCTCCCTTCAGATCAGATTACTGAGAGAGAAAAGGTGTGACAAGTGGCTTTTCTCCACTCCATTCCTCAGATCTGAGAGCGACACAGACATTTCGTTTTGTCTTTCCCCCCTTTTAACCCTCAACCGATTACCACCCTGCATGTTCGGGGTCAGAATCGATGCGTTGTTTTATTTTGTATTTTTATTTTATTTTGGGTGCTGTCAACTCGATGGAGTAAGTATGTGTCCATGAATTATTATCTTTCTTCTGTATGGACCATCATATTCATTTTATCTTTTTTTTTTTTTGGATATATATTTTTGTTCAGATCAGCGGTCCTGATGGAAAACTGACATCATACCCTTGATGATCTTCTCAGAGTCATTAATAAGCTTGGGGAGGCCTGAACATCAACCCTTTGATGATGCACCGAGGCTGACGAGTCGCAAGAGTCGAAGCCTGCCACATCGGAGATCCCCATGTGAGACACGGTGCCTTGTACAAGAGTATAGAGGAGGGTACTGTATACCGGGTATAAGAAATGTATAGCATATGTCGTGAGCTATAAAAAAAACAATAAACTTTGTAGACCGTTGCCCCAATATACATACTAGTACTGAATTCTATTGCCCTGTCTGGGAATCTTCCGAGACAAAATAGGCGCCATGGTTTTCTTTTGGAGAAAGTTCATCTATAGAAAGGAGTTGAAGGTTCGAAAAGAGGCAGATAGCATCATCGCAATTAAACCACCCTAACACGCGCCGAACCCGGGGTGACCTCGATTGGACTCGGGGGTAGTACCCGTCACCCATGTGTTCCTGAGTCATGTCGTACCGAGTTAAGCTGCAGTAGATTTATGATTATGATTATATTATTGCTTTCTTCCAAGGTGCTCCCAGGGTACATACTGTAAGGTCAGGGACGTATAAGAAGAAGAAGGTTAACCAACTCCGTATGTACAACTGATGAGGGTTTCCAGAAGGACTTGGAATTGCGCCTCATATTTGCTTTTTTTTTATTTTTTATTTTTTATCTTTTCTCTTTTCTTTTTCCGTTCCCCTTTTTTTTCTTTTTCTTTTTTTTCTTTTCATTTATTTTCATTTATTATCATTTATCATAATTTGTGTGTTTTTTTTTTCTTTTTCTTTTGTCCTGGGGAAGATTCCTATTCTGGGTAAGGATCAATGTTCGGAGGCTGTTCTCTTTCCCCCTGGGACTTTTCTCTCCACTCCCGATATCCGCATCAATGCGACTAGCAGTGATAGGTATGATTCCCCACATGCGAAGATCCGCAGTTCGTACGGTAAGTTATCAAAAACCGGTCATGACCGATCTGGGCTAAACGTCTGGTAATTTATTTAGTTTGGCTTTGAACTTTTTTATTTTTTATTTTTTATATTATGTTTTTTTTTATTCTTGTTTTTTATTCTATTTTCTTTTTCTTTTTTAGAATCCAATCTGTTAAAATTTAGTATATACCGATCCCCATCTCGATCCACTCTGATTCCTCCGATGAAAAAAACGCCTTTGGATTATTTCCCTTTTCCTGAAATGGATTTGCCGTATTTGACGTAAAGAATTAAATCCTTTTTTTTCCCCCTTAACTATACAGAGTAACTAAGTAAATTTCTCTATTTTCTCTATTTCTCTTAACTGTATTTCGCTTTTTTTTTATTTGTATTTTATATTTTTTTAAAAACCCATTTTTATCATAATTCCCTTTTATTCTCCCTTTTATTCTTTAATTCCAATCTAATGGTAGCCTCGATCCCTCCCCATTGGAAGTGTTTTTTTTGATATTATCCACTTGCCCTTCACCCAATCCCCCCTCTTAGTCTCTCTAGTTCTCTTCTTTTTTAACTCTTAAACTCTTATATCGATCGCTGGATCGAAATCTTACTTTTATTTAACTTCCCTTTTTCCTCCCATTCCCACCTCGTGCTCATACTTGGATTAACATTCTCCCCCTCCCCCCGATTTCCTCCCTTTTTCTTTTCTGCTTCCCACGCGACGCAATTCGACCCATCATCTTTATCCCTTGCATTAAAATACAACCCTCCACGATCGATCTTTGCAAGACTTTCTTTTGCTTTTTCTTTTTTTTGGGCTTGTTGGACTTTTGGTTTTCCACATCACGATTATTAAACGCCTTTCATTCTTCTCTTCTATCCTCTTTTCCCCGGGGACCCCAAGATAAGACCCAAAGATCCAAAAAATACTGCCCATACTTCCCGATCGCATCGGACTTAACTCGCACCCTACGCCACTCTTCCCCCGTTCGCTCTTCATCTTGGTTCATACTCCGATCTTGCCGGATCTAAATCGCTTAGACGAACTCGGTGGTTCCTGAACCCTTCCACCCGTACGAGAGAAAGAAACGTCCGGGATCTTTAATCATTCGGCCGTATCGCGCCTTATTTATTTCCCCCCCCCCCCCCCCAATTCTACACTCGACATTCACGGTACCTCAACCCGAATACTTAAAACAAAACATCGACTTTGTCAATCCAAGATTCGCGCTTCAATCCGCCATATACCACGCCCATTGTTGATGAGGTCAGGAATCCACGCGTGATCCTTTCATTTTTAACTCGTTCTACCCTTCTTCCCCCCCCCACCTTCCACTCAATCGTGATGGGGTCTTTGGAAGCCGCACCTAGGCACAGGTTGGTTTGGCTTCTCATCTGATCCGGATCGGTCTGAAACTAAATGCTGACGGAACTTTTTGCGCGCCACACAGAGACCCTTTACCTGCCATCGGTTTCCTAGGCAAGGACGGTTCAGGGTATTCACACCCAAGCGTCGCTTCTCCCACTCCTCTACTCAGTCCCCCCAACATGTATTCCGGACAACCACTACCGTACTCCTACGCGCAATCCAATAACAATGCGCCACCACAACCGGGCTACATCTCACCGCCAGAGTCGCGCCGGGTGATCGAGGATGAAAAGGACAAGGCCGGTTCTCGACAGTCACTGCCTTCCATTCACGAAGCTCTGGGCAAGGACAACCACCTTCCCTACCCGGCCCCAACCTCCGCTCCACCTCCACAATCTGGTCATGTCGCACCACCCGCACATCTCATCGGACGCTCAGGCGCCGAAGGTCCGGCTGGCCCTCCTAACCCATTCTCTTCCAATGGTCCAGCTTCTGGATCCCTGATGCGAGAACCAGGCTACCCTCACCAGATCCAGCCTGATGCATCAAGGAACAGCCTTGGCTCTATCAACACAACAGAGTCCCGAAACGCCTCACTACACTCCCTCAGTACGGGTAAATCACCGACGCAAAGTGCAAAGACAGGCATCACTTCAATTTCGGGATCTCAAAACTCCACCTACGATTACAGCGCGCCTCCCTCCGCCGGCAGCGTAGCTTCTCCAAATGGCTACGGCCATTTCCCTCCCAACTATTCCTTCCCGCAGAGTGGCCCGTCATACCCTCCTGCGCCTTACGAGAATCGTAATTACATGAGTGCACCCCGTGTGGAAGAAGTCAAAGGTGGATTTGTGGGCCGACCAATGCCTCAACCCCATAGTGACTCGGTGAAGCGACATCTAGACGTATTTGATGTGGAGACGTCTCTTAATGAGGTATGGATTTTCTGGCTCTCATTTTACTGTTTCTATTTTTTTTTTCTTGTTCTCCTTTGCTAGGTGGGGGTGAACCGACCAGAGTTGATGGGCTAACGAATTACCCTATTTGAATAGATCGTCGAGCTGAGCACACGAACAATGGAGTTTTCACGACATTACGCCGCGCGAGCTCATCAAACACAACGGTCTGGGCCAGTTATGGGCTCGCTTCCCTCGTTGAACGAAGTGGAGGATATTCTCCACATGCAGCGTCGGAACCAAGATGCTTTAATCCGGATACGAACAGCCGTTGTGAACCAGGAACAGGCACTAGCGGAGATGGCCCAGCGCAAAGCGTATAAACCTGAAGACGAACATATGACTGGGACCATGTACCAGGAAGACTTCAAGGGCGTGGGTGGATTCGCTGGGGCAGACTCAAAGAAACGACGTGGTGTAAGTTCCAATTTTTTTTTCCATTTCCAGTTCCCTATGGTCCCCGTCCCAGGATCTTCAACATTATCCGTTTATCCCCCTGTCAGAACTGGTGTGATTCGTGCTCTGGGTTCTCCACTTCTCACTTGTCATGAACTGGGTGGCTAATCATATTCTTCCTTTTCACAGAAAGCGGCCCCTCCTGGTCGTTGCCACAGTTGTAACCGAGCCGAAACACCAGAATGGCGTCGGGGTCCAGATGGTGCCCGAACGCTGTGTAACGCATGTGGGCTGCACTACGCCAAGCTGACACGCAAGATGGGCGCCAACAAGGCGGCATCCTTGGGATCGAATTTGAAGCCCAAGTCGGTCCTGGACTCCGCCTCGCCAACCAGTCATTAAGCTTCTTTCTTCTTTTGTGGCGTTGGAAAAAGGCGGGACATAGAAACGGGAGGCAAAAAGGAGTTCGGCCATTTTTTATTATTCCCTGGATTCAATTTTTTTCTGCTGTTTTTTTCACTGTGTTTCTGGATTTCATTGGTTCCTTTTTTTCCCTCGGGGATCTTGAGCTTGCTTCCCCCCCCCCTCTCTCTCATCACCTTTGCCTTGACTTATCCCCTCCCACACCTTTGTTTTTTCTCACCTGGTGTGGACCTTCCTAATTGGTCTTATATAATACCCTCGCAGCGTTGGAAAAGCCCCTTCCCTTCAATGCATAGATTACCCTCTTTGGATACCGGATTCAAGACTTGTTGCTGTTTATGTTGATTTATGCGTTGGTGGTTTATACCCTGCATTTTTGTGCGTCTCTGAGCTCTATCAACTTTTGCTGTCTGAGTATGTCTCTTGTGATGTGTGTACGATCTTGGTTCTAGCATTTTCCCTTGGCCTTGAACGTTTTCTACCCTTTTTTTTAATTTTTTTTGATGTCCTCGGACTAGTGACGACTAAGTGACTGGTTATTGATTTCAACAGGAAATCTGTTGCGGGTGGCAATTTGATCTACATGACATGACATTTATCACTATTTTTTTTGTTTCTCTTTTATACTGTAAAAATTTCCTCTATAAAAAAAATTGGACATACTGGAATCAAGATCTTTCCATGTTTATCACATTATCGCCACGTTGTTTAGAAGCTCGGAGAACTCGGCCGGTTCCGACGTAGTTAAATGTCACATTCCTGTCAAAGCCGAGATGCGATGTTTGGTTGAACCAGACATTCGACACCTCAGGGTCCAATCCCATCTAGATCTCGCGAAAGACATACTATTCTAGTCAACACGCCAAGTCCAATGACCGCATTCTTTGCCTCTGGGATTTTGATAATTTTTTTTCTCTACGTCTAAAAGCCACATTGCATAGTGGCAGAGCAGTCCCTTGCAAATGTGTTCTGTGGACAGAACTATGAGAGGTTACCGTTGCGCTGGGATTACGATGATCGCGATCCTCTGATCCCCGAAAACTCGAGTCCCGGAACCAAGCATTGTCAAAGCACTTGAGAGCCAAAAAAAAAAAAAAAAAAAAAAATCAGACTAGACCATTTACTAAAAATGTAAATCCCAAATCCAAATCATAGGGGAAAAAAACAGAGCGCGAAATCCGATTTCCTTACCCCGTAGTTTCCTACTCCACTATCTAGATCATGTCCTTATGGATCTATACCCACGTTATAATTTGACAGGATCAACAAGATCAAGATTAAGGAGTACCCGATCAGATTTCGATTTAGATCAGCTGAGTAGCCGCTTATGCATCTGGTAAGAAGAGCGAAAACGAAAACGAAAGTTCTGTCAATCCGCATGCACCTACAAGAGGGGCAAAGCACCTCCTTCCTTCAGCCCACATTGCAGATCATCAAAATCACAAAGACCAATCCATTTCCAACCCCAAATACCTACGATCTACTACCTAACAGAGTATACGAGATACTACCTGAGTACCAGCTGTTTGGTAGAGGGCCTGCTCATATGTATACCGCACCTAACATTGAAATGATGCCCGGGTGCTGCTATCTATTCAATGTTTGTAAACTGTATACTAGTACACATCGAAACGTCAGCCAAAAACACACCGACAGAATCGCAATCTCAAATCTTAAAAACCTGAAAACAAATTATCTCAAATCTTTGAATCTCGCATGCATTCTCTAGCGGAGTTCCGAACGGATCCAACCCCACTGGAAACTAAAGCCCCCCCCCCTTCCCGATCCGCCACGAATCATAGACGATTCCATCCTAGCGGGTTCTGCGTCGCAAGATTTGTCATTTGTCATTTGTCATTTGAGTTGAGTTTTTGTGGGATGACAGGCCAGTTTGGGTTGGGCTGTAAGTATAATCGAAGCTAATGAAGGTAATTTTGAAGGGAGGGGGAAGATTTGAAGGAAATGGAACTTGAGAGCATCACCGCGGAGTTATACGGAGTACATACGCGCATTGTGATTATTACATACATTACCCCCCTGTTCGGAGTGACGGGTAGGCCGATCGTCTGCAATGGGGAACCTTGGAAATGGTCCGATCGGAGATACGTCTATGCATATAATGCTTATGTACTCGGTCTTGTGAATCGGAATCTGGAATTTGGATCTAGATCTGGGATCTGAATCCGAATCCGAATCTGAATCTGGTATACGATTACTGGGAATGTACAGCGAAGGGGTTCAAAGTGACCGGGGTGTTCCTGGTAGGTAGGTGCTTGCATAGAGAGAAAGAGTGCGGAGTTGGTATTCCGTGGAATTAACGCTACAGAGATAAGAGGGGCTAGTAAATCCTCCATAACCACTAGGTCGAAAAGGGATCGACAATTTGAGTCATGGACGCGGGATCCTGTTCCTGACACCACCTCCCGACTGAAAATTTGGACGGGATGGGGAACGGTGAACGATGAACGGTGTGGTGTTCGGGCCAAGACGGCGCTAGCAGGGATGTGTTAGTGGCCATACATCGATCGAGATGCCAGATCCATGAAGTATTTGAAATCTTCAAGGGCTAATGTATGGGGCGAATTTGTATTTTTTCTTTTTGTGATGAATTTTTTTTAATAATTCATTTTTATTCGATCGGGATTTGCTGTCATAAGTGTTATTTTACCTGGTTTTTGTTTTGTTCGTGACTAGTAGAAACCAAGTGCTGTTACAGGTGAATGTGGGCATCTGACACTGAAAAAAAAAAGTGAAAAAAAAGAAGCTTGAAGATAAACATAGAGATAAACATAAACCATAACCATAGAAACGTGGATCGATCGCTCTTTGGTAACCTTGTACAGAGGAAACCCAAATTCCTTTTAGTTACAGACGTTGGAACCGTGGGACTGTAGGCGACCAGCACACCCTAGTGGAGATCTTGCCTTTTGTTCTACGTCTAAATCCTTCGTTTTTCGACTTTGACTTGAAGAGTTTGAGGATTTTTGACCTTTTCCGCCTTTTTTACCTTTACCAATCCTTTATGAATCTCGCCATGTGGGAAAGGTCGAACTTACTTGGTTCATGATCCATGGATACACACCGAACCTTGTCATTCTAACCCGTGACGAATTCCGAATTTCAAAGTTCTGGTAATGACTCGAAATGTCGGGATCGAGGTAGATTTGTCAATGATCAATCAACGATCATATGTTCCAATATCAATATCAAATCCAAGTTTTGAGTCAGTGCTGGAATAGAATGTGGACCCTGTCCTCCGTGCTCCGTTCGCTATACGTATGTGATCTCATTTTCTCGATTCGATCTCATTCTCGATATCCGTTCGATCCGCCCCCGTGATTCCCGTCTCTCTGTGGACTCTGGTTGGTGGGTTGTCCCCTGGAGAAAGACTCCGTGGGGAACAAGAGTCCGATTTCAATTCCTCTTCCGATTTTCCCATTCCGGTCCCGGCCGATGTCCACGTTTCCCACAACATACCTGTAAATACAGTTTTAGCTATTGACAGCCTCCTGCCTAAAAAAAAAATCTAAGCAAAATATCCACAAAAATGCAAAATAGAGGTTCATTAGAATTCCCCAACAACCAGAAAACTAAAAGGAAATGAAATCAACAAACCACTAGTCTACCGCGCGAGCTCCGTTCACTGAGCTAAGGGAGTGGGCCAATGTGGCAAGCAGAACGGGGCGCACATCAACATAAACGGGAGAGACTCGTATTAACCATACGCAGTAGTAATTGAGATTTTTTGCCGACACCAAAACTTAGCGCGTACGTTGAAATACCATCTCCACTTAAGCTCACCGTTGAACTGAGTACAAGTTTTGATTTTTTGAGAAAAAAAAATTATGAGCTTCAGGTCCTACGTGAAATGGTGCTCTGTCACAGAAAAGGGGCTGATTGACTTCTTAGCTCATTGGCTTATTGGGGAAAAAAAAGGTCAGGCCATCCATGGGCCTGTGCCTGTGCCGTGCAGCACACAAGCCTCAGATCGGTGCCCAAGACCCTATCTATCCATCTGGAACTAGAGGGGGCAAATCGGTGTAATCCGATAGATCGTACGTCAGAGTCCCAGGATTACCCCTGTTCTGCCCTTGACCCCACATCTAGTGGTATTCCATGAACCTGAGCTGTACCGTGTAATGGATTTTCGGTTTTTTTTTTATTCTGGCAAAGTGAAGCTTCCCGTCATTTCATTTTCATTTCCCTGCTATTTTGCTAATTTTAGATTAATATTAGGAGAGGCAATAGACTGGTAGAATTCTCGTAACCTCAAACTTCCCCCCCCTAAAGAGACTAAAGAGATTGCAAGGGCTAAACACGGTTGATCAACAGTTGACCAAGCTCTCGGGCCTTCAGCGCTAATCCACTCTCGGGTCAGAAAGGGATGGGGTTCAGCAAAAAAACAGTGGATCTGAAGCTTTTTGGGGGAGATTTCTTTGTAATTTTCCGTTTGTTCTCTGATTGTTCTTCCAACCTTCTTTGCGTCATCCTGCAACATTCTTAGTCCAGGACTTGGTTTTTTAATAAGCGGCTCCAGTCATCGACTATTTAGGAGTTTGTGCTCGTGTCGAGAAGATCGTCTCCACTAGATCTACCCGCTTTCATTTTACTTGGAGAGCGCGGCTACCGCGTAGACGGGGGACTGCCGAGAGAGAGCGACTTGGTTATCCATACAGCCTATGACCTTGTAGGTATTCGGTATATGTGGTGGTTGCTTAGGGTTTTACATGGACGGCCGGGGAGGAGGGGGGCAGGGTATGGAAATTACTCAATACTGGAATTTGAGATCCTCAACTTCCCAATTTAGATTGTACTCTTTGTTTCTCTCAACACGAGCAACCGTGCACCACATGTGCAGCCATAGCCACACCAGATCCAGCGTCAAGATTCAGATCTTGTGGATTTGCGTCTGTGTCCATGTCCGCGTCTCTGCCATTGGTAGAAAAAGGTACGAGGGACGGGGTCTTTGTGGGGGGCCTGAGGCAAGACCTGGGGGAACTACCCAGTCAGTTTCGCTTATGGTGAACGCTGATTGATTCCCGGTGACAAGATGGTTCCCACGAAGAAGTAAGTTGTAGGCTAACGAGCTGAAGGACCGTGGGAAGGCAAACCGGGACAAAGTCTATCTGGTGGCCTGGGACAAGTGGCGGCTTTGATGTGGAGATGAAATCAAAAGGTACCCGGGTTGGTGGGTCAGACTATTGAATTGATTTGAATTGCGCTTTTGTTTTCTTTTGTCTGCCTATTTTGGGCTTCCTCTGCATTTAACGCTACTGTGGGGTTGCCTCGGTGCCTAGTTCTCTTTTTCTCTTTTTTCTTTTTTTTCTTTCTGATGATTTGGTGATGCACGACTGCGGGCCTTTTTTTGATATCAGTTTTTCAGGGCTCCTCTGCTATGGGTTGCTGTTACGTACGGGTATGCGTCTACACCGATACCGACTAGATACAGGCCTCAATATGTGTAGCACGTGGGTAATTTTCAAAGTGATGACTGAGGCATTACCAATCCTAGATATCTCAATATTAGTCAAGTTATACTAGTAGTAAGTGATAACTAGTATTCAAAAATACAGATTATCCTCTTTCCTATTTCTGCTATTTGTTATTCTCATATTGACTCCGGGGACCTCTGCCCAAACCCCATGCAAGATACCATGCTTCATGCGTTGTAAAAGGCTCCGAGATCGAGCGATACCTTACTTATGCACCCCATGGCATGTATGAAACTCTCTACCCGATCGCCCAAAATCGGCCTTGAAAAATGTTACATGTATATGCACGGTTTCTTTTTTAGTATTTTCTTTGATATTTTCCTGCATTTTTTTTCTTTCATCTCGCGTCGGGATTGGCATCATGGCCGGGATCCGATCTTCACTCTGCATGGATCTAGTTGATCTTTTACTCCATCCAGGACCCCGCTAGCTGACGTGGGATCTTAGATCGATCAGGCAGGACCACGGGATGCAAGTCCCATAGCGGTGTGGATTGCATTTCCACAGCATCTGTGGTTAAGCGATTGATATTTTCATTGTTTATTTATTTATTTTATTTCCCCCTATATACCGATCCATATCCGCCTTTGTCCATTTCGAGTACATACATGCATGGGTTTAGATGTGGCTTTCAGGCCACGTCACTAGCGTCATCGCGATCGGATTTCTGCGAGTCAGTTTGGTCGAATCTAGCAGTAGCTGCATGATGAGGTTCCATCCGAATTTGAAATTTAATTGAAAATTGATAACTGGATTTTTCTATTTTTTTTTTTTTGGAAAAAAAAAAAAAACCACAACGCACCATATGCAGTTCATTACTCTATAGCTACAGAGATGCAGTGCCCATCAGAACTTTTGAAGCTAACACCTCTAGTTTCTCAAATATTATGTACCCAAGTACATATGCACACAACAGCACACAAATAGCTTGCGTCTCCACTCGAGTGCTCGATAAGCGCCCCAAGACGCTGGAAGTTAGATCCGACCATAGAAGAAGCATTCTCTCACACCTCCCTTTCCACGGGTTACCCGTGCGTTTTCCCGATCCCACTCTTTTAGCGGATACCACTTGCTCGAAAAGTTGAGATTTCGATGGTGGATGGAGTCGCGGGAAAGGCATTGCCGCATTATTGGAATCGCGTTCCATGGAAACGAAGAGGGCAAGGTTATGCGAATCCGAACCCCACGGCAAGATCTCGATCGGCATCGGCCGATCTGCGGTTCTCTAGAGTTTTCTAGTCTAGAATTTCGAATCTCCTAGTTTCTGCACGCGCCCAACTCGGCAAATTGTAAACCAGAACAACCGGTACACTAAATCATACTAAATCACACTAAAAATTGTGTACACATATGGTACACTAGTTTCCTCGGTGCGGTCCCTAATTCACCCTAATTAAGGGCCGGACAAGTTCGGCATTTTTCCCCGTTGGAACTAGAATCGGTGTTTAGGCACGTTTTAGCTTAGTTCCCGGCTAAATACCCTTGCAACATGGCAGTTAATATAACTACTAGTAATATAACTGAAAACGCCGCTTTGTTGTCACAACTGTTCTAGTCTGAGTATAGATTAATTGCTCTCTCTACGCCACAACCCTGGCGTTTCCTCGGCCCCGTCGGATCCGAATTCTGCTTACTATGTCCAATCGTCCGTTCCATGGATCTGTCTTAGATTTCCCACGTTGTGCCCGCGTGGCGGAACCGGAGACCGGAACCCTTCTTGGACGCGCTTTTATATGACTTCATCTATTTGGTACCCGGCAGACGCGGATGTGGGATCTAGATCTGGATCTAGATCAATACGGCGACCATACGATTTCCACTAAACCTGCACGAAGGATTATCGATAGTGCGAAATATTTGAACCAAAGGTCTCATGTATAGATAGAACGGAGATGACGGGAAACCATGCCGCTACTACTCTATGGACTATATTTCGTTCATCGCCAGAATGCCCCAGCCACCGAATTAAGATACGCAATCGGCTTCTCCCGCCATGTATCAGCCTCCATATGACTAGTCGTATTCGAATTGAGAAAGAGGTCGACCGGGCTATCCGCTCCATACGCATCCCAATGTACCGAGGCGTTCACGGTCCCAGGATTTGGGTCCAGATCGTGGATAAACGAGGCCCACATACTCGTCATCATTGAACTGAGATCGTAGTATGACTGTGGAACCCCGGCAAACGGCTTCCCGTAGTGATATCCCAGTCCATAGATATTGTTGAACACAAATGATACCTCCTCGAAATGAGTCGCCCCGACGATGACTGGTGTGTCTGCTGCGTGTACGTTGAACCGGTAACAATATGCTGTGGTAGAAGTCTCTGTCCAAGCCTCGCATTGCCGGCGCCGGTTCGCGTGCATGGTAAAATCACCTGCAAAGGCAGAGGTTCGTCGCCACTCCCAGCCCATAGCTGGAACTCGCTCGTCGCCTAGGAACGCGGGGATTCCTAGCGATGGGATATCGGGATAAAGTTTGAGAATTTCATCGGCAATCGACGGTGGCGTTTGGAAATCGAATCCCCCATCTGCAGTCACGGATGGAATTATCTGTCAGTCTGCATATCATGAAACTGCATGAAGAAAGAAAGCGCAAGGAAAAAGAGAGCTCACCGGTCAGATAATCATACCACTGCTGGGTAGTGTTAATGCCCGTGGGACCAAAAGCAGTCCCCTCGTCTGTGTTACTCCCCATCAGAATCGGAACTTTGACAAATTCATGCCTATTTAACTGAATACTGCCCCAGTTCCGAATCAAATCCCCATCCAGCACCGGCGAGAAATTATACTCGGAGGAGCCGGCAGTCCCATTCAGAACAGCGTTAAGAGTCGCAAAAGGCACCTCCCGCAGACACTGCAGTGTATCTGCTGTATCAGCACAATTCACTTGAGATACGAGCTCGTCATAGGTGGATTGGAATTTAGTGTAGTTTGCCGGGCTGGCTGCGATGGAACCGCCAGATTCCATAATACCAGCCCGAAAGAGCTTGTCGTCTCGTCCTCCATACGCTGTGAGATGGTAGCCGACTGACATGGCACCTGCAGACTCGCCCCATATTGTGACTTTTGTGGGGTCGCCGCCAAATGCGGCAATGTTCTCCTGAACCCAGTGCAGGGCTAGTCTCTGATCTCGCAAGCCGAGATTTGTGTTCCCGCTACCCCAGACCTGACTTGAACTTATCCAGCCCCAGGCCGAGAGTCTGTAGTTGAGCGAGACGGCGATGAAAGGTTTACCTGATGAGGAAAGTTAGAAGGGAATGGGACGAAGGACTGGGGAGGAGATTACCGATATTGTGAGAGTTTTCCACGATCCTCGACATGTTGTATCGCTCATCTGACCCAGATCCCTCGTAGAACCCGCCACCGTGAATCCAGACCGCAACGGGAAGCTTAGATTTCTCCGTTGCCGACGAGCCTCGGATCACATTGATGGTGAGACAAGCCTCGGACTGAGTATACCAGATCGAGTCCGTCTGCAGCATACAGTGTCAGGGGAAAATCTCAACGGGATAGAAAAAACAAAGACACTAACCCCGTATCCAACACAAATATCCGAGTACTCTGTTGCATCGCGCGTTCCGTCCCAGCTCTCATTCAATGACTGCGGCACGGTGAATCGCAGATTACCCACCGGCTGTTGGGCGTATGGCATACCCAAGAAATAATCCTGGTTATACTGCGTGCTGTGCGTCCCCACATAAGTTCCGTTAAGAACTTTGACTGTGGGAGTGGATTTGGAATTAGTAGGGGCAGCATGAGCCGTCGCCCACACAGCCAGAAAGCCGATGGCAGTTGTCAACATGATGTTTCGTCAAACAGAACCTTTGCAGCGTTTGATTCCAATCCTGCTGGACCCGGAAATGCCCCAGACTGTATAATTTATACCCATTCCCTCAAGAAATTCATGGAGATGCACAACATGCGGGGAAGGACTGCATAAGGGTGCCAGGCCCCACACCCAAACGGTCGATGATCAGCGCTCACCAGTGAGGAATGATGCCGTTCGGCTGAATTGTCCGCTGGATGCTGTCAAATATGCCGACTAAGGTTTGGTAACTGGATACTCCGGAACCACCGTGACATGAAAATGCGGGGAGAAAGGCGGGATTCGAGGTGGGGGAGGAGTGGACGTGTCCAATCATGGATGATCGGTTATAGCTTGATCTGCAGATACCACGGGGAATTAGCATCGAAGGCTTTTAAGTTTGCGGGTGCTTCCTTGTTTTGTGTTAGGGTCTTGTAGCCCGAGGTTTCTCCGGGGGGGCTTTCCTTGCCGTAGCCGTGTGGCATTTGAGACATTCTGCAGACCCTGAGGAATGGGACAGGGGGGTCCGTGGGGTGTCAATAGGAAGACTGGCTTGGGCAACAAACATGGGGATTCTTTGACTGTGATCACTTTCGAGTACCTTGCACTTTGCGACCAGAGAGGGGACACTATTTGCGATGTCGAGCTCCTCCAACCTGATCAAGTCTTCGAGCACCGGTCGAGGGCGTTATAGTCCCAATAGGATCTGTCAGATAGCACTTTCCCAAGGTGTCAATATGGACTTGGATGAAAACAAACTTGATTGGAAATTTTGCATAGTGACACGTGTGGGCTTCCACATGACTAAACATTTGAACGTAGTCATTCTACATAACTAGTTAGATGGAGAAAGCAAAGCCAGGATATACATTAGCAGTCAAGCGTTTTCGTAGTGTAACATTCACCGATCATCAATACTAGATACCAAGTACAAGTATACTAGTAGTATTATAGTATACTAGTAGTATGCTCAGAAATTTAATATGAGTATCCCCCTATATATGTGCCTGCCTGATCTTAGAGGAATCCACTGCATCTCAATAGTAAATAGATCTTTCCCAAAATCTTTGTAGCTAGTCCCTCTTCTCTCTCTGATCTTACCTCCCCTGAAATTTTTCTTTCTTCGAAATTTAAGGGAATCATTGAGCTGCTTCAGATCTATATTTAAAGCCTTTTTGATCTATTTTTCCATCCATAGGGAAGGAAAGATCAGGGAATGGCTTCATTCCCAGGACTTATAAGTTGGGAACTGCTCTGTACAGTCCAGGTGACTCCCATATTGAGCTCAAGCGACTCCTATACTAAATTGATCCTTGCGCGTGATTGGTCGATCCTAAGCGACCTGGTTGATCTGGGGGACGCGTTCAGGGTCTTTCCTGGGGCATAAATACCTCGCTCTTCCCCCCCCTCTCCTTCTTTTCTTTTTTCCCCTTCCCCAAGTTTCATCACTCTCAAGTCTCCTCTTCAAACTTTCAAACTTCTATCTCAAACTTCCTTCTTCTATCTCATCCAAGTTCTTCCTTCTTACTTTGAACTTCCATCAATACATCCATGAACCAATACACCCTTGACACTTATAATGTCTATGACTTATCAAGCCATGCTTTATAATATGTACTTACATCTTCTCTTCTTCTCCTCTCTTTTCTTTTCTTTTATGCTAACCTTCTGAAAGATCTCTGCATGCTTCTGAATGTCACTTATCATTCATGCCTTGGTCACCTTGATGGCCCATACTCTGATCTCCTGAATCAACAAATCCTTTCAACTTGCCTTGCCGAGTCTCAAGGTATGCCCACCAGTACAATCCTTGTTTCTTCATCTCTTATTGACAAGCTGTCTGTCTAGATGGCCTCCCAAAATGTGCTTCCAACACTCACTCAAAAAAAAAGATTTTGCCCAGATAAAAAGCTTCCTCCCACAATGTGCTCTCACTCACTTCCAAAAAAAAAAAGAGATTTGCACGGAGAAAAAAAAACAGCTTTTGCTCACTGAGTCTTCCCAATCAACTTTCTCTGAGCCCCCGAGCACTGCCATTCTCGGAAACCTGCCCTTGAACTCGTTGCCGGCTACAAACTTCTCTTCTATTTGGTGATACGGACTGGGAGAAACAAGCAACAGATCAATGGATGGGTAAGCGGTGACCAAGCACCTGCCGAACCAGTACGATGATCCCCTGCATCATGAGTCTGTGTTTTGTTTTCTCGTTCTCCTTTGTTGTCCAGTGACTTCTCATGATGACGGGGATCTTCGTGCTGCAGTTCATGCTACCAGCATGGCTCTCAGCATCTCATCTTGCTACTTGTGGTGTTGTTTTTCTTTTTTGTTTACTTCTCGTGATGCTGAGGGCCCATACTGAGGCTCAGCCAGATAGACTCTGCGCGATGCCGTCATGGGTCATGGTTTAATGAGCTTGAGATTTGTTGTCTCTTTTCCTTGTTGTCAAGCTCATGTGCCAAGGCCCATGATGAGTTCGTCCAGAACGCAGTCTATCATGTGCTGAGTCTCAATGCTGCCAGGGTCGGTGCTTGGTTTTTCTTGCTTGTCCATCCATGTTGGGGGTTGGAATTTGGGACATGGGGTTTATTTTGATGCATCGACAATTGGCCATTACTTGCCTTGATGAGCTTGAAGGTATGTTCATGTTTCCAATTATCTTTCCTTTACCTCTTACTGACCTTTCAGCCTGTGCACATTCTCTTTTCAGATGATACCCAAGATTTGCTTAAACACATCGGGTCTGCCAAAAAGCCACCCTTTCCAGCTGAAGCTCCCTGTCAAATGCAAACTTTGCTTCCATGCTGCTGAAAATCCATTCCTCCTGGCATTTCTGGCATTTCAAAACAGGACTTCAACTCATCGTCGGCACCGATCTTTTCTTTCCTTGTTCTCAATGAAAACAAGAAACCGACCAGAGACAAATGAATCAAAATGTGAAAAAAAAAAAAAAAAAAAACTCAGAAATCGAACATCGAACATCGAACATCGAAAATTCCATCTCCAACTTGTGGAAACAACAAGCATGAAAGGAAGAAAGACACAAGGCCAAAATGCACAATCGAATAAAGAGCCCGGGGTTGGTGGGGAAAAAAAAAGAAATCGTGTTGTCATGTTGTTATTTTACTTAACTGTTCATCCTGACTCGGATGTATGCGTTGCTTCCTTTCAACACAATCAAATCCAAGATGTGCGAAGCATATGATTGCATACTAATACCATCAAACTATCCTATTTCTTCGTGCTGTTCTATTCAGATGTGTAGTGACATTCTTTTAAGTTCCCCCAAGTAATCTTCGCACATGATATGCTTCCTCCAAGCCAAGATGCTGGTACACAGTAGTATTCTTCGATGATGATCCTGACATTTTTCATGGGTAAAAGGCTGTAAGAATTGGAATGTACTATGACTGCATGAGAGTCTACGGTCATTGAAACCTAACAAGTTCATCCAAATGCTTACACTCAACGCGATGCAAAACAGAGACTCATGTCAAAATCGTCCAGAATGTTTCAAGGTTGCAACCACAACTCCACACTATGTTCCAAGTAAAGCCGCTAGAACGTCAAATACACCAACCATTTAAACTTATGCAGCTTGACTTGAAGATTACTACTCCATCCCCATCTCCTCTGCCGTAGGCTTCCTGCAAGAATACGCCAACCCAGTGACCTTCCACTCCCCATCAATCTTATGCAAGACAAAAAGCTCCACGCCAACGTGGTCCACAACACCATTAATCTTCGCTCGAAAAGGAGCCCAGACAGCTGCAAGATTGATCCCCTCATGCAACTTGACCTCTGGATCCCAGATCCGCTCATCCACATTGTCTTGTATTGTCGCCATATACTCGATGAAAGAGCCGATGGTGCAGAAGCGCAAATTTGTGGCCGTAGATGATGGGAGGGAAAGGGACATGCCACCAGCACATACGCAGTGTTTTTCAAAGTCGACTCGAGATTTTGTGTTGAACGCGGAGAGGAAGCCGTTTGCGACTGCTATGATAGTGTCGGTTTCGGCGGGGGGAGTGGAGGGGGTGGAGGGGGGTGTTGGTGTTGATATGCCCCAGCACATGGTTGGGGATTGGGGATTTCTTCCAAGGTTGTTATGGGTTTCAGTTGAGATTAGATAGCGGATGAGGATTGGATAGGATGATGAGATGAGAGAGATTCAAAGAGGGGATTCCCTGGGTGGTGGGACGAAATTTGAAATCCAATTCATTGGAAACTATATGGGGTGGAAGGTTGTAGTGTGCCATTTCGTGCTTTGATAGTTTGAAGATGTTGCCCAAAGTGTGAATTGTTGATCAACTTCGGCTGTTCCGTGTGTGGACGGTTGCAACGGTTGCAATGTGGCTCCGTTGATTGCATGCTGTATCACGTCCATTCGATCTCTATGAAACCTCAGATTTAAAGTCAGCGTCGTACGGATGATATAGATTTCAGTTCTCCGCAGGAGATTTTACTTGGAATGGTTCTGACATGTGGATATGTCCAGGGAAAAGAAGAATCGAGAGTTTAATGAGATAGCAGAGCATTTCAATGGAAGATTTGAATGGCAGTTTGAAATTGAATGATCAATAAAGAACCAAGAGGGCTGCCCCCCGGATACTGCTAAAATATGTGCAAATCAAAGTCATCATGTCTAAAATGTAACTCGACCCCACCCCGGACATTATCTATCTACACTAGTGGATGTAAGGAGAGTTCTATTTAAATCTTTTTGCCTCGAAGGAGCTCCCAGCCGACAGATCCGTTCCGGCCTTCCTTCATAGTCACCTCTTCAACCGCCTTGATAAGATCGTAGGTGATCTCTTCGGACACAACACTGTCATGCTTGTAGCTTGGGTGCTTGGCTACAAACTCACGAATCCAGCGAGCTCCAGTCCACAGAGTGCCGTCTGCACGTTTGCGGATAAGATCAAGGTAGCTTGCAAGGAAGCAACGGGTCTCGACGTCCACATTGACACTGTTCAAGTACGACTCCACAAGTGGAATGAGACCAGGGAACGAGCCATCTGTGCAGCCATTAATGATATCGGAAATGGTCATCAACTCATATTCAACCTCGACCGGACCAAGAGGAGGGGATGGAGGTGGCGTGTTGACAGCCGAAGATGTTGTAGAGGAAAATGTGCTGCCGTTTGAAGACTGCTGGGCGGGAACCTTCGGGGCTCGCGCCGAGAAAGGATCTTTGCGGAAGTAGAACTTATGATCGAGAACCGCATTGCGAGCATGAGCAGTCTCCATGTTCTCTGTGGTACGTTGAATGGGTATGTAGAAGTTAAGGTCAAAGCTCAATATGGCACGGGTAACGAGAACGATGAAGATGCTGAACGCCGCATTTTCAAAATCGGTAATTTGGATTTCCATGGAGCGGAACTCAACTCGCCAGCCAATGTCGTCCTTCTCCGATGGCGGGGGCTTGAAGCGCATGTGTTGCCAATTTGTGGACTGGAGGTTCTCGAAATGGTCACCCTTGCTCAAGTCGAGTTCCTCGAGGTCTTCAGAGAAGATCACTAGCGGATCACGAATGAAAAGATGGGCAAAATGTGTGGCAAGTAGGTCATCCATGCCACCGTCCATTAGTCGCTTTTTAATATCTTGGTCAACGACCAAATCTGGGTCAAAGTATTCCTTCCGCAACCGAGGGTCTTCAGAGATATAAGTCGAGTTAGAAGCGTATCTGGACTTCGGAATCCTCCATCGGTCATTTTTAAGGGGCTATCAAAGAGCAATGTCAGCAAAAAAATAACAATTCCATGTTGGGCCAATTTTTTTTGAAGGGAACAAGGCACTCACAGCTTCTCCGAGTTCTTCAGGAGTTCTATCATCCACTGCCCCGCTAATCTGGTTCCATCGCACATCTGTATCTACAAGGAATCCCTTGTAAATTGGCGTGGCCGCTGTAAGAGCCAAAAGAATTGGCCCAAGTGGGCTCAACTGATCATACAGCCTTCTGCCTTCAGTCATGTTCTTTGCCTGGAAGGTGATCTGCAAGCAGCAGCTACCCATACCAAAAGCCATGGCGTCCATGTAGACATGGTCATCCTTTGCAGCACCGTTTCGGACATCATCATCTTCCGGCCAAAGATGCAGATCATAGTTGACGGTGGGGTCCTTAAAGGGCGAAGGGGTGTTCCGATCCTTGAAAATCGGGACGTTTAATTCAACCTTGCGTCCTCGCCGGGAACGAATGTTGGCCGCCAATGTGGGAAATCGGATATGTGGGTTGGCAATCTCATCAGGCACAAATTGTGAGCGAAGAGCTGGCCCAGATGGGGGATAATAAGGCTGAATGTAATCGTCCTTCGTCCCCAGCCGAGGGAATGTTGTTAAGGTTATGGGCGATTCATTGGGCGCCATGTGTGCTTTGGCAACCTCTCGTCTTGAGAAAGTTAGCACACGTGCTCTTAACTCGAAGGTCCAGAACAAAGTAACTTACCGCCATTTCATATTGGACTCCACTTTCAACAGATCTTTGAACCCAATGCCCCATGGGCTTCCAGGAGTGGCCTCAAGCATGAACCGCCCAAACTCGGGGTGGAAATGCGGAGGATCTTCACCAGCGCTAATGAACCATCAGAGGCCTTGTCCATATTTCTTGAGGTACATACTTGTATGGCCACTTACTGTTCCCCATTGCTGTCGTTCTCGGACGAACCGGCTTGCCACAGAGCTTCGTCTCGGGCGAGCGACTTCAGAATTTCGGCTTGAGCCAAGGATAGTCGAGCTTTCTTGGCTGCATCATCGAGAGAGACCACAAGATATTCGACCTAGTAACACACAAGAGGAAGATGTAAGCAAACTTTCAGACCAATATAGTTTGCTTGCTGATCGTACCTCGTCGCCCCACAGGAGAACGTCACGTTCCTTGCCTCGCGCTCGACGCCAATTCGCCAGAAGTTGCTGCATAGACGGTCAGATTCATGACCATTTCGACGAAGATCAACAGATCTGCCGATTTGTCCCAGCAATTTTGTTCATACCTCAATTCCCCACTCGCGCACCTGGTGAGCCTTCTTTTTGGCCTCGGGCCATTCGAGGGGAGTTCCAAGAGCACTAGAATAAGTCAGTAACTTTCCACGGGCTCCACAAAGTGTCAAGTCGCATACAGCAGTCCCATTGTTGCAAGTATTTTCCCTTCCGGTTCCCAATGCAGGTGGTGCCGATCAAAGCCGGAAAGACGATTAGATAGGAAGGTGCCCTCGACCCACGACAGGTCCAAAGCCCGGGATATATGAGAGAAGAGAGTAAAGAACTGGACGAAGTTGTCTAGAAGAACTTCAAGTCAAGCCGCGCATGGGCCTTTTCCGACCGGTTCTTTCAAATTCTTGCATTGAGGGGGAATTTTTGCCGTAACGGTTCCCGGCGGGGCAAGATCTCGGCGATAAGATTCTGGATTTCTAAGCAATCAGGTGATGCCGATTACTGTTGATTATTACATTGATTATTCGATCTTGAACAACATCTATCTCAGTAGAGATTTTGTTTCAGGAGCTCTCTAACTATAAGTATCCTTCCGAGTCTATGATCTGTCCAAGTATCTATACATGGATGAGCAATTCTCACCCTGGTCTTATGGAATACCAGCTGACTAGATCCCTGCAAAGTAACAAGCGCCACACCATTGCTGACCCCAGACCATCTCATAACACTGTTCCAGTCGCATGCTTGGGCAACTAAACCCCCTGCAGAATGCGGTTGGATCTGCAAGCCACCACTAATGCAAACAAGTGGCACTAATACTGTGGCTGACAAATCCCTCGTAACCGCTGGTGCCGCTCACGAATAGCGGTCTCGACGCAACTAACATACTTTGGTGCGGCCTCCACCCCGTATAATATGTCCGATCCTCGGAACCAGTATTGAACAGCGAGGGGAGTTGCTGCCAGTTAATGACATAGACAACGAACAAATCAAAGCAAGCTCATCGTGGTGAACTCGTCGTTCTCCACTCCAGGTATAGCGCGAGGGGGAAAGACCAAGGTCCTTAACGCCGTAAAAGGCAGTCCATGAGCAGTCTCGAGATATAAAATATGTACATAGCCTACTGATTATCCAGCAGCTCTCACAGAAACACGCAACAGCACAATTGACAAGCTTAGTTGCTGCGGGCACCGTCCTTAGCAGCACGCAGCTCATCCATCTTGGCCACCCGCTTCTTAAATTCGTCATACTGGCACTTCTCGTAAGTGTGGCGCTCATTCTAGTTGCAGGGAGAAGCAAGTTAGCGGGAATGCACTTCAGAAATGCGCCTGGTCAAGTCTTAATATTCGGGGGCGCAGGATGGAACTTGACCATACCTCACACTTCCACGGAAGGTAGTACTCTGCTTGTCGGCACCGGTTCAGAGGGATCAAAAGGTGTGCACATGAATCGCGATATTGCATGGGGAGACGGGCCTCGGACATCTCCTGGCGGGTAGCTGATTCGGGCATGGTGATTAGCTTCTTAGTTTGACGAGGCTCAATGGACTGGATTCATACCGGAGGTGTCCGCAAGACCCACAGCACTTTTGACCGACTCGACAATAGTCATCGTGACGAAAATTGATGTGGTTGAGACGGGAGGGTGGAGGGGGGGGGGAGGCGCAAGTGGTGAAGACCTAGACTGGCGTTCAACCTGAGATACCTCGTTTGCTCGCGGATACCTAGTCATGTGATATAAAACACACGTGATTGGATGATACTCACGTGACTGACAGATTAGTTTGGTGGTGATTATGTAACATTCCCAATCCGGTTAGCATGTGCAAATCCACTTTACGCGGTATATTGACTTATCGCGTCTTTGCGCGTAACGTCAATGCCAGAGCTCATTCACTGGCAAATCGTTCCTTACTGTCAGTACAATTGAAATATGTTGGTGCCTGCAGAAAATCGAGTGTATATTTATTAACTCCAGTACACTTTCTAGATCTTTCCTTTATATATGTTCGCCATATCGCCTACTCTGTAACTACTATCAGAGCCCATCCTCTTTCACATTTCTTCAATACCCCAATCCTCCACCTCACTTTGCCTCATGCCCGGCCCAAATTTGTCGCAAAAATCATCGATACATCCCGCGCTGTAGCCTCGTTGCCCATACTTGAGTTATTCAGAGGGTTTCCTGGTGTATCAGGGTGTGTGTCATTTCACCTTGCCTCCTTACGTCGTAACGGCGTTACGTCTCGATTCTACTACCTAGCAGGTAAACCGCACAAGGATACCTACCTAGGTAATAGGTACCATAGACAAGATGGATTCCATCTACTCGGCCACTTACAGCCAGGTGAGTTCTATGTCCCATCCTGATTTGATCCTTAGCTTGTTTGGCGAGATTTTCCGACCTTATTCTTCCTTTAGCGATAGCACTAATGGTTCTTTCTCTAGATACCAGTGTATGAATTCAAGCTAGATGGCGAAAGTATTATGCGGCGGAGGCATGATGATTGGGTGAATGCTACACATGTTCTCAAAGCTGCAGGCTTTGACAAGCCTGCCAGGACTCGAATTCTGGAACGAGAAATTCAAAAAGGAGAGCATGAGAAGGTGCAAGGCGGCTATGGAAAGTACCAGGGTACGTGAGGTGGGAGCAAAAACAATTTCCACTGAATCACCGCCCCAAAAACAATTGAGGGGAGTTTGCTAACATTTCTGCTCCGCGAAGGAACCTGGATACCCCTCCAAGAGGCTCGTTTGTTAGCAGAGCGGAACAATGTTCTCACCAAGTTGGCGCCCATCTTCGATTACGTCGCTGGTGAACACAGTCCGCCACCTGCCCCCAAGCACGCGTCCGCGTCTTCCAAACCACGGGCACCACGAAAATCAAAGAAAGACACCGCTGCCACAACAGCCGCTGCCGCTGCCGCCGCTACTGCTGCGGCGGAGGCCTTCTCTGTGATGGGTCCTCCAACCCTCCCCCGTGATCAACCAACAATTCCTCACGAAGAATACGACATGGGCGCCGGTTTCGACGACAATGAGTCCGTTGAACATACAACGCTCGACTCATCATCCATGATGGCCGATGAAGATGCGCACTTGTCGCAACATGGGGGACGAAAGCGCAAGCGTGGGACTAATCAAGGGCCCATAATGAGTGTACACGAACAGGAACACGTCATGTATGGCGATCAATTGCTCGACTACTTCATGACCGTCGGCGACGCCCCCCAAGCGACGCGCATTCACCCTCCAGTCCCTCCCGCCAATTTCCAAATTGATCGACCCATTGATGATTCGGGCAATACGGCCCTGCACTGGGCCTGCGCCATGGGCGACTTACAGATTGTTCAAGATCTACTTCGTCGAGGAGCGACTATTTTCTCACTCTCCATTCATGAAGAAACCCCTCTCGTTCGCGCTGTGTTGTTTACCAATAACTACGAAAAACGGACTTTCGGCGCTCTGCTTGATGTCCTGTTGGACAGTGTCGCATTCCGTGACTGGTTTGGGGCTACTATCTTTCACCACGTTGCAGAGACCACAAGGAGCAAAGGCAAGTGGAAGAGCTCCAAGTATTATTGCGATATCCTCCTCGATAAGATATGCAACAACCTGTCTTCAGATGAGGTCGACTTGCTGTTAGCTTGCCAGGACAACAACGGTGACACGGCCGCCCTTGTGGCTGCTCGCAACGGGGCATTCCACCTAGTGAATATGCTGGTAGCGCATTGCCCACGAACCATGCATCTCGTAAACAAAAAAGGCGAGACTGCCAGCCAAATCGCTCAACGATCTAATATCGAGGCTGAAGCACCGGTTGCCACGTCGTCTATTGCCATGGCCAACGACCAGATAGATGGAGAACTTACTGCCCCGATGCCTTCGGACCACATGTCCATCACATCACAGCAAGTTGATTCTGCTGCAAACTCAGACCTGCTTTCCAAGATTGGTGCGATTATGGCCGACGCCAACAAGAGACTTGGGTTGACCTACGGCGACCCCCAAACCTCTCAGCGAGAGTCAACCGACATTGCCAACCCAGAAGCACTGCATCGACAACTTGAGTTGGATCGGGACAACATTCGCAAACAGATGTCTATGCTGACCTACAAGGAGGCCGAGGCGCCCATCGATAGCGAGTTGAGCGTTCTGGGTGAAGCGCAGATCAGGTACAAGTCTCTGGTTGAGCATGACCATCACAGTCGTCTGCAGAATTTCTTGAGCGCATCAGTCTTATCCACAGATTCATCCTCTCAGGGTGTGGAAACTGCCACCGAAAAATACCAAATTACACGTCAACTCCTCCTTGCGCACTCGCGGCGCTGTGAAGCAGTCAAAGGTCTTGCACAGCAGACCGCAGATGCAGGTGTGAGCACCAAGTTTGATGTGCACCGTAAACTAGTGACTCTGGCCACTGGTTTAAAAGAGGAAGAACTGGACCCAATGGCGTCTGAACTTGCCGCAGAACTCGAATTTGACCGCTTGAATGGCAAAGGACCATCTAACGGGCAGGATAACATTGAAGATGGTTTCTTCCAATAGCTTTTGTTTGTCTCTTATTATCCTTCTGGCTTGCTCACTTCAAGTCTAGTAGCAGATACCCCCCTTCCCCCTTCCCTTTCCCCTTCCCCTCCGATGCCTCTCATCTTTCTCTCTGCCAGGCCTAAGATTTGCTTTCTAAAAGTCATTGATCGAAAGCGCGACTTTGGTCTTGAACGATTCAATCACTGTGTTCGTGCTTTGATCTCGTGTGATTTGGTTGCCCGTTTCGGTCGATTGATCACAACAGGCGTTTGGGAATACACTGCCAGCTGTCTCTAGTAGTTTTCATTTCAGCCAGCGTTTCCTGGATTCAGATCTTCTGCCACCTGCTTGACTCTATCTGCCTGTTTCCTACCCGGGGCACTTGTATTTGTTACAGTCTTCGTTGCTATGACCTGGTTGCTCGTTTCGGCCCGTTGATCCTAACAAATGGCATGGACTACACTGCCAGCCGAGTCTGATAACCATCTCATGCAGCGATGTCTCCTTCATACCCTTGATTCTTCTTGTCCATATTTTATTACGGCCTTCTCGACCCTTGTGACCTGTCAAGGTGTCACAAATGAATATCATCACCATTAATGCTATGATCGTTGTTCTTTACTATAATCATTGTGATCATCACCGTCACTATTAACCACAGGAGATGCAAATATGCTAAGGCTGCAAGCTTCTTTCGAATATCATGATCGTACCACTAGCTTAAAGTGCATTGACACGGAGAAAAGGAGGGATTTTGACTGACACGGATCGGCAGCATGGGCGTAGATCATAATCACGCTAGGGCCCCTTCAATCTTCTTGAATCGTCTCCAAGCGAAAAACAATCGCCATTGACAAACGTCCCACATAGCCCACCGCACAAAGAAGAAGCTATGACCCACAATTTCCTTTCAATGCATGAAATGATTCCCGCTCAACCTTCAAGCCTTGCCACATCGCACGTCGGAAAGGCCCCGTCAGGCGGTTAATGCGCATCTATTGGCTGCAGGTTGAGGGGCTTGGCACCAACGCCGGGCGGCTCCAGGGGCGATATGAGACGAAGAGGCGGACATGTCGGTGGACGCTAGCTGCCCTGAGCCAATGAAACCACAGGGGATGTGACGGGGAGCTCTGGGCTATGATGGGCTCATCACCTTCCAAGGCGTGTATTCGTTGGTGATTGGGTGCTGGACCCCAAATCATCGATTTCCCCCAGGTGAGAGCAGAGAAGAAGAAAACCAGATCTCAGCTGAATGTATAGCAAAGCATTACCATTATTAATAAGACTTTTTGTATCCTGTGATTTGAGCCTCGATATAATACGACGGCCATTTCTCTACTCCCAAGACTTGAGCCGAGAGTCGCGCGACGCTGTGTGCCTGAGGCACGAAAAACATTAATTCCCCACATCATCCGCACTGTTCTTCTTCAACTTCTCTTCTTCCTTCTCCCCAACCATCCTTCTTTCTTTTTTTTTTTCTTCGCATTCTTTCATTCTCTGCGGCTCGCGTCGTCATTTGGGAACCAGAAAATTTCATAATACAAAAAAAAGTATCTTCTCTCAACTACAACTCACTTCGTCCGATTCATTCCGCCCCTGAAGAAAAAGCGCTTGGAGATTCCTGAGATTCGATTCGATTGTCAATATTACTTTGCCCCCCCCCCTCCACAATATTCGCATCCCGTATTTGCATCACTGTGCCTGGGGCCATTTCTGTTTCGTCCTTCTCGCCACTCGTCGAATCTCACTTGTGGTGCCTTGCCAGCTGGTCGTGTTTCAGGACCTCTATTTCTCCCGAGTTCGCCGTTACCCGCACCACCTCGCTCTATCTTCACTTCATCAGGGACTTGCAGAGCATCTCCCATACTTTTCTTCCAGTGCTCCCTGAGAGACTTCATTTCACATATTCGCCTAATTCACCTCCCACCATTTCGTCCGCACCTACCACGCTTCGAAACGACCCTCGGCTTCCGACCTCGAGAGTGAAGAGAAAAAAAAAGAAATACCTTGTACAGCTTGATAATCTTGGCATCGCGTTTTTGCTGTCTCTATTGAGTCTGTCCTTCAAACTTGCATACCTTCGCTTGTGGTCCGTGACCTTCAATTCTGCTTGGAGAAAATTGACTCTGACGAAATTTGAGGCTCAAGAAATCGCGCCTAGCAAAACAGCGTTTTCTCACTTCGCATCTGAAAGTTTCATTAACCTCAGTTTCGGCATACCCTTCTTGAACTTAGACTTTCTAATCTCTAATCACCTGAGAAAGTTTGAGCTTAGCGGTTGATCCCAAGCTCTCGATCCGCGTTACGGATATTTTGAACGCGACTCACCCTTCGCTCAGTTTTGCACATACCCTCCTTCACACACCATCTCACTTTACGAACAATGAGTATGGACGCTGGCGGTCTTGCTCAAATGACCTACAACAACTCCTTCAATGATGGCAGCTCCCTCGGGGTCCCTGGCTCCGGCTTCGCGTCCCGTGGGAAGGGCTCTCACATCAAACGCCTAAGTGTGCCTCCACAGGTCGCAACCATCGACGAGTCTCAGGCATCCGCCTCGATCTCAACTCCGCGTACCAGTCGATCGCATCTTCTAGCTGGTCTCCGAACAGCTCCCAAATCTGCTACTATCCCTTCTCAGCAGCAGCGTTATGCTATGGAGAGTGGTCGGACACCTGCCAACCGAGGTGCCGATCGCGTCCCTCAGACTGCCACGGGAGCTGGATTCCCGCAGCACGCGTTCTCTTCGAATAACGGCATGAACGCCTATCAACTTCAGCAGCAGCAGCAGCACATCCAGCGCCAAATCCGCGAACGGGAACGGGAATGGGAACTTGAACGAGAGCGGGAACGGGAACGCTTGATGTACACAATGCCGGAGCAAGTGCTTGCGCCACCAATGATTGATATCGGTGGGGGCGAGTTGATGGACGAAAATCTCTACGCAGAGCTCATGTCCACCAATCTATTCCTTGCCGCACAACAACAGCGCCTTCAGCAGCAGCTCATCAGCGTTACCGCGGCAGCCCAGCAGTTTCAGGGCCTTAACTTGGGGATGTCCCATCAACAACAGCAGATGCAGTCGCTTATGCCCGGCATTGGGTACTACCAGCAACAGCTCCAGCAGGGTATGCAGCCAATTGTGCAACCTGTTCCCAGTCAGCCTGGCCTGTTTTCTGTTTACAACCCTATGACTGGCCAGCAGAGCTACATAATGGACAACAGCGCTCAGGAAGACCATTTGGCATACCATGGAAACCAGTCAGACACGCAAGTTCCTCAATTTCGTGCGGAGATCTCCCCACCTGCCGACTCCACCCCGTCGCAGATGTATTCCCCTCAGCCAGTCTCTCCTCCCAGTGGTACTCCTTCCCCGCCCATTGAGTCTTCTGCCAGTGCTTTCCGTCGCAACCACCGGAAGTCTCCATCATTCAACCCTACGCTGAAGACAACTATCGATACGAACAAGGCCAATGCTGGTGCTGGTACTGGCGCTCGATCGGCTGTTTTCCCTCCTACCCCAGCCACTGGAACCTTTGGGCCCGGTCAGGGTCGTGCTGGTGAGCATCCGATCCGCCAGCCTCGTGGCCCTCCCTCGCTTGAGGATCTCGTGGCCAAGCCCACTTCTCAGCACGAAGGAAGTAAAAACTTTGCTACCCGCCAGCGCCGCCGTGCTGTTCACAACCTCGTTCGCGCTGGGATTGAGCGCCGTGGGGATACGCGCAGCTATGGGTACAACAGCAGTGGGGGCACCAACACTCCGGCAAGTGAGAAGGAGTTTACCTTTTCAGATGGCGATGACGCCACCGTACGCAGCGGTAGCCTTTCCAGTAAGCCCAGCTTGGGCAGCCTGCGCGCCGCTGCCAACGGTGCAATCGGCTCTGAGCGCAAGGAAAAGACCAGCCGGAGGTCTCCGGAGAGTCCTTTCCTTAATGTCACGCCTACAAGCGAAGATGGATACTTCTCTGCCAAGTTTGCAGAGGCTCGCGCGGAGCAGGATTATTCGCCAACGAGCACTTCGGGCACTTCGTCTCCATCCGTGGCATCTGTGGTCGCGGGTCAAGGGCAAGCCACTCAAGCACCGGAGCGTCGCAAGACGCCAATGCTTGTGTTGTCGAGCGCTGAGAAGCGTAAGACCCCTCTCATGTAATGCCCAACATCATGTGACAGCGACGTATGACCTTTTCTATTCTTTCTTTGTTCGATGGGCCGTCTTTATTTTTATCTCTTAGTGCCCCTTCCATTTTTGAAAGCCCACTGGCTCTTGACATTCATTCTGTTATTCTCTTATCACTGGCAACTTCGATCTTGTCAGCCTTGATGCGCGCTTGATGAAAGACTGAGATCAGTCTACAACGACTTATTTTCTACCCCCTTCTCTTCTCTTCCCCTTTCACACTTTCCTTACCGGGGTGTTTACTTTTCCTGGTTCCTTTTTTGACACCGTTGTTCTGGACATCTGCGTCATGTCGTTGACGGAACCTAATCTATCTTTATTCCCATGTCGATGCCCGCGAGGTTTGACATTGGAACGAAAGAGACGGACGTGGCCGTCCTTCGTCTCCATCTGTTCCCTCTTTTTTTTTTTCTTAATCGGGCTTCTGTTTTGCACATCCGGTTATGTGCAAGCACTCGACAAGACTCGGTCCTTGTAGTATTAGGGCCTATTACTGCAATAAACTAGCTTTACAGCTGACGGATGACTGTTTTCTTGGTAGTTCCTACGTATGCGCGCTATTGTAAACCTATGACAGGATTGATTCAGTCACAAATTCGTAGTGCACATCTTCAAGGCTACTCCCAAGGCTCTACTTCACGGTGCCCTGGGGCCTGAGCAATGTTACTAAGTGAACCTACTAACTCACTAGGGAGACTGGTGCCATTTCCAGGTAGGCAACCCGTGGCATTTCTATATCCATTCATTTGAATGTTATCTACTACTACTTAATACCTTGTAGGTACTGGCTTCCAAGGTTCAATGTTAGTATCTGATCCATGCACATGTGCATGTGCGGTCTGTAGGTACCCGTTGCTATCTGTAGTATAAAGATTTGAACATACGTTTGAATATGTCCACATGTATAGATGTAGTATGTATGTACTGTACCCCCATCATTCCAAAGTTCTTCAGTCATGAGTTTCAATGTTGGCTTTCATACCAGATTTCGTCACGGGTTCCGCGATTCGGCAACATGATATCATAGCCCTGGAGGGCCATATACCTGCAAGATTGGAAAAGAATTTCATTAATCCCAAGGTCTACATGGAGTACCCAGTAGGTACAAAGCAGGATTTGACTAGGCCAATGGTAGATAGACCTGTTCCAGAACGAAACCCACGTGGAACGAACACTCTAGTACCCGTGGTAGCAACACAACCTTGAAGTAAGCATGGCAAGTCTGTAGTGACCATACCAGATCCATTTTTTCGGATGACAGATGCATCATGCAAGATCAATTACCAGATGAGGCAGGGGTCTCGGCTCAAATATCGGTAAACTTAGGACTTAAATGTCCCAAGGTTTCTTTCAAGCTTCTAAGGGTGGGGTGTGATATGATATAGATATCTGAAGGGGAATGTAGTATTATTACTCCCTCCTGCCAGTATTGAAGACTCGTTCAATGTTGGTACATAGAATTTTCAATCTTCTTTTTCCGGAACCTTGGAAATAATCCGTGGACGTATTTGATATTTGGCTCGTCGTTATGGCAACAAGAGTTAATTGTGTTTTGTGTTCCTTGGAAAGCCTCCTTTGACTCCAGGGCTCTTACCAAAAGGAATTAAAAATATAGGCTCTGAGGCGTTGGAAGCCCAAGACCTTGTCACTGGGACGCGCAACCTTAACCTCCCGAGTTTCCCGGAGCTTCCAAGGTTGCGCTAGGGTGACTGACATGGGAAGTCAAACTCCTCATCTCGATATACAAAGTCAAAGACTCCTTCCCAATGGAGAATAATATTTCCCTCGAATCTAACATTTGAAATTTACATAGTTTCTGGTTTCCCAACCACTGCCCACCCTCAGATCTACCCCAAATGGTGCCTTGAATATCCTAGAGAAGAAGAATTAGGTTCTCCTACACCTGTGACCCAAAATTAGAATCAAAAGGCTACCTAGATATGAAGATCTAGAACCATTCGGAGAACTCAAAGTGGCTAATACTGAAACGATCGGTATGAAATGGAGCTTAGGCTTTGGCAAACGTGATTCCAAAATTCTCTTTTATGGAGATCAACCTCTTCGCTTACATTCCTTGCAGACCTTGGCTCACCAACTCGAGAGGGGTTTGATAAAAAAAAAAACGATAGGGAATTCTCAGTCAATGTGACCTGGGATGTGACCTGGGTACTAGTGCTTGCTTTGGTGAATGTGAATGCGAATGCGACCCACCACCTGGGCACAGTCCTGTTCTTTCCATAGACATCATACCTGGGCTATGTATGTCGTTCGGGGATAGTCAACGAACATTGTGTTTATGGGTTCCTATAGATCGTGTCCGAATGAGGGAACAGTCATGAACGAATCCATGGTTCGTGCCCAAGTTTAAATAGAGTTTTAGAGATCTAGAATCATCCATGGAGGTACCGGACTCCGGAAGGAAAGATCAAAACATCCGTTTCCATACATGGTTGTAAAGCAACATTTGAACGGTGACAATTTCGCTTTCACTATCATTGATCGTTCATGAAAGGTTTTCTTTTTTTTTTTGCTTTATCTTATCTTCAGATACAATCCTGCTTGTTGAGGAAACTTTGGAACCTGGCGTGGGATATCGCCTGTCACTATGGATTACGTCTGGGCAGATTAGACCTTGGACCCTGCATCTCTCAGTGTCGGGCATACAGCCGCAGTATGGGGGCTGTGTGCGACCTAAAAGGAGGGGAGAGGAGGAAAGGGTGACACGAAGAAAGTGGTGCGGTCGCATTTCTGTAGCAAATCCCGGATCTGAGGGGTGGAAAAAGGGGGGTGGAGCTGCTGCTTTTCGACACGTACCTAGCACATATGCAAAACCTTTGGAAGTGGATCGATTGCTTGATCAGAATATGATATCTACACTTAAATCTATAGAGAAAATCTAGAATGGTAATAAATCCCCTTTGCCTTGCGTTTCGGCATGCCGATCTAGGTAGAACTTCGGGCATTCGGCTTGGGATCGTCCAGATAACATACAGTATAAGTTATGCAGCGATCGTTGATCCGTGGATCTTGTGGGCCCGTTGAGCACCGGAGGGATGGAGGGCCGCGGAAGCTTATTCGTTTACCAGTGCTTCTTGCAGGTGCCAGTTTTTTCTCAGCTTTTTTTTTTTTAAAAAAAAAGAGTCTTGGGGCCTGCCAAGGAAACTGGCCCTTGCCGGATTGTGGGTGATACAATGACGCGCAGGAAGACTCTGCCTTTGAGACACATATTGACATCATTATGGACACGCGCGTGGCTCTTGCAATTCAAGGCATGTGATATACAAGTATCATCTGTACTATATGAGAGATCCCACATAAGTGCACGTAGGTCATAGATCAGTCATTGGAGAGTGGCGGGAGTAGAACAAGTAGAACAGCTGGTTCCCACATTTGATGTGGTTACCTGTGGCCGTGAAAGTTTCTTATTTGTTTCGCCAATTATAAAATCTTTTCTCAAGGCCCAAGAACCAATCGGAGATGGGGTCCCCCGCATGATTTTCCTTCCCTTCCGATGGTGTACATTGGATTGTACTCCGTCTAGCCTTGGAAAACCAGTGGATCATGTTGATCAGGAATAGGAACAGTGCATATATCCAATGTGCTATATGCACAACAAGGGGTTGATCTAGACAAATTCACCTTGAAATTAACCCCTCTATAGTACATGGGTATGCATTCAGAGTATACGTGTCCTTGATGGCTATCTATAGATCACGGCAGATGCCCACATTGCGCGTCTGCTTTCCCTAGCGTCAACTCCACTGTGCTTAGTACAGATATCTTGCGTTTCTGCTTTGGAAAGAAAAGTCTCTTGTCCACTATGCATTAGTAATCTTGCTGTCAGTATCCTTCCTAGAGACCAGATAAAAACTTTTTTGTCTATTTTGTTTTCTCTGCTCAGATCGCCTGCTTGTGGCACTTGATGGCTTCCGTGGAACCGGAATGTACTGTTAATCGGACTTTACCAATGAGCTTGGGATTTACCTTGCTGATGACCCGCTTCCATGAATCAGTTACAATTCCAATCGGGGAAGTTTCAATAAGCTACAATCCAGAGTGTCGATCTTAGTCTTCTCGGAGCATACCCTGCTAAAGAGAGACGTTTGAGAGTGCTGAATTAAGCAAGACCCATGCGTTAGACGGTGTTTCGTGACCTTTATTTTGTTTTATATTTTAACCCTCTCTCTCAAGAGACCCAGCCCCCGGTGATTTATCATTGTGGCGAAATAAAATATAAAATATAAAAAAATAATGTATTTTACAAAAATTCAAATCAACATTGGGAAACCGGCTCGGAAGGGCATTCCCTCCTTTCCCCTAGTACATGTATTGCTGGGAAGCTCTTCATGTGGATCGTACTCTTCTTTCCCATGACATTGTCCCCTTTAGGCTGTCTCTAAGCACATAAAAAATATCGTGGAATATCTGTCTTTCAACTTTTATACCCAGTCGTTGACCTTCCCTATCCACTTCAATTCTTACAATGTCATCATTACCTTGATTACAAGTTATCCCATCTTGCATGATGCTGTCAGTGACATAATATCATTCCTGGCAGCAGCCAATCTCTCCCAACAGTGCCTGCTGTCCCTGTTGAAACTGTTGCAAACCCGGGATAACGCCCTTGGTGGCCACCAGTCATTTATACCTGGCCTGCGTCAGAAACAAGGCCATAAGAGCTCTTATCCAGTCAACTATCAATAGAAGCTCATGTGGGTTTACCCGGGAGATCATTTCCTTCTTCTACCTAGGTATAGGATCTCACATAGCTGACCTGTTGCCAGGTTACAGTACTCGACCACCTTATACGATTACACCAATATTTGAAAAGACCCGAGATACAGTCCATTCGGGGCTAGTTGGAGCTGAAGCGGATTGTTTCATTTAGAGAACAAGAGAAAAAAAAACAAAACCAAACAAAGATCCTTTACCGAGAAAAGAAAATGGCGGGAGGCTACTTTGAACTTTCGGTCTCCCGCCAGTCCAGTGTGTCTGATACCGCGGCGGGACCAAACAAAGTATCTCCAGTGTCACGTCAAGCATCATTGCCCCTGCTGAATGATGATTTCCAGGGCCAGCAGACGTATAGGGATGGGAAACCAAATGATGTTGGCGCACAGGGCAATCATTGGAATGCCAGCCTGCCCAAACCCACCAATCGTGTCAAGTTCACGGAGGATGAAGCAGAGCTAAGGGAACCCACTGCTGAAGCTATGGGCAGATCCCGGGACTGCAGGGGCACTGTGCTCCCACAAAAGCCCTTACCCACTGCCAACATTCCTTTTATCCAGGCAACGGGGCTCGTGGACCCTCCTGCCTTGCCCTCACTGGTCGGAGGAAGCCCTAGCGCGCCAGCCGATGTCACCGACTTGAAGATCAGCATCCAGACAAGCTCATCGGGACCCGGAACGACAGAGGAGCTTGGACTTGGTACAAATGACAAAGGGCGGGCAATATCCCAGGCAAAAGACAAGGCTCAACGGCTGGTATCTCTTTTAAGTCGCCCCCAAAAATCTCCGAAGCCAAGCTGTCGCTCTAGTATAGCGTCTTCAATATCATCTACTCCGACTGAAGCGGCGTTTCATACTGAATATGGGGATGAGATTCCTATGATCAGCTTTTCTGAAAAACAACAACTATTCGAAGACTTAACTGACGAGGATGAATACACACCGCGCAAAGCTGAAGCTTTTCACCTCGTGCGACAAATGTCCCGTCGAGAGTATCCTTTCTTGCCTCGCATTCACCCACCACCACCTGGCCCTCTCTCTGGCCAGGTTACCCCCAGTGAGGGTAGTAATTCGGATACTTATGTTGAACGGCCGACACATTACCGTGGAGGCATTCTATCCTCCATCCTGAAGCTGTACGACCAGCAGACTGGCGGACCGCCAGATTACAACCCAAACCGCAGCCGATGGGGCCGTTCCAGAAGAGGGAGTTCCGTAGATTTCAGTGAACGTGGATTCTCTCCTGATCCTATCTGGAGACCTCACCGGCCAAGAAAATGGTATGAAAAGTCATCAACCCGATCGAGCAGCACTCTAGCCGGATCGGGATCATCACCAAAGAGCACCTCCCCGACTTCCACGCTGAAGCGCTCTCACAGCAGTGGCGCGGCCGTCGGTGGGGGACGACCATGGGCCCGGTCGAACCAGCTTGCAGATGAGATCCGCATCACGGTGCATATTGCGGAGACTCTCTCCCGCCAGCGATATCTCATCCGCCTTTGTCGTTCTCTAATGAAGTATGGTGCTCCGACTCACCGTCTTGAGGAGTATATGCGGATGACTTCCCGTGTGCTGGAGATTGATGGTCAATTTTTGTATTTCCCCGGTTGCATGATCATTTCCTTTGATGATGCCACCACGCATACGACGGAGGTCAAAGTTGTCCGGTCCAGTCAAGGAATTGATCTTGGCCGACTGGCCGATGTACACGAGATCTACAAAGAAGTGATTCACGACGTCATCGGAGTGGAGGAGGCTATTCAACGTCTGGATGATACGACGACAAAACCTAACAAATACCACCTATTCCTACAAATCTTCGCTCATGGCTGCGCGAGTGCATGTGTGGGACCTTTTGCCTTTAACGCACGGCCAATAGATATGCCGATCGCCTTCTTACTAGGCTGTCTTCTCGGTATCCTGCAGCTGATTCTCTCGCCTAAATCAAGCCTCTACTCCAATGTCTTTGAAATCTCAGCTGCAGTGCTGACTTCCTTCCTGGCTCGCGCCTTTGGAAGCATCCGGTACCAAGGTGATCCCCTTTTCTGTTTCTCTGCACTGGCACAATCATCCATTGCCCTTATCTTGCCGGGGTATACGGTCCTTTGCGCCAGTCTGGAGCTCCAATCAGGCAGCATCATCGCCGGTTCCATCCGCATGGTGTATGCCATCATCTACTCTCTGTTCCTGGGGTTCGGAATCACCATCGGCACAGCGGTATACGGCCTCCTAGATGCCCAGGCCTCAACTGAATATACATGCCCGGCCAGCCCTATCAACAATGAATACCTTCAGCGCTTCCCATTCGTGATCCTCTTCACCGTCTGTCTGGCCATAGTGAACCAGTCCAAATTGAAACAGATCCCTATCATGATCGTGATCTCTTTCGCTGGCTACGTGGTCAGCTTTTTCAGCGGAAAGCGCTTCTACTCCAACACCCAGGTCTCCAATGCCCTTGGCGCCTTTGTCATCGGACTCTTGGGCAACTTTTACAGCCGGCTCCGCCATGGCCTCGCTGCTGCTGCAATGTTGCCTGCTATCTGGGTCCTCGTGCCCTCTGGTCTGGCAGCTAGCGGATCGTTGATTTCGGGAATCACGTCCGCGGAAGAGATGACTCGGACCCGATATGCTGTCGTGAGTAACGGGACACAGGGCTTTGTCGATGCCGCGAAGAACATGTCGGCTTCTGAGGCTCGAGATCAGAGCTATGGTGTTGCATTCGATATTGGATATGGTATGGTTCAGGTTGCTATTGGGACAACCGTGGGCCTTTTCTTGGCTGCTCTTGTGGTGTACCCGCTGGGCAAGAAGCGCAGCGGATTGTTCAGCTTTTGATGCAAATCTATGTTATTTCATCTGTGACTTGTCTAATCTATTTCTGAGTTACTTTTTCTATCTTTTTTTTCTTTTACTTTCGTTTGGTATCTTTCTTTCTCCGTCTGTCTTTTCTCCACCTTCTTATTCGACCTTGACCAACTTTTTCCTCTGTTCCTCCAATGTCTCTCGATTAAATCGAGTTCTCTTGAGCTTTTCGCTTCTGTAAATCTCCCGATCAACTCACAATCAGTTGGAAGTTGTATTGCGCTTGAACTTTTAACAGCGACTTAGGTGCTGGAGCTTGCTTGTTGCTTCTGTATCTCCCTCCCCTTCCATCGATTGTCTCCAGTTCATCAATTTCCAAGGCTTCCATTTGTGTAAATCGAACTTTGCACGCGAGGCAGAAGTTGGTGAAGCCTCTTACGCGCAACGCAAAATCTCATTTATTATCCTCGCTCTCGTCCTGCGCCTCTGACTTTTTCATATCTGTTCTCTTCTTCTCTTCTTTTGTCTTCATCTTTCGTCTCTCAACCAACAAAATCTGTATCGATGCCTTATCCAGATTGCAAGTCTGGACATACATAGAAGATACGATTCCACGAGCCACGACCAAAAATATCGAGGTCCCCTTTCTGTACGTATGAATCTTATCTGTTTTACTCTGTATTCTTATATTTTGTCAAGTAATTGAAGGGTTCGGGAGGTATACTACTATGTCACTCTATCAGAGTCGTTCTGGTCCAGTACTAAGCAGAGCTTGTGCAGTACTAGTGGATCCAAGTCTTTCTGTTCAAATGTCTCTTCAATGTTAGCTTCAAATGTTGTGGGTTTCAAATGTTATGAGTCTACATTCAATTTAATCACCAATTCATATATGGATCAACCTTGGACAATGTTTCCTTCAATCACTGACATTCATTGGCTGCTTTACTAACAGCACCTCCTCCCTATGGGAAAGAATATAGATACAACATTCGCGAGTTGTAATAACAGAAAAAAACAGAGAGAGAACATAAGATCGAATCCCTCGCGCAGTATATTAGACAAGACAACTCCCGGAACTCCGTGCTTGTGGAACGAATTGCAATGCAAACCCATCAACCCAGTCCCCTCTCGCAATGTGCACCCATGCCCCTCGCCTCCGACTGGCGGAGAAAAGGAGACAAGTTCGTCAAGATCATGATAACAGTCAATCAGTTCCTTCCGTAGGAAAGTCCCGACTTAAAGCCCAGGAAAGAAAGTAAATAAGGAATCGCTGGAAAAGACATTCAAGTTGAAATGAGATATTCGCTTATTACCGTCTCTCGACACGACTTAACGCCCCAAGGATGAGGCCTAAGTCTTCCCGCGGACGTTCCCTGCGTGGTTTTTGTGGACTGTCTTCGCCACTATCGCCTTCTATGTCAATGCGTTTCCGGGTATTCAGTGCATCGCGCTCTTCTAGCCGCTCTGCACAGATCCGAAGTATGCGTGACGAGACGGCGTCAGCGCTGGAACTGTATAACTCGATATCATGAATTCCAGCAGCAAAGGCGTCCAATGTAGGGGCGAGGCCGGTTGTGATTTGGGAAAGGCGCGCTGAGACGGTAGATGGGGACATAGGTGGTCGGATTGTAGATGGAGGAGAAGTGTCGTCGCTTGGTTGTGAGTCGGCTGTTGTTGGGAGGGATGGTTGAAGAGATGCGAGGATGGCTTGTTGAGAGGGGTCGAGGAGAGAGGGATCGATTTGGGGGAGTGATTTCTTTGGATAACGTTTGGAGGCTTGGGGAGAATCTGGTGAGGACGTAGTGACGGGTGGAATTGGTGATTGCTTAAGAAGCGCGTTCAGAGCATGTCGCTCTTTTTGAAGCCTGTCAAATAATGTTAGCACAACTTCATCGATTGGAGATACTGGATAGCCATACTTCTGTATTTGTTCCTCCAATTCTTTGATCTTGTCTGAATTTTGCACGTTCCTTGGATTCGGCTTCTTCACTACCACGGTAGGCGGATTCACGTCTTCGCGGTCAAACCAGTTCGAAAGCTCTGAATTATTGGAAAAGTCTTTCAACAGCTCATCTTGGATCGCACGGGCTAAACATTGTCAGTTCAAATCCATTTCCCTTGCGATTATAGGGAAAATCACCTGCTAGGCGTGAGCTCTGATCTTCCGAGCGTGAGCCTGAAGGCTTATCCCCAAGCGCTCGTGTTGCACACCAAATCAGAAGCTGCCGCATTCGACGAGGCTCTAGGAGACCTTCCGCAATATGTTTATAGAAATCAGCTGTAGCGACTTCTCGATGGGGCAATGCTATATAAGGAAAATCGCAAGTTAGCTCATCGGTGCCACAATGCCCATGTTAGGTATCCCTACCGATGGATGCTCCCGAGTCAATCAGTGAGCTGGCTCGTCGCCCCCGCATGCCCAGACTGCTTCGCCGTGATCCCTTCGAGGATTTCGTCCCCCGTAGGTCTTTATTTCGCTGAATAACCGGAGTATCAGCTAGTGGCAAAGCCACTTTTGTAACTGCTGAAGGTTCTGGTGATTTGAATCCATTGGTATCGCTAGTCCTAGCACGAGCTGGTCGTCCTCTCTTCCCCTTTTTCTCTGGAGGCGCATTTGCGGGTGACTCGTCATTCCTTAATGAGCGTTTCGAGTGCACTGGCGGTTCTGGCTCTGAAATAACTGCCGGGACAGCCTTCCTCTTCCCTCGCCTCGTTGGAAGCTCTGTAATTTTCGCATTTGCTGAAACTGCATTGGCATTCGTATTCGCAGCCTCGGCCGGCCGTTTCTTGGGTGGACGGCCTCTTCGCGGCGTAGATTTCGAGGGCGCATTCTCGATGTCTGGCTGGTGATTTTCTGATTCTGGTTCAACGGACGGTCTGTTCCTCTTAGTTGGTTTCCTTGAAAAACGAAATCCTTCTGAATCTTCCTCGTAATCTGCAAAACAGCGCGTAGTTAGTAATTTGGCACTCTTCTCCCCTTCTTCATTCTCGCCCAGTACAACCAAGCGCCCACCCTTCCCATAGCTGAGTAAAAACTCACCCGCTTTCCGTTTCGCCTCCGTGCTGCTTGTAATCTCCTCCAGGTCTTGTTTTGAGTTGCTCAGCCGTGTCGGTGGCCGACCTCGGCCAGAACGCGACTGCGCCTGTGTCGCAGCCATTGCAATCGTCCCCAGCGGTTCGCGGAGCTTTACTTTCGTGATAGGAGCCGCTAAGACCGCGATGGTCATGTCAAGAGGGCGTCACGCGGGATCGTCGGTTGAGGGGGTTTAGAGGGTCTTCAAACCCCTCGGTCGGTGAAATAAAACCACCGGTTTCGCTGTTTCGCGTTTCCAAGATCTTTCTGTCGGTGGAAATGCCTTGGCTATTGAAAAATTGAATACCCCCTGGTGGAATGTGGTCGCGACCAGGTCTTGTCGAGAGTCGTTCGCGTCGGTGTTTTCAAGTTAGGCTGATCTCTCGGTCGCGGTCCCCTCAATTGGGGTTTTGTTGGCGCATGAATTTTGAGAAGTGAGTGTTCCCAGGTGAAGTCGAATGCGCAGGGTGTTGAGAGAGTCTTAATGGTGCCCGCGATGAAGTGGCTGCGGGCGGCAAGGAAGCGCAGAAGGTGGGTTGGAGGGATTCGGGCACGCGGTTGTTTTGGTCGGGGCGCGTGGGGCGCTAGTCCACTTTGGGAATCCCCTCAGAAAACGGTCCAACTCTAACAAAAGACAGCTTTTACTAGTGGTAAGTGCATAGTATAACTACTAGTATGCTCTTTTAGAATACACTAACATTCATGAAAATCTGTTAAATAATAGTTCACTACAGAAAAATACCCTCTCAAGGAAAACAACGGTTATTATAGCATAGCTTGCTACTATGATCATGCAATGTGATTGTTGAAAAGCTGCCAGATTCTTCAATTCCCCTTAACACAAAGGAATTCAACTGCGCAGATGCCACTAGATGAGATAACGCTATGACTAAAACCCACCAACGCCGTGAAAATTTGAAACATAGGCAAATCTCAATATTTTCAAATGAAGAATGAAAACGAAAAACCCAGATTATGCGAACGGGAGTTGAGCCCGTCCATACTTTGTTATACAGATGAAATCAACAATAATTCAAAGATCATTGCATGGCAGCATCCACTTTTGACACGTCGCTCGGAGGTGGAGGTGCAACACTGCCTTCGATGCGACGCTTGGCTTCTTGCATATCCTCGGCAGTGATGTTCTCTGCTTTCTTGGGCATATCGGGTTCATGCTGGGGGACGTCAGGGCTGTGACCAACAGACATACCAACTCGAATCTATTTCAATAAAGTTAGTATCAGATAGTTGAAGATTATAATCATGCGTCACGGCATCTTACCAGTGTCTCTAGTGGCCCCTTAGAGTTGTCTGTGAGATCACTGTCAAAGTTGATTACCCCCTCCTCAAACAAAACCAACAATGTGCTACCACCGAATTTAAAGTATCCAAGCTCGTCCGCTCGGGAAACCCTTTCACCAGCTTTGCGGGTGATAACTGTGCTGCCCACCATCATGGCTCCGACACAGACAACCATGACGCGCCCATGAGCGACAGAGTCAATGGGGACCAGCACTCGGACGTTCTCTCCATAGACATCCAAGGCGGAGCGAATAGCCATCGGATTTACCGTATAGTACTCACCCTCGATGGTCTTGGGTTCGCCCATTGTTCCATCGACGGGCACATGGAAACGATGGTAATCCTGAGGAGCCAATCGGAAAACTCCGAGCGCACCGTTGCGGTACCGTGCGGCGTCTTCGGGGTAGGCATTGCCCAGTAACCTCTCGACAGAGAACTCTCGACCTTTGACCCAGATACTAGTTGCTTCGTCCATGCGATCATACACCACGGAGCGGCAGTCGGCAGGGGACACCACAATCCTCGGGTCCTCTGGGGCTGAGCACGGTCGGGCCTCGGGCTTCAATGCACGATAGAAAAACTCGTTGAAGGACTTGAATTTCTCAAGAGGCATCAGTACCTCTGACATATCCAGCTGGTGGAAATTGATGAAATCCCGAATCTGGCTGACAGACGCCGGGTCATCATACTTTCGGCCCTGTTTGATACTAAGAGAACGTAGAACACGACGAACTGGATGACATATTTGTTAGAATGCAGAAAAAAGGGGGACGGAGACCCCAGGTAGAAACTTACTTCTTTTCTTTTCCATGTCCTTACTCTTGAGTCCCTTGTAAAGAAGGCGAATTCCAAGGCGGACATAGACACTCATGCGCTCCTCGTTGATCTGCCCAGTGATTCGGTCCTGAACGAGAATATTGGCCGAGTTGGCACCTAATTTGTAGCCACCGTAGGAAATCTTGGTGATGACCTTGGAGTACCATTTGCGCTGCGCCTGGCTCGAGGTCACAAACCCACCCATGACAAGGTTGTCGACTTGCCGCCAGTCACGGCTGGCACACGTCGCAATATGAGTAATGATATCCGCATCTGATCGCTTGCCAAGGCGAGGCTGGTGGCAGAGTGGGCATTCGCGGATTTCCACCACGTGCTCTTCGCCGCGTTCATCTGCCAGATCATCAGGTCGTAGGAATTCGTCGTTCGAGCTGGGCTGATCCGCCTCGTCACTGGATATGGTGGGCACCGCTGTTGAATCCGGGTTAGCATGATGTGGCTTGGCGTTGCTGGGTTCTAAGGCGAGCTCATCGCCGCTAGATGGCTCCTCACTATCTTGACTGCCGACGGACGACGGTGCAAGTGCTGGTCTCCTGGGATCGGGCGTAGCATTCTTCTTCTGCAATGCTTGTAGTGTATCTTCAAGGCACATCACGGCCTGGTCAAAGGTCAAGTCGACTGTCGCACTGGTTGCGTTATCCTCGCTGAAACGCTCGAAGAAGGCGTCAATTGTCGATTCCTTCAATGTTGATCCGAGGGTGTCAAGCATGGTTGTCATTTCAATTTTGTCAATGCGGCCGCTGTCATCGGCATCATATTGCTTCAACATAAGTCTCCAGAATTGTTGTCGAAGTGCACTGTACGGTAGATATTTGGCTTTCACAAATAGTTCAGGTGTGTGCTTGTCTTCCCATCGATCTCGATTCTTGAGAGTAAGAGGGATAGTGTAGCAACGCAAACCTTCCTCATCGGCTGGTGGAATATGCTCGGGCTCCACAGTAACTGTAGCTGTAGATGGGATGGTTGGTACCTGTAGAGAGGAGCTACTGTCTGTCAAATTACCGGATTCCTCTGGCACGGACGTGGGAGGGGCCCTATTGACAAGTTCAAGTACAGAGTTGCTTGAAAGAGAGGTGGCCGAGTTACGCGACCTCAAAGTGGGCCGCGACATCTTAGAGAGACTTGATGAGGATGGCGATGAGCTAAGGGGAAGCCGAGATTTAGACCTTGCGGGTGGAATAACCTCTTCTTCAAACTCAACGAAGTGATATAGACCCGTTTCAGGGTCTGCCTCCGGAGCAGATTGAATTAGAGTCATCAGAGGGAACCCTGCAGATGCAACAAAATCGTTGCCTGAGAACTTGTCCCTGTCCATTACCGTAAAACCAATCGTATAGGTCCTTTCATGTCGCATTACCTGGAAGACCATCTTCTCATGATATACCGGGTTTAGGTTATGACGAATGACAGGAGTCCTCAGGGTCTTTCTCCCAAGGGAGGTCACAACAAAAGGATCCATATCGAAAGACGTCCGAGTCACTGCAGGATAACAAATCAACCATCTATCATGATAGAACAAGGACAGTGAATCATACCATTTTTTTCAGGGGGAAGATCCGTCACTTTGACGATCTCCATAAAGACAATACCCTGCACGCCACTCCCTGCGCCCGAGAATTGATAGGCACGAGCAGCAAGAGACTTCCTTCTTAAACGAGCTAGTCTGAGTCTTCGGCGGCGTTTTTCAACAACCTCGGGCTTTGAAGGGTCGTCTGTCTCATCAGATGTCTCGATATCACGGTCCATGTCATCGAGGTCGACTGTCGGAATCTCGACGGGTTCATCGTCATCACCAGAGGACACGGCCTTCTTGAATTTGCGATACGTATCTGAGGGTGAAGCGGTGGGACTTGCCGAGTCTGAGAGTGAGAATTGCAGCAAGATCTCGCCAGACACATTGCTGTTTTTCTTGTTCTTCTTTTTGCGGTTCGATACCCGTTTCGACTTGAGAGTGTACCATGTTGCCTACGCATATCAAGGTCAACCATTGCATCCTGAAGCCGGAATTTCCTGATTGTAGACTGCGCGGTGTTCCCTACCTGTTTCTTGATCTCCCCATCGACAAAAATATCCTCCAGTGCAATATCAAACTCGCCCAGGTAGTCCTTGCCAAACCGGTCATGATCCCAACAGATGCATTCCAACAGTGGGACCCCATTGAGGGGCATTTCAAACGATACGTTCCATTCGGGGTTTAGCGATTTGAATATGGTCGGCGTCGACTGCCTTCCGTCTCCCAATGTCACCACCAAGTACTGCAAATCTCGCATATTAGCGAACTAGGCCCATAGATTTCATGAACCAGAGGATATGGGATGACGGCACTTACAGGGTCGCTTGTACCACCTCGATCCTTTGCTGCCAGATTCCGTCCCTATTTCAACACAACAAGGCATAGGTTAGCTCATTCTGCCGTTTCCTTCGCGTTTCTTTTCCTGTTTCTTTTGTGGGGTGACAAGGCATCTCGGATTGGCGGCTGCCTAGCAGTGGAAGGGGGGTTGGATTGATTTAGCCTTACCCGAATGACGGTGACTTTAAGTAATAAAGGTTTCGCTTCAGCTGGTATGCGCATGGGACTTGTGCTCCTGCTCTGACCGGGTGTTGAGCTGGCACTTCTCGTGGATAGATGCGAGCTCAGTCGCTGCGGGAGCGGTAAGCGGACCATGACGGGATGCGTATGCAGGCCGAAGCGGCGATGGAGGAAGGTTGAAGGGAAAAGTGAAAAGGGAAAAGAAAGATGATTTCCAAAATGGAGGTTTTGGCCCTAGTCAATTTGTCCAGTTGTGGTAAGCGTGGCTCAATTAAAGCATCCCCCAGAGTACCCGATCCGCGTACGATCTGCTTCGGGTCGATCCCAGCACAAAAGCCAAGAGTCCAAGACACGGTACCACAAAAAGTCCCAAACAAACACAATAGGGAAGGGGATGTTCACTGGGCAATTGGAATACGTGGCCTTGGTTTTGGAAGCGAGACAATTTAGTTAAATTTCACAAGAATTGGGGGAAGTGGAAAGTCAAAAAGAGGTTAAAGGCCCGGGAGCGAAAAGGAGGTTGTCGTGGGGCTTTGTTGGGGAGGTTCTTGGTCTCGACGTCAGTTTCCCGTTCTCCACTTTATCTCCACCACAACAGGGAAAAAAAAAAGAGGATGCCTTGTCTAGACACTAGCCTTGAGTCTTGACAACTCATTACCAATGATACTGTGGATTTTACTTATTGACCTCCAAAATTGTCATGGTTACTCCGTACAGACCTACCTGTTCTTCAAAGTCTTACAATGCAAGGTGGTCCCCCCCACCTTGGAATGCGGTACCCCGCACCATTTCATTTCACCATGCGCACCATATCAAGTATAGAAAGCGATTGAAGTCAGATTCATGTTGCTTTGGACTAGATGCTTCTGTCTAGACATGCATTCCGATCATTCCGGGATTTTAAACCCTATTTTAAAGGTATAAGGCAAATATATTACTATTTGATGTTCTATACGAGTTGGAAAACACAGATTCTTCAATGAGTAGCCAACATTGGACAAATCAAAGTAACCCTTGATAATTATAGTGAAAGGCGATTCAAAAGTAACAGTTGATCTCTAACCCGAGGTCCTCATATGCCAGCCAAACGGTAATATCGAGAAGACTATCGGACCTCGGCACTCCAGATGCCATTTGTATCTTTCAATGTTACGGAAAACAATGCGCATCTTACCTACTAGTATACTACTCCGGAGTCCGTACCCTGATAGTTGACGAAAAAGGGGGTTCAGGACCCACTACGCCCCCTCAACAATGCCAGGTGCCGGCACTTGCAATCATCGTCAATCTGGTGGTAACTTCAATCAATTGATTTTTCATTTTGCTATTCCAGAAATTCGTCTCTACGCTTGCTCGGGCCGTCATATATCTAAAAAGGTATACATACCACTACACATTTACACAGACTTCCTAGGTAGCCAGCTCGGAGGATTCAAGGGCGAGCCAATCGTCGTAATCACCAGGTCTAGTTAACCGGCATATAATAGGCGAAGAGCCGCAGTCAATATATGTGAAGTTTCCAACCAGGGAACGTGCACTTTCGCAGTTGACTCGAGTCGTAATTCACCTGGGCAGGCTTGGAGACTTGACCTTGCCGGGTACATAATTTCATTCTCAATGCAAAGAGCCATTGCATTCAGCTATTATGAAGGAAGTTGAAAGGAAGAAAGGGGTGACTGCTGTACTAGACAGGATCAAACTTGCTACAGAATCAGATTATCCAATGCTGAGATGCACGTGATATCCAGACTGATCAGCACTTGAGGTCAACTGGTGCACATGTAGTCTTGTCGCAACCTCAGTCTTCCTACACTACTAGTAGTGAATCCAGTGCTCTCCACTCTCAGGACTGATTGTATATATTTCAAATGTTTCCCTGAGTTACAGCTTACTAGTACTTGAGTGGTATATGCTCTGGTGTAATTGGACTTCCCGATGCTGATATAATCCCCCGGGAGCTCATCTCGTGGTCCACATTACACAAGTTCCCGCTTGGTTCGTTCATCGACCTCCGCATTTCCGCATTTCCCCCAAACCACAGCCAACGACTCCATTAACCCTCCCCCACCTGAATCCCCGCGCAATCGGACCTCCGAATCTTCAGATCAAATCAAATCGTACCACCTCAAGTCAGCTGACTCAGACCACCCTATCTTGACATCGACAAAACTGTTTCCCGCGCCCGAAGTCGCAGCTTGCCGCTTCCATATGGGCAGGTGCCATATGGGCAAAGTGACGATCCAATGAGCCTGACAAACCCACCTTCCTCCGGTTCGCTCTCTACCCGAACAAGAACGGTCGGCCAGAACTTGAAACGGAATTTGCAGGCCACAGTCGACGGTAATTATATCTTGGTTTCCTGCCTTGCCGCATGACCGCCTTCTGTGTCCACTCTCTTTTCTTCTAAAGTAGTCTTCATCTTGACCTGTTTCGCCATTTCTTCTGTTGCGTCATGTTTGGAAAAGGATTCCCGTTTCTAAATTCTGTTGGGGCTTTCTATCCTCGGGGTAATTTCTTTCCCCTTCAATGCTACCTGTCTTGTTTTTCTTGAGTCTCGTTTCGGTAACTGTCCTGGGAGAAAGAGAGGGAAATATGGCATACATCTCTGGTTTGCGATCTTCATTACACCGGCTGGGTACCTAAAGACGCGTGCATCCGTTGATTTGTCCCCCCGTTTCTTTACCTGAAAGACCGTTGCGATCCGTGCTTTGGCTGACCATCCATCTTCCCGCAGAAGCTCTCGACTCCCGAAAATCCACCGGTTATACCAGTAAAGTCCGAGTCCGAGATCGATATCATGTTGTGGGTTTCATCAGTAGTGGAACCTACGGGAGGGTCTACAAAGCTATTGGCAAAAATGGCAAGAAGGGAGAATTCGCGATCAAAAAGTATGGTTCCCCGGAAGAGTGCTTACCAGGCCATATCTGACAGCATGGAACTACTAGGTTCAAACCAGACAAAGAAGGCGAATCCATCCAATATACAGGCTTATCACAGTCCGCCATTCGGGAGATGTCTCTCTGTACCGAATTATCCCATGCAAATGTCGTCCAATTGGAAGAGATTATCCTAGAGGACAAATGCATCTTCATGGTGTTTGAATATACGGAGCATGACTTGCTACAGATCATTCACCACCATACCCAACCACAGCGTCACGCCATCCAAGCCAGTATGGTCCGATCAATATTGTTCCAGCTTCTCAACGGCCTGCTGTATCTGCACACCAATTGGGTCCTGCACCGAGATCTCAAACCGGCCAATATCCTCGTCACCTCTAGCGGCGCCATCCGCATTGGTGATTTAGGCCTGGCCCGACTTTTCTATAAACCCCTTAACTCCCTCTTCTCCGGTGACAAGGTCGTCGTTACAATATGGTACCGAGCACCCGAGCTCCTCCTTGGAAGCCGACACTATACCCCTGCCGTCGACATGTGGGCTGTGGGATGCATCTTTGCCGAGCTCCTATCCCTACGCCCGATATTCAAGGGCGAGGAAGCAAAAATGGACAGCAAAAAGACTGTTCCTTTCCAGCGCAACCAAATGATGAAAATCGTCGAGATTCTCGGTCTCCCCCGCAAGGAATCATGGCCTGGCCTCGTGTCCATGCCAGAGTATACCCAATTACAGTCCTTGGTACTACACCGACAACCTGCACATTTCCACCGCGGTCCTAACCTCGAGGGCTGGTACCAGAGCTGCCTGAAAAATGGCGGGTATTCTGCTACGTCGAGTGTTGGTACACCCGGTGCAGATGGATTCGACTTGTTGTCACGGATGTTAGAGTATGATCCCACAAAGCGCATTACCGCTCAAGAGGCACTCGAGCATCCTTATTTTTCAAATGGGGGCCCTATAAGCGGGAATTGCTTCGAAGGGATTGAGAGCAAGTATCCACATCGCCGGGTTACCCAGGACGACAATGATATCCGCACAGGAAGTCTTCCTGGTACCAAGCGTAGTGGCTTACCAGACGATTCATTGATGAGGGCTAGTAAGCGTCTCAAGGAATGATTTATGTTCGGGTTGCATCATTGGTCATTTTATACATATTTCATGAACTGTGTCTGGGCTTCGGTGTTTGTGTACTATCCTTTCATGGCCTTGGCGTTAGGTGGGTTTTCGGTTAACTACAGATATTTTGTCTTCCAGCATGTACATCATTCAATAGAATTTCATTAAATAACGATAGACCTTGAATTTGGAAAAAAAAAGACCCTAATTGACCTACTAACCATATCCATATGCCATCCCATATCCGTTATATTGCACCACCGAAAGAAAGATATCAATACACAAACCAAAAGAAACGCAGACCAAGAGGGTCCTCAAAACTTGATGACATTGAATGACGTGTGCTCAGTAACCTAGAAGTAAAACGTCAGTAATTCATATCAATAAAGCGTATCAAGTCGAAACTCACCGTTCTGTTCACGTCGACCGTCTCCCTCTTCGTTCTCACCACCACCACCACCAGTCTCGGCCCGACTAGCCGCATCCTTAATACCGGCTTCGTCGCCCCGCAACTTCTCAAAATACCCCTTCACATCCTCTGCGCTAACAGCCGTCCCACTCTCAGCAAAAGGCCGCAAGAAAGCCTTCACCTTATCGCGGAGCTGGTTGTAAACCATAGCGCCCTCTATGGCGCGCACACGGTCAACATTGCTCAATGCGGCTTCGCCGAGTTCAAGGATGCTGCCTGTGCCTGTGCTTGCGGCACCGTCATTACCGTCTTCTGAAAGCGGTGGCTCGTAGGTTTCTTCTAACTCGCGAAGTTGAGGATAGGGTTTGAGATGGCTGTAGCATTCTGGGCAGTGGCAGATGCTGGAGTAGAAATCTTCTTGTAGGAACAGTGAAAACGGCGCTGTGGGATTGTGGTCCATGCAGAAAGCGTGTTGAGGCCCGGCCTTGGATTCTTGGGCTTTGGGCTCTGGATTGGGTTTTTCTTTGGGGTCTGTTGTTGGCTGCTCTTCGGGGATTGTGGCGAGAGCTGGGGGCTCGGTGAGCTCTTGCTGAGGCGATGCTTCCTTGGTCCGCTTCGCTGTCGGTTCTTCAGTGGAAGAAGATTCATCGTCATCCGCTTTGCGCTTCTTTGTATTCTCTGATTGTTGTTCGGTCAACTTGATTGGTAATTGGGCATTCAAGCCCCCTTCCGCAAATACAGGTGGCAGGATACCCTTGACTCCTGCATAGCGTCTAAGCCACTGGTGTGGACCGATGCATTTGAAGCAAATGAACTGATCGAAATCATCTTCGGCAGGGAATCCTGGGGGCAGAGGAACCTCGTCGTTCTCCTCGTCGGCGCCATCATCAGCGCCATCAGCGCCGCCGAAAGTCTCTGGTTTTTGCATGTCCGGGTTCTTTTTATACCAGTCCCGTGGTAGACCGATGAGACACTCTGGGTGCCACCAGTCTTCACCACAGCCACCCGCTTCAGCGGAGTCGAGGCCGAGGCATTGGAACATGGTACCCTTCTCCTGGTGGGGATCATATTGCTCCCCACAGCCACAGAACCGGTTGCGAAAGTTTTGGTTATACTTATTGTCTTTAGCCGCCTCCTGGGAGTGGACGCCCTTGCGGCCGGTCTTGGGGTCTTCACGCAATGTGCATGGAGATGTGGCTGGCATGCGAGTGGTTCCACAGTCACAGACAAAGTTACGCTTGTTGAAAAGTTCCACCAGAGTGTGTTCACCGTGACAGGCGATGGAGCAGGAATAACAGATTCCAGCATCGGTTGAGTCATCGTCATTGTTTTCAGAGGGGTTACATGTCAAACAGGCGAAAAGGCTCTGTTTCAATGGGCCGAGTGAATAAGTGCAAGAGTCAAAGGACTAGTTCTGGTCAGTATATAGTGGGTCTATAAGTAGGTTTCCGATTTACTCACATAAGGTAGAATCTCACGCGCATCAGCCTCAAGGCGCATTTGATCGTTGATAAATCTAACGAAAAATAAGCATCAAAAACCACATAGGATTTGATTGGGACCGCGGCATACTCTCGGGCTGTCTGGGATTGTGAAGACTCGATGCTCTCACACCGGACACCGACAGGCGCAGGCTCAGTAGGAATAGATTGTTCCATTTCGAAGGTCTGTAGTTTTTGAGGAGCTAACGTTTGCTCAGTTAGATGGGTGTTGCACTAGATATAAACCTCAAATAATCCTCCTGGTCAGATTTAGACCACGAATATAGCTTTTGATCTGATGCTCGGGGTTTCTTGTCGAACAACTTCGCGACGGGGACTCTTGAATTGTTCAAGCACGTCGACGTTTGGCACAGTTATCGATGGCTGGCACTATACCGGAGTATGCAGCAGAAGTGTCAGAGCGATCGCTTCAGTGTCTTTTCCGATCAGTCGTAGGTCAGAAAATGGTGCTTTCTCCGAGATCCAGGATAGCAAGTAACGATGCGCATGAGCTGATGATGCGGCGAATGGACGGAACGCGAAACGCGGTGTTTGATTCGTTTGCACTGAGCTATGTCAGATCACTTTTCATTCGAAGGTCAATCAAGGGAAGGAAATACATGAAGCAGAATGAAAGGTAGGATGAAGGTCAGGTAACGAAGTGAGGAGACTAAAGATTACCCATTCCAATTTCCTTTTGAATGGGTTCCTCTATACATCTGGATTCTAGCATGCCGACGTGAAAATCACGTGGCTTCCCAAAAGGGTAAAATTGAAAACGCGTCGCGTAGCAACGCGTTAGATCCAAATCCGAACCAATCTTCAGCTTGCGCACTCCGACCCTCCCTTTCCTCCCTTTCTATCAACCACGCTTTTTGGGGTGTTCGAGAAAATCCATCTCATTCCACCCGTCCTTTCCAGTGTGATTTTTTGTTATCTTTCTATTTCTTTGCATCCTATCCACAACTGCTCATTGAGCAAACACACAACATGGAGTGAGTTTTGCGACCGGAGTTTTTTTTTCGCTCATTTTTGCAGAATTCACGATGCTAATGCCCTTGTAGTCCCCTCCGGCCCAGTGACTCGGCCGCAAACCGCGGACCCCGTTCAAATGCTCGCAAGCGTTCGAGAGAGCCAGATGACATTCCCTCCTCCTCTGCGATGCCCCCCTCCAGTCGTATGTGAACCCCCTGAGCGAGAATTGCGGGGCTTGGGTCAACTAACAATCTGAACAGCCTTCGCCCTCGCCTCATCTCCTCCTCCCATGCCATTCGACGAGGACGATGAAGAAGATGAGGGAGCTGAGGGAGCTGATCTCATCCCCGACATTGACGATATTGATGAGCTGGTGGAGGATGACGACGGCATTAACCTGTTCGACGATAACTTTGAGCGGGATTACGACATTAACAAACGAGATGAGTACGAAAACGAAGACTACATTGATGATGATGGAGTCCACGAGGAACTTGGCGCTGCCGCACGTCGCCAATTGGATGCTCGGTTGAATCAAAGAGATATGGCTCGTCGGCGTATGCCCGCTGCGTTCATGCAGGATGACGATGACCAAGAAATGGATCTTTCGCGCCAACCTCGGCGTCGGCGACACGCTTACGATGAAGACCGCGAAGACATTGACATGGCAGATGAGGGAATGGAGGAACTGTCTCTAGAGGAGTTGGCAGATGTGAAGGCCGCCAACATCACCGACTGGGTTACACAGCCTCAGGTCCTGCGCTCTATTTACCGCGAGTTTAAGGCTTTCCTGACAGAGTTCATTGACCCCAGTGGTCAATCTGTGTATGGTAACCGCATCAAAACCCTTGGTGAGATCAACTCGGCTTCTCTGGAGGTGTCCTACGCCCATCTGAGTGAGACCAAGGCGGCCCTGTCATACTTCCTCGCCAACGAGCCGACCGAGATTCTCAAAGTTTTCGATCAAGTTGCGCTCGATGTGACTCTCTTCCATTACCCTCAGTACCATGACATCCACAACGAGATTCATGTGCGAATCACCGACGTTCCTATTATCTATACCCTCCGCCAGCTGCGTCAATCTCATCTCAACTGTCTTGTTCGTGTTGGCGGTGTGGTTACCCGCCGTACCGGTGTCTTCCCCCAGTTGAAGTTTGTGATGTTCCTCTGTACAAAGTGTGGCATCACTCTTGGTCCTTTCCAGCAGGAATCCAGCGCGGAAGTGAAGATTTCTTTCTGTCAGAACTGCCAGTCTCGCGGTCCTTTCACCGTCAACAACGAGAAGACTGTCTACCGCAACTACCAGAAGTTGACTCTGCAAGAATCCCCTGGCACCGTTCCTGCTGGTCGTCTGCCTCGCCAGCGAGAGGTTGTCTTGTTGGCTGACTTGATTGACACGGCTAAGCCTGGTGATGAGATTGAGATCACTGGTATCTACCGTAACAGCTACGATGCTCAGCTGAACAACAAGAACGGTTTCCCCGTGTTCGCCACTATCATCGAAGCCAACCAGGTAGTAAAATCCCATGATCAGCTGGCTGGCTTCCGTCTGACCGAGGAGGATGAACGCGAGATTCGCGCCCTGTCCCGCGAGCCAGACATTGTTGACAGAATTGTTCGTTCCATGGCGCCTAGTATCTACGGCCACCAAGATGTCAAGACTGCTGTTGCCCTTTCTCTCTTCGGTGGTGTCAGCAAGCAGGCACAGGGTAAGATGTCGATCCGTGGTGATATCAACGTTCTGCTGCTTGGTGACCCTGGTACTGCCAAGTCCCAGGTACTCAAGTTTGTGGAGAAGACAGCACACCGAGCTGTGTTCGCCACCGGTCAAGGTGCCAGTGCTGTCGGTTTGACAGCCAGTGTCCGCCGTGACCCACTCACCAGTGAATGGACCTTGGAAGGTGGTGCGCTTGTGCTCGCTGACCGTGGTACCTGTTTGATTGATGAGTTCGACAAGATGAACGATCAGGATCGGACATCTATTCACGAAGCTATGGAACAGCAAACTATTTCTATCTCGAAGGCCGGTATCGTGACAACCCTGCAGGCTCGATGTGCCGTGGTCGCCGCTGCTAACCCTCAGGGTGGCCGGTACAATGCTACCAAGCCTCTATCAGAGAACGTGGAGCTCACTGAGCCTATCTTGTCCCGTTTCGATATCTTGTGTGTGGTTCGCGATTTGGTCGACCCCCGCGAGGATGAGCGCTTGGCCAACTTTGTGATTGAGTCTCACCACCGCGCTAACCCTGCTCGCCCCCTGCGCAATGAAGATAACGACCTGGTTGACACCGAGGGTCACCTTATCAACGACGAAGGCTACCGCATTGATCAGCAAGGTCGTCCCCTTCCTCCAACACAAGAGGAAGTTGATCAGCGCGCTGCCGAGCAGAAGAGGTCTGAAGAAGAAAAGGAGGGCGAGATCCCGCAGGAGCTGCTGCGCAAGTACATCCTCTACGCCCGTGAGCGTTGCCACCCCAAGCTATACCAAATCGACCAGGACAAGGTAGCCCGTCTCTTCGCAGATATGCGTCGCGAGTCTTTGGCCACTGGTGCCTACCCTATCACTGTAAGCACTTTCTTTACAACATGAATCTCTTTTGGGCCCTTGACTAACCAAATTCACCAGGTCCGTCACCTCGAAGCTATCATGCGTATTGCCGAGTCTTTCTGTAAGATGCGTCTGTCGGAGTACTGCTCTTCCCAGGACATTGATCGCGCCATTGCTGTCACTGTGGAATCCTTCATCGGCAGCCAAAAGATCAGCTGCAAGAATGCGCTGACCCGTGCATTTGCCAAGTATGTTCATCACGCATCGCATTCTAATCCTCAGTGTCAAATGCTAACATTTCTTGCTCTCAGGTACACATTGGCTCGTCCCAAGCCCCAGTCCAAGCGCCGCGCCGGTGTCGCTGTGCCTAACCCACATTTGGCACGGGCTACGTCTGCTGCGCGGTAAACAGTGTATAATGGGGAGGGTGTCTGCTGTTTCTTTTGAGTAAAATACCATCTTATCTGCATGTGATGTGAACGGCGTTTCAACATTGTTATTTTAAATGTTTACTGCAGGGCTCTGCTTGGGAGTTTGGCGGGCTATGATCTAATGAATTGAACAAATATACATGATATCATACATCAATCTGAATAGACTCTAGATTCACATCCACACTACTACCTACTGCTAAAGTTCATTGACTGCCAAAAGAACAAAAACTCGAATATCCAAGACTGGTCCACGCTGGTTTCTTGGAGATTCTTCCCATCCCATCTTTCCATTCAACATCAACTTGTATTATGTACCTCCTGTACATAGTAGTAGCCGCAGTGTACCTACTAGTACACCTTCCCCCAAAGCTGTGGACCGCAAGCGCACCCCAAACCTCGAAACATTTCAAGAAACCTTCCGAAATTCCATCAAAAACTAGTCGTACTCAACAACTTCGCTCGCGTCAAAACAGGAATCCCACTTGCAACAACCGAACCAGTGCCTACAGGAACACGCATTTCACTTGGGTTCGTAGCCATCTTTTCCAGCTCCTTATCCCACGCTTCTGGGTATTGCTCTGTCTCGACATATCCGTACAGGGTTTTCTTCATAACGCCAGCGAGATAGGCAGGGTCGCCGCTCGGGACTCGCTCGTGCCGTACATTACTCCAGATGAAGGAGCTCTTGGCGAAATTGTGGGTGAAACCTGAGCCCGTGCTGGGGTCTGTTTCGACGAAGAGGGTGGGAATAGGGTCCTGGCTTGCGCTATTTGGTTTGGATTTGATGACGTAGACTTTGTAAGTTGTCATGGTTCTTTTTTTCGATGTTGGAACGGTGATCTTGGAATTCCAAGGTCCTGTGCAAGCTGCCGTCCGCTTAGATTTCGTTCGATTATAAGCACTTGAGTGCTGGGTCGATGGGTGAGTCTGGGATGTATGCTTGATGTGTAGTATGTATATAGAGTCGCTTGACTCAAGTGGAGGGTCTTGTGGGATGATCAATAGATGTAGCTTTGAAATAGGTGGTACGTAGATGCATCAGCTTGAGATGTTTGAGTAGAGTGTTCCAAGGTGTTTCAAAGAAAAAAGACAAGATGTCTGGAAATTCTGGATTCTGTTCTGGTTCTAAGAACATCCTCGAGATACAAGCCTCATTAAATACCTCTTTGAAGGCAAGACATAGCCGCCAGCTTGAAACCATACAACGGACAGCATAGTGTATCTCAAAACGCTCAGAGATCCAATCAGTACGTATAGCAATCAGCATATAATATTGATGGAGACTCACAATCTTTCAAAAGGTGACATACGGAACTAAGAATAGGAACCAGAATCCCAAGGTTGACACGGAGGCACAATATGAAGTTTGAGATTGAATCACAGGCCCATCAGGTGTTGGTCTCTCCCGATGTCATCGTATAAGGTTTTAAAAGTGCTTCATCTTTCATATGAATAGATGCGGGTGTCAGCCTGATATAAATAAGAAGACTATCTGTTGGAAGGAAATATTTTATATCTCATCTGATAAGGCCGTGCAGGCGCTTAGCGGGCTTAGAGTCTTGGTACGATAGCCCCAATTATGTCATTGGGGCTGTCACCAGAAAAAGGAACGGTCTGATTGGCTAAAATAGAGAATTTGGGGCATTAGAAGCTTTTGTTAACGGGGCAGGCGCAAGGACAGATAACATTGAAATTACCAGTTGACCTGATTGCGCATGATAATTGAATGTTGGCCAGTACAACTAAATGTGTGGAAGGATACGTACTACTATGTAGGCAAAACCCAGATACCAAGTAACCTAATACGAAGGACAGTAAAATTCTTCTATGGCAATATGGCTATTGATCGAAAAGAACAAGAACATTCGAAGCTCAGAATCATGGATATGCTGCGCACCAAGGCATGGGTTTCATGCTGGCATAAAAGAAATGTAAACACCAAACGGAAGAGCACTCGAAAAAAGAAGCACAACCACAAAAGATAAAAAAACAACAACAATAAGCAGATTCAGCCTACTCCCGTGAAATATCAACGCCATGTTGTTTGGGCGCCAGATGCGAACGGCGCCCAATGTTGGGTATTACATAGAAAAGTCATCAGTCCCCATGGCCCATGAGGATAAACAAGAAAATTGTGCCAGTAACAGTGTGGGAAGCAGTGACATTAATAACCCTGTCCCAAAATTGTAGTCTTTTCATTTTCCCTAAAATTGGACAGCTTAATCGCTTGTCCGGCGCTCCGGGCGCGGCTTGCGCAAGCTCTTCATCCGGTTCAAGAATCCACCGCCGGCATTCAATTTCTGCTGGTCCTCGTAGGCCCGATCTCTTGTGCTCTTGCGCTCGAGATTGGTTGACTGCTTGGGGCTGCTTGATGAGCGAAGACGACCACCGCTCTCCAGGCGCGCCTCTGCGATTCGCGATCCCTTCTTATCCCACTCCTCATCCGGGTCTTCTTCGAAAAATGGGTTCCTCTCGTTGGTTCGAGAAGATGCGGAGTGGCTCGAGCCCATCGGTGGCGGAGACATTCCTTGCTCTGGGGATCCTACCCGACCACCAGGGGATGTGATACGAGGGGGTGCAATGCGGCCGGTTCCACTTCGTCCACGCAGGCGTTGTGCTAGACTCTTCTTTCGCTGAAGACCACCATTCGCAGCAAGCTGTGCCTCGGCCGCGCTCTCACGTCGAGCAATGGCCGAACGACTGGCTGGAGCTCCATCCAAGAATGTACTGGTTCCTAAACCCATTGTCTGCGCGCCATGAACAGGTTCCAATGTGGTCTTGGCGTCAATCTGGACTGTTTCGGCGTTGCGGGTAAGACCAGAGTTGTAATCATTGTAGCCCTCCTCCATTCGTCCGTGGAAAAGATTCAAGTCAATGTTGGGATTGACCGGACCAGAACCGCCCAATGCCATGTTTGTCGAATTCTTGGGGAAGGCCTGCATTGGCGCAGTGCGCGCGCCCTTGCGATTGCGGTGGGGATTGCATGCATCAAAGGGACCATCATGGTGGAACACTGTAAGCAAATTAGTATGCGGCGTCAGAACAAGTCGCAAAAAAGGGCAAAAAAAAACCACGTACTTCCGGTACCGTAGATGCTTGTCACATCCAGCTTATCAATGATATCCAGTCGGCGATCCTTGCGAGATGAACGAGGCTTTCCATCACGCTGACGTTCACGCTCACGGTGGCGGCGTTCACGTCGGCGTTTCTCGTCATCATCATCAAACAGCTTCGATGGCCGCTCCATCACAGATGACTCGGAGTTTCGGCGAGGTCGACGGGGGGCCTTGCCCTGGGCGGTAGAGCTAGAGCTCTTGGATGCTGGATCAGCAAAAATGTCGAATGGATCCGTTGGATCCCTTGGTGCCTTGGAACGGGACTCTGTAGGGCGTCCAGATGGAGGTGCACGAGCGTCTCTCAAGGGAGGCTGACGACTGGATGGTTTACGGGGAACAGCATCAGGAACCGGCCGGGTGGTGTTGGACTGAGAGGAGAACGGAGAGGGTGCAGGCACCGCAGATACTGTAGCGGTGGGCTTGATAGAGAGGGCCTCCTGCGGAATATATTAGCTATGGGCCCAGATTGCGGTCGGTGTCCTAGACATACAAAAAGGTCCCGAGTATTGTTGGTAGTAGTATCGTGTCTTTCGACCGGCGAGAACATGGCACCGGAAGACATTCCAGGAGCCGATTGTGGGGACAGGGCGTCAGTATCGTCTAGGAATGGATTGGTTGATCGGGGACGTTCTGGACGAGCATTGGTGGCTGGAGTAGGAACGGTGGGAGAGAGAGCACGGTTTCGGAATGGATTGTTAGAGCCAAAATTGGCCGCTGTTGGTGAGATTTGACTGCCTATTATTCCTCAGAATTGCCACATGAGTCAGTTATCACGTTTCATTGACCGCTGTGTTGCAAGTCCCCTGGGGAGGGAATGATTTTAAGTGTTTCCGAACAATAAAGACGACAGACGCCAACCCAGGGGCAAAACACGCAAAACAAGGCTGTAGAAGTCCACAAAGACTCCTTGGAAATTATTTAACGCACCTTGGGCCAGCGAAACGCCTGGGGGATACCCAAGCGCCGGAGGGGCATTCATAGTGAGATGAAACGGAGAGAGTGGATAGGGTGATGGCGTGCGTCGATAGGACGATGAGATGTCGCACGAGTGCAGTAATTACGTGGACGGGGGGTTGTGATAAGTCTGTGATGAAACAGACCAAAGATGAAAGGACGAGTCAAGAGAGAAAGATTGGGGGAGGGGAGAAAGGAGAGAAAGAGAAGACGAAGCTCGGGGGGCAAAGGGACACGGGATCAGGAGAGTACGTAAATGGTGATCGCCAATCCACTTTCACTGTCTCTTTTTTTTTTTCAACACAGTAAGAATTTAAAGTAGTACGGTAAAATCTAATCTATTCATTTATTCCATGGATTAATAGATTAGAATTGTTTTAACCGAGTCTAGTCATTTGTAAACTTTGCCCCCTTGTGAATTTGTGATTTAACCTGCAGGTTCTCCAGGTTTTTTTTTTCTTAAGTCCCGGTAACCAAATGTATGTTTAGTAACAAATCCAGGGGCAAAAAAAGCACTTGACGGACACTTTTCCCCTCGATCGACATTTCCCCACTCACACACAAAAACGCCGCTTTTTTCGAGTCAGCAAATCAGCATAAGATTTGTCTATGAAGGTCAACTTCGGAGCGGTATACCGTATACCCAGGACCTTTCTACTGCAAGTCCTTCAGAAACTCCAGGTTCCCTTATCATGGATTCCTTAATGCCCCGGAATGACGTTCACACATTCTCCAATCCCCGGTTGATGTCATCTCAATGCGGGAATGTGGATATCTGTGGCTGGTTTTTAGTTGGATTAGTTGACGACACGCGAGGGTCTTTTGCTTTTGGCCTTTTTCCCCCTCCCTTAGTTGCGTTGCCTGGATTGATCTGCGTTTCTTCCTCTCTTTCCCCTGATGTCAAAAGGTGCGATCTCGCACGGCCCTCCCGACCATGACAGCACTTCCGATCCACCTGGCCGAGGTCCCCGAGCGGCGAGATTCGCTTTGGTATCCCTTGAACATGACGCTCATATTTGACACATCTCACATCAGGTTCAATATTGCTTGAGCACTCGACTGCGCCAAGTCCGAGAACTAGTGAACTTATTCCATTTTATTTTTATCTTTTTCCGAACCGTCCACGTACTCAGTTCGGTACCTGCTTTGGTTCCATGGTTCGAGGGCCCAGCTTCAAAATGTTCTGTAGGCAGCAAAGGCAAATGATAGAAGTCAGCAGGAATTGCCATTCATACTGGCCGAATTGCCAACCTCAATGGCAGTCAACCCGCATGGCAAACATGCTTGACCGCGCTAAAAACAATGAACTTGCCGCTCCAATCCCGCTTGTGACCAACTAGGTGACTCGATGTAAATTCTGCGCGAGGACTTGCTGCTGTCAGCCGTCTCATTTGTTGAAACAGACTTGGCGATGGATATGCCATCATCCATGTTGTTCGCGTGGGTCCGCGTGCGGTCATATTACCTGGAATGCATGCCTCTACCTCGTCCCATAGATCATCATCTCAATATATTTGGTCGACCCTGTGCTCATCTCGGCGCCATCACACCAATTTGCTTGAACCACAAGGTAAGTTGTTTACTAAAACCACTGAGCTAGCCCTGCTGCTGTTGGGATGCAACGTCGTTTCGATATGTACAAATCTGCACGTGATTGGCCCGATCTGAATAGTGACTGGCGAACGACGCGTGGAAGGCTACCATGCAGAAAAGCTGTGTCAAGTCCAGGTGAGGCCGCGGTCATTTGACTCCCATCTTCATGAAATTATGCAGTGATACCGAAGTGTTAAACCTTGGAGACTAAGTGTGTATGCCCAAGTACTACCTTCCAATTCGGCATCATGTCGACTTCAATGCAAAGATATACAAATGCCAGGCACGGAGTTTTTTAAAACAAAATTTGGAGATACCGCTAGTTAAACATGTAACAGTCGGCACATTAAATACATTGATTATGAAATTCCCGAATACCGAAATTGATCCATACTGTGATGATAATTTAGCCAATTTATGCTTGGTCTTTCACTGCGATATAGTAGTACACATGCACAAAAGGCTCATACAGCATGCGGTTGCCACTTTTCAGAGTCCATCCACTGAGATCAAGATCCTGCTTGCACACAAGATCTTGAATTTCCTGTCCCGTCCGACAGCGCAAAGTTGAAACCCATCCGTCAAATGTTACTATTAAAGGCAACAGTGGAATCACATACGTGAAAAACAAATGCAAAGGACTGTTCCTGTACTTGGCAATAGTAAACCAAAATGGGAACAGAAACATAACAGGGATATTCAACAAGGAGGTGAAGTTGCGTTGGGCAAATTCGAAAATTCTAGAAATCGTCAACTTCGGCCCTGGAGTTCATCTTTTTTTTTGAATCTCATCTTTTTCTTCTCTCCTCGGGAAAACCAAAAAAAAACTTACATGAACGAATCAGCCGACTCCACAGCGTTCCGCAGAACACCCAACGCAAGAGGGTCATCGAAATGATGAAAACACAAATTGAACACCCTGCATTCCTTTCCATCCCGTGGCGCAATTCTTTCGCACCGAGTCGCATCTCGTGGCTCAGGAATGTACGAGACGTTCTCCTGTCGCTTGCTAATAGCAGACCATTCTTCCAGACGGGGGTGGAGATCCGTAAGAACAAATTGGGCGGCCCGCTTACCTTCCGCTTGGAGTTTGTTATTCAGGATGGATTCCATGGTGCTTGTTGGGCCACCTGCTCCGGCGCAAGAGTCCACAAAGGTGTAGGAGGATGCATCTCGAAGATTCTCCAGGATGAGGTTCGCTGCTACCCCGGCTGGAGAGGTCTTGCTGAGGGGCGGGAGGTGTAGATTCCAAACACGGGTTAGATATGCTTGGATATAGGCTCTTATCCATTCTGGGCACCAGGATTGATCGCCAAATTCAAAAAGATGCCATCGGGGAGAAAGAATCATCGTGGTTTGTGTGGCCTTGAAGCTTGGTAGAAGGCTGAAGCTTTCAATGTTCAAATGTTGGCTTTGGAGAGGAAGATGTTTGCCAGTTGACGATAACCTGGGAGCCCCACATAAATCATGATCGTATACATCATATGCATCGTAATCCCCGCCTGCCTTGGCTCCATTGGTTTCAATTTCTGCTTGGAATTTGGGACTTTATCTCAATTTCAACTCATATCTATGGAAGAATTACATATCCATAGCAACATTAGGTTGAGAAGTTATCTTAAAAATTCAACATTGAACTTGTGCACAAACGTGAAGGTTCATGGATGTATCTGGATCCAGGATGAAGTCATATTTTCAAATACTTTTTCAATCTCTAGTACATAAAGAGGTAATTCCAACTAGAAAGCATTGTTAACAAAATGTATTTCACAATATGAAAATTTATCTACTGTAGTACGCCGCTGGTTGGTACCAAAAATGAATATAGAGCACGCAAAAAGAAGCGATTATTGGCACGTGAAGACTTCTCTACGAGATAATTTTTCCAAAAAGACTGCGCGTTGCCTCACAGATTTTTTGGCCATCAGCTAAGATGCTGTGGTGTTAAAAATGAGCGATGTGGTGGAAAGTCAATCTTCCCCCATAGTTCCAAGATACTATGCTATCTCATCATAGCCGGTAGATGAGAATGGTTATTGATGGTCTTTGAGCCAGAGTTTACCGTGAAAAGAATAGAAATTTCAGCATTTTAGACACGCGAATACGATGATGATATTCTCCGTTGATGTAAATTACGAAACCTACAGAAAAAAACGAGGGAAAAACTATCAAGCAGCACATACTCAAATCATGTCATATCATTCTAAATACTTGCAGCTATCATAGACTGTCAGATACTAGCAGCACTAGCAGCACCTGAGATACCAGTTTGGTCCTTGAAATCCCACCAATCGCAACGCTAAATTCACAAAAGAAAAAAAAGAGAGAAGAAATCAAAAATTATATCGCCGAACGACGCTCCACCCTTTCCACCCATCTAGTTTTCACCAGTCATCAAACCGCAATCGCCGGAGCAAAGCTCCCTTGCAAAGAGTCCTTCATCTCATTCTTTTCCACGCTCCAGCTTTCAAGAGCCGTTTGAGGAGGTGCAGCAGTCTCTTGGCTGGTATTCTTGCTCTGGAAACGCTCGGCAGCGGGCCAAATCTCATGCCCGGCCTCTCTCTCCTTCTTGTGGTGTTCTGTGACCACCTCACGCACGGTCTTCTGGAAGTGAAGAGGACCCGCCTCCATCTCAGGGTGCAACTCGCCGTTGACGAAGACACCAGCATTGAGGTTCTTCTGTGAAGCAATGCAAAGGTACTTGTCCTCCGACATGATCCGCTTGTACATATCGCTGATAAGGTTGAACGCCTCATCAGTCGCATCCTTGTGCCGATAGACCTCGTACCGCATAACACACTGAGTCGGGCTGGTAGGGGTAAAGCGCTGCATGAAGAAGAAGTTGGGACTGATGTTGAACGAAGCGTTGGGCCAGAAGTACGTAGTCGCTATGCGGAAACCCTTTGCGATCTGGTCTTCGCGAGCCGCGCCATAGTGCTGGATGTGGCCGTCCTTCGTCTTGACGTAGTATGAGTTCAGATCGGCGATTGTGGGGATATCCGGGTGCGCGACTAGGCAGTGGTAGCATTCGTTGTAGTTGTCTGCCAGGATCTTCCAGTTGAATTCGCCCTCCATATCCCATGTGTGGTCGAAGTTGTAATCGTCGAAGTTGTAGTAGTCGAATCGGGGCTGCTCGTCCACGCCGTCAAAGTCGTCTTTCCATGCTACCTCGGGGGTCTCGGCTGCGTCCATGTTGACCCAAATGAAACCGTTTCGGTCAATGTGCATGTGGACAGGGGAGAGGTCGTCACTGAGGAGAGCGCTGATGGTGCCTTGGTTGTCCTTGACAATGATGAACTCGAAGCCAGCGGCATCGTATCGAACTGAGTCGCCGGGGTTGGCGACGCGGTGCTTGTGTGTGGTGAGAAGCCATTTACGGGAGAAAATCGATCGTCGCTCCAGCTCGTACATGTCCTGGGAGGTGTACCAGGAAGCAGGTAGAGCGCGGACGGGGGTCTTCTCGTCCTTGGGCGCAACAGGCGTAGCCGTGGTACCGAAGAAATTCCTCAAGAAGGACATTGTGAATGTGATATGAAATATTTAATTTTTCTCTTGCAAAGATGATTCGAGACTAGGATCTGAGCTCTGCTTTTGCAATTGTTGTTATCTACCGTTGAACCGGAATATCAACTCTTCTATATAGATAACCATCACGACCAGGGTTCCACGGAACCAACGGAGCCAAACACCTTATCCGATCTCCTCAACGGTGATACAAACTTGCACACCCGAGATCAACTGTATACTTCGGTGCTATTCGCAGTCAGGTGGCCATTATCAACGGGCGACATAGCTCGGGACCGATCAGGTGATCGGTGGGAGATTTCCCAACCGGGCCGCGTGGCTTGAATGTTATCGAGAACTCCAGGATCTTCGTAAGACGAGCTAAACTTGTGGCAAAAGTCCCGGCGAATAGGATTCCAAGCTTTCAGCACCATTATCTCTCATTTTTGATCTAGAACCCCGTGGTCAATCGGTTCCCCGGTTCGGTCTCACGCCCGTCTCCCACCGGCTCTTTGAACTTGCCTTAACTTGGCAATGTTTCTGAGAGTTCCCCAGATCTGAGGTGAAAATACGCGGAAAACTGTGGGGGATAACCCGGAGATGATTTTTATAGTCTAGAGCAATGATCAGATGATGACGAGGTGGGTCTAGGACGGGCATTACCCGAGCCATATAGTAGTCAGAGGAACCGTTCCAATATTCTCAATCATGGGATGCTGAAGGACTAATGATCCTCAGTGACTGCAGTATAATCTTGTGGAGAGGCACATTCTTCAGAACTCAATACTACTAGGCTCCAATGATGAATGCCTAGGTGTCTTATCTCCGGTGTTGATCATTGAACACTGAGCTAGGTTTAAGATAACGGTCCTTCAATATGAGTGAGGCCAATTATCGTGCAATTCAGTAGTGCGACATTGGGCAGCACGATCACATGCACATTCCCAGGGGCGTAAAACCTTACACTGGATTCTTTTACTCGGACGGTATTAGGCTGAGAAGGAGGCGCCAGCGATGGCGAGTCAATTCAGTCTTTGTTCCGGGAACCGATGGCCGTCGGAGCCGGTAGCATGATGCCGTCTCCAAAATTGTTATCCTGAAATGCCACCTGTTTCGAGAAGCATCAGGTAATTGTAACTTCGGTAATTTTTTCATCTCTATTGGTCAACCTGTTGAAAATCCACAGGTATACGAGAGAAACAGAGCGGTATGAAGGGTGATTTTCAGGATGATATAGCCAGAGCACATGCCAGCTAATGTGAAGATAGTAAGGAGATTGGAAGGCAACGAGGCCTTCATTGAGGCACATGACCTTACCTCAGCCATAGTACATAGCACTAGTTAGTAGGTTATAGCTTGTTTTTCTCTTAGGTCACGCGACTGTAATAGGATTGATCTTGTGATATTCCTATTGAACAGATTATCGCGTAGCTTGATTCCAAAAGTGCTGAAGGTTATTTAAGCTCAAGACAGAAAGGCATCCCTGGTATCCTTATATTTGAGAATTCTCAGCCCTGGATAATTTCAATGCTACCTAGTACATACTACTAGGAGTATGGACTTCAACCGATGTCTACAAAGTTTCCATGGATGTGCCATTGTTTTGCTCCAGTTTCACCCCCTGTAGGAACGACGACCTTTTGTTGATTTGAAAACTAAAAGCATCGTTTCTATGAGTCTATATTACTCAATAAAAGATTACATGTACCGAGTACATGGATCATGGTACCATTCCTCTAAGCTCTGGATCAGGGCAGTGTGGCTGATGTCATCACTGTCTTCCCGCAAATAGAATGTGGCGGAGCGCGGAACAAGTCTTCTCCGCGAACCCTTCTATTTCCGTCGATCAACTGTGGCGCATGCGATCCGACGCGGCAGGGCTGAACGAACCATGGACTCATTCTTGGCGATGACGCAAACCCACGCCGCCGTAGTTATATAAGAGATTGCAATAATAAATCTCCGAGAAAATTCTTCTTCGGAGTACAATTCCACGAGAATCATACCAATTTTCAAGGTTCTCAACTATCAATTGATCATCGAACAAGTTTAAGTCTCAGAACACATCTGATCGCACCTCAATTCTCAAATATGGGTGGTTGCTTTTCCTCTCCTCGTCAAGGGTACGGCATGGGCGGCGGTGGGTTTGGCCCTGGACCTCGCCCGCATCAGGGCCCTGGATTCGGTGGCGGTGGAATGGATATGGGTGGAGGATGGGGTGGACACCATGGCGGCGGGCCAGGATTCGGAGGCGGAGGTGGCTTTGGAGGCGGGGGTGGGTTTGGAGGTCCTGGGGGTGGGTTTGGGGGTCACGGGGGTCACCACGGGGGTGGGTTTGGAGGCCCCGGTGGAGGTGGTGGGTTTGGAGGACCAGGTGGCGGCGGCGGCGGCTTTGGTGGCCCCGGTGGAGGAGGTGGCCCCGGAGGTGGTGGTGGTTGGTAAACATAATGACCTTTGGAAGGATGAACTTCAGCCATTATCTTACCTCAATACAAACTCCCACCCTGGAAAGAGGTTCCCACCGAGGTAATAAAACCTCACATATCAGAGTCACCCACCACCAGCTGCAAAGATCTCGTTCGCCGACTACATGCTCTCCAGCGCTCCGGTGTTGATCTACTACACTGCTTTCAACCCGCACCTTGCTTGCTTGGTCTATCTCGTCTGCCATCTGCATCGATATCGACTCATACCGCGACAACTTCAAGCACATTGACTCTGAACAACATTACCGTTCAAAATGCCACTTGCTCATCCTCCTGCATGCCAGCTCCAGCCAATATCTGCCGCCCCGATACTTCTTCAAATGCAACATCGACTCTCGAAAAGTGACAGCAACCGACACTACGCCTTGTTGCCTTGATCCTGAAGGCTTCTTAGCTTGCCTGCCAGATCTGCTTTTACACTCTACTTCCTCGAACCCGTCCACATTTTGTCGACCCCGAGATGCGCCCAGATGCAATTGCAATTCGTTTTTGTCAAATACCCAAGACTAAAATGCATCCATGCGTGGCATGTATGTACTTAGTGATGAAAGTGGATGAAAATGTTCCCTTGGTCTCTGAGAGGGGCTTTTGAATCATCCTGCATCCATGCACGATTCTCATTCTATATGTCTACATAGCTTTGCAAGCTTTGAATCCAGATTCCGGATTGGAATATGATGACCACGAATGTGACAAAGGGGTCATAATATATCAGAAATGCATCTCGGCACATATATTACTATGCACAACAGAGCGCGCAATATTCAAATGTTGGAAGTGTGTTGTGTTAATACCTTTACTTCGTGACCTTCGAGCGCCCGGCGCATCCACCACGATTTGAAACTGGTTATCAATTGATATCGAGTGAGAATAAAAATGAAGATCGCAAGTGACTAACAAGTCTCTCACTAAATTCTTTATGAAAAAATCCATTCAAATATACACTTTTCAAATTGCTCTCAACGGCGGTAACACTGCTCTTAATTAGTAGATACCAAGGCGTTACATTCCTTCAATGTTATATATAGTAGTACTATCCATTAGTATTGAGACAAGTGCAGTGCCATACATAACCCAAAAAAATATTTAGCAGCTATGTGCTACTGCCAAGACAGAGTCACCTTCGGAAGTGGTCCAAGCATCAAGGTGGTTGTTGTTGTACATACACGTGAACCGTGGTTAGGGCTGACCGCTTGGCGCTCCGCTCCGAATCTCCAGCTTCTCTCCAAAGACCCTCGTCGATTCCTCAAAGCTACCTGCTCAACCAACTTTCGCTCAACATGGAGCCCGCCGTCCAAGCCCCTCCAACCCTGACCAATCCTCGATTCACCCTGGAACTGGAGTTTGTCTCATCGCTCGCCAATCCCTATTACCTATCGCACCTGGCAGTCACCTACCCGGGTCTTCTGGGAATTTCTCGCGCCGACGAGGACGACGACGACTCCGCCTCCGCCCCCGATGCGCAGGCCTTCGCCGCATACCTCGCCTACCTTTACTCCTACTGGAAGACCCCCGAATACTCCCAATTTCTCACCCACCCTGGACCGACCTTACGCGCCCTGCGCTTGTTGCAAGAAGACGCCTTTCGTCGGGACATCATCTTGCCTCAGGTGATCGAGGGCTTGGCCGGGGTCAATGTATTTGGCGATGCCGCAGCTGTCGAAGCCGATGACGAAGGGATTATGGAAAAGCCGGAGGAACAGAATGGCTCCAAGACCTGAGGGTTCACACTGAGCTCGACAACATTGTTAATCGAGTCATCTCTTATCACCACTACCACCACCACCACTCCTCCCCCGGCAGTCCTTCACACACTATACTCAAAGAGATGATTACGCAGTCTTCTTGGGCATGGGAAATTGACCTGCTATCGTACTCGGCATTTGGTCCACAGGACCATGATTGCGGGGCCAGTTACTTCATGTGCGACCGAGGCATGGGACAAGATCGGCCGGGAGCTTGTTGATCAAACAACAGGTACAACCTACGAGGACAGCCGGAGTCGAAGGTTTCCCCCAGCTCCGGTAATCCATATGTAATGGTTTGTCGCTGGTATTGCGGGGTTGGGAAAGGACAAAGCGTCTAGGAGATTAATACCTGCGCAAATATCGAACATAAGATGGGTTTTATGCGATCGCCCCGGATGCGTCGGGGGGCTATTTGCTATTTACCGCGGCAATTAGAGAACTACCAATCAAATCGATATTTATCTGTCACATTTCTCAAATATGAGGCCTTTTGAAAATACGTAAGGTGTAATTGACTCCAGGATCTGATACTGAGTAAGCTCGTCAATATTAAGTGACATCGTGGCCGAACAAGGCACCAAAGTCATCCCAACCTTCTTTTTTTGGGCCTTGAATCGTCATTAATTTCCCTTGTAATTACTAGTTGCTTCCCACTGAAATCACCAAGCTTCCTTACTCCTTTCCCCTACCTTCATTGCATTTTTTTTGCCGTTTTTCTCATCTTCGCCTTTTTTTTCGTTTTGAAAATTACCGGATTTCTTGGTTCTGTGAAAGAGAGCCCCACCCCCTGGTGATCGGCCTCTAACTACCTCATCGGACAGCCGTTCCCGTCCAACGTGGCTCTGAACGCTCGCCTCCATTGAAAGTCAACCTCTCCTATGGCCATCCTCCAATCCTAAAATTCTACAACACCCTGAACATTTCGGGCGTTCAGTCTCGAAAAACCCCAGCTCCTGTCTGCGGACAAACCCCCGGGGGGCAGCCATCAACACCGCGCCCATGGAGACTGTACGACAATCCTGTCGGCCCAAGCACCAGGTCTTGACACTGAAGTGCTACCCTCGATATCAAAAAGGCGTGGCAGAAGTCAAACCGAATCCGAGCGAACTTTCGTACCTACTATACTACGCGAGTACACGTCGCAGTAAGCTGACCAAGGTTGGCGGCTTTCTGGAGAAGAGAGTGGCCAAAGATGTCTGGCGACGCAGATTAGGGTGGGTATTACAGGAAATGCAGAAGACATTCTAGATGTTGAGTTGAGGAATGCAAGAGGCTGACATTGAAGTGTGGCAGAAATGTTCAGGTTGCGCTCCATATCCTATCCGGGCTCATCGAAAAAGTTCCTCGAGACCTTCCTATCTACGTGGGCTCCGTTTTAGCCGTCATCGAAACCGTTCTACGGTCAAATGATATTTCCATGGTAGAGGACTCGATCGCTACATTTGAGACTTTCTGTCGGCACCAGGACATCGCAATCATTTCGGCCGAACATGGCATTGCCCACAAATACCGAGAAGTTGTTCGCCTCTACGCAAGCTTCGCTGATCCGTCCTCCGACCTGTACTCTCCCGCAAAGGTCAGCCCGCCAGTTTCGATTCGATGGAGAAATGCAGGACTCCGTGCGATCCGCAGTATCGTGAGCTCTGAGAGTCTTGCCGCCGACGGAGGAAACTCCCTAAAAATCATCCTACCCGTCATTCTCGAGAATCTGTACTCTGCAGATGAAGATGTGCTTGTGCCGCTGAAAGCTAGGCTTCATGAGAACAAGGAGACCGACCGCGACGGAAATCGGGCTCCTCGACGGATGAGCGCCGCAACGGTACACACGGTGGATACTGTGGAGGGTGGTGACCCGGCACTAGCAGCTGGATCAGCGGCAGATGTTGATCGAAAGGCGGAGATGGATGCCCGGCTACTGGCCCTGCGATGCCTTGAACGAATCACGGTTTCCGGGAGCAATCGTGGTCAAACGCGAGTCGCGGCATCTATAATCATGCAATTCATCTCGAATAAACAATTCCCTCGCACCACCTCACAGGAAATGTCAACAGAGCCCCAAGATGGAAACTGGGCTACTTCGCTGATTGAACTGGTTGCGAACTGGTGTCCAGTCCAAGTTCGATTTTTGATTCTTGGCGCAGCTATGGACACCCTGTTCGACACTGCTCCCACGGAGAAAGCACTAGATTCCTCATTTACCATTCTCTCCGTGGTTGACTGGCTTCTAAAATCATCAGTGAATATGATTGGCTTAAGCGTGATGGATATTTTGCTGGGTCTTATGCAATATGCCTCAAGCATTCTATCGCCGCAGGAAAGTGCCAATACAGAAAACAAGGCAGATCTCCACGCTGATACCGCTATCTACATCTCTGGTCGGAGAAGGAGTCTGCTCACCCTTCTCGAACAATGCATTGGAGACCTGGCTACTCATATCTACTATACCGACCAGGTTGCAGATATGACACGCGCTATTCTCCGGCGCTTCAAATCAACCCTGAACCACGAGAGTGGCGCACCATCTGCGTTGGCTACAGTCCACGAGTCTACTGCGTCACCTGTGGCTGCCACCCAATCTGCTTCTGATACTCTCGGTGAGAAAGTCAGCGGTGATGCCTACTCGCATGCTGCTGCGAGATCAATGGCCCTCCGAGCTGTCAAGGCCATCTTTGTCGTGGCGAACTTGACAAAGTCTGCCTCAACGTCTGAGACAAGAAATCCGGTTGGTATTCATGTCTGGGAAGGGACTCAGGGCCTTCTTCGGGATCCCGATCGCGAAGTCCGTCACGCCTATGCTGATGCATTTTTGGCTTGGCTATGCCTTGAAACCAGCAAGGAAGATCTCAAACTACGAAACGATACGCCCAAGTACGTCAAGCCGTCATCGAGGGAGCAGGCGGATAAGCCAAATCGCCGGAGTACGTCGGCACCAGGTAACCAGAGAGAGATTGTTGCCCAGGCTGCACAATCAACCTTCCTTCGACTCTTGCATCTGGCTATCTATGATGCTGCCTTGGACTCCGCCGCTGTCGAATCCGAGATTCTTCTGCTGCATCTTATCATGGTACACCTTGTTGACAACCTGGGTGTGAATGCTATTCAGTACGGACTTCCGATGGTTTTGAAACTTCAGGATGATATTGCGACTTCAGTCGAGCTCGGGTCATCTAAGGCCCGCATCAACGTTGCGAGTTTGATCCATGGATATCTTTTGGCAGTGCTAGAGAAGTTCAGTCTTGAATCCACTCACGCCGGTGTTGAGATTCGCAACGAAATTGAAAGGAGACAGAGCAAGGGACAATGGCTTTCCAAGGTTCGACTGCCGCCCACTGGTCTCGATGATATCGTCATCGGTGATGAAAAGTCTTTCAACGGGGACTCAGATTCATCTGATAGCCTGCAACCTTTCCAGAATATCGAAGGGCTCGTAAGTGGGATTGACGAATCTTATACCAAAGCCATTTCATCGCCACCTCAAAGTCCTCCAACCGCACCAGCACCAGGCTTCAATTTCCCAGTTCTGAGCCAACCTCCATCAACTCATCGGCTGATCGAGAGCGGTCTTCCTTCATCGGTCAAAGATCAGATGATGTCTCCATGGTCTCGAGAGTCGTGTTTGGCTGCCGTGGAGAAGGAAAGCGTTAAAACATTGTCTCTCAGTGGGTCCCGTCAAGGAACCGCGACCCGCAACAACAATGTTAATAGTGCCGCGAATGGTGCCGCGAATGGTTCTCCTGCTGGCTCTGCTACACACAAGAACCGTCGGCAGAGTGTTCCTGAACTTCCACGAACACCAGAGCATAGTTCCAACCGAGGGTCTCCCGTCCGTGTGACAGAGCTGCGACGTGTGCTTTCCGTGACCGCCGATGGCCAGCAACGGAAACTCAGTCCCCTTCGCGGCCACCTCGATGCATCAAACATCAGCATTATCTCCTCTGGTAGTGAGAGTATGGTCAGCGGAAGCTACGCGGTCTCCGAGATGGAACCAGATACCACATCTGTTCATCAACGGGACGCAGACCGGGCACCTGACGGACAGGGGTCAGAGACTCCCCGCCCAGCGTCAGTTATTGTTCTTTCCGGCGACAAAACCCCGACTGAACAGACAGACAGTCTGAGCAGAGTCAACTCTCACGAAATCCCCCCTGTTCCGCCCATTCCTTCGAACCTCCACATTCCAGGTGGCTTTCCCAATGACTCCCAACGATCCCTGCTCATCGACCGCCCATCAACTGCCCCCGACTCGCGCCAGTCTTCCTTCCAGGGCAAATCTGGGCAGCCCCAACAGCACACTCGCAACAAAAAGTCATTGAACCGCAACAAGAGTCGCAGCAGCAATAGTCTTGCTGGAGTTGACGCCTTCCATGACTCCAATGGTGACTCTGCTCTGGACAGCGACCAGCGAGTAGAGCTCAAAAAGCTCTTGGACGGATTCCTGACGCCTGAGAACAGTCTTCTGGCTAACGGGGATCACCCAACCACCGGATCCAAGGCACCAGTAACCCGAAGCTACTCCAAACGACGAGTCAGTGGTGGCGGTGGTCTTGGACGCCCCCCTTATTGATTTCTTTCACCCATTGCGCTTTGCGCCTGTACAGTCGATTCCGGCAGCTTTCTTCTCCAATATCCGAATCTCCCGTTTTTTTCGTTTCTTTGCCCTGCATTGTACATGTTATAATTTCCTTTCTCCTTTTACCTTCTGCTCCTGGTTGACTCCATCTTAAGAGTTGGCGTATCGGCCTAAACGCTCCCTCGTCATTCAGTTTCCTTCCCCCCTTTTTTCGTGCCACCTGATATTCTCTCTTTTTACCTTATTTTCTTTTTGCATATGCTTATTCACTTATCAATCCGCGAACTTTTTTTGGTTACGGTTTTGCGACTGCTTTTTGTATGTCGGCGAATGTTTTGCCGCGGAATTGTACCTAGCTTCGTTGTCTGTAGACACAAAATAGATGGTCCTATAGTCTGCACATGAGATAGATGTGATTGTTAGTCTGGTCAACTACTAGCTTTTATTTTAGTCCACGGGTGCTTAACAGGAGCAGTATCGAATTTGAAAATGAAATCCACATATGTTAGTACACCTGGGCATATATAGACAGGGATCAAAACATCGAGTTCAAATGCAGTCGCCAGAAATCATTTAGTTCGCATAATCAATCAATTTGTTCCATCACTTCAAGCAGGCTGCGCAACCAAACCAGGAGACTCAACCGTCTCCTCTTCAGCCTGCACAATAACATCATCCTTCACAGGACCGAAGAACTCCTTAAAAGTCTTCTCCAAAGTATCCTCAGGAATCTGCATATGCTCCCCAGGGACAGTCCTAAAATCCAATTTATCCTGCTGATCCAAAATCTTCAAGCCCAACCAATCCTCCTCGTAAATCTTCCTCTTATGCAACGGCGTAACAGTCCCATCCGTCGCATTCACATCCGCAAAATGCGCACTCTCCTTCGGCACAGCAACAGTATCATTCTCAAACATATACATAGCAAACATATTCAACGAAGAAAGCCGCCGCTTATACACCTCCTTCTTCTCCGCGCGCTCATTATTAATATCCGCCAAAAAGTTGCTATGCTCCAGATACGCCTCCAGCTCATTCGGGTCCCGGAAGTACTGCGCGGGGACGACATGCGCCTGCACAAAGTCCGCCCACGTGCCCGCGCGCAGCAGGCTCTCGGCCGCGTTGCAGAACCAGTCGCCCATGCCGCAGGACTGGAACTCGCTTATGCCGTTGTGCTGGCTGCCGAATGTGACGAGGTTGTGGACGGGTGGCTTGTTACAGCGCTCGATGTAGCCGCGGAGGAACTGGCCGCCTTGCGAGAAGCCGATGGCGTTGATTGCGGGCGCGGTGCTGAGGATCGGGTCTGTGGCTAGTTGGTCGCAGACTAATTCGAGTTGCTCGGTGACGTTGCCGAAGAAGGTGGCTTGGCGGTCACCGTTGCCCGTGTCGTCGAGGTGGATTATGTGGACGTATGTTCCTGGGTTTGTGGTCTTGGCGAGGTCGGCTACGGCGGCGAGGCCGTTGCGCTCGAAGTCGTCGCCGAGGCCGTGCCAGATTACTAGGGGGAGTTGGGTGGAGTCGGCATTGGAGTTGGGACTTGAGGATTTGATTGAGAGTGATAGGGCACTAGTTGCCAGTGATGCTATTATGGGGATGAGACGCAGCATGGTGGCGCTGGGATTGGGAGTTGGGAACTCGATGGACGTTGGAGCTGGAGAGCTGGAGTGGATCCGGGGGAATTACGATTGCCTATATTCCTTTATCGGCACGTGATAGGCAACACCAACTGGCAACCTTTTTTGATCGCCGCTGAGAATCAATTGGCGGTGGAACACAAAGTGGTATTGCAGATCCATCCATGGATGGAATTGTATGACAAGGACCGGCCCCAAGGTTGATCAGTCGCTCATGGGCCTTGGATTAATAGTTCAAGAATATTGGAGGAGAGTACATAGCAAACATATGGGAAATAAACTTGAATGTACAGACTAGCAATTCCAAATTTCCAACAATTTAGTAGCTGAAAACGAGCCCTTCCAACATTGACTGTTCAAACTACTAGTAGCTCCTAATTTCACTCTTTATTGTATGTAAATTTTCAGCTAGTAGCATTTGGATGTTCTAGAAATCTTCCAAGGTTGGACGGCACTTGTAAGTTCTGGCAATGAGCTTTCATTAGGTAGACATCTGTATTCTAGATTCAATGAGTCCATATTGATAGTTCCAAGGTTACAGTTGGGGAAAAAGGCCATCACTTGATCATCGTTGTAACATCAGATGCGCTTCGTCGAAAAGATGTAGATGGAACCACACCAGACCAAACCAGTAACCAGTAGCACAAGTTCGCCGTTCTTTCGCACGCATGCTTAGGCGATTCCCATCCTAATCCTGCAATTGAACAACCTGACCGAATATTTTTACTGGCACGGGACTGAAGGGGTTTTCTGCGACCTTCAGGGGTGCATTGGAGATATTCAAGCAAGGCATATCATCAACGGCGAATTGGGGCATATTCAAGCGATCATTGAAAGAGCTGCGAGTATTAAGTGGGCTACTGGGATGTAAGCTTCGTTGCGGCTGCGGAAGCCAGCTGGAGACCAAAGGGTCAAAAGGGGCACCCGCCATAGTCAATACGGGGGAAGAAGAGGCCGTTCTTCGAAGGCCATAAGAAGATTCAAGGCCCAAGCCGCTGTTGGGAGCCTGATGCGATTTGAATAACGTTTGTTCTGCAATCAGTTGATCATCAATGGTAAATCGACGCCTTGGTAAAGGCGATCCAAATGCATCCACAGGAAAACTTCCTAGGGATGTGCTTTGATCTGTTTCTGACCGGGAGTGACAGGGCGAGTTTTGGGCAGGATGAACCTTTGCGGAAATATCATGCGGAAAGTTGTAGCCGGCGGGATCGGGGTGTTCCGCCACCTGAGTCTTGGCTAAGATCTCTAGTTCTTTAAAACGGGGTAGCGCACGGCTGTGGCGTGGTTGCAAGGAAATGCGACCGGAAGCAACTTTCCTTGGGAGGATTGGCGAAGATTCTTGGCGATTTGGTTGAAGAATTTCTGTGGGCTCATTGTTGTCCAAAAGCATTGAAAATGAAGATGGGTGGTTAGCGGCTGCTTGGGTATTATCTGTGGGCGAGCCGGCAAGGTGGCCATCAATGTGTATCTTGACATGACTCAAGCTGAGGTCTTGTTCAACAGATGGAGTGCCTCTTTTTCGAGACTTGAACAGTCCAGGCAAAGTCGGATTCCTATGGGACGACATACGCTTTCGGTCAAGATCAGTCAATTTCCGTCGCTTTCCAACTCGTCCCACCTCCTCGACAGAAGGGAATGAGATTTTCAATGGACGGGCCGCAGATACAGCGGCCCAGTCTGGTTGTTGCAGGAGTCGACGCTTCAAGATAGCCAGTTTAGTATTGGGTAGGCCTTTGACAGAATGAGGTCCAGGTGACTCGATGGTCCTGGATTTTAGTAAAATATGTCAGGTTAGCATTGCGTCGTTGAGTGAATCCACACCAGAAACAAAGAAGCGATGCACAGATCCAGCATGTTGTACTGACTGAGCTACCTCTCCTACTTCTCTGGTGTTAAGATCATCTTTGCAAGAGCCATCTTGAAACCCGTTAAATGAGAGTGGTTGAGCGGGTACTCCGTTGATGGCCTGTTGTCGAGACTTGGCAAAGTTCTGGCGCTGAGCTTTGGATAAAATGCCTCGTGCCGAATGTCGGCGTAACTGGCCTCCTGTCCAATTCATGAGAATGAGGAAGGTGGATCTGGTTGCCGATAGTGGAATCGATAGTGTGATAAGTTAAGTTATTACTGCATAACTGTAAAGTGGAGATCATGTGATATTAACCTCTCAAGTTCTCAACCGAGACTCCGAGAGCTATTCCCAAGCCAAACCACACAAACACGTCACGTGGTCTCGCATACAAAATCCGATTTTCAGATTTCTGCATTTTCTTTTCCCTTTCATTATGACCATGATCTTATGAGAATCATGTTATAGCGACAAGAGTGTGACAACTCACCAGATCCACAGGTAAGCCGTGTCTGAATTTCAAGTTTGATTTGATTTGAAATCTCTTTTTTTACTTTTTTTTTTTTTTTCTTTCTTTGTTTGCGAGAGGATCCGTGCTTTTCTCGGACAAAAATCCCTCGACTCTCTCTGGTCTTCTGATGAAGCAATAATTTTAAAGCATAGTTCACCTGAGGTCTCCGGACTACTGAACGAAAAACTTTATCCATCTTTCAACCTATCTGATACCATTTCACTATTTCTGAAATTTGTTCATTATTTGCGAATTTCGGAATTGTTGCTGACTTTCTGTCGAACAGGTCCATACTTTCTTTTTTTTCTAATTTTTTTTCTCTTTTTTTCCGTGCCCAACGCTGCATTGCTACCCAAGCGTGGGTCAGCTCGGCGGCGGGCCGCTCCTTGTGGGATCCAGTCAATTAGAAAATAATGCCAGCCTTGTTTTTCAGTCTAATCTCTTTTTCTCTTGCGCTTGCTCCTGCACCTGCGTCTTGTATATTCTGTAACTCGGTAAAACATGTGCGCTCATCTTGACGTCTCTACTCCGCACTCCGTATAAGATATCATCCCCCTCTTTTGGCTGAATCTCACTTGCATTCTATCCCGTAACCCTCCGACGTGGACGCTTCTCCACCATACATGTTCCTTGTCCACGCGCGAAGAACATCATCATGCAGCGTCAGCTCGTTATACCACCAATCATCATCATCTACGTGCTGTGCCAAGCCTATGGAGACACTGGTCTAGTCTCACCGCTAGAACACCCCCTCCCTTCCATCCACTTGGGGGCGTCCACTTGCAAACCGAGTATGCAGATACCGTCACCGCCAGTCTTCAGCACTGGCCATCTACTGGTCATCGATGGTGCCAACACTGCCAACAACGCGCTGCACGCTGCAATTTTGGCACACGCCATGTTTTGAGCTGGCCCCACCCCACTCCGAAGACCGCTAGTATGTATTTTTTTTTCTACTACTAAAAAGGCTGCTGATCCCCTCCCCTCCTCGATCCTTTCTCTTTTCTCTGTATAACTTCGGATTCCAAATCATCTGACGACTTGGTTTAATTTTGACCAATTGTGCTTTCTACCTTTCAATATATACCCCCTTTTTACCAATCCATATACCCAGTCGACCAGTCTCTGGACCTTGGACGCCCCTTTCTGCTACTTCATACAACATCTGCCAGGTTTATCTTGCCCAAGGATTTTTTTTTCTTTCTTATACACTGCCACGTTGCCCTGGACAGGATTTGCTTTGTTGTTTCCCAGGCTTCTCTTCAGTCTACACCTCGTGGCTGAAAAACATCAGGTAGTCCCCATCACATTTTCCTTGCACTTTCAACTTTTGTTCTTTATATCTCCCATGCGCTGCCTTTCTATACTGGACCTGTACCCTCGCCTATGTACCTTCGACAACCTATCCATGGATTTCACCAACTGCAGGCCATTGCAGACTTCCCACTTGACCAATGGACCATTGATACTTTGACCTTGACCGTGATCCTCACTGGTTTACTCTACCTATCTGGTAGCCCAAAAAGAATGATGCTTCTTTATGGATACTCCCTGGCACCGGTTGTCAGGTGAGTGGACTCTTTTGAGTGTTGTTTTATGTGATGACACTCAATCGAAACTTCCGCTGGACTTGCCTTTATACCCATGGATTTTGCAAAACAGAAAACTTGCCCTGGACTCCCTTCACCCAAACCTGGTGTGATGTGGATGGATTTACTTTACTCCCTGGATAACTGAATGGACCTACTATACGCCTTGGCTTACCTTTGATTACCTTACCGTGGACTCATAATGAAATATCCCTGGAATGATTTTACTATGGCCTTTTCTTTCTCTCGGACTTGACACAAGGAGCCTTTCTACAAACTATCCCAGGATTCTTCTGAGCTTAATGTTGCTCTTCCCGAAATGGAATGCTCCACCTATTATCAACACTTACCTTGGCCACTGATTTGATGGAACCTGGTCAAGCAAGCCCAGGCTGACCTCCCGTGAAATGAATGACTATGACTTTTACTCCCTGGATTCTCATTACCCTCCAACAATACTACGACTATTAGCCCTGGCCATGATGAATGTACTCGACTGTTATCTCAATCCACAATCCTGGCAATAGGCTGTTACCGCATGACTGGACTCCATACTCGACGTGAACTTATATCCTAGGACATCTTTACGCCTCTACCATGGACTTTGCTACTCCTAACTGTGACTTTGGTGCGTCAAGCTTTCGAAACAAGCTCGATAACTCTAGCTAATATATCATAGGCTTTCGACTTCGTCTGGACCTTGGAGCTCTCTTGTTTTTGTTCTTTTTTGATTTCACTTTCCTTATTTTTTTTTTCTTCTTGAAACTTTAGACGTGACGGTGTAGATGACTGACTTGATGATGCTTTTTATTTACAGTTACTTTACACAATTATACACACAACACAAAATGTCTCCCAGGACCAGCACAGACCCTGAGCGGGTTTCTCTTACTCAGTCCAGACACACCTCCATGGTTCACGGAATGTCACATATGGCCTCAAGAACACTCCAGGATGATGAAATGTCAAGCCAGGACAACTCGTCCTTGTGCTCAAGTATTGCCACAAACCACGGAAATCCCCAGGACATGAAAGACTGGAGTATGAACACTTCAGAGTCTCTCGATCAGGCCATTTCCAAGGAATCTCCCCAGGTGCAAATGCTTTCTTTCTCGTTATCTCAGCAGCTCATGACCCCCACGGTCGGACCAAATGATGTTATGTACACAGGCGTAGACTTCCCAGCAGTCTCAGACCTACATGATCACGATGGATTTTACTCCTTTGTGGACCTTTCTTCCATGGATAATGATGTTTGTGGTGTGCAGTCAGGCACACCGGATGATGCCCTTTCTGTTGCTCACAGTTCTCACACGGATGATGCCCACTTCATGAGCCACGAGTCGTGGAATGCTATGATGCCTGATGGCCACTACTCTGGATCAACCCTGGATCAACTCTCATCAGGTCTTTTCCATGGTGTTCCTGTCTCTCCGCCTCTGACAGAAGCTAGCACCGACATTCCCATTACTTCTTCATGCTCACACCCTGGATTTCCTTCTTTCATGACCCATGATGATGCACTCCTCGGAGATTACACTTCCACATCGCCCATTGGCAACCATGGACTTAACCCAACGGAGCCGCTGTTCCCTAACACCACTATCAGTGAGAAGGACGCTGAAAGGTGGGTCCACAACAAAATGATGTTGAGCCAAATACAACGAACGGGGATTCTAATTCATTCCCCGAACAGGACCATCAGACCTACCAAACAGTCTCGACGATCAGCTTTGCCAGGTGTTTCTCAGCCCAATATCAAGCTCGAGTCGGATTTCTTCCCTCCTCTTCCCATGAGAGAGCCAGCCCGCCAGAGATCCAAGGATGGAGCCGAGTCTCGTAACCCGCGAGAGCACCACTTCTATTCCCTTCCCACCCACAGTGATGGAAAGTACTACTGCCCGTTTGCCAATGGAGACAAGCCCTGCAACCACCCACCCACCACGCAAAAATGCGCTTACCAGCAAGTTCTCCTGATATCCATCCACTCAAGGATCCTGACGTGTCCAGGAGCTAACAGATATCCCCTTATAGCAAGTACCTGGATTCTCACTTGAAGCCCTACCGGTGCAAGATCCCCGTCTGCATGGATGGCCAGCTGCGTTTCTCCTCAAACGCCTGCCTCTTCCGCCACGAGCGTGAAGCCCACGGACTACATGGCCATGGAGACAACCCCCACCTCTGCCTGTGGGAGGGCTGTGAACGCTCCGTCCCTGGATATGGATTCCCACGTAGATGGAACTTGTACGACCACATGCGTCGTGTCCACGACTATGTCTCCTCCGAGCGCCACAGCTCACCCGAGATTTCCCCCGCGGTGACCGTCCCTGCCAAGAAGAAGGATTCCACCCCTTCCACCACTGGCCGCAAGAGAAGAAGTGTCACGGGCCCCACCCCGGCCCCCACCATGAAGCGCACCCGCTCCATCCACTCCCACTCCGGCCCTGCCAAGGCAACTCAGAACTCCGCCCAGCATGGACAGCGTCTCCGCACCGCCGAGCACAACTACTACACCTGCCGCTCGCGTCTTCTTGAGGAATTGGCCAAGATCAACCCCCAGGACATCTCCATGCACGAGAAGGTCAACGCTAGCCTCCAGGAGCTGTTCACCTTGGGACTGAACTTCCGTCAGATCGAGGCCAGCCAGGTTATTACCCACATGCCCAATGGAATGCCCGCGTGAATGATTTTCCTTCGCAAGGCTCTGTAAGTCCCCTTTTTCCATCCTGTAATGGAGGAACTAGGATACAACAGTCAGCCATGATCGTTTCTTTTCAAACCTTTCGCGGAGGATGCTTTCCCCCACTTGCCATCATCATCACCATCATACCTTGAACGAAAACTGCTGCCTTGTCGCGCTTGCTTTCGAATTCCGGAATGACCTGTTTAAGCCACGAACCTACTGGGAGCGGACGGACGCATAAGAGTATGCACTCGCACCGGAGCAACCGCTCCAGATCTGGATGCCGTGAGGCAATACCAAAGGGAAAAAAAACCGGGAATCTGTTATGTTGGAGCCGGGCACTCCAGCTACAGTATTCCATGGATAACCCCCGGTGCTCTTACCTCGGAAGAGCACCAAAGCCTTTACCTCACTGAAATGTGATGGGTAGGGGAAGAGGGGGCATGGTCAGGAACCACGCCCCCACCAAAAAAAAGCAAAAAGAAAAAGGACAAAAAAAAAGAAGGAGGAATTGGATGGATAGGAGGCATTGTTGATTCACTTTATTCGACAGATGGAGTTTTTAGTTTGAGCAATTTATTGATTTACATTTGAATATTTCCATGAAAGAAGAAACATAGTAGACCTCTTAGCTAAGGTAATCAATCAACCCTAGGTAAATAGAAAAGAGAGGAATAAAAAGCAAGAAAGCCATCATTTTTAGTCTCATAAATCATGAATATCTCCATCTATAAAGCTCTATCAATATCCACACAAGGGTGTCTAGTATTTCCAAAGACCGCTTTTTGTATATTCAGCCCCCTACGAATCATCATCACCCCCAAAAGTCGAATTCAAAAACCTCACAAACGCATCCCCAATCTGATCAGCTGGCAACCCACCCTGCCCAGCCCCATGCCCACGCCCAATATAAACCCGATTCAAACTAATCCACTGCCTCCTCAAGCGCTGCAATCTCGGCAACGCCAAAACCCCACCAGGCCCAGCAAGTTCATCCGTCGTCCCCGTCGTAGCAACATGCGCCGGAACAAAGACCGGCGTCGAAGCTTCGGGCACAGAAACCGAGATTCCCTTGCCGTCTTTACTCTGCGCCAATGCTACCTCTGCTGACGGTGTAGCCTGCGTAAATGCGCGGATAGCAGTGACCACGGCCGAGGTCTTCTTCTCCATGGCGTACAAGGCGTCGTGGTCAGTCGAGACAGCCTGGACGGTTGCCATGTGAGGTGCCATGCGGGATCGTAGAGAGCCGGCTCCGCTGCCGCCGCGGGTGAACGATGTCCGGGTTGTGGTGACGCTTGCGGCGGAGGAGAGCGATGTTGAGCCGAGGGAGGCGGCGAGATCGGTCATGGGGGTTATGGATGGTTCTTGGGCGGAGGGGAGAACTACGCCGGTGAGAGCGTGGAAGATGTCTGCTACGGGCGGCGTTTCGTCGGCCCAGGGGACTGTGAAGAGGGGTTTATCCCAGCGGCTGTGGGTGCTTGGTTCTTCGTAGCGGAAGATGAGGTTGTTGAGGAGCTCGGATGGGTATGGTTCTTCGGTGTCGGTTGGTTTGGCGGGGACTTCTGGGGAAGAGGAGTCTGTCTCGGTGGTGGATGGGACCTGTGAGTCTGTGTTTGCGTCTGAGGGTTTCTCGGAAGCTTGACGCTGGAGTCGGGCGTCGTTGTTCGCAATACATTGGTCAACGGGTGTTCCGACATGGACCTGGTTCGATTCATGAGTGATTAGTTACGCTATTGGACTTCTCCCTCCCAGATCGGGAAAGCATCATACCACACAGCATGATGTTCCGGCAGCCTTGGCCTCACACCAAAGCTGGTACCGCCATCCTTTGATATAATTCATGCCATCCAAGATCACAATGCTATCGCGAGCAAGGACACGCTTAGCCCGAGCGTAGGCTACGCCACGGGCCTCCTTTTCTGTGCGTGCATGATCGTATACGATTCGAGGGTGTGAGGTGTCATGAGATGCAACGACATGAACTTTGAATCGAGACTTTAGGGTAGCAGGCGAGGCTGAATCGGTGGCAGCGAAGAGTTCATCCTGCGCTGTTTCGAAGAGCGCCGCGAGCTGGTTCGCGCGGTAGGTGAGACCGGAGCAAGGGTAGCCGGTTAGAATCACGAGCTGAGGGGGTCAGTACAGGTCATTTTGTGGCTGTTTCAGCTGTTCTTACAGGCATCCTGGGTGGTTGTGGTGTTTGGTGCGGCGAACTTTTTTTCCGCGGGGTTAAACCATGTGACTGCGGGACAGCCGCTGGGATCTGCAGTAGAAACTTGAAAGCACATTACTTTGGAACATTTAGAACAGGTCAATATAGATAGATCGTAATATCTAATATTTATTGATCTGATTATTAGTTTTAATTATTACAAAATTTTCGTCGAATATTTTTTTTGGAATTTTATCTTTTTAGAGAGAGCGGTCATTTCAAGTATTTGGTGATGGACATTATAGCATTCACAAGCAAAAGCCTAATGTCACCTTATCTTGCAGGCAAAAGCCATAGCTGTATTCCGTGGTACTTCGGTTACAGGAAGCCCCGAGGTTCGCATTTGACAGAGTTCGGCTTATCAGTGGGGGTGTTCAATGTTCTCACCAAATCAGTATCAATACCGAGCGATTTACATCGCATGTTTTCTATAACTTTCTATGCTTTTGAAATCCAGTGCGACGCTATTGAGAAGTGGGGTAATAAAGCCCAGAACTACTATATTATAACTTTTTATTGAAATGAAGAACCGTAGCGACACAATTATGGAGATAGATTCGAAACGGGCAAAAGCTCCGTTTATACAGATTCATTCAACGTGGTGGCGGCCAATAGGAACAGGAACATGAACTCGGATCTGTTAATCGTTCTTCCCTAAAGAAACGGAGATACTAGTAACCAGTAGTCAAGTATGGCATTTACATTCCGGCCGAGGCTTTTACCGTTTTACGGTATTTTGCCACTCTCATCGTGTGGAGATGTGTGGAGATACCGTCACATTACACGGGTAATCATCGGGATCTACTGGTAAAAAAAAGGCATGGTAAAAAAGTAATCACGTCAGAACTTCTTTCCCTTTCAAGATCTCCCTTTCTGTGTCTTTGTGTCCTTCTCCAGACCGTCACTCTCTAAGCGACCTGGGAATTCCATTTGCTCTCTCTCTCACAACAACTCTCCGACTCTCTCATCCTTCGACTTCCTTTGGCCCGCATTCATTGCCAGTGGTGCCGTCATTGGGACTGTGACGCTGCAACGCTACACTTTTATTCGTCTGAAACAGAATCTGCCTTGACCAACCCAGCAGATTCTTTGATCCCACAATTTCACAATTTCACAATCATCTCGCCATCTGTCACGGCTCCCTCGTTAGCCACAAAGTAGATCCCCCTCCCCCGCGAAAGCAACATGGATCCTGGACGATCAGCCCATCCCCCTCAAGCCCCCGCTTCCACCCTTTTCACTTCAACCATGCAATCCTTCGCTCCCTCCACCGAACTACCCAGTGCAGTATCCCAACCACCCAACCCCTTCAGCATGTCCTCAAAACCGGCCTCGCAGGCCTTTGCTACCCCATTGCAATCTACCTCCTTCGGCGCCGCACCCGCCATCTCCCAAAACCAACCCTTTACTCAGACCTTGAACGCTTCCAGTACCTCCGGGATACCAGTCGCTTCACAGGGTATCAATTCCGGTTCAATCCCACGATCGGAAACCATGACCGCTGCTCAGCCCGCCACCGCCCTCTATCCACACCAAGTTGACGGTCTCGGTGGTCCTACGGCGACCGCTCCGTTCTTGCAGGACTTTAATCTTGTGGCTGAGGCGGCTAAGCGGGCGCAGATGGGCATTGTCATGCGTGATTTGGAGAGCGTGACCCTGTAAATTAAAAGGGGCAGGGATCAAGGATGTGCGCAGGTGGCGGGGGGCAGGTCCCCCCGGGCGGGGTTATACACGATACAACTGCAATTCGAATGAGGAATCTGCAGGCCCAGCCAGCATGAACTGGTTTTCATGCTCTACCATCTTTTGATTGGTTCAAATTTATTCGGGCGTCGATCGCGAGTGGGGAAATGCAGGTTGCCTTCTTTTTGACATTCTCTTTGATCATTCTCAGACACTGCGGGTAGCCTTTGGATTATGCTATCCTGGCTTGAATCCCTTCTCCTTTTGACGCCCTGGGCGTCTTTTTACGACGGCGTTTCTTTGCTTCGTTTTTCTTACCTTATACCACCGATATACTCGATATATACAATTCACACCACTTTACTCTTGAATCCATGAATTTCCATTTCACTTTGCCGTATATAAGATGTGCATAGATAGGCACCGAGTACCTACTATTTTAAATTCGCTTTCGTTTACTAGCTCTAGTTCTCCCAGGGCTGCTATTTTCTTTGGGTGGACTGGGCAGACTCTTAACCTTACCGAACAAGTCATCAAGTCGCTGCTGCCCATGCTCAACCGGGGATGACCGAAACCTTTCACTCGCAAGCACTGGTGGTTTCCCTCGAACACGCCGCTGCGCATCATCCAATAACTCAAGTTCTCGCTCCCGCTGACCCTGCACTGTCGGTATAGACCATGACCCAGACGAGACAGACTTATGCGCCAGCTTATACTTGGACCCTGTCAGGTGTGTCTCTTAAGTATTAGCATCGATCTTGCGCACATGCTGCAACATGTTAGTACCCTACAAAGACGACAAAGGAGAAGAAAGGAAGAAGGCCAAGGCCCCAAACCCCCAAGATGCATTTCCACATACCTGATGTCCCACGATGAACCAATGATACTCCGTCCCAACAGGTGCGCCACTTCCAGTTGGCGCATTCCTCGATCGCCTTTTTCTTGTCTGGTAATTGATTCGCCACAGATCTGGCTCCTCTTTGGTCTCCTTCCATATGCCTGGCTCGTAGTTCCAGGTATGTGAGCCGCCAATCGCCATGCCTGAGTATAGTTGGTCGTTGTGGGTTTTCAGGGCACTGTAGCCCTTGCCAGCTCCTGTGGAGGTGACGATGTTGTCGGCGGATCCTTCTTCCAATGCATTTTCTTCTTCGTCCAGGAAGACGGGGTCGATAGAGTCCGTGGAGATGGTGGGTGATGGGGTGCGGGAATTGGACATTTGGAATTCTCTTCAGGCGTATGTGTAACAGTAAGTTGTTCATTCAAAATTGATCAATGGTTTGGATACGAGGAAGTAAGTGTAAAAGCTATGGGAGATACACTACCTCAGTCACTTTTATGATGTCATGTTGAGGTTATCCATGGATGTGTACACTTCGGATCTACTAGTAGTATGTAAACAAAGAAGGCTTCTCTGAGGATTGATTAGCAACTTCTTCGCATGTACTCTTTACAGGCTGTACACTTTTCATCTCAATGTCTTTCTTATGGCTTACACGAGTAGTACAGAACCCTCAATTCCCGTCGCAATGCACATGGCGCAATCTGAAGACTCTCTCATCCAACAGACCCCGCTTTACCAAAACGGGCGAGGGTCCAGGCCCCCACCACACGGGCGATGGAAACTATACCCTAAGCCTATTCCTTTCCACAAGCCCGATCTATTTCATTTCTTCAAAACTTCTCCAATTCATACACTTACCCTCCCCAAAACTCACCAAATTCTACCATGGCTGATATCGATGTCGACGAAGACGTAAAAGGCAATGCCTTCACAACCAAGAACTACCGAGACATCTACCCTGCCATCGATCCTACTCGTCCAGAGCTTTCTCAGACAGGCAAGGTGGTGGTGATCACTGGAGGTAGTCGTGGCCTAGGACGCTTGGTAAGATCAATTGGACTTGAAACTATATCAATATAGAATGTGGATGTGAGAATTCTCATAATCAGACTATAGGCCTTTGCAGCCTCATTCGCTCGAGCAGGAGCAGGCGTCATTGTACTCATTGGTCGCTCTGCAACTGGGCTAGAGGACACCGAGAAGCTCATCAACGAGATCAGCCCTGACACGCAGGTCCTTCGCTTCCCACTCGATATCACCGACCAGGCTGCCGTGGAAACAGTGTTCAGGGATATCGTGGCCCAGGTCGGTGCCCCGCACGTTTTGATCAACAATGCGGGCAACCTCGCTCCGCTGCAGCGTACATTTGACTCGACATTGGATTCGTGGTGGGATTGTCAGGTTAGTTCATTCATTCATTTCGCTTTGCCATACCGAGTCGACGAATGGCCCAGGACATTCTCAGTTGTGCAATTTATCGCATCTGCTAGTTCCATGACTTACTACTGCTGCCGCAGGAAATCAACATCAAGGGAACGTACATCGTCACAAAGGCTTTCATCGGAGCAACCGTAAATGCAACTGCGCCCATTAACCCCGCCAATCCCACATCCATCATCACAGTGACCTCGCTCGCTGCTCATGGCACCGCACCCGGCATGGGTGCATACTCCCTCGCAAAGTTAGCCCTCACTAAGCTTACGGCCTACATTGGCTCGGAGCATCCGACTATTACCTCCGTTAGTCTCGATCCGGGTGTTGTTCCGACGGATATGGCTCGTGCGGTGCCTTATCTTGCAGAATTCATGCTCGATACTCCGGAGCTGGTGGGAGGTGCTGCAGTGTGGTTGTCGAGCGGTGATAAGAGGTTTCTTTCGGGACGATATGTCTCCGCTAACTGGGATGTGGAGGAGCTTGAGAGTCGAAAGGATGAGATTGTGGATGGAAATCAGTTGAAATTTGGAGTGAAGGGGAACTTTGCTTCAAATGCGACCGTTGTGAAATCTACATGATCGAGTGGCTCTGTTGTTTTGCGGTTCTGTGGATATGATATTAGATATGAGCCTATGAGGCCTTATTGTGTTCGAATTTGGAGAATCCATCCAGATGTCCTGGATGTGTTTCCTCGAATATTGAATGTATGTATATATGGTCTATGGGCTTGTGGGAAAGAAGAATGGACAACTGAAACCTCGATATCTGACATAGTAGTAGATCACTGACTAGCCTAGTACTCATGCATGTGTGTTTTTGTTACCTTCTATAAGCTCAGTCTCCCATTCGTAACATTGAATGCATAGCCACATGTGCAGTTGATTGATACATACTACTAGTACACATCTTATGCACCAATGAACCTCTAGTCCCACAAAACATATATAGACCCGCATCAATATGCATTATACACGCAAGGCACCAATCAATTCCCAAAGGAGCCACAGACAAACACATCCATCCCCAGCCCCCGTTGACGACTACTCTTAGCCCACATGGATTTTCCCAAGCTATAAAAAGCTTGTTTCACAATAGTGGATGGGATCCAGTTCTTACGAGTGCATCGCCCCCCAGCCTCCCGAAAAAAACAATAACGAAGCGTGGCACGTAAACAGAATCTCAACCTCGGGACTCGATGTTCTCAAGTCAAGTCTCGGATAGGCTGTTCATCGTGAACTGTGGAACCTTCGGATATATCCCGAAGGTATGATTTCATGTTTTTTAAAAAAAATTATCTTGAAAGAGGCTTAGTAGAATTCAATGTTATTTTGCGGGGGGCTAGTGGAGCGAGCCGTTGATCTACACACGATGAGTTTTATTTTAGAGTTGCGATCACGTCCATAGATCGGAACATAATGTTTGAAGGAAAAGAATAGGCAGAACAACTGAATGGGGAATAACATCTACTCAAGTGCTGGGCATCTTGAAACACAGATGTTTTGTTTATTTTCAAGGCTGCTGCGGCAGTGGTATACGTACCACGTACCAACAATTTCAAGTGTCATTCCCAAGGTTCCAATTTTCCATTTCAATCGAGGCGCATTCAAGCGAACAACATTGAACGGCTTGGGTTAGGAGCAAGCCACGCCCGGCGCTAACAAGTGCCGTGGAGAGAGAAAAAAAAAAAGAAGAGGAAAAGAAGAAGAAAAGAAAAAAAAGTACAATGCACCCGATCAATACTCCGTATAGATAAACAATAAGGACTTCCCCCTCACCTCCGCGGTAATTGATTCGTAGAAAAGATTTTCCCGTGGAGCAGCCAGCCGTTCTTTATTTTTAGGGCACCTTTGCGTTTGCTGACGCACGTCGGTCCACACCGGCAAGGCTTAGGCGGGCAGCGGCGTGTGTGGCGCCCTGCCGATTGCTGAGACATGCATGGTGGTATCTGATTGATTATGGTTTATGGCTTGTGATAGCTAATGTTAGTTTGGTAAATGTTAGCAGTCCTGATGATCATCAAAAAGCAACTTGAACATTGTAGGCATGTGTCGACTAGAGAGAAGCGGGTCTTAGTACTTTCCAAAGCTACTAGCAATATTTGAACATTTGCACCCTATGTATGCACTATTGAGCTCTATTGAGTAGATGGAAACAATATTAGGCAAATGTGTAAATTGAATCTTTGGAATCGATTCCCAAACGCCGAGCTATGCGCAAACCAACCCAAAAAATAGAATAGAATAGATACATGGTTTCCGAGAGACACAGATGAAATATTAGCTGGGAAACCGAATCACCCCATATGTTGCAAAAAAATCAACAAAGAAAGTAAAGGAATGACGGGATATGAGGCAAGAAACCAAAATCTAAACAAAAACACAAAAAAACCTCCATCCAACCCGTGGATATAATGACAATAAAAAAAAGCAATGCAAACTCCGAAATCACAAGGCTCCCGATAAAAACACCGCTCTTTCCCATGTGCGGATCGCATGTGTATGTCTCATGGACATGTGTAAATGTAAAATGTAAAATGTAAAATGTAAAATGTGAGATGTAAGTAATGATCGTCACTGCAAGCCAGCAGCATATACCGCCGATCAATATCGGCGATTTTTTTCTCTCTCAAGGTTCCGTTCCCCTCCAAGGGGATTTTTCTTTTTCATCAAAGATCAACTTGAAAGTTCAATCCCACCGGATCGAACTCGGTGTTCCGAGATCGGTATTTTTGGCTCATTCAATCATGCCATGGATCCACCCACGGACCCGACCGCTCCGCTCATAGTATACGCGGTACGGTAGTACCACGCCAAAAAAAAGAAAAAACTCATGTCCAATGGTTCCGTAGCCCAAATAAACAAAACAAGACCAGGCAAATCCACATCCCATAGTTTCGTTGATGGGTAACGGATTAAATCAAATCAGATCAAATCGCCGAAGACCCAATCAGATTAGGCGTGGAAATGCTCGTATGAGGACGCTCAGCGCCCTTTGCACGACCGCCAAAGATAGAAAGTCTGCGCGACAGTCTGCGTCCTAGTCCGCCCTGTCCGGACATGATGGACATGGGCCTTGAAGGTGGTGGGCCGTGGTAAGTAGCTGTCTCGGGGCGGGGAACATTGGTACCGAGCGAGCCGTCCAGCAGGAAGGTGGAGCGGCGCTTGAGCTTTGCCGCAGTGCTGGAGGGATCGCCGAGCTGGTAGGCGAGGTCCTCTTTGATATCGTCCAGGGCGTGGGAGACGCGGCGGAGGAGCTTTGGCTTTTCAATGAAGGAGAGGGGCCGTTGTTCGAGGCCGTAGAGCTCGATGGGGTTTGAGTCGCCTGCTTCGTCCATCGGGGAGGCGTAGAAGCGGCGGTATTTGGGCATCTGGGCTCGGCGTGGGTGTTGGGAGCCGAGGGAGACGGTTGATGTTGGTTGGGGGTGGATGTAGGGGAGGTGAGGGTCTGAGGAGGAGACGCTCGAGGAGTAGGAGCTGTTTGTGGGAGATGATGTCCACATGGTTTCTTTTTCTAGTATGTGTTGGAGGTCTGGTTGGGTGGTTTGAAGGGACCAGGGGTGGTATGTAGGTGGTATACAACCTAGAAGGGGGGAGAGAGGAAGAAAGGGTTACAGGTATGGGATACGAAGGAGTAAAAGAGAGATCAGAAATCAGAAATGAGAAAGTAGAAAGTAGAAATCCAAGAGAAAGAAAAAAAAAGAAAAGGTCCCATTCGCATATACCAAAAAAAGCAGAGAGTATCCATTACGAAAAAGACTAAAAGGAAACTAAAAGTGGATCAAAGACATTGAGCATTTTAGTTCCCAAGCTACGAGGCGCTGGGCCGTGTAACACATAGATGATGGTAATTTGCATTTGGTTCCATTTTTCGATTTAATTTGAATGCTATAGAGAAAAAAAAAACTACTAGTACCTTCAATGTTAACCATGGGGGTTGAATAGCAGAATTGCATAATGGTGACGATATAGTGAAGATCGCTGTCAAAAGTGAAAGGAGTTGTAATTCCGCGAAATTTCACAATTTTCACAATTTCCTATTTTCATCCTCGATGGGGGAAATGGGACTTAATTTTTTTCCCTTCTGACCCGCTTCGAGGTAGACGAGCGGAGTTAGCATCAGATCATCCCCATCCACACTTGTCTTGGAAATCTGACACATCAGCATCTTTTGTACTTTTGCAACATGACGCGGCAGTTAAAAAAAAGGGAACGTCTCGGGTTCTGTTTTAGGTTTCTGTGAGATCTTCGATATATCAGCCACACAGAACACCTAAACACACGTAGGCGCCAAGCCAACGTGGTGGTTCCAAAGTTTCGATCTTTCCTTTGGAGAGAGAGAGAAAGAGGAGGAAAGAAAATGCGGACTGTGGGTCCCCTTTTTTCACCCACGGTTCCACCGGGATCTTCTGCCGCTAGAATTTAATTGGAGCGATTCACTCTCAGGGGAAATCGTGCGATTGTGGCAGGACCTTGAAGGTTGCATGACCATGCCAGGAAAGGAAATGGGAACCGCACTTCGATTCCGCGTGAGAACATGAGAGGTTGATATTTGTCGAATTGGAACTTTTCCTTCGAGAAAGAGGGTCGAAAAGGGTTCGGGGATAAGTAATCTGCTCCAGCGTTCGAGGATGAGAGTTTGGTGGTGGATCAGTATGGGGCGAAAGAAAGACCTGACAAACCACAGCCATGCATCGGAGAACACACGAGGGCCGTGGAGGGGTTCTGAATCGCGGACCATTCAGAGTTGGGAATTCTAGTTATCCACTTTATGCAAACCCCGCAAGAGGACCTCGGGATCGTCTATTTTGATGGGGGCGTCAATAAAGAAAGGAGTTTAGAGATTGGCAAAGATTAGCAAATTAGTGGCTGAGGGGGGGGGGCAAATTTCCCTTTTCAACCCAAGCCAATCCAAAGGAGGAATAGAACGTCGTCGAAGCGGAGTTCCTACGGAGCACGGAGTATGGAATCACAAAAAATGTAATGATATAATGATATGCAAATCATAGCAAAATGGTAAGAAATCAGAAAGCGCCATGACATCGTTGCTCATTTCTTTTGAAACTGTGATCTACATAACAAAGCGCAAGTTGACATCTGCCGATCTCAAAGTCAGCCAATTTTCTTTTTGCATTATCAGCGTATGGCAACACAGCATAAACTTACCCAGAGGATGGCTGCAGCTCAACTGCGGCTTTTGAGTATACTTCCCGTCAAGTTCCGCCCGAATTGAATTCAAGAGCTGCAGATAAGATTGCTGCGGCCACTGCTTCAGCGATTTGATGAACGCCCAGCTGAGGGCTCCACGCGCCTGCCCGTCTTGGAAAGTATCGGCCCTGCAAATGAAAAGAGAAAACGGATTAGCTCGGAAGTCGGGAAGATTTAAAGCCGCTTTCCTTTCCCCGCACTTACGATGTCTGTGTATCTTTAGATCCGGAGAACATGACCACATCGGCCGGCGATGTTTTGGTCTGCAAAGTACGCTGGCGCGCTTGGCCGCCATTGGCTGCTTTCTTAAAGAATCCGATGGCAGTGTTGGCCATACTAGAGAGATCACCCTGTCCATATGAAGAAATCGCGCTAAACAGATCCTGAGCGGCTTCCTTGGCCAGATTAGGCTCTTTAAGCACTCCCTGAGTGGAATAAATGTACGGCAGATCCAACGCAGTACCCGAGTGACACGAATCAAAGATGGCTGTCAATCGCACACCAGGTCGTAGAGGCCGAACCATGATATCATGCATGTCGTCGTCTACAATATGGCCGACAGTGCGGTAATCGACCGGGTAGATAACATCGTCGAATCCGTCGTCTTCGTCGCCGTCGAGATCAGGTGTTCGGCCGCCGTGCCCAGAGAAGTGAACGAATAGTGAATCATGAGGTTGGGCGTCCTTGACGAGCCACTGCATGGCGCGAAGAATGTTTTGCTTAGTTGGTATACTCATTGGATTCTTCTGATCATCAGTCAAGATGACCATATCCTCCCGGCGATATCCAAATCGCTCATGCAAGAAAGTGGACATGTTAGTGACATCGTTGATGCAGCCGTGCAACGCATTCGGCTGGCCGGTGTAGTTAATTCCGATCAAAAGCGCCTTGCGACGTCCCGTACAGGCCGAGTACTGGAACTGATAATTAGATGGCGCGCCTGACCCGAAGTGTTGGAGATTTTGGGGTGGCGTGGGGGCCACATTCGGTGATGAGGGTCGGCCAGGTTCTATGCCAGATCAGCTGATGGGGTTTTGGGAGGGGGGGGGGGGTTTGGGATAGATGTCGCGCAAGACTTACCATTTCGGGCAGCACTTAGATGGTGCTGATGGGTTTGATAAGGTTGCGGTGAAGGTTGATAGCCATAAGGTTGTGACGTTGGTCGAGGGGAGGGCGCCTGATATCCATAGGACCCTTGCGACGGCTGCGGCGAATGACTGTAGGGACGTGGCGGGGGTTGCGGGGAATTGCTGTAAGGTCTTGGCGGAGGCTGCGGCGAGTAACCATAGGATCCCGAGGATTGGGGCGGGGGTCCTGGAGGAGGCCCTTGAGGATGATGATGACCGTGGTGTTGCGGCGGTCCATATTGGCCATAGGGCTGAGGCTGACCTCCATGCGGGGCCCACTGACCGGGAGGAGGTTGCTGATAACCCCACGGGGGAGGCCCTTGAGGCGGAGGTGGTCCTCCTGGCGGGTAATAGTACATTTTTTGAGATGAAAGCGAGATCAAGAATTAAAAAAAAAAATCAAAAAAGTGGAAGTCTTTCTAGAGGAAGAAGTTTTTTTTTGTCGGAGGGGGTTTTTCTGGCTGGCTGACTAGGGTGGGTCGCGCAGATCGGAGTTAATGAACTTTGGAAAACACGGCAATGCTTGCCGGTTGGGATATACATAGAAGTAGAAGAGAAGAGATAAATAAGAGAAGACCGGAAAAAGACTATAGAAACCAAAGATTGCGCCCGGTGCCTTTTTCGGCATCCATGACGGTGCCATGGAAACAATTCAGCCCTACGAGTTCTCTCTGCAGGCAACAATGTTTATGCGACTCCGTTTTGCTTGGCTTCTTGGCAATGATATCAGCGTCCCCAAGGTCACCTGACCCTCACTACAAAAAAAGACATAGTCTCTTTTAGCGTGTGGCTAGCGGAAGTCTACTAGTATAGAAACAAAGAACGTGATCTACATCTCCAGATATCGAAGTTGCATGAATCATACACCTGAATTCATAAATCAAGAAGCAAACATTGGAAGAGTAATCACCAGATGCAGTCTAGTCCATTCAACAAAATCTTACTAGTTATGTCAGACCCTGTGATCACTGATAAGTCATCAGTCTGCCTGACTCTTGAGGTGTCAAAAGATTACGTCGCTAAAAATAGCCTCGGATGTTTCTGGATCTCTTGAGAGTCCGAGACTTCTCTCTGATCATGACAATTGCCTCTCGTTTCATGTCTCTAGTCTCAACTGTAACTTTTACCCGATCCAGGCTATCTCTGACGCGAAAATACCTCTCATATTATCATATAAGCAAGGCTGCACATCGCATTACGAACACATGAAGAGACTAAACTGCGGGGTTGCACTTACACGGAGTCACACTACCTTATCCGAGTCCGAATTCATTTCCAAGCAGAGGCCACAGCGTCCAAGCCGAAAAACTTTGAAATCAAGTAAAAGTAATATCGCAAGTCAAGACTCTTCAGGTTCTTGCATGTTATGTGGTGTGGACTATGGAGGCTCCACACACCTGCATACATGACGATCATACAGAGATACGGTGTGTAGGAAGTGAAGCTTGGAACTGGAACTTTGGGTGATGAACAGAGCCGCATGGAAAATATGCTTCGGGACGAGTAAGAATGCTACTACAGCGGATTCCCAAATAACTCGTATTCTAGCGCCCCCTTTCCAAGATTAGTGGCTTTCCATTGGCCTCTAAATCGCCCGCCTCCAACAATCCAATCACAAAGGGGCCCATAACCAGTTGAGCCTCACTGAAATTCCATGGAATCCGAGAATTCTTGCCAGTGGATGACCAGGATAAATTACCTCAAATGAAATTTAAATTGACCGACACGTTTGAAATTCCAGTTCGGTCAAATGAGTATCCCCGAAAGAGAAATGGTGTAGAAGTGCCGATCGCTGTGCTGGGGGCTGTGCTCACAAGCCATTTGGCATTTATGTGGTTTTTGTTTTTTGCCCCCGAACTCTCAGGCCAACTCCTGGGATTGAGGCTCAAATCTCTCCATAGCAAACTTAGTCTCCCATTAAATGATAAAAGTCCCACCGGTCATTCCCATTTGAGCCCCATACTTTCCTCCCTTTATGATTCTCAATTTCAATCTTACTTTCACCATGTCTTCATGTTGAAAGCCAAAACGTGCCTCTTTCCCTTCATTTTAATTTATCCCCCAATTACAACAGCCATGCCGGCTGCGAGGAGTCTGGACTCCCTTCCATTTGACATTTTTTATGAAATCGCAACTTCTTTGGATGACCGCGACTTTGTTAATCTGAGTCGTACCAACCGTGCTCTTCATGATCTCGCTCAGAGTGACTTAATTGCACGTAAGACAGTAGAGGTAAGAAAATGCAAATTATTTCTCACCCAGCCCAAAGAGGAGGGGGAACCAAGGCTGACCCTACAAAGAACGCGCTCCTATTCAGCAAAGAAGGACAATCGGCCTTAGGTCAGGCCGGATATACCTTCTGCAAGGCGGTTGGGCATCGGTTTGACATCCATGAAGCGGTCGCTACAGCTGCCCCATATTCCGTTTCATGTCTAGCCTATGGGGCCGACTTTCTCTACAATCAAGGGACCCTGTGCTACAGAGTGGAACAGGAGGTTCGTCTGCTGGATGTGCATGCTGGGGGTAAGCAGGAACGTGTTCTAAATTTATTAGCCGTTCTTCGCCGCCTATGTTCGGAATCGCTGGGCGCGGATGCAGTGGATCGGGTATCGTTGCTGCGATATGCAGATGGCATCCTCGTATTTCGGTTCGAGGCCGGGGATGATCAAGACGACTTGCTGGTGGCGATTGACATGGCGCCTCGTCTACATAACCCCCGCAAGGGACGCCTGCTTTTCAAAAAGCGGATTCCTGCAGGGGCTCGGGTCTTTGTCCGGCACAACCGCACCTATATTTGGTACGGCATATTTACTGCGGTGGGTGGCTCAAATGGCGCGTGGTCCATCCACAGGGTGGATATAGTTTCCGCCATTATTTTCAACTTTACCCTTCCTCAAGTCGTTGATGGCGATCTTGGTCAATCCCTTTGTTTTGAGATGTACAACGAGCATCTTTACGCAGTATCCACCCAGGTCGCCTCCGAGGAGAATGAAAGATACTCCTCGTTTTATCATTGGTTCTGCTACAGCCCGCGCCACAGTCGTCGTGAGTGGCATGGACATCTGTGGCGTCGCCAGCATTGCGAAGGCCCTATTAACGAGATGTGGACCGATCTATCCATATGTACCGACGAGGTCACTGGCCGACCAGTCATCTTAGAATGCCGCCGCGAGTGGCCCGATGGAAAGAGTGAAAACCATCGCACCTACTATACCCAAGCCCTCAAAACACCAGAAGAATGCCTCGCCGAGTACGGCGAAGGCGACAAGATACCTTCAATAATAACAAACGATCCGATCCCATCAGATGATTCGGACTCGGAAACAGTCGACTCGCTCAAATGTCAAGAGTCCATCCGTAACCTCCACGACCACCGACCCGAAAAGCGCCTACGCCGCGACTACCACGCCGAATACGAATCCACCCACGACCAAACAAAAAGACAAGAATATATCGCCGCGCGAACAAAGCACCGCAGCTACAATCTCGCCGCCTCAACCTTCATCGACCTCGTCAACGACCCAGCCCTCCAATCAGACGGCTTCCGATCCCAAGACCGCCTCCGCCTCCGCACCGTTTCTCGAAAACGCAAATGTCCCATCGACGAAGATGGCGCAGAAGGACCCGCAGGCCTCCTCCTCGGTCCCACACAATACAATAAAGATGGCACACCGGTCGAAGGCTCGGAAGAGCGCTTCGTCTCGCGTGGCGTGCACATGTGGCCTCCAGATGACGCGCCGGCTGAACTCAGGCGCCTGCTTTGTCCCGACGCGCGGATTAGCACTGTGCACGCGATCTCGGATGAACGCTCGCTTATTTACTCGGTGAGGTGCGCGGGCTTACCGACAGGTCACCAGGCCTTGATCTTGATAAGTTTTGATCCGCAGATTCACTTTTCCACGCTCTCGTCTATTCGTAGCATGGAAGCGCCGGTTGTTCCGGATAAAATATTCCCCATTGAAAGAATGGAGGGGGGAAAATCGAATGCGTCCCTGTTTAGGGAGATGGCGCCTCTTTATGAGGCTATTAAATGGGGATACTGGTTACGATGAGGGGTCTCGAGTCGCTATTGCGTCGACCGTTGCTATGCTATGCCGTTGAGCATGGTCAATAAATGATAGGAACTTTTACCGATTGATAGTTATTATTAACACAGCATAATTTAGCTTTTCAGGCTATCAAATACAGAGAATTTCAGAAAAACCCGGCTCTACCTATCATATACTAAGTTACTACTACACATACCAAAATGCTTCATACGCGGCAAATGAACTCTGACATTGGGATAAACTGAAAACTATCGAGACTGGAAGTTAAGATAAAAATGAACAAAAATCACAAACACAGAAAAAGGGATAAACGCAGACACTTTTTGAAGGGGAGAAAACAGCTGAACTCATGCCAGCTATAATGGAACCAAAGGGGTTGCAAGATCAACACTCATTACTGACCAGGGTCAAAAGGGTTCACCAAACAAGCCCAATAAATCTCCATTACTATGCGGCCACCAAGCTCCTTAGATCTCAGTTACTGTGCGACCACCTCTGCTTCAAGTGGATTTCGCCAGGCAAATTCCCCGTGCATGCTTGACAAACGACAAAAGCCGCTGTCGGCGGTAGTAAATGTTTGTCAGATCGACACGAGCTTTTGATTCGGCGTCATTTTGACCAGTGATCAAGATGAGCATGAAGAAAGTCTCGATGATGCTGGGAGGAACATTAGAAATCAATTGCCCGGTCAAACTCCAGTGCAATGCGCTTGAGGCTACGATACAGCCGATGGTAAGGAGAAGACCTGCTCCTACCATGAGAAGATGAGAGCTGATCGAGTCGAGTTTGCGAGACACACGGCGGGTTAAGGACGGGCGCTCAAGGTCATGAGCTGAGGGGATCGGCATGGTGAGGGCGGCGAACATCGGCTCATCGCCTTGCTCCAGAACTCGAATCTGCCTGCTGAGGTATTCATGCACTTTGCCTTGGACGTTGCGAAGAATGAAGCTGTCAAACAGGCCAATCAGACCCGCATAGGTACCAATGAGCAACCACCAGGTGTTATTGAACTTGAATACCGGACCAACGGCGGCCCAGGCAACGATGACCAACACGAGAATGATAATGCCAGCCAGGGTTCCGATAATATCAGCGTAGTAGTAGACAACGACCTGCAGATAGCCTTCTTTCGGCCGCTCGATGACCTCGGTGGTGTTTGGAAGGGTATCGTGCGTAAGACGGCGAAGTTCTTGCTCGAGGCTCGCATCTAGTTTGAAAATTGCATTCACGCAAGTTCCAGTGTAGTTGGCATAACATTCACGAAGACAGGCCAGGAATGCAAAGACCAGGACCATCAGGGCAGATGTCGCGTCATTTATGTACAGCTGCCATCTGGGTGACCAGTCACAGGAGGGGCCAAATCCCAACCAAATGAATATGCATACCCAGTACATACCAACGGTGATCAGGTGTCCAAAGGTCTTTGCAGAAGAGATGATCCACTGAGAGAAGAGGCTCTGGTCTGACATAGAGTAGTCCAGTGAGTGCAGGGGCTCATCTTTGCAAATATTGGCGACGCGGCTAGTTTCTTCCTGTCCCATTTTTTCCTTGACCATGGCAAACATCCGCCTATGACTGTTGGATCGAGACTTGATTTCGACCATGACCGTGCACTGCTCGGTGTACTCCCGCAGAAGCTGTCGCAGCAAGAAGGAGTCAAAAACATAGCACAAGATAGCCTGTACATCAGAGATAATAGCAACCCAGACATCGGAAGTACCAAAACGAATTCCAAGGAAGGCCCACAGCAGGAGGCCCACGACAATGAACAGAATGATTGGGGCAGAGCCGGCAACTCGCACAAGCACGTCCAGCCCGCGATCAACAAGCCGTGAAGCTGCTTTGGTTTTGTAGCCCATGAGATTCTCCTCCTCTGCCGTCATCATGATGTCTTCGCGCTTTCCCTCCCCCGAGATGGAGACCACCTGTGTCTCTGCAACTCCCTCAACATCCAACTGAAAAACTGGCCGGTAGAAGCGCATTGTGCGTATCTAATTCGCGAACATGTACACAGGTGGCGGGTATCGTTCTTGTGCAAGGACCCGGATTTTGTCGACCTCAACCTTTTGAATCACCTTTGTGTATTTAAGGTGGAAGAAGCACTTTTGGAGCGGCCCGGGGTGAATCTAGCCCAGCCAGTTTGTTTGGGATCGAGAACACAGGAGTGTTGAGGAAGTTCATAGAGTGGAGATTAGCCATTCAGAGTAGCAGGTAGACACGATGTGCCGTGAGATTGAATGAAATGAAAATTTGGAGTTGATTGAGTCTTTGGAATAGACAAAGTAGACGAGAGGTTTGGAAAGAAGAAAAGATTTAGGGCAAAAAGTAAAAAGGAAAGGAAGGTGAATTCCAAGAGATATTAAATACCGCAGCCGACCCCCAAAGTGGCCACCGCTGCCCTAGCTTCCAACTGAGATGAGTTTTCCTCTGCATTATTGAAGTCACTTTTTCTTTTTTTTCTTTTTTTTTTCTTCTTGTCTATAGTTCAAAGTACCCCCACAAGGGTCCAGGATAATCCAATACGTTGAATTTAAAATCTCCACATTAAAAAAAAACCAGACCGAGCATGACGGCTGGGACCAGGCAGCCATCAATCTCTGTTTTTTAAACTTTTCTGCATCTCCCACGTTATGAGCGATTATTTACCACGGATTTTGGCCTGAAATCTATGCAATGTTTGTGTGATACTATACGGGTCATGAATCGTGTGCCATACATCCGCGGTAGCGAACAAAAGCTATATTGTGAAAAATAAGAAAGTCAGTGGAAGACAACTAGATCATTGATGTGCAGAACTTGGGTGATAGTAAATCTGGAAGTCATACTATCTGATTCTAAGCCAGAAACTTCCTACTAAGAATCAACAGAAAGGGAAAAAAAAAGAAAGTAGAAACAGGAATAAAAATCCATTGATACCAGTAGTGTATACCAATCAGAGACTTCAAGGTAAGCTCTCACCGATCTTCAAGTTCAATCTTAAAAAAAAATCGATTGATGGAATCCTGCACCTCGGGAGACACCGTGAGTCCTGCAGGGCAATCAGCATTTGATAATGAGTCTTTTTCTCTGGCCAGTCATATCAAATCCTTGGTCTTCTAGGCATCCGTGTTATCAAATGTTTCAAATATCCGTGAGAAAGCGTATCAGCCCACACAAATATCTTGTGATTAATGAACATGATTGAAAAACATCACCTACTACGTATACATTCAACGTTGGAACATGAAGTACCTAGTACTAAGTAAGGGTACCTTATTCTTTCAGTGAAACCTTGTGCTGATTGTGAACCAAAGGTTAAACTGATATTACACGTTAATACCTGGATGAAGGATCAGCCTTAGAACCCACAGCTTAACCCAATTAAACGTTGAAAGTTTCAAATGTTGGCGATCAGCCTTGAACTTGAGGCTTTTAAGACGTTTAATCTGTGAAACCCTAACATTTGAAGAAACTAAAACACCGCCTCATGCGGAAACGTGTCCAATCTTCGGGATTTTTTTTCCATCTGTGGCCAAGGTTTCGATATGCATTGCTGGTCATCCAGATGTCATATAGGGAGAAAATATATTTTGCATGATAAATTGAATTTGTATATGCCAACATGATCACCAGAACCTTGGAGCTTACTATGTAGATAGTACTGCGTAGTAGTAGGTAACGGGAGTTTTTCAATTTCCGTTCCGTGCCAAAGGAGCAGAAAAGTACCCAAGTTTCTGTCCAATGATCAGTCCCAGAATCAATCCGGCAGTTTAAGAGAGATTTCTAGTAAGCGTTCAAATTCCCAAGTTCAAGAGGTTGATCTTGTCCGTAGTTTGTACACAGATCTCAGTAGACCAGGGGAAACCAGAGTCCAGAGTCCAGACTTAAAAGAAAGACCTCAGGGAGCACTAAGCCTAACCCGGATAGTCAGAAAACTCCATGTGATGTGCGCCAACTTCAAGTACGGAGATCCAGTTGACCAATCGGCCATTCTTGTAGCTCGGTCTTCATAACTATTCACAGCCACCTGGACATGTTGACGATCATGACAGGCTTAGCCACCTTGGCACTGCAGAGTTTAAGCAAACATGGCAAATATGACACCTAACCCGTCAGGTAACATATCCGTTCTTTCTTGAGTAACATTTGATATATCAAATGTCATATGTCATGAATCGCAATGAATGAGAGTGATTGCCCATTTTCACTTCTCTCGGAAATACTCCTTGTTTCTGCGCTATGACATCCAACAATGGATCCCGAACGTGGAGCTCGGCAATGTCAATCGGGATGTTGAACGGAAAATTATCGGTAATTGTGTGGGGCTGAAATCATGTATCCCCGATTCCCCGCAATGCGGAGGCATGAACAACATCCATGAATATAAATTGTACCTCCAAGGTCGCAGAAGATGCTATTCGGGCTCACAACTCAGTTTCTTTTGGCAAATAGCTCTGTGTTGAGCTTTGAGTGGTCGGAAATGCGGTCAACAATTCTTAGTGTTGCTGGTGTCTTCATGGGAGGGCACCTGGCAGCTGCGAGCCCCACTTCTACTTCATTGAACTCTTTCATAGCTAAGGAAGGCTTGCGATCTTACCAGGGTATCTTGGACAACCTGGGTAACAAGGGTGTCAAGGCTCCTGGTACTGCCGCGGGCTTGTTTGTTGCCAGTCCCAACACTGCGAACCCTGACTGTAAGTTCTTCGGCGATTAGTACTTACTAGTAGTTTTTGCGAACGCAATTCTAATTTCTGTCCTGCAGATTTTTACACGTGGACCCGTGACTCAGCCTTGACTTTCAAGTGCTTGATTGATCTGTTCGATGGCGACAGCTCTGATTTCGGCTTGGAGAGAGGCGAGTTGGAAACCGACATTCGGAACTATGTCTCCGCACAAGCGGTGCTGCAGAACGTCTCCAACCCATCTGGAACCCTGGAGGACGGAACTGGACTTGGCGAGCCCAAGTTCGAGGTCAATTTGAACCCATTCACCGGATCTTGGGGTCGGCCTCAGCGGGATGGGCCGGCTCTCCGGGCAGTCGCTATGATCACATACACGAACTGGCTTCTTTCGAACGGCCAAAAATCCGAGGCGGTGAACATCATGTGGCCCATCATTTCAAACGATCTTGCATATGTTGGCCAGTACTGGAACGAGACCGGTTTTGATCTTTGGGAGGAGACCGACGGTTCATCTTTCTTCACGTTGGCCGTTCAACACCGTGCTCTGGTCCAGGGTGCCGCCCTGGCCCAGAAGATTGGCAAATCGTGCGCTGCTTGCTCTTCTCAGGCACCCCAGGTTCTATGCTTCTTGCAGAACTTCTGGAATGGAGAATACATAACTGCCAATATCAACCTTGACACCACACGCACTGGTATTGATGCAAACACCGTCTTGGGAAGCATCCACACATTCGATCCCGAGGCATCTTGTGATGACTCGACTTTCCAACCTTGCTCGTCAAGGGCCCTGGCAAACCACAAGGTCTATGTTGATGCTTTCCGTTCGATCTACAAGATCAACCACGGAATTCCAAAGACTTCGCCTGCCAATGTCGGTCGTTACCCTGAAGATGTCTACCAAGGTGGAAACCCATGGTGAGTTGATACCCACTGTCATCAAGTAAATTTTAAGTTGATAAAGCAAGCTAACAGACTTGGATCTGCTAGGTATCTTGCTACTCTGGCCTCGGCTGAGCTGCTGTACGATGCCTTATACCAGTGGAACAAGATCGGCTCCCTCGACGTCACTGAGACTTCGCTCGCATTCTTCAAGGACTTCGATGCATCCGTAAAGACCGGCTCTTACTCCGCCCACAGCCAGACTTACAAGTCACTCACTTCCGATATTCGATCATACGCCGACGGCTTTATCAGCCTTGTTCAAACCTATACCCCATCAAATGGCTCCCTGGCCGAGCAATACAACCGCAACACCAGCGTCCCTCTATCAGCCAACGACCTGACCTGGTCTTTTGCCTCCTTCCTCACCGCAGTTCAACGACGTGAATCCGTCGTGCCCGCCACCTGGGGCGAGAGCACCGCCAACAAGGTTCCCACTACCTGCTCCGCGTCTCCCGTGACCGGAACCTACAAAGCTGCCACTTCTGTATTCCCAACCTCAAGCGCTGGATGCGTTCCCGCCACGGACGTCGTACCAGTCACCTTCTACCTGATCGAGAACACTTACTACGGTGAGAACGTCTACATCTCCGGTAATGTCAGTGCGCTTGGCAGCTGGGACACTAGCGATGGCTTTGCGCTCGATGCAGGCCTGTACACGGAGACAGACAACTTGTGGTTCGGCAGTGTTGAGCTATGGACTGCCGGCACTCCGTTCGAGTACAAGTACTACAAGATTGAGCCCAATGGCACGGTCACCTGGGAGTCTGGTGATAACCGGGTTTCCGTCGTGCCTACTGGCTGCGCCCTGCAGCCTAGCATCAGCGATGTGTGGCGTTCTTAGATATTTTTTTGTAGATTATGACCAACATGATCTTTTTGTATGAGATTATCGAATGTAATTATTTGTCACATACGGGATTTGAAAATTAAAAAGTGAAATTGATCTTATGTGTCTTTGCAGTAATAGATCGTCACTAAAAGACGTTAAATTGTGATTACGTGATTTCGTAACGCCAAAAAACTTTGTTGAGAAAGTTTCTCTACAATTCTCTTCAACCTCGTCTCGCCGGTAAATTGGATTTTTGAAGAAATTTTCCTGGTCTGAAAACCTCGTCCAACGGCTTATAACCACAACGGCATGTCTTCCGACGCTGCTGATGCTCCAGAGGCGGCCAAGAACTGCCCAAGCGTCCTAGAAAACGAAGATGATCGCGAATTGCTGAAGCTCGGTTACCGCGCCGTTCTGGCGCGAGGATGGGGCTCCTATGACAATTTTGCCTGCTCGTTCTCTGCACTCTATCCTATCGGTGGGATTCGGTTGTTGTATTACATTGCAATCAGCGGAGGTGGTCCTGCTGCGATGTAAGTATCCACGCCAAGCCATCTGAGCAGCTCTAGTGCCTCCTATCAGCCATTTATTTTCTAACGATTTTGTTTTACAGGTGGAGCTCCTGGGTTTCAGGTAGCATTCTTTCGATCATCACCGCCGCCTGTCTTGCTGAAGCGTGCTCCAGCTACCCGGCCGCGGGGTCGATCTACTACTGGGCATTCCGTTCCTGGGGTGGCGGACGCGTTGGAAGATTCATAAGTTTCATGGTCGCAGCTTGGACGTTAGTTGCATGGACAGCATTCCTTGCAAGTGATTGTTTTGGTGTTGCCAACTACTTGGTATCAGAGGTAGTTGTGTTCAACCCAGACACGAGCTTCCCCTACGATACCTCAGATGTCCGTGCACGAGCTATCGCCTGGGTCTTCTCGCTGTTCTTCTTGGCAGTTGCCACCAGCTTGAACTTCCTCCCATCGCGCATGTACTCATGGGTGTTTCGTACGGGTGTTATCGTGATTGTTTTCGATATGCTGCTCAACTTCATCTGGCTCCCAATCGGTGTATCGCAAACATATGGGTTCCAATCGGCCGAGTTTGTGTTTACTTCGACCTATAATGGCGGAGATACTGCCCCAAGCCTCAACTGGGTCCTTTCATGGTACATGACTGCCAGCTGTTTGGTTGGTGAGGATGCATCGGGTCATGTTGCAGAGGAGACGGTCTCGGCCAAGAAAGCCGCTGCGAAGGGTGTGTTCTGGGCAACGGTCGCTTCGGCTCTTTGCGGCTTTCCGATCATTATCCTGTTCCTCTTCTGCATGCCACCCATCGAGACCTTCTATGATACCAGCGCTCCCCAGCCATTCACCAACATGTACGCATTGGCGCTAGGCCCGCACGCCCATGTTGTCATGACTATTGTGTCGATGATTGGCGGTATTCTCAACACTTCAATCTCGCTGGTTGCGGCGTCTCGACTAGTCTTTGCAGTCGCTCGCGATGGGATCTTCCCTTATAGCCCTGTCCTGGCTCGTGTTTCGAAGTCAAAGCAGCCCCACAACGCAGTAATCTTCATTTCGAGCATTGCTGCACTTCTGCTTTGCACGCAACTGGCGTCCCAGGTGGCATTTTCCAGCCTGATCTCGACTTCGGCAGCTGGCTCCATCGCGGCATATGGTCTTGTCGGTATTGGTCGCACTTTCATCACTCGAAAGTCCTTCCGCCCGGGCTTTTGGGACATGGGTAGATTTGGCGTGGTGGCCGCTGTCATCACTTTTATCTGGAATGGCTTCGCATTTGCGGTGCTCTGTGCGCCGGAATATTCCAACAACCAAATCGACAAGGAGTCTAGTCTTTTCAACTACGCGATCGTCATAATGGGTGGTGTCACCATCCTCGCTCTCGCAGAGTGGTGGCGCAAATCGAAGAACGACTGGTTCCAGCACCTTGAGCCTGTTGACTCAGCCTCCGAGACTGACAACTCCGTCCAGCGTGAGAAGAAGGAATTTCCTTTGGCCGAGCCCCCCGCAGTTTGATGTGTCAAGTTGGACTATAAACTCGGGGTGGCAATATCAGGTTGCATCAGCTGCAATAGCACGATCGCTTAGCGCTTGTTAGCTTAGATTATGGGTAAGTATAGCCTTACGAGGCACCACAGAAGGCATGACGGGTGTTCGAGGGTTTGCCTAGCAAGACCTCGTTCTGAGAAATTACCGTTAGAACTTGATCTGGACAATACCAGCGAAAGGACATGCATGCTTCACCTTCCTCTTTCTCTCTCCCTCTCTTGGTGTCTTTGTCTCCAGGCTGCGTCTGGAGACAGATACCTACTAACCTTGCTTTTGTAGTTGACACGGTTTGCCGCTGAAAGTGTCCTCTGGCTCAGGGAGTTCGGGTTTCCGCGAGAACCATTGATGTTCACCTGGACATGAGCTTACGCTGCTTGGTGTTCTCGGTGGTCAATTTTCTTGGCGGGAACAGAGTCAGGTCTTCCATGTGGACTCGAGTGGGATAGGGTCTACCATCTTCTCTTGGCCCCTTTGCCACTCTGGTGTCTGTGCTGGATTACTTCGGCCTGTCCGCGTCCTTGCACTTTCGCTTTCCCGCTCCTGGGTTTCTTGCTTGAAGACCGGAAACTCACGGCAAACCATGTCCGTAGTCTCGTACTCGATCTGTAATTACGGCATATAGATGTGCCGTCCATGTGACTTTGTAGCCTGGCCCGATCGCACCACTGAAGCAGGTAAGTGGTAGCTATAGGTGTATCCTATCCTTCATCCGAAAAGAAGGCAAACCGAGAAATCCCTGCTATCGAAGCACGTAATTTGTCACCGGCAATGTTGATGAAGAAAACCTTTCTAGACATCACATCCATGATGTTTTCCAGGGTACCGCGCGGCGCCACGACTTGTTGGATAATATTCGGGGTTTCACGTAATCTGTCGTGACTGTCCGCCTGCCTAGTCGGGTTACTGCGGAATTCTAAAATGGGATGGTATTAAGTAATCAGAAATTCTGGATGATGGATCCATGGATCCATGGAACTTTGGAAAATAGTATACTATGTACTAGTAGTTAGAACGAAGACACAAGATATAATTTCATTCCTTCAAATGCTTCAGTGTTAAAGTACCCATGATTGGTACCGTCTATTAGGCCAAAGCTGAAGTTCTGAATTGAAGATCCAAGTCTTATCTTAGACTCTTCATAAGTACTACTAGTCTACTAGTAGCTGTTGGAAATGTGATGTTCAGGAACGGGAAGGCTAAATAAGATTTAAAAAAAGATATTGTATACAAATACATGTTTCAAACTCCCCTACCTTTGCAACGCAAGGTTCTTCAAGTGATTCGAACAAATTTCCCCTGAAGTACAATGAATCGGGCTTGGAAAATCAATCAAACTGTCTCCTGGACTGCAACCCCAGTGACGTCAGTTGTCGATGGTGATCATTACCTGAAACGTCGGTCTTTCTCCGCACTTCGAGGGTCGTCAGCTTCAAATCACAAAAGCTGTCCATAAGCGTACATAGTAAATCTTGCTAAATCTCGTTCTTTGATACAATCTGTCACCAAGAACAGAGTCTTTGTTCAAATCAGCATGGCGTTTTCCCGTCGTCTTGCCATTCTACCTGGCGGCCTAGGTAGGGAAGGAGCTGTGAAGGGATGGCCCTGACTCAGGAAAGCAATTATACTCATCAACATCCCTCTCGCAGGTGGTCTTGGATCCAGCATCGGCCAGAAATTAAGACAGCAAGGAGCCCGTCTCGCAATCCTATACGCACCTTTCGAAGCCTCCCGTCGCGACGAGCTCCTCGAGACCGGATACGGCAGCAGCACGGACTTCGACGACATCCGCACATACGAATGTGACATCACATCCCCCGAATCCGTGCAATCGGCCTTTGACAACCTGGAGAAGGACACAGTATCACCCAAAACCTCATCGCTTGCCGAGCGCTCGTTCCCCAGCATCTTGATCAACACGGCCGGATATGTCTCTCTGAGCGATATGGAAATCACACCACCCGAGGAGACGATGAAGCATCTGAGCACCAATATCTTCGGCCCAATACTCTGTTCGCAGGCATTTGCCCGTCTATATTTTGCTGCGGCGAAAGCTGCGGAGTCCTCGACTAGTCCGCCCCCACCGGGTCGGATCGTGAGTATTTCTTCGCAGGCGGCACATGCCGCTCTGCACAGGCACGGGGCGTATTGCGCTTCCAAGGCTGGTCTTTTGGGTCTAACCCGGAGTATGGCTTCGGAGTGGGGTGGGCGCGGGATTACTTCTAATAGCGTTTCTCCGACTGTGGCTTGGACGGCACTTGGACAGAAGGCTTGGGGTGAACAGACTGTGAGGGAGGCGTTTTTGAAGAATATTCCGACCGGGAAATTTGCATTGCCTGAAGAGGTTGCCGATTCGGTTCTCTTCTTGTGTCAAGTAAGTGTATTTTTTTCGCGACGGTAATCTGTGTTACTCTATCTAATATTTGAACGTTTGTTAGGATTCCAGCGGAATGATCAATGGGGCAGATATTCGGGTCGATGGAGGATTTACGGTTCGATAATGTCAACAACTCAGCCACACTAACTTGGCCCTGAAGATAAACAAATATATACAGCGACAGAGGTCTGGGGTGCCGTAGATTATGACATTTCGATTCAAGCACTAGTGCTTGATTCCCAACGTTCAAGAGTGCCAAAGCATCCCAGCCAGACGGAAAATCCCAAATCCACTGTTAGCAGGCGCGTATTTCCGCAAATCCATATCAACATGTATGGTCTCCTTGAAGCCAAGCTTCTCGAAAAATGGAATAGAAGGTGCTTCTGCACAGACAACCAGGGAACGATCTTCAGCCTTGGCCCGATCAACTCCCAGCTGGACTAGAGTTGAGCCAACTCCACGTCTCTGAAAAGCAGGTTTCACACAGATGTAAACCACATCTAAACTCACGATGCATCAAATGATTAGAATACACTCGAATAAAAAACTGCAAGAAAAAAAAAAAAACGAATCAACGAGTCTCACCGAGGGGATGTTTGTCGCTGACCTCCTCTGCGATCTGTTTCGTCGCATTGGTAACCTCAGCGAATAACGGGGGGTTTAATCCTTCAGGAACACTCTGCTCGACGTCGCCTTGTGAAATCGTGTCTTTTGACTCGGGCGTTCTACGCGAGAGTACAATGTACCCAATTATCTCCCCGGTTTCAATGTCGACCGCCTTGAAACACTCAGCTGCAGGATTCTCGTATCCGGTGCGGACGGCGTGGGAGTAGAGGGAACTTTGAAGTTTCTCATTTGGCCAATTAAGGAAAATGACACGGTTGATGCTGAGGGCGAGTTTGGCGGCGTGAATAAAGTTTCCAAGCGCGGGGAGGTCACTTGAAATCACGGGGTAGACGGCGTAGCTGAAAGTCATTGTTCTGGAAGCGCTCAAAATCAGTATTCAAGATGAAATTGCTTAAGAAATTGGGCTTTGTCGTTGGCTTTTAAATGACGAGGCAAAATAGGCATCTTGATTCCCAATTGTCGTAGAAAAGTGAGAGAATGAGGCCACTTCTAGGCGTCCGCATAGTTAATCCTGTTACCTGTGTCCGTACTAATCCACCAGTAACGCGATGGTTTTCATGTTTCCCCTTCATTTTCTCTGTAGCACCCGGTCATCAAAAGTAGACCCAAGCCCCGAGAGGCTAAATGTGTGCAGAAGGGTAAATTTCCCGTGAAGAAACATTGATGAAAGGGGCGTTAACTGGGCGGTTCAAACATCTAAACGAAAACGAATCTACCACTTTCCTGAAGAAGCTAATCCCGACATAAAGCCGATATTCAGTAGAGTCGTATTGCTCCAAACCCGATGCGCCCCCAACATTTGAATCGTTTTGAATCCTTCCAATCAAGCATTTCGCCCCACATTTGAGGGATTTGAGACAATAGCTGCAATGTATTCTGCACGCTAATTGCTGACGCCCCGCTTAGATGGCTCAGATTGCCCGTTCAAGGTTACAACCTTCAAGTTACTACAACCATATATTCAATTTGGGAAATCATTATAAGGGGCTCCTGATCACTAGATTAAGCAGGATCTAATCACCTCGCCAAAGAAAATTCACCAAACAAAAGGATCTCGCAGTATTTTTGTTTACCTTCCACCTGAAGATGCGTACTGCTGTATCTCTCCTTGGCCTGGCTGCCGTAAGCCACGCACTGGAAAAGAGAACCTCGGCTTCGGCTTATAGCTCAAATTCCGCCGGAACCTACAAGCTCACCTCGATCACCGCACCAGTCCAAGGAGCCGGCGACCCAGGCTCAAGCTCGACATGGAAGCTCACTATTGACGACACAAGCTCTGGCTATAAGCAAACAATTGTTGGATTTGGAGGAGCCGTGACTGACGCCACTGTCACCTCCTTCAACACATTATCGAGTGCAAACCTCGAAGCCCTGCTCAATGATTTGATGACGGATGCGGGGGCCAATTTTGCCATGATGAGGCATACAATTGGTGCCTCTGATCTTTCTGGCAATCCAGCCTACACGTATGATGACAATGGGGGCTCTGTGGACACATCTCTGTCTGGTTTCAATCTCGGGGATCGTGGAACGGCCATGGCTAAAATGCTGGCTTCCATGAAGTCCCTGCAGTCAGCTTTGACAATCTTTGGATCTCCATGGAGTGCTCCCGGATGGATGAAGATGAATGGTGTGATTGATGGGACCACCACTGACAACAACCTAAACGATGGTTACTTGAATGGCGGAACTGCAAACACTGGCTATGTCAGTGAATTCGCGGACTACTTTGTCAAGTATCTTCAGGCATACAAGGCTCTCGACGTGACCGTCGACGCCATCACCATCCAGAACGAGCCGTTGAACAGCCAGTCCGGTTATCCTACAATGTACGTCTACGCCGAAGAATCTGCCGAGTTGATCCAGAACTATATCGGCCCGGCTATTGCTAATGCTGGCCTGGATACGGCCATTTGGGCCTACGACCACAACACCGGTACGTCTCACGAGTCACAGCATCCCCTTAGTAGAACCCTCACGCTGACAAAAATAAATCAAGATGTACCCAGCTATCCTCAGACCGTCATTGATGGTGCTGGTAGCTATGTTGACTCGGTCGCCTGGCACTGCTACGCTACCGATGTAAACTGGACGGTTCTCACCACCTTCCACGACAGCAACCCCAACGTCAAACAATACATGACTGAATGCTGGACCCCCTCCACCGGAGATTGGAACCAGGCTGCCGACTTCACAATGGGGCCCTTGCAGAACTGGGCGAACGGCGTAACAGCCTGGACCCTCGGTACCAATTCGAGTGATGGCCCACATCTCTCCAGCGGTGGATGTGATACCTGCACTGGTCTGGTCACTATTAACACCGATGGAACCTATACTTTCCAGACCGCATACTACATGATTGCTCAATTTAGCAAGTTCATCCCTACCGGCGCCATTGTGCTAAGTGGGACAGGTAGCTACACCTACACGGGCGGCAGTGGTCTACAGTCTGTGGCCTCCTTGAACCCCGATGGAACACGCTCTGTTGTTATTGAGAACACCTTTGACAACGATATTTATTTAACTCTTACCACGGAGAGTGGAGAGGAATGGTCGGGTGATATTCCCAGTGAGTCCGTGACCACTTGGGTGCTCCCAGCCGCGTCTTAAGCAATGACATGCTAGGAAGGCCGGCAATTTGAGACAACAGTCTGCAAGGGGACCCCGAACAACGAACAACAATATTTTGTACATATTGGACTTGACCACGAAGAATTTATTGTCAATATAGTCTAATTTATGCTGGTCTCAAGTATATGACTTATTAAAAGTATGGGGTTCCGATGGCATCTACGAGAGTCGAGAGTCGAGACTACGAGTCTACGACATCCCAGTTAAGTCGTAAGCGGGTAATATCGGTACAATCGGTACGGAATCTGACCGGTCCACCATACACCAACCACCAGCAATTCACTGAAAAGGGCTGATACGATTCGTGTAAAATGTCTAGTGTAGCCCACCGATGCTTGACTTGTAGCCAGAGATTCTCCAGCCGAAGTCATCTCAAACGACATGAGGCATCCTCACGTAAGTGATACAAGAAATCCAATTGCGGCGGGGAAACTGACCTCCTTTCTTAGACTCACCAACACAAGTGACATGCGAGTTTTGCGGGCGCAAATATTCCAGACAGTGAGACGATTATTCTCCTTATTGCACAAGAATGACAAGATAAAAAAACAACATCCCTAATCAACTCATTAGAGACGCGCTTCGTCGCCATTATAAAAGCTGCCCAGTGGGGCAGCAGCCGACGCCGAAGAAACCCGGACGCCGTCGGAAAGCATGCGACGCCTGCGCGAAGAACAGAATTACTTGTGATTCCAGTCTTCCTTGTTCTTCGTGTCAGAGCCAAGGCGTCTCTTGCACTTACCGACGTCTTGGCTATCGCGCAGATGGGTCGCGCGAGCTGATATCCAATTCCCGGGCATCAACCAGAAGTCAACATAGACATGCGGCCGCTATATCAAATCAAAGACGACCTGGTCAACTATCAGTTCCCTTTCTGTTGAATTATTCTGCTCCAAGTAACCGGAACCCTGGGGATGTGAACCGCGCTCTTTCTTTATTGTCGACCACGGAGTCCAATGGCCAAGAGGGTCTGGAACTGGATCCCGCGCTTCCAAGTCTCGAGGTTGAAGTTGGAAGAAGTGACCTCTTTTTTGAGGACTCATGGGCTCTCTTATTTGGGTCGCCTCCAGGCGAGAGGCAAATCCCATCTCGGAGCTCACCACTGCCTGAAGGACTGGAGGACCTGGAACAACGACAGTTGGCTGCTGATAAAATGATCAATTGTTTATCCGTAGTACAGCAATCAAATGCCAATGCATGGGGAGAGTTCAATATCGATCTCGAGCGCACTTTTTTCAATGAGACCAACGTGGGCGATTTCATCGATGCCTATTTTGAGCACACAGTTCGTCCTCGATCTCGCATTGTCTTAAAATCGTCGTTCAACCTGAAGACTACCTCAGCGCCTTTGCTCCTTGCAATGTTTCTACTGGGCGCAAGCTGTGGGTTATCCGAGACTGCAAAGCTAGAAGCCACCACTTACATCGACATGGCGGAACATGCTGTCTTTGAAGATCCCACTTTTCATCGGCTGGTTTACAATGAGCAGTCCCTGAATTGCGACAGTCTAGACCAGGCTGAGATTGAAACTATTCAAGCGGCAGTCCTCATCATTTTAATTCAACTGGCTAGTCCCAAGGCGGAAGCTAGGCGTCGGGTACGAATACAACGATATCCAGCTCTAGTGTCTGTTGCTCGCGCGACATCAATGACACAAGTCAGAAATACATGGCATGACTCTAGTATGCCTTTGAGTCATGAAGTGTTTCTGAAAAATGAAGCTTGCATCAGGTAAGGCCGGATTTTTCTGTGGGCTTGTATCATTACTAATATCAATAGACTAATGGCATCTATCACTATGCTCGATTGCCACAATATTATGTTTTTCAATAGCCCTCCCCAATTTACAGTATCGGAGTTTGGCTTTGACCTTCCAGCCGGGGAAATGGGTATTGATATTCGAGACAGCGCTGCTTGGGAAACATGGGCACAGAACGAGAGAAAATACCAGCGACCGTCCCCTTTAAACCGATCCATACAAGAATTACTATCTGATGACTGGCTCGGATCTGACGACCCAAGATGCAGAAATTTGAACGTATTCGCCCTTTTCATTATTGTCTCCGGTAGGTTTTTCACCGATACGTGCTCTGTTTCAAAAGCTGGAAGCTCACAACCCAACTCAAAGCATTCCAGCCAATCATTTTCGGACTGAGGTCCAGCATTTGCAATATGCCCGATACTACAGCTCAGATTGAAAGAGCTCTTTCAAGATGGATGACTCTATGGGAGCGACTTCAGTCCCAATTGACCAAAGAGGAAATTTACAGAGCAGGAATCACCTACCACGCACCCGATCTATGTATATTCGCCAGACTTGTACTACATAAGCCAATATTCGAGACGGGCGAAGTGGCAAAGGATTCGATGGCGCAAATACATCAGCTTCTGAGGGGACCTGCAAACAGTTGAGATGAATTGACTGGCTTTTTTTTTCTGGAACATCAAATGGTAGCTTAACGATACCCAAATACCCAAATATCTAATCATACTCATTGTACCTCTTCTTTCACTCCAGGCTTGTACAAAGCCAATCCCATAGATGCGCTCATAGCACAAATCAAAACCATCCACGACGCCCTTCCACTCTGCTTCCTCCCCAAAAGCCGACCCGTATCCCAAATCAAGTGCTTCACTCCGTTGAACCCATGGAAAGCAAAGGGCATGGCAATCCCAAATTTGAGCCCCGTTTTCACTGCACCCGGCAAGGCGCTAAATGCGTCAATTATAGTTGTCGAGTCAAAATGGATGCCCAAGGTAGGGGAGAATAGGTATAGCGTTCCGAAGCCATACAGACTTCCTGAGAGAAGTATGCCCGTAATTCGATGCAGTGCCGATGCAGAAGAAACAAATTCCCACTTGTATACGCTGAGGTGAGGGGAGACCGGTCGATTCAAGCGCTGGGTAACAAGGCGATTATGCACGGGGGACACGGGGGGTAGATTTTGGGATGAGACATGTCTCCTAGAATTGAATTTCCGTTAGGCGGGCTCCCAGAGAGACAGAAATTACTCCAGCCTTGTTGTACTTACTGGCTTTTTAGGATATTGACTCTGAAGGATCGAGCTACTGTTGACGTGTGGTGTGGTGTACGGGACAACATCTTGATGCTACATAGATTAAATTTAGAAATCGATTGATTCCACTGAAGTCTCTTTGAAACCTCACTTACCATGCAAAATCCCCTTTGAATGCACTCTCTTCAAAATCTTTTCTTTCTGAAAGGTTGCCTATTAATACTGGAATTAAAGGTGGGATCTAGATTTCTGTGGCTGTTTTGTACAGCCTGGGGAATACCCACTTGTGGGTATTTTCCGCTGAGAGTCCCCACATAATATGGAGATCCCGAGGTCCTCCGCCCGGTGTTCTTAAGGCTATAACGGCCACGGCACTATGCTTACATACAATTCGTAAATAATAATTCTAAATTTAAATTTTTGGAAGATTTAATGAATTCCAGAGGTTATTCAAACATTGAAGGTAATGTTTGTAGCCAAATCCATACGAACATTTGAAGCCAGCACTGGCTGAATCAATGATGCCCCTTGAGGTTGATCAATGCCATCATGCATGTGCGTTTTGTGCACCTGATATACATGCATCAATATATATACACGGGTTCAGCATATGAATACCACTTCACGGATTGATTATGGAAGTACTCTCAGCAAGGCTGTAAAATTTGAATTCATTACTGTAAGTGATCAACTACCTAGGTACTAGGTATGAGACTAAATTTTTGAGGTAACGGAATGGATGTTCTTTGAATCAAGTATTTTCTTGAGAGCTCAGAGGGGGGTTTGCTAGGTAGGTGGTGTGGGCATTTAGTCTGTGTGATTCTTGCACAACTAGTAGTAAACATTTGAATGCACAGACAATCTTGGAACCTTGGAAGGAGCCGAAAGAGTGACAATGTAGACGTAGGACATTCAACAAATCTCGTATTTCGTATTTTGTTCCACAATTCTGTCCATCTACAATAGCTTGAACCCATGGAATAAAGTCGCAATAGACCGGATTTCTATGGGGATCATGTGACCCATCTTAGTAGGAGCTGGTCACCGCCCGGCAGAATCATATCACGCAAAATCGCACGCCATTCTGTTCCCCTCGGAATTGGGGGCAAGAAGCAAGGACCCGCCACAGCTGTACTCCACGATGACACCATCGTAGATCATTATGTGCTTTTTACGGGAGCGGGTAACAAAGCAGTTCCATCAAGCTTCTCGAATAGTACTAACATCATGATTAGGCATTCGTTGCTTAGACCCTGAGAATGGGGCTGACAATGTATAAAATTAATCAGCCCCGGTTTTGAAAAGACCCGGAGTTTCGAGATTTGCAAGAGAGCTTTCCACGAGCTTCCGAATACCCGCGGGAAAAATGATTTCTCAGCACTAGGAATCCGTCTAACCAAATTGGAGGTTACTGCTTGATTAATAAGAGCTCAATGGGGTCAAAACCGGGCTCGGGCTTCAGGTTAAGGTGGCTACGGGAGACTGGAGAGACCAAAGATGCTGAGGTTGTAAGCACGCAATCACGCAATTTCAGGCATCCAGGCATCGAGAAAAGCACGCCATCGAATTTTCAAGGACCCACTTGACTCCCCCAATGTCGTGCTCAAATCAAATAGCGGCTAGGGAAGTCGGAAGTATGCCAGGCACGCTGAAAAATCACATCATTGCCTCTACAGCCTATATTATTCCCAGGCCTGGTCTTGATTCCTCTCTTCCTACTATCATCTTCATATCCATTTTCGGTGCATCCAATTCCCTTGTGTCCAATTAAACATTCAATCCTTTGGTGTTTACACTTCTGCTTCTCTTTATCCCCATCTTCTTTGCACACACCAAAATGCCCACCAAGATGCCTGTTCAGTACCCCTCCGACGGAGAGGGTATGGACACACGAGACAACAACACTGAGTCTGGCTATGTCAGCGGTGGCTCATCTAATGAAGAATATATCCCCGAGATTGTCTTCACCAAGCCCCATCTCCAGTTCTTGAACCGCCAGTTGCAATTCCTCGAGCCCCAAGGTATGTCTATCCGGTTCAGAAACCCCGCTATAACAAAGGTCCCAATGTATGGTTTCTGACTCTTACCCCTCAATAGATATCTTGAGATGGTGCACTACATCCCTTCCCCATCTTTTCCAGACTACAGCCTTTGGTTTGACTGGCTTGGTTACTTTGGATATGCTGTCCAAGCTGGATGTACCCCGCCCTCAGATGGTGGATCTTATCTTCCTCGACACGCTGCACCACTTTTCCGAGACCCTTAACTTGGTCGACCGGGTCCGTAAGCGTTACCCGTTGAACAACGTGCACGTGTACAAGCCTGCCGGTGCCGATACCGCTAGCGAGTTCGAGTCCAAGTATGGAGCTCGCCTGTGGGAGGCTGATGACCAGCTCTACGACTGGGTTGCCAAGGTTGAACCTGCTCAGCGTGCCTACCGTGATCTGAACGTCCACGCCGTGCTCACTGGTCGCCGTCGCAGCCAGGGTGGCAAGCGTGGTGACCTCGACGTCATTGAGGTTGACGAGGCCGGCCTTATAAAAATTAATCCCATGGCCAACTGGTCCTTTGACCAGGTCAAGCAATACGCTCGTGAAAACAACGTCCCTTACAACGAGCTCCTTGACCGTGGCTACAAGAGTGTTGGTGACTGGCACTCCACTCAACCCGTTGCCGACAACGAGGATGAGCGCTCTGGCCGCTGGAAGGGTCAACAGAAGACTGAGTGCGGTATCCACAACCCCCGCTCCAAGTACGCCATGTACTTGATGGAGATGGAGCGCAAGCGCCAAGAGGAAGCTTTGACTTCGGCTTTGCACTCCCAGCTTTCTGCTGCTGCGCAATGATCCCGTCGCTTCTTTCCTTTTACCCCTTCAACCCAGTCGCATACTCCATGGCGTTTTTAATGATACCTCCTCGGCTCTCTGTTTGCCATCGTTTGAGCGGTGCGAATCGGCTCTTTAAAGACCGACGCACATTCATGATTTATTTCTGTTTTTTTATTTCTATATGTTTACAGGATTTCATTCCTAAAAAGACTAGAATCAACTCCTCACCTGTATATAGGGAGTCTGGTTTCCACTCGCGGCCTGTTGTGGGATCGTTGAGACATGATAATGACCTTAGCACGATTAGATACAAAAGCATGACTTGTGTCTTCAATAAATTTCTATCAATTCTTGATATCGCAAAGTTTTCAAAAATAAATTCGAACATTCAATATTTTTTAAACCTGATTTTTCATATGGGGTTCGCAAAGGGTTCTTGAGAGGGGATCTCACGTGCAGCCCGCCAACCCTAAGTTTCGACCTGACGATCAGCGGCTGTAAAAAAGCAACTCCAGTGCTGTTGTTGATGCAGGTAATTTGACTTTTCAAATGGCGTACTTTTTTCCAAGTCCGTGACTACATTTGACTCTATTTGGATTAGCTTATTTCTACTGAAATAACAAACCAAGCAGTTTGCGTGATGCCCGTCTCTACCCACCGGCAGATATAATACGTATGGAGAGTGAACAGGTCATTTTTGACAGAGCATTTCTGCTAAAGAGAATACCGATAATGCTAAGCCAATCTCTCTTTTCCTGGTGTTTTCCCTTTTAATCAATACTTCCTCTGAATCTCTAAATGAAATTTAGTAAATTCCAACGTTTCTATTGCGATCGACGATTCGATCTACCCGCCACTTGCACGAATTTTTGGGTCCAAAGGAAGCCATGTCATTGAAAAACACAGAATATCTTTGAGACCGCAGCTACTATTTTCTTGGGTTGTTTCCTGATATGATTCTCTTTCATGAGAGGATTTTCTGGTAGTTTGATTAGAAATGACGCAAGCTTGGGCAGAACCCCACCAACTGGCCACGTGACGGGCTCAGGATCGACAATGTTTTTTCAAGAAACGTGGACAAGTTTGTGAATATTCGAGTTCAGTCCCATACATTCCAACTTTCTACCTTAAAGCACCAGTGAAAGCCCCATGGCTGAACAAACCCACTCTCGCCAGCGGCCATCGCTAGGCCAAATGCGCAGCAGCTCATTCCTCCAAGACCACCAACAATACAAGCCCCCGCTCTCCGTCAGCCAGAACATCGGCGAGGTCCTTAGCTCCCAACTGAGCGAGAGCCTGTCCATCAACCCCATCCACCCAGACCCCGAGCGAGTCCATGACAGCGGTGTCACGCACAGCCTCTTCAATCACCAGGCTAACCCCCTTGAGACCGGCACCCCCCGCATCGTCGCAACCATCTTCTACAAATCTTCCAACCCCGTCCACCCCCACTTCCACCCCGATGCGTCGCACAACTCTGGCGCAGGCACCAAGCTGCCTTCGCCCGAGGTTCCCGCCGGCTCTGCTCCCACAGACGACATGGACAAGTTCCCCCGCGAGCCGCCTGCTCCGGAACCGGAACCGCTCGACCACATCTACGGACCCTATGTGTCGCAGCTGTGCTTGACCAACTTCCTGCAAGTGCTCGAGTCACTCCCAACACCCTACAAGCGCATGAACACCTCGCACCGCTGCCTCGACCGTGAAGCCCACCCGCACGTTGTGGAAGTCACATTCTCTCCCCCTCCGGACCCGGAGTACCTCTCCTTCGAGGATCTGCGCAAGCACGAGAGTATCTGGCGCTTCGAGCGCGAGTGGAATGTCGAGGTTGTGCTGCAGGAGGAGAGCGTCTTCCGCCGACACAAGCGGTTGGCTGTGTTCGACATGGACAGCACCCTCATTGAGAACGAGGTGATCGACGAGATTGCCAAGTTTATCGGTGTGGAGAAGGAGGTTTCGGTAAGTGAAATTTCGCCCATTTTATCTCGTAACTAGAAGCCATTGGCGGAATTTAATCGAAAATAGGAAATCACGGAGCGTGCGATGAACGGCGAACTGGACTTCGCGGCATCGCTGAAGGAGCGCGTCAGCCTCCTCAAGGGAGTCCCTGCTGATGTCTTTGACAAGCTCAAGTCTGTTATTACCATCGCGAAGGGTGCCCGTGAGCTCTGCGCTGCCTTGAAGATGATGGGATACAAGATGGCTGTTCTGAGCGGTGGCTTCCAGCCCCTTGCAGAGTGGTTAGCTGGACAGCTTGGACTGGACTATGCGGTCGCCAACCATGTAAAGATTCCCCTTGCTCAGCCCTTCCGTTATGCTAATAAGTACCTCGAACTAATTGCATATCTAGCTTGAAATCGACACCGAAACCCAGACCCTGACCGGCAGACTGGTGGAGTCGAAGCCCATCATTGATGCTGCTCAGAAGCGCACGCTTCTCAAATCCATTGCTGCGGAGAACAACATCCCCATTTCCCAGACGCTGGCTGTCGGTGATGGTGCGAATGATCTTCTCATGCTTCACGAGGCTGGTCTTGGTGTCGCCTGGCGCGCCAAGTCCAAGGTCCAGCTCGAGGCGCCAACCCGTATTAACGGAGAGAGCCTCACCGACATTCTCCACCTCTTTGGTCTGGAAAAGGAGGATATTGTCGAGCTCACTACCAAGGCCCAATAGACTTGGGTTTAAATTCGAGCCTATTCTTTTCTTTTTCAGGTGAATCTTCACCTTGGAACACAATACCCATTTTATGTCCGCCTTTTTTTCTTGGACGCGATACAGGTGACGGCTTACTAGATCTACCTGTTTCATCAGGATCTATTGATACTCATTTCCCTTTCTATTATTCTCATCTCTTTTTGACAAGCAGCTTTGGAGTTACCCTTGGGTTGGAGAAGGAGAAGATTGAAGAGCAGAAGGGGGGCTGTGAAGTGCGTTACATAGCTGCCCTTGGCGTGTATTTCCTTCATTTCCTTGACCGTACTAGTAGGTACAGGTGGTATAGTCGAACCCATGACTTGTCCGGACTTACAGCTTAGCTTTAGCTCCGCGCTCTACACGTAGTCTACAGAGAAATACACGAATGAGAAGAACTTCTGGCAAATATAATCTAAAATATGGTTTATGTAATAGCTTGTTATAAACTCCTTGCAAGCGCCAAAAGAATCGACAGGATGAAGACCGTTGATGGTGATACAAGACAATGTTGAAATGAAATGTCGAAAATAGTAAGAGAAGTCCTAACGCCCAAGCCAAACCAGAATGATGCAATCTAGGCGCCGAGTGAATGGTGCATGAACCACTCTCCGATCTAGTCAGAGAGTTCTCATGAGCCATGCATATTATTTTTTGAACAAAGGAAACAGGTAACCGGAACTAGCGGGTCGCCTCATCAGCCTGAGTAGCAGGCTGCTCGACAGTCTGCTCCGTAGTTGCGGGTCCAGCTCCAGCGCGACGCTTCTTCAACACATTCTCAATGAAAGCCTCACCAGCCTTGTAACTGCTGCGGACCAAAGGTCCAGAGGCACAGTACAAGAAACCCATGTCCAGTGCCCGCTGGCGCCAAGCCTCAAACCGATCCGGAGTAACATACTCGTGAACAGCCATATGGCGCTTAGTAGGACGCATGTACTGACCAAAGGTCACAACATCAACATCCACAGCACGCAACTGGCGCAGCGCATCCCAAAGCTGCTCATCCGTCTCCCCAAGACCCAACATAAGACTAGTCTTTGTGATAAGATCGGGCTTCGCAGCCTTCGCAGCCTTAAGCACACTAATGGACTGCTGGAAAGTAGCACGACGATCCCGGACATGAGGCGTCAACTCCTCAACAGTTTCAACATTGTGCGCGAAAACATCCAATCCACTCCGCGCGACCACCTGCGCCATCTCCAAGTCTCCACGATAATCACCCGTCAAGCACTCGACCAAAATACTCGGGGCCTTAGCCTTGATCTTGATGACCGTCTCCGCAAAGTGGTGCGCACCTCCGTCCACCAGATCGTCACGGTCGACACTTGTCAAAACCACATATCCGAGTCCCCATCTCGAGATAGCCTCGGCCGTGTTCTCGGGCTCGTGCGGATCAAGCGGGGCGGGCGTGCGGCTCGTCTTGACACTGCAGAACCGGCAGCCACGGGTACAGGTGTCGCCCATGAGCATGATAGTGGCCGTTGCAGCGGCCTTGTCGCCGCCGCCCCAGCAGTCGGAGATGTTGGGGCATTTCGCCTCCTCACAGACGGTGTGCAGGTTCAATCCGCGGAGATCCTTCTTCAGGCGCTGGTAGTTCTTCGAGTCTGGAATGGGTGTCTTAAGCCAGTCGGGGAGACGGGTTATTTCCTTCTTGCGGCCGGCGGGGCCAGCCATGACCTTTTTGAGAGCGTAAGCCTCTGACGGCTCGAGGGGCTCATCTCCGCCAGATACGAAGTCGGAAAAAGAAGGGCCAGCGTTAAGTTTATCTTGGAAGGAGGTCTTTCGCCGACGGGTGATTCCCTGTGTGTTGGTGGCGGAGCCGTTGTCGGTGGTAGCGTAGGTGCGGTAGTGGAGGGTGAGGGTCGATGTTGGGGCGGGTGAGAGGGAAGTCCTTACGGACGAGAGGTGCCGTAGGGTTCGTGCTGGAGCGGCCATTGTGATGTGTGTGTATGTGAGATGCTAAGGTACAGAGACGCAATCTGCAGAGAAAGATAGCTGGGGCTTTCCCGCGGGATTCAGAGGGTGACTAAGCGATGGAGATGGAGCATGTGGCGAAGTAGCTAATGTTTCCCGCAAGATTCCTAGGGAAATCAATCCTCGAGATATCAAGATAATTGAAGCGAACTAAAAATCCAAACTAGTGCTTAACCATGGGAATGTATACTATCAAATAACTTGCTGTTGTGAACTGTGTACATGTTTGGCTTTCGAGTAGTCAAAGTGTAGATGATTGTCGGACGTCATCGCTGAAGACCCGAATTTGAGTGGAAACGTCGATTTAGAATCTAGACTGCAGGAGGAATTGTGATTATAGCAATGGCTATTATGATTATGATTTACTAAAGTGCTATAATACTAATTGTACATGTCACACAAGCTCAAGAACAGATCCAAGGAGCGAATCGCAATGCAAGGGTATGAAAGTATATGAAAAGAAATAAGGACGGTCGAGTTCTGATGCACTCAGAGTAATTGTTGCTCGTAATGAAGGTGTGGTATGCTGGATGGCGACGATGGAGAGGAATAGGAAATGGATTGGCAAAGAGAGGCGAGGTTGGTTGATGAATATTGAAGGAAATCGGAAAAGATAGGGAAAGAGAGGGGAGGCCTAAGGGGCCTTGACTTCCAGCACCTGGGCAAGAACTTCGATCGCAGATTTAAGTGTTTCATCGGATCGGCCGCAAATAGCGAATAATAAATTATCGATTATTCTTTCAACTTCACGTCGCAGATCGCTGCTACGCGATGAGAGGACTCGGTCCTTGATGCGGCCCGGAGATCCAGATGGGAGCTGTATGCCCAGTGTGCTGTATGCTTTGGTGGGGATGGCGTCGATGCCGTAAATGTCGTTCCGCGCCAGTAAAGAAGGTTTGTGGCGGTGAATTGTAGATAATGAAAGGAGATAGTTTCGGGCAATGAGTGCTGCACAGAGACAATCTAGTAGATTCTCTGTGACTCCTGGAAATATTGTGCGAAATGGACGAAGAAAGTCTCTGTCGTCACTTTTCCGGACATGAAGAATAGCAGGTGATGTCAGTCGAAGCATATGGCGAGGGAAGTCTTTAACAGAATGTTCAAGCTCGTCAAGGGTCCATTGATGATCATCCACAGTCCATTCGTGACGAGCATCATCCCATGGGGTTGCATCGTCTGATTCAGCTTTTTCAAAGTTGGTCGAATTGCGACTTGGAGAATGGCGGCGTTGCGGTGTCCCTTCAGGGCTTACACTGCCAGACCGAATCTCCGGCTGGGGTGAACCTTCGCGCTCTCCCTGCGCGCTGCCAGGCCGTTCTCCTACCACAGTAGACGTGACACTGTCCGAGGTCAAGGAGCCTGGATCGGTGTATACATCGTCGTCTTTGCCATCTTCATAATTGCTCAAAGAGTAACCAGACTCTCGGGTACCATAGCCACTATCCGACATGTCCAGCGGATTATCAAGTGGGGTGTCAGGACTAAAAGCAGATACTTCCTCTTGCCGTTGATCTGGTGTCATCGGCAAAGGATGTGGTAATAAAGATGGCGGAGGTGGCATTGGAGAAGACTGTCGAGCAATGTCCACTAATCTTGGCTTGTTCTTGGGTTTGCTCGCAACAGCAAATCTCTGAAAGACCATTAGTACATTTGCCAAATTTTGGAGATTTAATCAAGCGGGTGCATAACTTACCAGTGGTTCGTCGAGGGACTTCATCCCCGGAATGAAATCTATCTTAGGCATCGGAGGATCTTGTTCGACGATCTGGACCTTTCGACGGTTGGATTCTCTGATGTTTTCATCCTTTCCAGAAATCGGATCGAAAGGAACCCCTTTCAGCCATGTCTCGCAGTATGCCAAGTTACTAGGTATCCAGCTAGCTTCACTTGAGACAGTGGCGGTCCTCGGCCGTTGGGGTCTCGGGGAGCTGCCTGGAACAAGACTGGAGGTGGGGGCTAGAGGTGAACTGATAGGGCTCAAGTGCCCATCGTGGCTTTTGGATGTGTATTTTGACTCATGGGCTTCGCAATGCCGGATGAGATTCGAATGCGCTTCATGCACACTGGTCACTTCCGCCCACCTTTGTTCTTGGGGTTGTTGACGGGATTCTTCTTCCCAACCGGGTGGCCGGTATGCCCTGTAGTTGATCTTTTCTTCGTCGCTATCTTCCATTTCTTGACTGGGCCCACTCGACTCTTCCAACTCAGGTAGCTTGGGCTCCACTTGGAGCTCTTCATGTTTGTTGTCCACTTCCTTCAGTTCGTCCTTGCACTCAAAGTATGATGAATCAGGCTCGGCACTGCCGGCCCTTGATTCTGATATAGGTGGGCTGGGTAAAAGGCCAAAGGCTGACATGCTAGCTGACGTCAAATTTTGGTCAGAACGCCATGTTCGCAGTGTATGCCCGCCTGGCAATTTTGATTCCCTCGTTGATTTTGGACGAAATGGAGGCACACCGTCGCATGATGCCGGCGAAGTCGGGAGCATCAACTGAAATGGTTCCTTCATCTTGCGAACGGAACGGAAAGGTGAGATCATGGGGGGTCCTCTACTCGCGGGTCGCCGGGAGAGGGATGTTGTTGAAGTATCATGAGTCTCCTGGCGAGGTAGTGTAGGAGACGGCACAAATGACAATGTCGGAAATTGTCTGCTCCTCCTTCGGGGCTGATATGTAGGAGACCATCGGCGTGGCGAGGGGATGGGATCAGGAATTGCCATGGCATCGTAGCTCGGCGCAGACGAGTAAGACTCTTGGTTCTTTATGTGAGTTGGAATCGGGGCTGGGAAGCACGCATTGCTAGGCATTTTGGGAATACCGCAGTCCATGGTAGACATGGTGCGTCTTTCAGACGAGGCGGTTTCTAGTCCCAATTCAAATGTTGTAAAAGCAACATGCGGTCGTACAAGAGTTACCCAGACGAGAATGAAATGCAGCAGTGTAAGCTCTGGAACCTCCGCCCGATGCAGGGGCACAATACGTCCTTATACAACCAGAGTGACGCGAGTTTTGACTTCCAAGGACGATAGGGTCACTAGGTATACAAGGCAGAACATCCCTTGTCAAGGAACTGAACAACCTGCGATGAAGAAAGTCGAGTATTGTTCAGAAGAAGCTTGGCCCCTTCAAGGTTTTTGGGTTTCTTGCTTGCACGAAATGGGCTCAACTTCTCAGGCACGGGCCATCATAATAATAGTTGAGAATGAGAGTCGCGTCGTCCTTGCATGCCCAAGAGAGGTGAAATCTAAGCAGGCGGTGGGAGTATGATTGGCCCTAGATTGCCATTCATGCTCTGCAGGACCCCGTCAACGTGGATAGACCCTTTGTCCGTCGCTTAATATCGTCATAGTCTTGCAGGAAGAATGAGACAAATGGGATGCAGAGAGGGGGAAGAGCGAATCACAGCCCTTGGGAAGGGTAATAAGATCGCCCACAGGGTGTGTTGCACTGTAGCCGAGCGGGTCTTCATTGGCTGCAGTGTCTCGTTGCAATAGCAATGAGAGAGGCCCCTTCATGGGGTTGCTTATCCCTTGCATCGGAGTCAGTCATGCCTGACCAGACTCTGAAACTTGGAATATAAAGGATAACATGCTTCGTCATGGCGTGCATTAGTTCTCTCTACTTTCTTCCTTTTTCCGATCATATTAGTCTTCTTGGGTGAGTAAATTCGAATCGCCCCCGACAAAAATGTCATGGGTTCTCGTTGAGAAATCCGACAGATCACCATTCTGAATTCCCTAATTTCAGCTGGGCAACTCCAATCTCGCGTATTCCGTCGCGCATTCCGGGAAGATTGACAGGTTCCATTAAAAGGCCCCGCCCCGCTTTATCTCAAAATAAGGGTGATGTTGAAATGATAGATGTCAATGAGATGGTCCTATGGGATGAGTAGATATTAAAGTAAAACGCAACACGGGGTCAGATCTGATCGGAGCTGAAGAGGAGAGTTTGGGATTGATCGCATCTTGTAGTTGCATAATGCATTTCCTGGTAAGCGGTGGGGCCCGACCCGTAAGGCTCCAAACAGTGCAAACTTGCCTTATCGATTAGACTTATCGTGTCCAGCTTTTTTTTTTCATTTCGGCTGCGAAGAATGATCCTCACAAAGTCTCTCCATATTTCATGCAAGCGCCCCATTCCCCATGATTTCCGAATCTTTCATAGCGGCGACGCTGTCATCCGCTAAAACTCCGACCGCCACTCTCCGCGATGTCGGCATTTGCGTGCATGAATTCCAGCCTGCGCCCCAGCTACGATCCACTTTCAAGAAGAGCTCGACTACACCCAATTGCTTGGCCGTGAGCCCGTCGCACATTTTCTCCGCGCAAGCTGATAAAGCAGTTGTCCATGTATACAGTCGGGAGAAGGGAAACCAAGAGGCCTTGGTGCCATTCCCTGAGCGGATCCGCAGCATTGCTGTTGTCGGAGCCAAGCATGGTGATGTCCTAGTCCTCGGTACGGAGGGAGGGCGATTGATTATCTGGGAGGTATGATATGTCAATTCCGTTTATCTTTTGGATCTATCACACTGTTAGTGGATTCGTACTAACCCGCACCGCGTGTTTCAGACATGCACAGGACGTCAAGTCGCTACCACAGCCTCTCACCTGCAGCCGGTCACTTCGCTCGTCGTCGACCCCACCTCCAACTTCATTCTGTCCGGCTCCGCTGATGCTAGCATACACGTCTGGTCTCTGCCCGGCATCCTATCTTTCTCTAAGCCCGCAGAAAACCAAAACCGACAGCCTCCAAACTCACCCATTCGCACCTTCTCTAACCATCGTGCCGCCATCACATCTGTGGCTGTCGGACATAGCAATGGACGGAACAACATTGCCGTTTCGACCGCGAAGGATAATACAGCTATCGCATGGGATTATAGCACTGGACAAGTTCTGCGAACATACTTGCTTCCTTCCTCTGCGACCTGTCTAGCATTGGATCCGGTGGATCGTGCTGGTTACGTTGGATACGAAGACGGTAGCGTGCAATCCATCGACTTTTACCGCAGTGGCTCAGTACAACACACCCTCCACGACTCATCACTACAATCGACCCCTGCTCAGGTGTCCGCTGAAGACCGATGGCTTCCTCCATCTGCCGAGTCCGGCGCTACCCGAGCACTTATGCTCTCATATGACGGTGCTACGCTATTGTCTGCACACGATAGCGGCAAGGTACTGTCATGGAATATCGCACGCCGTAAATTCGCAACTACTGTTGCTGATATGACACACCCTGTGACCAATCTGGTTTCCCTGCCACTCAGTGGCCTGTCAAACCCTTCGCAGGAACCAACCCGCGCTATTCACACTATTGTTAAGCCTCGCCACGACGGTGCTCTCTCGGACCCTTCTCATGCTCCTGGTGCTGTACCAGCGGCATACAACTTCCAAACACACCTCACCGCTCCTTCACGTCTCCGAGCTCGTCAAGCAACTCAATTCTCTCAGGCGCTCACCCACGCAGCCTTCCCTACTTCCATGATTGAGGAGGGGCTCGCTGAATTGGCTGCTCTCCGACAGCCCGGATCTGAAGTTTCGCGTGTTGTACCTACCGCTTCGGTGGTTCAAAGTACCTCGGTTGACATTGCCGCTCAAGACGATCGCGTTGATGAACTGGAGGCTGAAATCGCTTTACTGAAGAAAAAAGACGTAGTCAATGACAAGACTCGACACACTACTGCAGATGAAGTTGTCAAGTTGCGTTCAGATCTTGCTCATTTACAAGATTATATCAACGAGATGCATGAGAAGCAGGAGGCAGCCCAGCGTGACAAAGTACAGCGCCAAGCAAAGAAGGAGGCTCGTGAAACTAAGAGACGGGAAGCCTGGTTTGCCGCCGAGGGTAAAGGACGCAATGGTGATGCTGTGATAAAGAAGATGGAAGTTGATGATGGCATGCTTACCAGCGAGACGGATGACCAGAGCGATGAGTAAACTTCTTTTCAATATTGCGATTCATTGGGGCATTTGGTCTAATCAAAATGGGAAATGGCGCCTGGTTCAATATTGGCATTCATATACTTCACGATCAGTATTTATTCAAGGGATATTCAATGAACTTCAATTTTGATCAAATTTGCAGTGCCCAGCTGGATGATTTTAGAAATTAGATCTTGCTATCACTGGTACTTGAGTTCAAGGGCTCCTCCGCAGAATCCATAAGTGCTGATCGAGCCCACACGCTCGCCACCATTTTTACAACCATGGTCAACTATGGTTATTTCAGAGAGGCCGGGTATATTTGCTACCTTTTATGTAGCAAAATTCCAAGAAACTCGCATCTCGATTTTCGATTCTAAATGAACTCGTTGCTCCATGGGAACCTAAGTTCAACCAATGTATCAAAGATCTCGGAATATACCGCGCTGCGTTTAACCTTGGAACAAAGATAGAAACGCCAGGGGCTCTCGACCACTCGGTCTTTGGACTTTTCAAGACGTCCAATACAAACCACATATCCTGAATTCTCACTGGTGCCCACTTAAGCCACCTGGGGATGGCACCAGGGCCACTTTGCCTCATTAGTCAAAGAAACCAACATGCGGGGCAGGGATTGATGGCAAATGAAATCATAAGTCGCCACATTCTGTACATAAATATACAGCAATTTAGATGCTCGAGTACAGGTTTTCTCTTGTTTTGAATCAAACACAACATTTGGAATGAGTTGACGATATTTCTACGATTACTTTACGATATTCGCGCATCAAAATCCAGCCCTTGAGCACCTGAGCGAGAAACACTTCGTCATTCAAAAATCCGAACTTTGAAGCCTTTCCCCCTAATTATTTCCCAGAAGTTTCAGCCTCCACCAAAATGTCCGATTCCTATACCAGATCTTCCTATTACTACAGTTCTTCAACCAATACGGATAAAGGCACCACCACTGCCACCGGACATCGGTACTCTACCACTTCACACACCGAGCCGGATGGAACGACGACTGTACGGACAGCGCATCAAGATTTGGGAGAAGTTCCTATTATTGAGGAGCGGCGCTATGATAGTTCTGGTCAAGAAGAAGTTGCTGAGCTAGCTCTTCCTGGTCCATCGGGGTCGTCTGCTGGTGGAATCAGGCGGATTACAGATCTTGATGAGTAGTTCCAAGGTTTCTTGGAATCAATGTTGAGCTCCTCGATATTTGAGGTCTCAGAATATTCTATCCATGCATTTGGACGGTTGTTATGATACGAAAATGAAATAATTGAGTATTCCAAGATCAACTTGGGCTCTCAAAAATTTTCTTAGTACCACACCGCTATCCAAGAATACCACACACTGCTTTAGAATTTAGCAGAGTATGCGCGCTTTTGATCTGCAAAGATCAATTAAATCTGACCATTCTTCATGGAAATTAGAAATAGACGTGGCATTAAAGCCAAACCATAATCTGCTATGAATTAGCCCTCGAATAATTCGCCAACATTTGAACTTGACCATTTTTTTTAAAAAAAAAGAAGAAAATTACTAAGAATTCACTCCAGATGTCCTTTCCTAGTTCGAAGCTTGCACAGTGTCATGAGTCACTGCCCAGGTGTGTTTTCGAATTGTCGTTTTCAAAGTTAAAGGCCGGTCACTTCGTGGAGTGCAGGAGCGCTCCCTTCAAATGTTAAAATGTCCTGGCTGACATTCCATACAGACTGTATAGCCCAATCCAAGTTGGATTTAGGGTAAAGTAGTTTCAATGTTGGTTAAGTGATGTTGTTGTTGGATGCGGTTGAAAGATATATCAATTCCAAGGAGCTTTGATGAGATGAGGTCGGAATCCTATTGGATTCCCCGATGAAGCCTGCTCAGTGAGAGATTTGGTGTAAATGCACTTACGTTTGTATTTTGACGTTTGGAACATTGAAGGCAATTTTGACTGTTTCCAAGACTGTCTTGGTGTTTAATATTTAATTATCTGCGCCAGGTTTCATTCTCAAAATCAAGTGGCGCGCTGCCGTGTCCTAGCATGAGTCCGACGATTTGGTTCTCCAATCATTCACGAGCCGTGATACATCCTTGAACGAAACAGGTTTCGTAAGGAACAAGTCCATTCCAGAGTCTACAGACTCAGACTCCGAACGCGGGCTGCTAAGACCCGTAAAAGCAATGATCTTTGCCGGAACGGCGCTGCCCCGTTCTTTTTCAATCATACGAATAGCACGAGTTGCTTCAAATCCGTTCATGATGGGCATAGAAATGTCCATGAAAATAAGATCATATCCCTGTGGCATGCTTTCCACGCAGTTGACAGCTGCTCTTCCATTATGTGCCGTATGGACAATCGTGACATTCCGTTTCTTCATATGTGTCACCAAAAGGCGCAGGTTGATGTCGTTATCATCTACTAGCAGGACCCGAGGTCTGCTGGCATTCACAGAAGGCAGATCAGCATCAGCTAGACTTCCAGTGGAATGGGGAACTGATGATGACGGATGAATGTTGGATGTGTCTCGACCGGGTGGTTTTGTGTCCAGACCAAGTGCAGTATCATCACGCTGGGCGACATGCAGACCATGTCTTTGTGTACCTGGGATCAATTCCAATGACTCTGTAGCTGGGACGTTCAGTTCTTCAAACGATTTGAATGTAGAATTCTCAGACAGCGCAGATGCAAGCCTAGGTCGTTCCGATATGACGAATCCTTGTCGAAGACTATGTGAACGCTTCATAAGAGAATCTGCTTTCGAATCAAGACAACTCAAAATACCTCTGGCGAGACGATGTGGACCGCAAGGTCGACGGAGAAGAGCCACAGAGCCAGCAAGATGCGACCATTCTTCTCTAGATTCACCAGGGCTACTCCGATTATCGTAAAAGACGAGCAAGTTCGGTAATCCAGCAGGCAAATGCTGCAAATTTTCTGACGACAAATCGCTTTCGTCCGCAAACAGAACATCAATACGTTCCTCGGCAGACCAAGGTACGACCTTCAGGCCATACCAGTCCGTAGCATACCGAGCGACCGAAGACCAGAACTGATGATGAGCAATGGCAGAAGAACCCATTCCCCAAATTGCAGCACGCTTCCCTGTCAAGTTCATATCTCGGAGTTTGGAGGATGCCGTAAGTGCATCTAGCGCTGGGCTATCCGCACAAGTTTTGGAGAATGGGTTCCGTTCCCCTTCTGGACGTTGGAGAGGAAACGACACCTTGACAATAGTGCCTTCGCCCACTCGACTTTGGATATTGATATTTCCATTTAACGTATCCACAATACCGCGGACAATTGAAAGACCGAGGCCAGTTCCTACCGATAGTGGATTCTCTTGTGAAAATGGAGTGTATAAACGAGTTCGAAGGTATTCACCCGAGATGCCTCTGCCAGTGTCCGAGACGGTCAACGTCACCACATCTTCAGAAGCCTGATGTTGAGAACGACCTTTAGGCAGCTGAGTAGCCTCGACACAAACAGAGATCAAGCCCTTGTCGGTATACTTCAAGGCATTACCCAGAAGATTCATGATGAGCCGTCTTAGCGATCCTGGCTGGACTTTGTACGACCAATCATTATTGCTAATGTCGACGACAACGTCCACTTCCGAGTAGGAGCTGGCTTTATTGTCTTCCTTTGTTGGATTAAAATTTGAAAGTGGAAAATCAGTTATGGGAGGATTGTTCGATGTTGTTGATCGTTTCATGTGGAAATGTCCCAAGCAGACACTATCAACGACATCCTCCGTCAATGTAGCCACATCTGTCGTCACGAATAGGTCCATGCGAGCTGAGATTTCGTCTGTGACCTTAGGTTTGGATGGATCTTTTCTGCGCTTATGTCTCCTCTTTCGTCTTTGCAGTGACATGATCTTGCTAAAGTCCAAAACTTGATTCATTGTATCCAACAGGGTTCGGCCACATGCATTTATCGTCTCGATAAGACTTTCCTGGAACTCGTCCACACTGGTGTCCCCTAAAAATTCGGCGGCGGCTAGGACTCCATGCAACGGGCTGCGCAGCTCGTGGGAGATACTGCTGATGAAATCTCCCTTTTGCCGGTCTGCAATCACCGATTCGACACGGCTGTATTCAGTCATGATCGATGATGCGAAACCAAATACCGAGCTCAGATCAACGGCACGGCTAAATATCTTCGTTGGCTGGGGAGTCCAACAAAAACACCCAGCAAACCACTGAGATTCTATAGCGTTCCATAATGGGACAAACATTATCTGACATGCCTCAGGAAAGTACGTATTCAGTTTGCTGGTTTCCGAGGCCCTGTATTTGTCTTTCACTCTCTGGGACGTCCCAGTATATTCATCTTCGTCTGAAATAGACAAAGACCCATCGCTGTGAAATGACCAGAGTCTTCCCCTGGGGTAATTATGAGCTAATTGGGTTAAGAATTCTTTGTCGAGATTGACAGCTGGACATGATGGTGTAGATTCTGTCTGGAAGGATAATGGGTCGTCTCTGGTAGATATCGAAAGCACAGGCGCAGACTTATTGGCATCAGTGGGACAGGAATGGCCGTCGGAAATTTGATCTGTCAAATGGTTGCTATTCTTCAAGAACATCACACCACTCTCGCCATTTAACTCCAAGCCCTGCCGAAGGAGGTTTGCGGCTCGCTGAAAAATCCAATCATTGCTGCTCGAGGAGATGGATGAATCGCTGCCAGCTTGTTGCAAAGCACGGAGTGGCGTAGCGGCTTTAGGAGAGATGGCCCCGTCCGGATTTGTGTTGGAATCTCGACTTAAAGACCGTGTCTCCCTAATTGGAGAATCAGCGCCATCAACTTCAGCATGAGGCTCCGAGCCGCACTTTCGAGAGCTTGTGGATCGGCTAGTTCTGAAGTAAGACGATCGCCGTGAGGATGAATGAGAGCTCACGCTGTTTGACCGAGACATATGGACACTGCTCGGGAAACTGGAATGGCCGTCAACAAAGAGGTGAAGGCCTTGCGACAGCCGTGAGGCACGACGTCCTTCGACAGCTTGGCGGCTGATATGCATATAGTCCATGACCATTGCTGCCACTGTACCCAGGGCATCTTTCTGAACTTCGGACAACCCGTCACGGGGATGAGGATCGAGAACAAACAAGCATCCTACATTGATATTTCTATCGGTCGTGAGGGGCGTTCCAGCATAGAAGCGGGAATGTGGCTCTCCGTCCACGAAAGGCAAGTTTTTGAAGCGCTCTTCTAGCGCAAGATCATTGATCACCAGTAAAGGATATTTTCCATCTTGCGTATCCGGAGACGTTGCAACTGTTTCCTGTGCGAGGAAAGATGTCAGTTCATAATGAGACTTGATACTTGATATTATCGAGCGGATAAGCGATTTTACCTGGCATACGTTCCAAGGACTTTGTAACGTTGATGTTCCAGCAAAAAGTCTACCTTGTTCTCCCACTAACAATCCCGGCTCTCCAATATGGGTGGTTTTGGTAGCTTCGGCGATAATGAACTGCGCATCACGGTTCAATATGCTAAAGTATCGAAAGATCAGCCTTCAAACTTGAGGTCAGCGCTAGGATGATGATCTATGTAGTATGTACGTAATAAATGCACGTTGCGCGTTCAGATGTTGAGCGGCCAATTGGGCAAATGATGTCAAAGTTGTATTTGGGCTAGACAAGACGCTAGGAGCTTCAACCGCAGTCGTCCCTGGCACTGGAAGATCAGGGGCAGTAGAGGTCGTCGCTGACAAGCCGGCGACAGAAGCTGAATCATCACCTAACGGCAGCCAAGCCGCATTAAGCGCCGCCGGATTTGTGGGTTGAAAATACCGATAAACCTCGCGAGCCTGACGGTCTGCTTCATATTCCGCAGGACTCTGCTTGATTGGATCTTGCATGACCGGGATAGGACCACTGCTGATGTGTGGCGGTTATTTTGTGGAACTCGGGACTCGAGGTAATTGTTGAGTGAGATAGTAAGATCCATCCAAAAGAAAATCAAAATTTGGGGAAGTGGGATGCTGTATGTATATTGTACTCGAGCTGCAGCATGCAGTGATCGCACGTGATGCGATACAATGACGTAGGTGTAGTTTGTGGCTGATATCGCGATTCGTTTGCTTTTGATTTTGAGCGTACAAGAATATGAGGAGAATGACTTGCTCAGGACTAGCGTGAAGATCGGCCTAGGATGACTAAACCCTTGGAAGCGCTGGGTTTATCACTACATGTAGGGAGCCTGAGGGGTGAGCACTTGGTGGCTTGAAAGTCGAAAATTACCGTTTCTGGCGCCAGTGTCATTTTGGACTTCATTTTGATAGGTGCATGTATGTAGTATGTTTATTTGTCCTAGCAGCGCTTGAGGGTAGGAAGTATATGTAATACATAGTACAGTGTGGAGTATACGTAAAAGACTTGGAGGTTCAAGTTTCCAGGTGTTCTAAAAATCTTGTTTCCGTGATATAACGGATTGTCGCAGCCTGAGGTGTCACAAAAGTGGACCATCCTGGTTACATAACACACGCTAAACCACTTTGGGAATTATGGTCGGAGGCGAGATTTGGGCAGTTTGGCAAAAAAGAGAAAGGTTTTGGATATTTGGAGTTGAATTTGCCATCAACTAGTGTCACTGGAGAGGTAATTACCACAGTTAGAATGGCAGGTCAAGAAGCAGAGGTGACGTTGGCTAGAGAATCTGGGGATCGGCCCCTCTCTCACCGTAGGACCGAAGGAGGTTTTAGCGTGGGTTAAGCGAGGGACCGGAATCGGCGAGTGTACACTCACCGGTTCATTCTCTAGCGTGCAGGACCCAAATCGCTCTCACTCAATCTATCTGCGCATCACTTAGAACGTGGAGGCCCGTTCCCCATAGCTTGATATATAAGCTCATCTAAAATAAACCTACCTAGACTGTCCTTTTTTTGCGCTTCTGCTTTCTTTTCCCAGGGGGATCCCCTATTACCTTTGATTTCCCCCCATATTTACCGTCCATTGCCGTTCCGGTAAATGCCAAATAATGTCCACTGAGGCCTCTAAAATGCAGACACTGGGATCCTACATCGGACTTGGTCCAGCCCGGGATTCTAGGCTGATCCCAAGCCCGGACCTCATGCCATTCATTTCCTTATGCTTAGAAATGTACTGAGCTGCTTATTACGTGCTCTCGGACGCTTTTCCCGCCGACTTTACTTATGAAAAAAAAAAAAAAAATCTGTCAATTCAAGAGTCATCTTTTCCGTCAACTAGAATCAAAACCCGAGCTTTAACCACTCAACTTTTTTCCACTTGCGGAATTGTTCTTTTCATTTTCATTTTCCTTACCGGTCAGAAGCCCGGGGATCCTGCAAATCAAGAAACTTTTTACCTTTTTCTCCGTACGCATCCGGAGATAGCCTTTCGGGGGAAAAAACAGACGCTGTTTTTTTTCTTTGGAAATACGCCACCTCTTCGTTACCCCTCCTAGGGGACCTTGTTCCTGGAGCTCGTTGCATCTTTCCAGGTCAACCAGCACTTTATTCCAGCCTCCCTCTCTTTTGGAATATAGAGAGTAATCGGAGAACTTGCTGGTTTTGTCTCTGCACTTGACCTCGGAATTGCCTTTCAAGCCGGGGGTCTACGGAACCGTGAGCCGCATGGTGTTTCCCAGATTTCCAGCACTTACAACTACACGTGCCTCTATTCCCAACGCGTGTTATCTCCTTTCCAAGTACTCCCTTTCAATTCAAAACCTCCCATAATGTTGCCTCCGGTACCCTCACTGTTGGAATATGGCATGTCCCCGGAGACTGGATTCCTGTCACCGGAGCCACCGCTGGAAGCTTTGCCAAATCCTTATTACCACAAGTGGGAGGCGATTGCCGCAAACCTGCAACCCTTGCTCTTGAGTAAACGCGTCCGAGGTATTGTGCATCACTTACCCGTGCTGTCAACCAAGTACCTGCAAACAGATGCCGAGTGGCGTCGGGCATACGTTGTTCTGGTGTTTATGTTACACAGCTATGTATGGGGTGGTGACCGTCCTGCCGAGGTATGTAAACCCCTTTTTATTCTCTCCACCCGCAAACCGGTCAAGTACTTATGAACAATGAACAGAGAATCCCTCCACAATTGACAGTGCCTCTATTCGAGGTCTGTGACCGCCTAGAGGTCCCCCCAGTAGCAACATACGCTGGCGTGTGTCTCTGGAACTACAAACCAATCTTCCCGGACGAACCAACCGACGACCTAGATAACCTCGCCTGTCTCCAAACCTTCTCCGGATCCATAGATGAACAATGGTTCTATCTTGTCTCAGTAGCCATCGAGGCCCGCGGTGCCCCCTCAATCCCCCTTATGCTGGAGGCCATCACTGCCGCCCGCGCCGGCAAAGCCCGTGTAGTAACCGAATGCTTACAACGACTTGCCGAAATAATAGACGAGGTCAACTCTCTCCTACAACGCATGTACGATAATTGCGACCCATATGTCTTTTACAACCGCATCCGCCCCTATCTTGCTGGCAGCAAGAACATGACCGACGCAGGCCTACCAAACGGTCTTTTGTACGACGATGGCCACAACGAGCCTGAGTACAGGCAGTACGGCGGAGGCAGTAATGCCCAGAGCTCGCTGATTCAGTTCTTCGACATCGTGCTGGGTATAGAGCACAGGCCAACGGGAGAGCCTCGCAAGGAGACTGAGAATGCCTCACCAGACAGCCCCAAGTCCCGAAACGGGTTCATTCACGAGATGCGCTCGTACATGCCTGGCCCGCACAGACGCTTCCTGGAACATGTTGATTCGATTGCCAATATTCGATCTTTTGTTGAGGCTCGACGTGCTGACCCGGCTCTTCGGTTGGCGTATGATACTTGTCTGGGCATGTTGCGTGCCATGCGTGACAAGCATATCCAGATTGTCTCACGCTATGTCATTGTACAGGCGCACAGTGCTCGTCGAAAGACACAGGAAGCCCAGCCCAGCCAGCCTACGCCGCAGAATTTGGCTACTGCGGCCCCGGCTGATAACAAAAAGCTGCGGGGAACGGGGGGTACCGCACTTATTCCGTTCCTGAAGCAAGCACGTGACGAGACGGGAGAGCCGGCCATGGATGCCTGGGCACGACGACTTCTTAGCAGCGGGCCTAAGGTTGCAGGATCTGCGGCTCTGAGTAAAGTTGGCGAGCATCCCGATGGGCATCTGGAGGTTGTTGGCCTCTGTGGCACATGGACAGCCGATGACAGCGAGGGAGGGATCTGCAACTGGTGATGAAAACCACACATTATTACGATTATTGCGAGATTCTATGAGCGTTTGATTTTGCATTGGCATCTCCTATGTTGACTCTTGTATATATTAACAACAGTGGGTTTTTTTATTATGGCTTTATGATATACAAGCCATGAGCTTGTCCTTTTTTATTTTGTTTCTTACATTCATGTACGTGTTGGTCTTCAAAGTTATTTATTATTTAGCATCTATAGGATTCTATGTACTTGAACATGTGGAAACAAAGGACATCATGTTGTGACTGGATGTAAATCTGAAGGGCTCCATCGTACTTTGTGGAACCTTCTCTGGCCCGTACCTCGTTCTTTATGACGCATTCCCCTTGTTGAATGTGTCCACTTTATCCTGACGGGACCTGACTTGCATGGGGTAATCACGTGCATGACATCAGTGGGTGACGTCATCTATCAAGATGTTGACGGCTTACGTAGTTGGCTTATTGTTTGAATGCCTTGAAAACGGGCATAGTAAGTGAAGGGGAAACAACTATTTAAAGAGAGGGTATAGCCAGGAAATATTGATCCATTCTTCAAAACAAACAAAGTCTTGATACAAATATCACTTTACTCTTCCACCAACGCCTTCTTCCACCAACAACTCTCTATCAACTTTCGTCTACAACTCTATCAACCACAATCATGTCTGACCCTAACTCCTCCACTCTCGGCTCTTATGTCAACTCGGCCACAGGTGCTGCTCAGCGTGCCGTTGGCTCTATCACTGGCAACTCCTCCACTCAGGTAAGCTCCAGCTCCAGCCTAAGCCCCAATCCAAGTCAACCCAAACTAACAACTCCCAGGACAAGGGTGAAGCAGCCAAGGCTCAAGCCGAAGAACAACACGAAAACTCCCACACAACCGCTAAGCTCGGCCCCGTGGCCGCAGATCCCAACACCGGCGCCACTGCCACCGATGACCCCAACCGCTCTAACGGCTCCTGGGACCAGACCGTCGGCTCAGCCAAGGAGTCCTTGGGTAACCTGATCGGCAACGAGGGCTTGCGCAAGGCTGGCGTTGAGCAAAACGCTGCTGGCAAAGAGCAGGAGGCTCGTGGACAGCTCAAGGACTGGGGTCAGGGAATCCAGAACCGCGCCCAGGGTACCCTTGGTGGTGTCGCTGCTGCTGTTACTGGTGACCGCGAAGAGGAGAAGAAGTACCAGGAAATGCACGATGAGGGCAAGGTCCGTCAGCGAGGTGCTGAGGCTGATATTGCCAAGCGCCAGGGTGCTTAAATCCATTGATTCATCTGCAGTCTTCTGAGATCTTTTCTTAGAAAGGATTTCCAAGGCACGTCTGAGCTTGATGGTTTGCTTTTTCCAGCGATCTGGACTCCTTTGAGCCCTTTGCTTCTTTACCACGATTTTTATGACTTAAGATATCCAATTCAAGGTTGATTTTCTTTTACTCCTGTTGTATTCTCGTTAGTAGAGGTGCATGATTTGCACATTAGTATTATTGTAGTTCGGGATTGCTCTTTCTCATGCAGCCCCATTCGATCGACTGTCGATCAAAAAGTATCCGATCTTGATCCATGCTTGACACCTGCTTTTCCAATCATGCAGCCGCCAATTCACTCCACATCACAGATAAAATCATTGCAATCCTTTCAAAATCCACTCAGCTTCGAGTGATAATTGTGAAAACATTGGGATCTGGCAAACTTTAATACAGCAGTAGGCTCAGATTGTTCGGCTCACCCACTCTCTATAAAGGACAAGCGCAAGTGAAGAGCACCGGCACTTCGAAACAATCATTTCTTTACCGAAAAATATTTCAGGCACCTTGACCCGCCTCCGGAGTGTTGTTTATACTCCGATTGGCGTATCTTGATTTTTAACTTTTTTGGGTCACTATGGTCTTCTTCAATCACTTCGAGACGCATTCTGCAGATTACCAACATACCCAAGATCCCGCGATTGGAATTGCCGTGACATCGTGAAGAAGATCGAAAACACAAGTCCTTGGCACACGTGTGCACTAGCCGCCATACCATTTGCGGATGTGGGCGGGAGCTAACCCCGATATGCCCGATGAAAAGAGGCTAAAAAGGCTTCAAGGGTCTTGGACTCTTCACTCTTGAATAGATCCCTGCTATAATATGGGGAGGTCAATGACCCCGCTACTCCAATCATGGATTCAACCATGGATTGAACTGTTGTGAGCCTTTATGTCCCACCTTTAAAATTATCATGATAGTGATTGAAACATCAATATCGGATAGCGCGATTGAATACTAATGTGTAGTAGTATTGCGTGTGCAGAATATCCATACATTCCAAGGTTTACCCTTTTCATTCAACTAAACTCCAAGAAACACTCTAATTAAAGTAGTAGTATTATGCAGCGCCCTAGAGTGGCCTAGTGCTATAGTCTCTGCCGCTACACGTGCTAAATTGCCATGATATAACACGATAAATTGACATTGCGAGGATACTACCTCGCTTGCGCCTTGATTTAGTCGGATAGCAACACGAAAAATAAAAAGAATGCTTCAATTGCTGTAAAGCTCGGAGGCTGCGGGCATGCCTTGGAGGAGTATATAAAGACAGATAAATGTAGCCATTAAAATCGGAATTAGAACCACACCTCTCAGGTCTTAAAATACCACCTGATTCCAATCGACACCTTCATCCATAATCCCCCATCCAGTGAACACCATGATCTTCTCAAGAGCTACCGCGCTTCTCGCGCTGGCCTCTGGTGCTTATGCCCAGTCGCAATACACCTCTACTGCCACAGCTGCCGTAGCCAAGGCAGCTGCCACCGCGCTGACCTTGTCCCCTACTTCAAGTGTCGCGGGATTGACTTTCGATCGCTTTGTGCAGATTTTCCTTGAGAACGAAGATTACAGTGCTGCTATTGCCAATAGTAAGTATCGAGCTCCATGGGACTTATGAACACACTCAAACACATATTCAACCCTTCGACCTTGGAGTCCCTTGTTGATGACATCGAATCTAGCAAACCTAGCCTACCTCGCATCTCTGGGAATCACCCTCACAAACTACTACGCCATCACCCACCCCTCCCAGGTACGACCACCCAACACTTTCCAGCTCGCCATGAATTTTGCTTATACTGTCTTACTTACGTGGTGTCGCAGCCCAACTATGTCGCTGCTGTTGGAGGTAACACCTTTGATATCGCTGACGACGATACTCACTATATCTCCTCAAGCACCAAGACCATCGTTGATCTCTTGGAAGACGCCGGCGTCAGCTGGAGTGTGTACCAGGAGGATATGCCTTACTCTGGCTTCGAGGCCAACTATCCCAACCAAAAGACTGGTGCGAACGATTACATGCGCAAGCACAAGTGAGTATAACATCTTCCAAGACCCAGACTGCGCAAAGCACAAAACCACTGACTTGAAATTGCATTGAAGCCCCCTGATGAGCTACGACTCGGTTACATCTGTGACCGATCGTCTTGCCAAGTCAAAGAACTTCACCATGTTCTACGAAGACCTGGATAACAACGCGCTACCCCAGTGGATGTTCATCACCCCCAACATGAGTATGTCCGCTCTTTAAGGTGTTTCTTGTGTGATTTTTCCGTTGAGTTGGAGCTGATAAATATGCCTCACAGCCGACGATGGCCACGATAGCTCGCTCGCCACTGCTGGACTCTGGTCCCGCGACTTCTTGACCCCTCTGCTCGCAAACGAAGATTTCAACACCGATAGTACTTTGATCATCCTGACCTTCGATGAGGGTCTCACCACCGGCACAAACCAGATTTACGCTGTTCTTTTGGGTGGCGCACTCTCAAGCGACCAGGTCGGCACCACGGACGACACTGCATACAACCACTATAGTTTGTTGAAGACTGTGGAGACCAACTGGGATTTGGGTAACCTTGGAGAAAACGACGTGGATGCCACCGCTTTCTTCTAGACGAGGTTGAAGGATTCTTACAGCGACGTGGCCTACATATAAGCAGTGATTTTGGTCCTGTTGGTTATATTTTATGATATTACAAAATGCTAGCTCTTGCGAAGATAGAGATGGACCTGGTCGTCCAAGGGGGGAAATTTAAAGATGTTGCCAAAATAACACGCTGGTCTTTTTCTCTTCTTCTTCTTCTCCCTCTTGTCAACTGAGGTTGCCAAACATTCAATGTTGACATATGCCAGCCAGGGACTAAAAACCCAAGGGTCAGAAGGACTCAGAACTACTTACATGGATTGGGGTGATCAAGTATTCTTACATGTGGGGGGGAAGAAGTGCAATGTTGAGGAAAATATTTATTTAATCATACTAAGTATTAATGCAGCTCTAGAATATTTCTTTTTATAGAGAATGGGAGTCAAGCTGCATACTTGGTACATGGTTGATGTAGTACCAGTAGTTACTACTAGACTCTAGTAGTTCCAAGGTTGCACGCAAGTTTCCTTAGGGGGAGGGGAAATGGGCGAATTATCATTGGTCTTGGCATCTCAGAGCGCGCGCAGTCTCACAAATTTTGGAAAGTGGTGTGGAATTAGTGGACCAGAGGTGTGGCAAAGTTCAAGTTCGAACTTTTAAGTTTTGATCAGTGAATGCACCAAAATCAGAGTAAAGATTATTGACATAATTTAGCCTACCACACCCATAGATCAAGATCTCCGTAAAAGCAAACTTTGGCTCAATAAATCATATGTTGACACTGTTCACTAATTTTGTATGACTACTAGAATATAATAATTCAATGTTTCCAAGCACCTGAGGACCAAGGCTGCGTAAAAGAGTGTATATGGCATGGTTTATCGAGAACATACCCCTGCCTGGCACACATCATACTATGTAGTCACCTACATGCATCCCGCCCATGTAAATATTGATTATCCACTACCATATCTTTTCCATAATAATCTCCTTTGTCATCTCAATACGGCTCGTACGATCTTGGTTGTACTCCCCAAGCGTACAGATATCTCTTTACAATACTCTGCTTGAATACCGTCGTAGGAACACATCCTGAGGTCTAGCTTTGGGCTCACTGTGAGATAGCAACACCTGCCGGAATGTAAAGGTACAATATGTAGTAGTCTATATGGATTTTATACCATGTTCCTTACTCTTGAGGGTCTAGATGACGTCTCTAGCAGGGCGACCACATCAGATGTCAATGCCCGTTGATTTCGTATGCTATCATTAATTACAAAACAAAAGTAAAGCTTGAAATATGTCACATGATTCGTTAAAGTGACCCAAGAAGAGATCCAAGTAGTTTCGAGACATCCTCGATAAGCTAGGGGAAGATTAGTGCTTCTGTGTACAAGAACCGCGAGCGCCGTAATAACAGTACATACCGGTGTGGCATCTCCAATCAAGGTCGTAGTGTTATCCACAAACGCCGTGGTCAACAACGAGCCAGCGTTGGTCAAAAGTGTTTGCAGTAAAGCGGTATTGTCATCCGAAAGAACCTTGGCAGCATTGGTGATGATAATCTGGAGGTTGCTGATATTTTCATCAGTGAGTAGGCCCTCGAGCTCGGTGATTGTGCTGAGAAGCCCAGAGGTACTGGCTGGAGCGGGAGCGGCGACGGGGTTGGGTTCAGGAGCGGCAACGGCCAGAGCCACGGGAGCCGCAAGAAGGGGGAGGAAGATGCGAGTGAAGCGCATTGTGGTGTTACCACATGTATCTCCAAGATTATAGGGATGGTAGATCAAGGTGAAGATCGGAGTGAAGATCAAGATGATCAAAAAGAAGAGAATTGGATTGTGCAGGATTTTCGATGTGAAAGAAAAAGAAAAGAGAGTCGAGATTTATTTCATAGAAAAAATCAAAAGAGATAAAAACGCAAGCCTTCCCTCAGCGCCGCCAAGGTAGACATGGGTATAACATCTACCCCACATGCACTCTAGACCGGTTGGACTGGGCTGTATTGATTCACCTTTATGGAGTCACCAAGTACCAAGTTGAGGCGGAGAAAAAAAAAGAATTAAAGATAAAAAAAATTATAAAATAAGATAAAAGACAAGACAAAATTCCCCGAGGCTGTCAACCGGGCCAATGCGCATCGAGAAAGTCACCACATCAGTCACAACCACATAGATTCAGGCTCAAAGCTCAAGCCAGATGAGCATCGGATCTCTCCGTCCACGAATACTATAGCACCGAACAGGTAACAATCATCGCCGAGGTCGATCACAGCCGACACCGAGAAATGGGCTTACCTTCCATGTGACAGCTTAACAGAACAAGTAACAGATGATTTTAATGAGTAGAATTTACTACTTTGACCAACATTGAAGTCTACTACCGCACAGCTCATTTCCACAATGAGCTCAGCTAGTCACATCCCCGCATCCAAGTTCTGACCCCCGGACTAGCGAGATGGGGCAACGATCGGCAATTCCAGGGCGATCAGACCCCCTTCATGTCCCTTCACGTCGGCACTAGTGGAATCCTAGACCCAGAATTCGCCATAAACCCACTTCAATCCCCCTCTTCGGACCGAGTCCCCCATGTGATCTCCACCCGCGGAGCACGAGTTCGCTTGAGAAGGGATCGGCACGAGCTGAGAGATACAACAACCCACCAAAGTTGCAGTGGAGAAAATTCGATTTTTGGATACAACCCAAGTGTATCTTTGAATCAGATGTGATTTTCAATATTGATATTAATTCATGCGAGATGATGGTTCTGGAGTTAACTGTCCTGTTGAGATATTATACGCCGAGGAACTGGCATTGGGATTTAAGCATGTGCGAATCCACAAAAAGGGGGTTGCGCCACCTGTGGTTCGGCGTTTCCCCTTGTCCCTGGAACCAGGAACCAGAATCAATTACCAGAAACCAGAAATTGAATGGTCATGTCATGCGCATCATCAATTCGTTTATGCAGTCGTGTATGCACACACATGTACTAAATACAAAAAAGGTACACACTGCGGATTCTTCATCCTCGTGGGGCCCTGGATGATGCAAGATAAGGACGGAAAAGCACCAACATTCAAAAGCAAAAAGAAAAAGAAAAAGAAAAAAGCAAAGAAAACACCACAGCAAAGATACATAGATCCAGTGAAAAATCAAAGTATTCCACGAGTGATGCAGGTGCATAAATCCAGCTGCAGGACCGGCAGCCACTTTCCCAAAGGATCATAGCGACAAGTTAACCCCCGCATTAGCTCGCCCCACAGTCTCACAACGCTAGAGCCAACCCAAGAATACCCATGGCAGCACCGGCCATCGCGGTCATGACCGTAGGCTGAGCTGCCATGCCACTGGACTTCGAAGTCGACGCAGCCGCTGTCGCTGTCGCCGTCCCGGTTCCCGTCGCAGCTGTGCCCCCAGACCCACTGGCAGCAGAAGTCTCGTACGCCAGACCAGTGGTAGCAGTGACTGCGCCGCTCTGGACTTGTAGTCGGACGACAGATATGTAGCTCTTTGCCTCGACCGGGAGACTGGAGTACCAGGCGGGTGTGGTGCCAGCATTAAGCTCACTGGCGAGGGAGCTACGGGATGTCGCGTCCATTAGCTCCCCGACGGCAGTCATGGGAACTACGGCGAGAATCTCTTGGAGGAAGGATCTTGGGGCTGGGGAGATATTGGCGAAATTGCCAGTTTGTGTTGCGGCTGCGAGGTCGATTCTGGTAATTGGAGATGTTAGTGATTCGTGTATTGGACGGTCTGGTATCAGTTGTACTAGAAAACGGAGGGAAACGAGACGAACATGATATTGGTGAATGATGCAAAATCGAACCCGCTGGTTGTTGATGTCGTATCGCGCTTTTCAGGCCCCGCCCACGCGGTTGCTGATAGACAGAATAGCAGCAGTGTAGTCACTTTCATGGTGAATTTTGAATTGTATACGATAAATGTTGTATACAGAGCAACCGTCTTGAAATGTCAGTCGGGGGCAGCAGAGTATATCAAATTTTGACCCCTCCTAGCCTGTGCATCTAGAATTTCCCACGATTGGACTACATTGTTCCTTCGCATGAAAAGTCTACTCAAGTGATGATTCGTCTATACAAAAAACTGACCTATAAGGCGCTCTAATGCAAGCAGGGGTTTCAGGCTCGGGTCGGTTGCATCTGGTCCGAGGTTCAGTAAGACGGTCCAGAAACGCCATGTCAGATGGCAAAGAGGGTGAGTGCGGGGCTGGAATTTGGAGGCAATCCAGGTATGTTGTAAGTCGATAATGACTGCTTCTTCCAATTTTGCAAGTCTTCACCCCCGTAGATTTTTACATTTGATCGTCTGCCAATCTGAGATATGAAGAGAAGATGGAAACTCAAAGTAGTCTATTAATGTCCGAAAGATCAACTTTAAATTGAAACGAGTAAAGCATAGGTGAAATTCAAAATTTCCAGTTTGCACATCAAACGTTAACATCCGAAAAAAAGAGAACAAAAATCAAATTCAGGGTGATAGAGGCATTGCGCTGCGTCCAGATGTCTTGAATACGACACGAAGTCAAGCTCAAATCTCAAGAGGAAAAGAATAAAAAAAAAACGAACTGATCATAGCACATGGCGTATATTAAAGAAAGGGTATATACAAAAAGAATAAAAAGGATTATGACATGAACAGCAAAATCATTTCTCAAACCACGTTCAGCTTCTCGCGCAGACGATCCTGGTAGTATCGCAAAGGATAGGCTCGCATCTTGTTTGGCATAGCAGGATAAACAGCGACGGAGAATCCCATCCACGTACGGTACAGCATACGAGTTCCCGTAGTGGATTTCAGCCCATACGCATCCCGCAGCTTGGGCGGTAACATTTCAATAGTAACGACGCGCAAGAAGGGCTTAATACGCTGCACCCACTTAGGCATATCGGTACTCTCCCGCAAACTCTTCGCAAACTGGGCGGCGTCCGCCGAAACAGTCAGCTGTCCAACCTGATCATCCCAGAAAGACCAGAATGCCTGTCTCGATTCGGGCCATGTACCCGCCGGCATCCCGAGGCAGTTCATCAGCATGGTGAACTCCGCATACCCACGCTGAGCGGTGTCATAGTCGACACGGCCATAGACGCGCTGGTAGAAGTCTGTTGCAGTGGCATAGAGTGTTGCAGCCATCCAGCGCTGCAGGGCAGGGTGGTGCGCGAAGCGGTTGTTGTTTCCGCCGCCGAGACCTGGTGCTTCGCCGCGCTGGAGTAGCTCAAGAAGGATCTTGCGCTCTGCGCGGGTGCCGAAGACTAGGACGGAGATGTAGCTGAGGTGTGCTTGGAGGGCGTCGAGGAGTTCTGTTGCGAGGTCCTTGGGGCTTTCTTTGACTTCTTCTTCGCGGATTGCGGGCAGGGCTGCTTGGAGGAGCAGGGCTGCGCCGGAGCCGGCGAAGAGAATGCCCTCTTGGAGCATTTGGGGGAGGATTTCTAGTTGTTCGAGGGCATGGAGGCGACCAGAGTCTGAGGTCGTGTTGGAATCCTCATTTTCGAGTTGGAATTGTGGTAAGGCTCCGGGCTTTTCATCGTCGTGCAGTGGAGATGGTGGTGACGAGGAGCGCGACATTATTGATTTTGTTTTGTTTTGTTCTTTTTGTATGTTTGATATTTATTGGGGATATGATGGTAACGGTGAGTGTTGTACCCGAGATTCTTAGTATATTCAGGTCACAGCGATTCAAATGTTTGAGAATAAAAGACTTAAAAAGACCAGTGGTCTCTCCCCGCAAAAAAAGAAAATATCCACTCGAGTAGATGAGAGTCGTCATCAGTGCATTTTTGGCTCGGCCCATGTGAAGCCCCTATTTCCTTTTTCTTTGGGGTGCTAGTGCGCCACTAAAGGCAGAAGCCAAAGAGTTCAAGAGCAACCCCGTAGATCTCCATCTCCTGCGCTGATCCCTGCTTCATCCAGCTGCAGGCCCTCGTGAATCCTAACTAAGATAGGGAATAGTTCTCCGACGCACCGTGACCTTAATCCACTTTTCTGGATTTTTCGTGTTTTTTTATTTTTTACTTTGTTTTTTTTTGGTGATGTCTTTCTTCCCTTGTCTCCACTATGATCCTCCACTGGGTCTCAACAATGGAAAGTCCGGGGCGTCTCCATACGGGCCAGGGAAAAGGGAGAAAAAGGGCTTATTTCGCTTGTTCCTCCATAGGTTGGTCATTCCGACAGGCGATCCTCGGCTCCGTTCTTCCCCCCGGGACCTCGTCTCGATACATATAGGTGACTGCGTCCCGCTTCTACTCTTTTCTCACGGAAAGAGTTGACAATATATCCAGAGGTCACCCAGAACTCTCCAATTCCCACAGCCGTCACAATGGGAAAGACAATTGATGACCGTCCAGCTTATTTGAGCTCCGACGATGCCAAATACTCTCTAGGTGTTCATCGCGGGCCATTAGCCACCATCGTGGGCCTTGAAGATGGTACAAAGCTGGAGAAGGTCGATACAGCGGGCGGTCTCTCTCTGGCCACCAACCAAACGCGAAAAGCAAAGTTCGCGCGCCATTGGAAGCGATTTTGGTGCTGCTACCTGATTGGAAATGTCATTTTCCTGGCTATTTTCTTACCGGTCTTGTAAGTTTGCGCGCTTCAATGGATAAATTTACTACTCTATCATGAGATCGCAATCTAATGCGATTGACCCCCAAACAGCTTCTTGGTCGCTATCCCGGCCATTTCACAGCTCGTCGTCAACAAGTCGAATTTGGTGCTGGTCAGCGCAGCCGTTATGCAGCCTCTGCCCAATACAATGCAGCTCACATTGCAATCGGCGTTGGATTTGAAAATCGCGCTTCCCGTTCGCATTGATCCAATGGAATTGAGCTTGTTCGTCCGTGACAACGGCGTAGAAAACCCATGGGGTGTGGCTAATTTAACCGGCATGACTATTCGCGGAAATACCACCTTGGGTGTGACCGATCAATACACACCTATTCTCAACGCGACCACTTGGACTGATTATGTTCGGGAGGTGGTTTTCAACAAAGAGACTGCCTTGTCAATTAAGGGCACGACCGATTCATTTCTGGGCGTGCTGAAGTCGAAAGTTACCATGAATAAGGACGTGACTTCTCCGAGTAAGCTTACCTTGGATCCCATTAAAACTCCGAATAGTCTGAAACAACATACTAATTACCATTCCAGCACTGGACAGTTTCAAGGGGTTCAGTATCACCGATACCTCGCTTGTTCCCACGCGCTCAGATGGTACTAATCTGATTGGAAATGTCACCTTGCCAAATCCGTCCATTCTGACTCTTGAGATTGGCACTATTGTCCTTGATGTCAAGAGCGGCGATTTGGTCATTGGAAACGCCACGGTCGCGGATTTGACCCTGAAGCCCGGAAACCACGCGAACGCCATGACCGGAACTCTGGATATCGGGCTCATTCTTAAGAATATCGGTACCGTGCTTTCTGACCAAGCTTCATCCATCAAAAATGGCAGCCTCAGCCTCACATCCGTCACTCGCGAGGTAACTTACAACGGCACCCGCGTCCCATACTATTCCGAAGTGATGTCCGAGCTCCCTCTCACAGCTGATGTGAACATCGCCACCACCCTGAAAAACACCATTAAGAGCTTCCTCGGCTCCGGTTCCGGACGAAACTATACTGAAATGCTCGCCTATCTTAAGAACCACACCTCCAGCGATAGTGGCAGCTCTCTTCTTGCGGACTTGAAGGAAGGCCTGCAGTCACTGGAAAGCAGAGATGTCACTCCCGAAGAGGATTATAACGATGATTTCGACTCCACCAAGACTCTCGCCAAGGCCTTGAAGCGAAATATCCATGTCCGCGATCTTTTCCAAGATGAGCACCCCATCAAACGCGACGCCATGATTGACTCGTTAGTCGGGTGGGTTGCGAATCAGCAGTAAGAAACCCTTTCTAGACTTAGAGCGGCTTAGAGCCTAGAGCTTAGAGCTTAGACTAGACATTGTCTTTGATTCTGTTTGACGTTCTTGTTTTTTTTTGGGAGGCGTTTGTTTTCTTTTTCCTTTTTCTTTTTCCTTTTCTCTCTCTCTTCCTAGAAGATAGATGCCCGCCACGTCCCGCGACGTTGACGCTGACATGATTGTTTGATTTTGATCTTGATTCCCCCGGCTCTGGTGGACAATTTACGGATTATGGAGTTATGGCCTCTGCTATGTATATCGACTTATGTGCTTGGCCAGCTTGACTGCTCAAATCCTCGCACGATATAAGTTAATGGAGAATAATTAATATATGACGATCTATACCAATATTTGAACCTTTCATGCGAGTTGTAACTCAGGTCAGCGTACACATATTCGGCTGATCTTCATCGATTACATCAGTTGACGGAGACCGACTTGCCCCCGACGCTCTAACCGAGCCGCCTAAGCCCGTACTCGGGACCAGAAAGTAAAAGTAGGGAAGACGACGGTCATTCAACCCGCCAAATTAGCGCCAAGATACCTCGGTAGCCTCATGGCTTCTGAATCTGGAATATGCAACCTAGAAACCCAATTGTATTAATGGTATACCTCCACCTGGGCAGTCATGTGAAAAACTCTCTCTCATCCCTTCCAGCGTTACATGTAAATTGGAATAGATCACCCCGCACGAGCCGTTAGGGATCGTCCTTGAAGCTGGATGTAGTGTAGTGCATTGTGGATCAGATCGAAGTTTATTAGATTGGGGACTTGGACCTCTTTGCTCCAAACATGCGAGGAGCTAACCTATACAAAGAAGTCTCGCCTCAAATAAACCTCGATGTCTGTATAGTACTGAGTGTGGGTACTTAGCTTGGAATGTGCAATGTCAGAACATTGAATACCAATTAATGAGCCTTGTGACCTGTAACATCGTTCCGGAATTGCTTCCTCTTTGGCCAGAAACTCGATTTTGAGTACCCAATTGATTCAAAAATCGGTCACTAAAAGTGCAATACTTCGAAGCATATTCTGTGATATTTTGACCATTATACGATCAATACTCCAGATGAATACTTCGTACTCAGTGGTTGAGATGGGTGAGGTTGTGGATGTAGTAGGCCCCGCAGGACGTGAGAAAGTTATTGAATAAACGAGTGGGCCATGGGCCGTTTATTTGCTGCTCTTGCTCGCCCTCCTCGACTTGCAGTTCCCAGATCCCCGTCGCGGATTCAGTCAGTCCTTCATTTTGAAATATAAAATGCCTTTTTCTCGGGATTCTCGGCGCCTCGTCAGAAAAGACTGCCGAAGGGAATTATGAATTGCGGCGCGGCGACGTTTGGCACGAATTGGATCTGATTCTCTCATTTTGTGATCTCGAGGCTGATTGTCTCGACTCCGCGGCCTTGTTTGGTATTAAATTGCCATTCGCTAATGGTGATGTGACGCGTGTTGGCGTTTATTTCGATCCCGATGGCCACGTTCGCTGCACCTCTCAAGGGGTCCACCCAACTGCCTCTTAGCCCGCGCTTCCCCCACTGAAGCGTGCGTTGAAGCCCCATATCTGATAGTTTCAGAGCCATCAAAGAATGGGAGTCCCCAACGACTTGTTCCATAGACGGGGCTCGGTATTTTGACGGTCAAGAGTTTTGCTTCACAGTTTAACGAAACTCAAGCGCTGAACGGGAGTCTATCGGATGAGGATGGGTCAAAAAGTCACGTTCTGAATCCCTAGGTTCTGTCACGAAGATATCTGGCGAGGGTCACTCATCTAGGCAGTGAATACCAGTGCCTTTGAAACGGTCGATAAGATGAGATTCCGAAATTGGAGATTTGTTTTTGATTCATGGCATCTTGGTAGGTCAACGTAGCAGGTCAAGCCACTTCACGTTCCTGCACCTTCTGTTTCTGATTTTCCTCTTGAACCTCCTTGACCCATCGTGAACTCACCCGACTACTAAGATCATCTCTTCCTCTTTCTCTTCTCCCCTTCTGCTTCTTCGCCCACTTTTTCTTTTCTTTTTCTCTCCATCTCTTCCTCGGTCGTATTGTTTCACGTCAGTTCTCAAGGTAGGTCTCCTCATTTTTTCTCGACCCTTCCCTTCTCCCTCCAAAACGTTGGCAACACTTCAAATATCTCACTCCTCTCTGATATAGCTTCAGACCTCCTCACTCCATATCGTACGTTTGAGTGCCCATATTTCAAATTCCTCGACTAACCTCCACACCCGAGCACACAATGGAGCAACTCAATTCACAGCTCGCTCACATGGCAATCTCCGGTGCGAAGCCAGAAACCGCCGATGAAGATACAAAAATGGACGAGTCACCTCAAACCTCGCCATCGTCATCCATCGTCGAGCCAAGTAACACCAGGAGCCCATCTGAGCTTGGCAGTATCGAACTCAACTATGGCACTGCGGAAACCTCCCCGGCTTCAAATGCTGGCTCATACTATGACTCATCTTCAGTTCCCCGACTGAACCTCACGTATTTATTGTACACGCCTGAAAACTATTCTTCTCTCCTCAAGATGATTCACATGTGCGAAGAGCTGTTCGAAGTCAAGTATTGTGTCTCCGACAAGTCGGCGCCCGGGCAGTTTTTCGTGAAGTGGCTCCCGTCCCCCTGGGATAACTTGCCGGACTTCACTAGTCGTCATGTAGTTGAACTTCGAGAGTTTATTGAAGTGGTGAAAGAGAGCCCGGAGCCCTATCCATCTGCCGATGATTTGCTGAACGACACAGCCGATTCGCGGATTTCCTACCTTGCAAATGCCCTTCAAAGGTTTCTTTATCACGAGCCAGGTTCCATGTCTCATTATGAAGCTTGGTTTCACCTTGAAATGGCCGTGTACCGAATTATGCACAGTTAGGAAATCCACCAGTCGTGAGAGGGTCCTGTTGCTTGCGTGGATTTGATTCCTTTCGTCGCAGTATGGGATTCAATACAGAATTTTCGGTCTCTTTTTCTTCACAGCCTTCGTCTTTTGTGTGCCCAGGTGCATATGTGGAGTTTCCACTGCAGTGTAAGATCGGACTATACTAGGTGGCCATTATTTCCCCTGTAAATGTCACTCACTTTGATCTCTTTTCATGGAGACTCACCGGTGCTTTGATGATGGGTGTTATTTCATTCGTTCGTGCATGTCTTTCCACAACTGATATTGAATTTCCTAAAATATACATGTATAACTAGCCTCGTTTCTCATCAAGTTCCAAAGTTTCACTCTGTTGTCTCTCCTGTGTATTCTACATGCTCAGCCTCAGATGATTGGCCAAACTGCTTGCTCTTAGCGGTCCTGTTAACCTCCTCCTCTTCATGATCAATGTATCTTTGAGGTCGGTTTCGGCAAATGGCATCAGCATCTCCGGTCACAATCAAAGATGGATTGGAACGGTAATAGGCATCAATATCCTCAAGACTCCGGTTTGCTGCCAGCTGTGTTAGTTTTAAGGTATCTGAGGGACTATGCTTTAAGGCTTACCTGTTTCCGGGTAGAAAAAGTAGATGATGGGTAAGAAGCAGGCGTTTGTCACTGTCCAAACAATCCCTAGTTTTGTCTTTTGTCAGTATGGGGTCGATTGAATGGCTTCATTCACTGTGTAAACTCACAGAATTTCCAGCCGAGATTCTGGATTCCGATAGGAGTGACTTCGACAATTGCAAAGTTGGTGATCCAGTCGGTTGCAGTCGCAAGGGCGGCTCCCTTGGTTCTCATCGGTAGAGAGTTGATCTCGGTTGGATACAACCAAGGAATTCCCAGCATACCAATACCAAATGCGCCATGGAACTGTAGAAAATGAGACAGTTAGGCTTTTGGTAATTTTGGGGTTGAAAGTTTCAGTGGCTATAAAGCTTACCAAGAAGAAAAATGCCACGGATGCAGACCCGAATTTCGTGCTGACGTCGCCTGTGGTGTTCTCGCAGTATCTCAACAGAATTGTAATTATGAGGAAGCAGAAGAATTGTCCAAACGTTGAAAGCATCATCAGACCACGTCGACCCATGCGCTCGACTAGAAGAACGGCAAGACCCGAGAATATCATATAGGAGATAGCATTACACGCAGTCAGTAGTCGGGCCATGCTCTCTCCCATTCCAACAGCTTGCTCCAGAACAGTAGGGAGGTAGTAAGACATGATGTTGATACCACCAAACTGCTGCATGAACTGACTACCAACTCCAAGCATTAATCGACGAAGTGTCTTGGTGTCGTTGGCATTGTTCTTGAAAAGGTCTCTCCATTTGACGGCGTTTTCACGCTCATAGCGGATTGCGTATTCGATTTCGTTGCGTTGGGCAATAACAAATGGGTCATTAATGGGTTTGGCTTCGAGGCAGCTGATTACTTCCACAGCTTCGTCTTCTCTGCCGTACATGAGAAGCCATCTTGAGAATTGTTAGAAAGGTACTCGACAAATCTGAAGGGGAAACTGACCTCGGGGACTCTGGTAACCACGGAACAGTCGACCAAAGAACGATCAAGAAGATTGCCTGCAGTGCGATCGGAAGTCTCCAGGCCACGGCACCACCAACAAATGATAATCCGTAATTAATCCAATTGACGGTAGCATATCCAGCGATGTTCATCATCATTTCAAATGTCACCAAGCGCCCACGCCACCTTGACTGTGAGGTTTCAGACTGCCAGATCGGCGCACAAGCCGTATTGATGCCATTTCCAATACTGAGAAATACTCTTGTTAGGACAGAAATTGCCAACTGTTTGATCATGGATGCTCACCCGGATACAATGCGGCCGATAAATATTTGAGGAAGACTGAATGACGAAGCTTGAAGAACCGTGCCAACTGCCATGATAGTGGTTCCACACAAGATGGAATTTTTCCGACCCAAGCGTTCGCCCAGTGTAAAAGCAAGAATGGCGCCAAAGAAACATCCCACGTCATAAATAGCTGTCACGGTTGACAAGGTCGTTGTTTTGGATGACCCTTCGAGGTTATGGATTTCGAGAAAGTCCTTGGTAATCACGACACCACCTAGTTCAAGTCAATTAGATTGTCTTGTGCGGTACTTGTGAGAGCGAGGATTCATACTGAAAACACCCTGGTCATAACCAAACAGGGACATGTCTGTTGCACAAGCAATCTGGTCAAAGTCAATAGATGTCGCCCAGGACTTCCCTTTGGAGAGCATACCGTTACCCACACAGTGAGCCATCCTCCTGTGAGCCCAAAGTAGGGCTTTTTCTCCTTGAAAACTCCCATTGAATGAGCAAAGTCAAATATATTTCCAAACAAAAAGAGCTACAGTAGTAGGAAGAAAGCCAACTTGTTTCTCAAGAGCTCGCAATTCGCTGTCAGAAAAAGAGAAAGAAACTTGAAGGGGCATTTTCTGGGGTTTCCCGGTTTCTTTTATAGAGGGCGCCGCGTTTCTCATGTCCATCGGCCATTCAAGTCATGACGATCACCTTTCCGGGTAAATGTTACTCTGGAGTCGGCAATCCCCCGAAATGTCCGGGGTAAGAGATATGCGTGGGGGGACCCTGATTCTGGCCAATCAAATGAGCCCGCTGACTGGCTTTGCAGTTCCTTGTTGAACAGCGTGAGGTGATTGGTTGGCATGCATCATTGACAATAGAAATGCGCGTCTTTGGGCAAATTGACGATACCCAATCCGGCGTCCTGGTGGATCTTTCTAGTCAGTCGGTCAATCATGAACGCTCATGCGAGCGTGGTGTTGCGTCATAATGTCGGTCGACTCGTGGGGTGTAGACTGTAGTGGATCTCTGTGAAATCCGGGGTTGCAAGAAACGGGGTTTGTTCTCGAATTCAAGTCTGTTTTATGGTGAAATATGGGGATTCAAGTGAAGGCTGAGTGAGTAGTATGACTTATAGAAGCTGTACCTTGGAATTATCTCCGGGTTTACCCCTGGAACAATCGAACTCTAAGCGTTGACCAGGATGATCACGTGACTTCCCTGTTTTTTCAAAAAAGCCTCAATTTGTGAGGCTTTTGGGCGTCCCGCCTTAGTCTCCACAGTTGCCTTTCACAATATACGTCATTTTACTGACCGGCTTAACGGTGCTAGAGTAGGTGCTACAGTACGTAGGTTCCTAATACTTCGGCATTCTATACATGATACCGGTTAAGTCAACACTTCTGGTGCGGAAATTCCGAAATCTGTTATTGTGCCGAGTCCTATTTCAGGCACCACCCGATTTTACCCCCACGTAACAGGGTTGTCGAGCTGGTGAGATAGTACCCCGCTTGAGGTTGAGAAATTCCAAATTCGGGCGTTCCTCTATTCAATCTTCACTGAAGCACTAGAGGGGCCTACCAGAATCGAGCTCTAATAATCAGGTATGCTCATTCTGAATAAACTATTCGTAACCCCATTGTGTTGCTATTGTCCCCGGTGATAAGTGAATAAGTGGTGAGCAAACGGCCAACCTTGGAATCAAAAGGAAGACTCCGCCTCAATTCTTGTAGGTAAAAGTTGAGTATAAAACCTTTACAACGCAAATCAAACTTGTCTCTTCCATCATCTCACCACCACATCACTGCCCAATACACGTGATTCTGTCCCTACAGCTAATCCTCCCCATCCGAAATCATCATATCCACCTTCACCATGTCGAAGTTCGAGTTCGGAAGATTGATCAACAACTGGGACGCATGGAGCCTAGAGCCGTCGTTGGACCAGTCTCACCATCTGCCAGAACCAGAATATGTCAACTTGTTCAATCTCGGACTCAAGGGGAAGATGAAGCACCCAGCGGAATTCAATCAATGGCTGGCTGATGTGACGCGTGCTCTGGACTCTGTTGGGCTGAGAGCACTCATTAGCGATACCGCACGACGACCTGTCCGATTGGACAACTCCAGCATGAGATGGGTGCTTTACTCAAAACAGGTAGCTTTGTGGTTGGAAACTACAATGACAGTCGACATGGCTGCATCCATCAAAGCTCAGCCTGGTCCGCTTATCTTTGCAGACAGCTTTATGAAGAAGGCAAAGAGATGTTTCCAGGTGTAAAGTATCCTGTGAAAGTACTATTCAGACTTGCAGAGTTTCTCGATTTACCAAGATGGTGGACGAAATATGGAATGTGGCTAATACTGCTCATATTGTATTCTGATAAAGCTTCAGTTTATCAAAACTGCAAGGGTAATGAATGAAACCAGAAGCCCAGAGGCCATGAGTCCCAAGGTTGATCTACAAATATCAATTCTACCCCCTAATAGTAATTCAGAAAAGATTGTAACTCGAGAGAGAAACAATACTTGAGCTCGCGTACTTAATTAAGTTCTTAGATACTAGCATTAATGTTAACAGGACGTGTTAATCTCAGGACTTCCAAGGTTGCTACTATCCAGGCTATCTACCGGAGTCCGGACAAGCAGGCGCAAAAGTCTATGGCTGATACTGATTAGGTCGTTTTTAGTCAGTGCGTATTACTACCTACTCCTCTGTACATCTTCCATTATTCAAACGCATTCTGAGAGTTAAACTACCAAAATGCAAAGCAACACACCGGTCGCAATCCACAGATCTTTCACGTTGTTGCTCCAACAAAGAAAAGGAGGTATTCACTTGAAATTTCCATATGCAGTCCAATGAGGTAACTAGTGCCAACTTAATAGAGTGGAATGTTTTCAATGTCGCATACAAGACCAGCTCGAACGATATTCAGCTTTTTGCATCCTATCATACAAATTTAGATCTATCGATTGAACCTTGCTATTTTCTCATTCATTTGGACCTGATTTGTTTCATTGGTTCTGACATGAAGGCTCGCGAGTGGCCGCAGATTACACCAGAAGCAGATAACTAACTATATTTAGTTAGTTAGCAGCATCCGGGCTGACAAAAAATATGGACTACTAACTAACTGACTAGTAGTCATTCAAGGGTCTTACATCCGGCAATTAAAAAATTCCAGGTAAGTGGCAGCTATGGAATTGCCGATTCCGTACAACCACTGACGTCTTTGGCGTTCTTCGCTTACAGTAGCTTGCAGGCACTATGTAGTGGCTGTTCATGAGAGGGGCCTGTGGGACCAAACACCACCAATGATAGGGGGTATCGCCTACTCTGGAAGTGGGGCTTGACAGGTTGCTCCATGTAATCTCCGAGAAGGCGTTTCATGCATAATGTGCTAGTTAACAAACCGTCTCCTTACTTCTCACAAGTGGAACTTTTGATGTTTCGTGACCGAGGTCTGGAACTCGATGGATTTTACCTGGATCAGATCTTGAAAGAGTCTCTGCAACGAAACGATACCTTGGGGATGAGGTCAAATCAACAAATTCGGTAAATAGCATCGAGATGGAATAGCCTGCAGTTCATGCATTACACCAGCTGCCCCGCAACTAGCATTCTTCACGGGTGTTACCTGCAAACCTTAGTTTCTCATCCATTCATTTTACCCGTGGCGTCATTCGTGGCTGCTTAAGGGCAAGTTTATCCACATCAACCTCTCCTTGACCCATTTGGCTTTACTAGACCCAAATCAGCCTGCTCATGGCTTTCCACCAGTGCTGAGAATCGCGTTTCAGAAAGACTATTTGTGGAACTTTTCCTGACAGGAGGTCTCGCTCCAGGGCATCTTAACTTCACGGGTCGGGTGTCTTGAAAAGAATAGGCTACCGGTTAAATCTGCTAAAGGAAAAAAGACTTCCAAAGTTGTCGCAAAGATGTCTCACCATATATTGCACACCCGAAGAATCACCGACTATAAGAGCGCGTGGCTCCCCTTTCCATTCAGATCTGCTCCGTCCAGATCCTATCAATCTTCACAGCCTCCATCATCTCACAGCGAACTGAATTTTCTCCATATCTCACAATGAAGTCCATTACCACTTTTCTTGTGGCCTCTGCGACCATGATGGGCGTAATGGCTGTTCCCGGTGAATACCACAAGCGTCATGACAAGCGCTCAACTATCACATCCAGTGCGACTGGCACCAGCGGTGGGTATTATTACGAGTTCTGGACCAACGGCGGCGGCACTGTTGACTATACCAATGGCGATTTGGGAGAGTACAGCGTCAGCTGGACGGACTGCGGTGACTTCACATCTGGCAAGGGATGGTCAACTGGTAGTGACCGGTAAGTACATACTCATTTTGCCTGATTCGTGACATGGTGCTAACAGTTTCTTACCTTCAGTGACATCACCTTCGAAGGAACTTTCAGCCCTTCAGGAAATGCATACCTTTCCGTCTACGGTTGGACTACCAGCCCGCTGGTCGAATACTATATTCTCGAGAACTACGGCGATTATAATCCCGGCAGTGCTATGACATACAAGGGAACTGTTACTAGCGATGGCTCTGTCTATGATATCTATGAGCACCAGCAAGTCGATCAACCCTCTGTCAGTGGTACCGCAACGTTCAACCAGTACTGGTCGATCCGCCAAAGCACTCGGTCCAGTGGCACCGTTACTACTGCCAATCATTTCAATGCTTGGGCCGATCTTGGCATGGATCTTGGAACCAGCTTTAATTACCAGATTGTTTCTACCGAAGGTTATGAGAGCAGTGGATCTTCCTCCATCACCGTGTCTTGAGAAAGATATTTTGATGCAGATATGTGGCTGAGGTTCTTCCTCAGGTAGGTGTTCAGTTTGGAGAGAAGACTTTCTTGGATGTGAAAAATCATCATTGGTGCTACGAAATCTCATGAAATTCTGCATAACTATTCGAACTTGCATAACGTGATTACAAAGAGTAATGCAGAGCAGCCGCATAATTTGAGTCTACAAAGTCTTCCAGAGTTCAAGCTTGAGCTATAGAGGCGAATGATATTCTGGCGCTGGTCCATCATTTTAAAGCCTATATCAATCTACATTTACTTCCCTTGCCCTCTGGCCTCTTGAAAGAGGGACCCTCAAAATTTATTTCTATAGATGCATCCATGGATGATCATGTGGGGGAGATTTGGAATGCGGGGCCCCACACTACACTTGAAGTGGACCCGAATGATCCAACAATGCATAGTAACCTTGTCAAATGTTCCAATTTCTTCAAGCCGACCTCTTAATTTGCAATCGGAATTACCGATTTCAAGCCAGTGAGGCTTATTCGGTCTTATCTGTACCGGGCTCCAAAGTGCAGAATGCGGAGAACCCGGGGCACATACAATGGATAAATCTACCCATCCGCCCTAGAAGGACCAGTCCTTGAATACCTCTCCCCGCGGGAATTTACCAGACAAGGAAATTCCGACTTGGAGCTCCAGATATGCCGAGGTTTCTAGCCCCTCTTCCAGATGTCCACCTCTCAGGAACTTCGCTCTAAGATGCCCCTGCTTACTAGTACTTTAGTTCGATCCGGGGACTTCATCTGTGCCTTACCCCGCTTGGAAATAACGGCCTGCATGTTAATGCTCACAATTTCAAGCTCACATGACTCGTTTATAAGCCAAAAAGTGCCATATTACATCCAGATGTCCACATTTACCCCCCAAAGCCCCACCACTTCTATCGACGATCTCGGTTCATTACTACCCCGGGTTTTCTGTTTATTTCATTTCTATGGATCTGGGGTATAAAATATCTTCATGTGCTGTTCATGGGTCCTCGGGGATATTTCATTAATAGGACATCTCAAAAGGAACCTTGAAACTCACAACAATATTATACATGAGTGCCCTCTCTCTCCTCTCATTGGCCACTTTGGCCGTGTCAGGGGTCCTTGCCATTGGCACAAATGACCAGGTGAACTCCAATATTGACTATGGTACATTTAAAGACCCTTCCTCAATCGTGAGGCCAAGATTTCGGTACTGGGTGAATGATGCCTCGATGAACCTCAGCGTGGTGGCCGAAGACGTGAGATCCATTGGAAAAGCTGGCGCGGGGGGCATCGAACTCCTCGGCTATTATTTGTATGGAGATTCACAAAACTATGGAGGAGGAAACGCTGGCCCATTGCAAACCGACTGGACACTTTTTGGGTTTGGGAGTCCCCCTTGGAGTAAGATTGACGCGTCTGACACCCACGGCGTGAGCCGAAGCTAACTGTAGCAGCGAAAATGGTGGACGTCATCCTTGAAACTGCGAAGGAAGATAATTTGATTATTGACTTTGCTAATGGGCCCAATCAAGGGGCGGGTGTCCCGGCGCCTTATAACAGCGACGGTCTTCTCTGGGATCTCGCCGGACATAACTCGACGTTTGCTGCCACCAAGGGCTTCAAGGGCACCCTTCCTGGCTGGGGCTCCGGTCGCTTAGTTGCAGCTACGACAGCGAATGTCAAATCAAGCACTTCATCAGAGGCGGTCCTCTATGAGAGTTCTCTTCAAGATGTTACAAGTTCGGTGAAGGCAGATGGCAGCCTGGATATTAAGGCAAGTAGTAAATCTGAAGGGACTGAGAGTATTGTCTTTGCATACTACCTCATCCATTCTCGCTATCGCGAAACCCCAAGTCCTACCGACCCATCAATTGCAAAAGCAGTGCCACAATCACCCGTTACAACTTACTCTCAGAATGGGTCGTGGGTGGTTGATCACTTCTCTGCTTCCGGTGCCCAGGTTGTGGTGGACTTCTGGAAGCAGTCGATTTTGGGTAGCGCAGTCGACACCCTTCTTGCTGAAGTTGGCAACTATCTATGGGAAGACAGTCAAGAATACACTGTCGCCACTTACTGGACACCTGGTCTTCAAAAGACATTCCTCGCCAATCGAGGGTACAGCATCAACAAATACATACCACTCGTGGTTGGCTCCGGGGGAGAATCGACCTTCAACACCACCTATGTCACAGATGAGAGCGACGCGGGTGCTAGTCACATTGTGGACTATCAACAAACAGTCAGTCATCTGCAACATATTCTTGTGCCTCCAATTTCATATACTGATCCTCATAGCTCACGGAACTCAATGCTGAGTACCTTGACACATTGACAAAATGGAGCAATGACCTAGGGGTTCAATTCTCAGCACAAGTCGTCTACAATCTTCCAATGGACATGCTTGCCAATGTGCCGCATGTCAATGCTCCTGAGTGTGAGACACTGGGTTTCAGTGAAAATATTGATGGCTACAGACAATTTAGCGGCCCTGCAAACCTGGCAGGAAAACGCATTATCTCAAGCGAAGCTGGTGCGATTGAGCTTGAGGCTTACCAGCAGCCCATGTCCGAGCTTCTTTGGACATTCAAGCGCTCCTTTGCGGGATCTGTCAATAATTTCATTATCCACGGCTTCCCAAATTCTGGCAACTATGGAAACACGAGCTGGCCTGGCTTCACAACTTTTATGTATGTGTTTTCAGCTATGCATGGACCTCGTCAACCGGCATTTGAATTCTACTCGGACTTTTTGAACTGGGTCTCTCGAAATCAATTTATTTTGCAAACCGGAATTCCGAAGGTTGATGTTGCGTTTTGGTCAAAGTCGACAACCTACAAAGCCATCACCACTAAATATGCGCCTATGGACTTGCAAGACGCAGGTAAGTTATTCTTGTTACTCTTGATCATTGAATTTCTCATTGTACGTGTATTTTCTCACATTCAAATGTTATTATTCTGTCTTTTCAGGTTACACCTACGAATATCTTAGCCCGGATAACTTTGCGCTACCGGAGGCCTATGTTTCGGGTGCCACATTTGCGCCCAATCGACAGGCATTCAAGGCTCTTGTCGTTCGGTCCAACGAAACTCTGACAACCTTGGGTGTTGATAAACTTGTTCAATATGCCAATGCGGGCCTTCCAATTATATTCCCTGGTGGGCTGCCATCGAATTTCAGTGGATACAACCCAACAGCTGCTGCTAAGGCTATTCGTTCGTTGAACGGAATTAAGGCTCTCAAGAATGTTCATTTAGTCAAGTCAGATGGGCTTGCAGAGACTCTCGAATCTCTCAATATTTTCCCACGAAGCTCCATCTCATCAAACGGCACCTGGTATCCGCTATGGAGAGACGATGCAGCTAACAAAAAGTCTTACGTCTACGTATACAATGACGCAACGGGTCTATCATTTGAGGAGGGAATGACCTCTGGCACAGTTTCGTTTGAAAGTACTGGGGCCCCATTCTTTTACGATGCATGGTCAGGAGAAATCACCCCTATTTCTTCCTATACCAAGACTAAGACACATACGACAATCCCTCTTCAATTGGCAGGCAACCAGTCTGTGATTATTGGCTTCGAGAATAACGCCGACTCCCCAATTCACATCCAGGACACCGAGATCCCAATTCTTCCTACCAAAGGTGACTCGAAATCTCTCACCGTACTTAGATCTTTCGATGAAAAGACCCGAGAAATTACGCTCTCAACCGGGAAAAAGGCATCTCTCTCCCCAATGTCGACAAAGTCCTTCACCCTAGATAATTGGAAACTGGAAGTCGAGGCATGGACACCACTACCAGATTTCTATGATGTTGAAGGCGCAACTAAGACTAACAAAACATTCCACACTTCGAGTCTTATCCCTTGGAACCAGATTTCCGACACTTTGACCAACACATCTGGGGTAGGATATTATACAACGACATTTGCGTGGCCACCATCATCCTCATCAAGTGTATCGGGCGCATTCATTGATCTTGGCCCCATTACCCACACTGCACGCGTTATTGTGAACGGACATCAGCTGCCAACGCTAGATATCTCCTGGGCGAAGGCCAATATTGGTTCTTTCCTTCAGCGGGGAACTAATACGGTACAGGTTGTTGTCAGCACGACCCTAGGCAATGTACTGCGGACCTACTGGGATTCGATTGAAACAAGCGGAAAACTTGCGGTAGATGTACTCGCTGATCCACCAGCTGTGGAGGAATACGGATTGGTTTATCCTGTGCAGATTATACCATATCGGGAAGACAAGGTGGTCTAGTCTTCCTACACCTCTTCCGCTTTCAAGAATGCACTTTTCAATGTTCGAAGCTCAATTTCCATTGCGTATATTTCATAGCCAATATTAATCGGTGGAAAAAGCAAACTAAATGAAATTAAATAAAAATTAGGATCTCGGGAAGAGAGTATCAAAACGGCAGCATGGCTAATTGAAGTCGTGAATAAACGCCGAAATATCATCGGAGAAGCCGTTTTGTTCATCCATGGTAAATTCAGGGATTTCAGTAATTGGGAAAACCGTGACTGGTTCCGGCTCAGGCAGGGGCGCATGGCCTTTAGTTGCATTGATGATCGCATCACGAAGACTGATTTGTTGTTGTCTTCTGTGCAAGGCCTGCTGGCGGAAGAACAGCACCTCTTTGAAGCTTTGAATGGTGCACAGTTAGTTTGGTAATGTACGAGTTATTTTCGGCAGCCTATCAAAAACTTACACTGCAGTCTTCCAGGAACTTGTGCTTCCTTCAATATTATCAAATCCCCAGTCGAATTGTGAGTCCACGACCGGCTCGTCAGTAGGGTCATGGTACGTCGCTACATATGGGTGAGACAGCGCAGTCTCGGCACTGATGCGCTCGTCGACGTCGAAGGAAAGCATTTTCTCAAGCATATCAATGGCTAAATTAATTAATTATTGACTTGTTTGCTTTAAATTCAGAGTGCACATACCATCTCGGTCCATTTCAGGAAAAACGTCTGCCAGCGGCTCTTGTTTACACTGTGGTAGAGACTGAACAAAATTTCTGGTCTAAATTTCCAAGGCCCATTTTGTCAGCATATTTGATTAATGATATGATGAGTGGCAGATGGGACCTGGTAGACTTACGCTTTTGTTCTTGATTTTTTCCACAGTCCGGTCTGTGGGATTGCCGAGAAGTTTGACGAAGAGATTAAATTGATCAGTATGTCCTGTGGCTGGAAAGAGAGGAGTTCCTCTCAGCATCTCTGCCAGAATGCATGCAGTGCTCCAGATATCCACTTTTTCCGAATATTCTTGCCAGTTGAGCATGATCTCAGGCGCGCGATAGTATCGGGTTGCGACGTATCCGGTCATCTTATAGTCTTGGATTCGAGCATGCCCGAAATCACATATTCTTAGGTCACAATTTTCATCAATTAGTATGCTGGTTGGCTTGAGGTCGCGGTGGATGATGCCAGCTGAATGGACGTATTTCAATCCACGCTGTGCAGGTTCGTTAGTAACTATTTTCCCGCGTAATGTGAAAGGTATTCCAAGTGTGTACCAAAATTTGATATATAAAACATTTGGAGAAATCGCTGTGGATAGGTCCTTTTGCAATCAGGACTTGGAGATTGGTCCACATCAAGTCTGTCACAATGTATCTATGACTCCGCGTTAGCTGGAAAATGAAGAGACTTGAGGGGTTTTTTTGGAGTTGGACATACAGATCTTCTTTCGGTGAAATAAAGACGTCCGCAAGACCAATTATCTACCGAAATATCAATGATATGACTCCAAAGATGAAATAGCTCTTTGAACAGGGAGATTCACATTTTCGTGGCGCATATATCTGAGAAGTTTGACTTCCCGAAGAGCGCTCTTCGCCAGCGAAGAAGACTCAAATGGTTTCGCAATTTTCTTGACAGCAACCAGCTTGTTCTGAATACGATCCTTGGCCGAGCTAGAGGTATCGGTGAGCTACAATCTTTTCCGAGATAGACATGCAAGCCAAGCATTGACAAGAACATACCATATCAGCCCAAAGGCATCTAGCTCAACTGGTAGTGGATCCGAGTAGCTACAGACATATTAGCTCTGGGCAATCGCAGGTTGCTGGGCCAGGCTCGTAAATACCGGGCTGTGAGCTCGAATTTGACGCCCATGATGAGTGAGCAAATGAATTCGGACATCTTGCGCGACTTTAGGTGGACAAGACCACAGAAAAGCTCTGATTGTAACGGATATTGATATAATAAGTAAAAAAATAAGAGGGGTGATCAGACGCGAGTGTGGACGAGAAAGGCTAGATGTGCAACAAGAGCTACGGGGTGGTGTCGATCTTTCAGCTAGGATGGCAATCACGAGTTCAACTTGTTTTGTGGTTTGTCCTATACCCGAAACGGTTCCAGGCCCAGGCCCTCAATATTGACCTGGATAGCTTTCACGAATAGAAATCGTCGGAAAAGGTCCCCGAATGGTTCAGCCACAGTATAGAAAAGGCGTTTTGTTATGGATCGAAATGGGGAGATCTGATTGGCTGGCTTGAGTTGCCGATGGAAACTTGGAAGTTGGATGACATCCTGTTTTGGTCAACGCTAGTCTTTTCTAGGACTAGCTCTTAAGTATCATCCATGGTTATACTTGGTGCCTTGTTTTCATGTCATTTCATGTCACTTCAACTCCCCTCGCCTCCTGCATTTGGCTTTTGATTCGTATTCCCTCCTTCTCTTTCCTTCCTTATCCCCAGTTGTCCCGCCACACATGTGGGTCAATCCATGTCGGTCCGGTTTCAACCCCTGCTGTGCCACAGCTCCCAAAGATCTGATTGCTCCTTGCTCTTCCCACCAATCACAGCCTCCCAACCTACATTCTCCGCAGGAAAACACATCGTCATATGTATACAGTATCTTTCTAGCCCGTGTGGGACTCCCCTTCCCCCCACTTTGGATCGCGATCGGCTAGGGCGTTGCTTTTTCACTCCTTTATTTCGTCGGTTCTTTTGACCACTCTCTCATATAACTTTATAACTCACATTCACGTTCATCTCTGCCTGAAATAGACCTAGTGCGTTTAATCTCTCCACGAAAATCATCTGTCGTGAACAGACATAACACCGGACCGAGTTACGGGGTTTTTTGGCGAGACAAACTCCTGCACAAATTTCCACTACTCGCCTCGAACTGTGCACAACAAACTATGCTGACAAGGGCGGAGGACCACAGTGATGGACGTCGGGCTCGAGAGGTGTATCGGTATTTTCGCCCGGAACGCCTCTGTCCCATCGACGAGAATCCGACACTTAGCCGCAAAATCGGGTCAGATCAGGATCTTCTCCGGGTTCCGGATGTACCAACCACTCGCGGTCGTTCACCATGCAGTGGCTCACAATCATCAAATCCTCCACAGGCATCAACAGAGCCGGTAGCAAAATCTTTAAAGCCGATGCCTGAATCTTTGATCCTTGGTGATGCAAACACAACTCTGAATTCTTTTGCACAGTTGGTTGCGCTGCGCCTAGATGTAGATCGGGCCTTTATCAGGTATGATGGCTATTTTTGAACCACATAAACATACGTGGCAATACTAAAATTTGCCTTGCTGTTCAGTGTATCCGACCGAGACTCGCAATACATTATAGCACAAGGTGGTCAAACTTTGGAAGGCACCAACAAGTACGATTTGATTGGAGAAGGCCTATATGCGGGTTGTTCTACTCTGGAAGTTAGCGACTGGAATATGTGTCAGGTGAATTGTTATTTAGTTATGGGGCTGTATCTAGCCCTTCCTGTGCGACTTCGCTAACACTTGAGACAGGATACCGTCGCATTGCCCCCATCGGATCGAGAGCAAGCTGACTATAGCTTCCTGATCTCGAATGATATGACCCAGGACGAGCGCTACAAGCACCTGCCCCTGGTGAACAAACAACCAAATTTTCGATTCTATGCAGGAACGCCTTTGACGACAGACAGCAATATTAACGTCGGGTGCCTCTTTGTTCTTGATACAAAGCCGCATGCGGAATTCTCTGGCAAAGAATCAGAGACCATGGCTCACATGGCTGTGCTCATCATGGATTTTTTGAAAGTTAGCCGTCAAGCCTCTGAAGGCAGGCGTGCGGCTCGCCAACTGCGCGGAATAAACAATTTCGTTGAAGGTCGCTCATCTTTTGAAACGGATGCAGACAATGTCGGCAAGCCATGTCGACAATCCAGCAATGCTTCTTTGAGCAGAAAGCCCAGTCATCACCGGAGGAACAACAGCTCGTCTTCTTTTTGCTCACGCTCTAGTAGTAGCAGTGCACATTCAGCCTCGGATTCTGAGCCGTATGAGCTGTCTTCGTCCTCAAGTCACGGATCAATCAATTCCGACGAACTAGACAAGATTCAGACCTCAGTTGAGAGTAAACTGGGTAATTCATGGACCTTTCGACGTGCTGCAAATCTCATACGCGAAAGCCTTGAGCTTGGTGATGACAGCGGTGTTGCTTTCCTAGAAGCAGGAAGCGATTCAGCGCCAGAGCGCAGCAGTGACAGTGACTTTTCCGGTTGCTTTGAAACCGGGAAATCTTCGTCTGTCCTCGGACTCTCCACTGCTGAGGATTTGTACGGCCCATCCGAGAGCTCTACTGCTTCTAATCCTGTAACAACTATGGACGAAGACTTTTTACAACGCCTTCTGAATACCTACCAAAAAGGGAAAATTTGGTCTCTTCATCGTGACGGCCAGCTTTCTAGCTCCGACAGTGAAGACGGGTCTCCAAAACGGTCTACCTCAACAAAGCCCCACTCTCGATCAAAACCTCCACAAGGTTCAAAGGGGTGGAAGCTCAAGGAGAACAAGATGCTGAACCAGTACTTCCCTGGTGCTACACAAGTCATGTTCGTGCCATTATGGAGTGCTGCCAACTCACAATGGTTTGGTGGATGTTTCTGCTGGAATAACGTAGAGAGCAATGTTTTAGATCCCTCGGTCGAACTTACTTCTCTTTTGAGTTTTGGATCATCCATAATGTCCGAGTGTAGCAGGGTTGAGTCACTCATCTCAGACCGTCAAAAGGCCGATTTCATCGGAAGTATTTCGTGAGTTGGTTCCTATCTTCTTCATGCTTATTTCATGCAGCTAACCTTATTCAATAGACACGAACTACGAAGTCCTCTTCATGGAGTTTTAGCAGCAGCAGAGATTTTGCAAAGCACTGGTCTAAACCAGTACCAAGGCTCTCTAATGGACACTGTCAATGCTTGCGGCCGGACTCTCTTGGACACTATGAACCAAGTCTTGGATTACAGCAAGATCGTCTCTCTCGAGAAGCGATTCCGACATCTCGATCGGCGAAGGTTATCAACCTTGGAGCTCAAGAATATGCATCGTTCTGCCGCACATCTAGACAAATATGCCACAACAGATCTCTCGCTCCTAGCTGAGGAGGTGGTCGATGGGGTCTGTTTGGGTCACCATCATATTCAAAAGCTATCTTCTTCCTCTCAAGTTTTAACATCCATTGAACCGAAACAAGGCACAGCTGGCACAGGCCCACAAGCTCAAAAAGTCGACATCATAATCGACATATCCCCCAATGATTGGGTTTACAATATCCCACCTGGGGCGATTCGACGCATCATCATGAACATCTTCAGCAATGCCATCAAATACACAGAGGCCGGGCATGTATCATTGCGATTAGAAGCAGACAGTTCCTTGTCTCGACATGGTACACAAGAGGATATAGTCACCTTGACGGTGACTGATACTGGCAAGGGTATCTCGGAAGAATTTTTACGGTCGAGGCTTTTTGTACCCTTTATCCAAGAAGACTCTCTCGCCAGTGGCTCTGGGTTGGGCCTCTCTATTGTTAGAAGCTTGCTCAAGCCTCTTGGTGGCAGCATCAATTTCCAAAGCAAGCCAGGTAGCGGAACAACTGCCAAGGTGACCATTCCTCTTGCCCGCTCGGGGCAAGAATTCGATGCTCATTTTGTCAACTCACGATCGCCCACTCCCGAGCAAGCCAGTGTACCACTTGATGCTTATCTCCTGCGTCAGAATTATTCAGGACGTACTGTTGCAATTGTCAATTCAAATTTCGAGGACGCTTCTGACAATCAATCTTGGGCCGTTGCATCCCGCTACCTGACAGATTGGTATGGTCTTAACGTGGTGTCTCCGTCGTCGAAAAGGTCTATTGATCTTATCCTTCTCAACGAATTACCACCGGAAATCGACTTCAACAGCAAGTTTCCCTGTGATGATGCAGCCCTTCTTATAATGAACAACGACTATATTGGCCAGGATTCAATACAGATTATGACCTCATCTGGAGCTCGAAATATCAATGTCATCAACCGTGCATGCGGTCCGCATAAGCTTGCTGGAATAGTGAAGAGATGTCTTGATCGAGTACCACCCGATGCTACTGTGATGCCTATATCTATTTCAGAGCAAGCTTCTCCACCAACTCAAAATGACTGTCAAAAAACTGAAATTCCGAATTTGGAGACTGGTAAAAACAATGCAGACACAGTATCCTCTGGTATTCCATCAAAATCCGAACTTACGCAACAGCCTTCAGAGTCTCTGCCACCGGGGGAGAATGCAGGCGCTCGAATATTGGTTGTGGAAGACAACAAAATCAATCTCAACCTCATGCTCGCTTTCTTGAAAAAGCGCAATCTTGCGGCCTTGCACTCGGCCGAAAATGGCAACTTAGCTCTATCTGCCGTGAAGGACGAGCAACAGAGCTACGATATCATCTTTATGGGTAAGTTCTGGCCGCTCAAATCCACCAGCGAGTATGTAAATATACTAATTGATCCACCAGATATATCTATGCCTGTGATGAACGGCTTTGATGCAGCGCGAATGATCCGTACCTTTGAAAAGGAGCGCGGCGATGAATCGAAGCGATCGAAGATAATTGCCTTGACGGGGCTCAGTAGTGTATCTGACGAGACGGAGGCCCTTGATTGTGGAATGGACATGTTTCTGACGAAGCCTGTTGCTTTTAAGGAGGTTAAGAAGATTCTGGATCGTTGGGATGAAGGGGGGAATCTAGATCAAGAGACAGGATTGCCCGACTTTGCATGAACCTTTTGGTGTTTCCAGAGCTTGACTGCTTGACTATTTACGCATGACGATGTTCACGAATTATATGATACCCCTATATACCATGTGCTACGGGGGCCGATAACCGCCACCCTACTGCCATAACCCAATTTCAATTTCTAACTTCACCGCCCTGTTTCAATGTTCCCGCCCGTATTGTATTTACCACATGAGCATCTTACATAAGGGATTTGATCTAAATACGGGTCACTTTTAGAATAGACTTGAGAATAGACTTGAGAAGGGACTTGAAAATGAATTGATTATAGAGTTCAAGGATTTAATGTATAATGCAGTTCAACATTGAAGGATTCAAAATAGAAGGAAGTACAGGGATTCAACGTATAATGGAGTTTAAGAATTCCGTATGTAATGCAGCGCTGTGTGTAATGGAGCTCAAAAACAATGATGAATTTGGAATTACTCGTGATTTACTTTCTGCCGGTCGGAAAGATGAAATTGGGATTTGACCTAGGGATGGCCTCTATCGGCCGCCGCAGTGGCGGGTGTCGCGTCGCCCGTCGTGGTATCGCACATGCACATCCTCGGCATGTACTGAGCCATTCCGTCACCAAGCAGCACATAACTCCCCACCGTATATAACCATAGAACTCCGTGCGCACGAGCAACAGGAAGCCTGCCACGAGGCATACGAGAGATACGCATCGCGCCGGTTGAGTCCCAAGCGTTGCGCGTATCTTTGCAGCTTTTCGGTGCGTTGACTATCTTCCAGTGTAGGATCCCGATATCATCGGGCATAGCGTCGTTCTCATTATCTGCGTCGTCCATGTCCGCGAATGAACTCCAGCCCGTCGACGCAGATTGTTGCATTCGCGGAAGCTTGAGATTCCATTTTCTCACTTCCTTCGCTTCAACGGTCAACCTACCGCTTCCATTCGCCGTTTTTCCATCTCACCCGATCGTTACATCATGCCGAATCTCCCTTTTCCATGGACGTCTGCTGAGGCGGTGATCACCAAGGAGTACGCAGCGGCTGAAGTGGCTTGCAAACGCCATCGCCATCGCTGTATGACATCTTCATCCGACAGCGGGTATCGGCCGCCGTACTATGTGCTAGTATGCACATCAATTGATTGAATAGGTAGAAATCAGACCATATGGCTCTCAAATATGATTTCAGACCCCGGAATTTTGTATCCACATGCAACACCACCCTCATTTAATTCTCTCGCTCTCCTAGGGGTGATGGCAGGCTCCAAAGCCGATGAATAAGGAGGCCCGAAGCTCAAATTGCGTAGCAAGTCATTATAATCAAATGGAGTCAACCCATCCTGGTCCTTCTCTTCTGAATTAACTTTATCGGATGACAGAAGCAAGTCAGCCACGCCGGGACTATCATGCATAAAAGCGACATGAAGAGGAGTCCTCCCGGTATCATCTTTTGCATTGGCGAGCACCTTGTCCGCCTCAAGCATGCACCTGACAAATGGTACATTATCGGCCGAAGAACCATAATGAAGTGGCGTTTTACCATCATGGTCACGCGCATTCGCGTCAATCTGATCATAGCCCAGAAGAAGCTTTGTCATTTTCTCGCCGCCGTACTGTGCGACTGCGTGCATGACGGTCCATCTATTTGGATTCATGTGTCTGCCATTGACTCTGAAAGGGGGCTGGATGCGGCCAGAATCCAGAAGCACTTTCAAGGTGGCTATATTGTTGCTTTTGACGGCTCGGTGGAGGGGCGTCACCATCTTTTCATCATCTGCATCCGGTTCGGTGGATTTGTGCTGTAGTAGAATTTTGGCTATTTCGCCTGTCATGTCGAATTTGGCCGCTAGATGAAGGGCGCTTTGACCAGCTCGGTTCTTGGTGTTTGTTTTGATTTTCTCAGATGTCATGAGTGCTTTTGCGATGGATATATTGTCTATTTCGAGGGCTTTGTGGAGGGGCGTTGAGCCTTCGGAGTCCTGTTCGTCCAGCAGTGTCGATGGAGAGTTGAGAATAAGCCTCGCGATTGAGTCAGTTTCGATGGACTCCAGAGCTATGTGCAATGGTGTCCGTCCGGTGCCATCTTTTGCATTGAGATTCACTCGAGGGGACTTGATGAGTATCTCGGCAACTGAGTTGTGTTTCATTTCAATTGCGATATGAAGAGCGGTTTGTCCACGTTTGGCTTGCAGATTGGGATGCACATTAGTCATGTTGATGAGATGACTGACGATTGCTTCATGCCCTAAAGCGGCCGCGAGAAATAGTGGCGTCCGGCCAGCCGGATCTGTTAAATTTGGATCAAGTTTTCCAGTTGTTACCAGTATCTCCACAATTGATGGAATGCCTTGTTCAGCGGCAAGTAGTAATAATTTTTGACCGTCGCTGGAATTAATCTTCAGCATTGTCCCGCGGAGTAATTGAAGCCACGATGCATCGATCTCGCGGCGGTTGGCTTGTTCCAGGCTGCAAACGATGTGGAAAAGACAATTCGACTTTGCATATGACAGGAAGCAAAAGCTCTGATCAGACAATGATTCACGCCGAGGTCGGAGTTGTTCTAGCGTTTTACCCAAGTTAAAGCCTGGTGTTTTTCGGAGTTTCAAAAGACTCATCGCTAAATCCCGAACGGTGTTTGGGACTTCAAATACAGAGCTCACGATTTTGACAGGCGCCGAATCAACATGCAGGCTGGCATTCACTCGGGTTGATACTTGCGTTTCGAAAACGCCATAGTTTAGATAGGTGGTTATGATATCGGCTATCCTCTGTTGTGCTTTCTCGAGCGTGAATCTCGATGGGCCTGTGGGCTCTGGATCAATCAAAAATTGCCTGACACTGCTGTGGACTAGCCTCACAGTGTTTTCTTCTTCATCGATGATGAGTAGGCCTCCGCAACATGTCAAAATGCCGAAAATATCGTTGACGAGTCGGGATGGATTCCATGTAGTGTCGCCTGGCACCACACTGAGGGCTTCACGAAGCTCGTCTGGACTGAGGGGAAATCGGGCAGCAACTATAATTTCTAGTATCGATTTTTGGTGCGATCTGGCCACGTTTGAATCAAATTTCCTGAGAATGCGATCGAAGGTTTCAGAGAGGGTTTGGGGAAGTTCCGCAAGTGCCTGGTAAATAGCTTCATCTGTACACATCGTGCAGAGATTTTCTATTTGGAGAGCCACCCAAAGAAACATCCCTTGAGATCCTTTCAGTAAGGCATCTTGAATCTCCAAGATTAGCAATGGGTTTCCGATTGTCAACTTCCCCGATCTGATGCAAATTTCCAATTCGCTCTCAATAAAAACTTCAATGTCACTTGCGTTGTCGGGAACCGCAATGATATTGGCAGATTCTAATTTCTCCCAAGCCAGGTCAACCCCGTAAAGATCTCTTGGTTCTTTTCGAACGGAAGCGCAGATCAAAAGGGAGAACCTTTGTTGAAGCCATCGAAGTTCTTGAATCACAACCTCTCTGTCCTCAGGTTCATACTCATCCAGGCCATCGATTATTAGATAAATCTTCATATCTGAAGGAAGGCAATGTTCAAACAATCGACGAATTGTTTCCAACTCATTTGCTCCACCCCTGTTTAGATCAAAATTGCCGAGTTTCTCCGCTATTCCGGGTCCTGAGCGAAGAATTTGTCGTGCTATCGAACCAATCATTGTCCGAGGTTTCAAACTTGCGGGAAGATCATGCCTGCTGAAGAAAAATGCCACAATTCTATTTTGCCCCGTGGCGTGGAGGTTCAAATCATCAACGATATTAGCGGATAAGACAGACTTCCCCGAGCCCAGTCTACCAGTCAGAATTAGAGAGGACGAGGAGGCTCGGCCACGCCAGGCGATATATTCTGAGCATTGGTTGAACAAGCTCGTATTGCCGAGTCTTCGTGCCTGCTTCCACGTTGTCATGTAGTCGTAGGTAGAACAGAAGTCAAGCACTGCTAGATATGCCTTCATTTGACGCTGGTGTGTGATCTCCATGGAATACTTTCTTGACCAGAGTTGGTAGGTGAAGCTGGCTTGCTCTTCAACTCTCTCGGCTATCAGATAGTTTACTTCGTCTTTGATGTCCTTGGCTCGGGACTCCAGCTGGTTTTGAAAGGATGTGAGATCCGAGTCATCCAGTGTCGCGCCAAATTTTCCAAGTGTCGACTTTTGGGTAAACTTCAAAATACGGTGGCAAAGCCGAACCACCACAGTGAAGTAGTCAAGAAGCAGAGATTGTAGGTCTTTTGACCGAGGATACAAGAGAGCCAGCTTTTCGTAGCGCGGTGCTGAGCGACCAATGATCATGAAGAGATTTGATATCTTCTCAAAGTAGGACGAGAAGTTCAATACCAGCTATACCAAGGGGTGAGCCATCAGATTCGAGATTTAATCGGGAGCATTATTGCTGAGAGAAATTCGGGGTCACAAACAGTCAAGGACGTCCGTACCAGCGCCCAGACCCCACTAGCGACAAGGCTCTGGGTTCCTCCAACAATTATATCACCTAGAGAAACGAATTGCTGCACACATTGCAGAAAGCTGGTTGTCCTGGTTCCCAAGCAGCGACCACGCGTCTTGCTAGATAGTTGTTCATCAATGTCTGCTGTGAGTCGCATTACATCTTGGATTGATGGAGGTTTCTCGTATGCACGAGATCTGTAGCGGTTGAATGTCCCCTTTTGATCTCGTGTAAGATCGGCTTCATACTCTGATACCGCTTGCGCCAGGCGAATTGCGGGCTTCAAACGGGGAGCAGATATCAGGCTGTGGGTCATGCTGACCATCTTGCAAGATGGTGAGTCGTATTACGACTCAGCAAGGAGATCGATGGTTCATCACTGTTTGTGGAGAGAAGACAATTTGACAACCTGAGTGAACCCAATTGGTACGTGGTACAAGTCAGCAATGGGGCCAGCCATTTACCCGGGGGCGGGGCTGAAGAGACGCGCGGTCACACACCGCTAGCGTGCCCCTTGTCTGCGGCGGCCGATAGAGGCCACCCCTAGGTCAAATCCCAATTTCAACTTTCCGACCGGCAGAAAGTAAATCACGAGTAATTCCAAATTCATATTAGTTTTTGAACTCCATTATGTTCAGGACCTTCAGGTAGTTCAGCGCTGTATTATACATTAAATCCTTGAACTCTAATGCTATATTATATTACATCTCTTTCTCTAGGTAAATTATCACAACAACCGGCAAGAAAGAGAGGCTGATATCCTACTAGTTATAGTTATTTGATAATCCATTCTTAAGTCCCCTCTCAAGTCCCTTCTCGAGTCTATTCTGAAGTCTATTCAAATGTTCTCAATTCCCTTCTTAAGTCTATTCTTAAGTCTATTCTCAAGTCTGTTCTCAAGTCTGTTCTCAAGTCTGTTCTCAAGTCTATTCTCAAGTCTATTCTCAAGTCTATTCTCAAGTCTATTCTCAAGTCTATTCTAAAAGTGACCCGTATTTAGATCAAATCCCTTAAGATATCATATTCCTATATATGATAAATACAATACAGGCGGGAAACGGGGCGGTGAATTTAGAAAATTAAATTGGGATATGACCTAGGGGTGGCCTCTATCGACCGCCATACCTTGTCTTCAAAGTCTGCTTAGGTAAGCAGATTAATCATATTCATGGCATCAGGATTCCCTGTTCAGCTTACTCCTGCTCTTATGTTTCCTAACTATGAACTTGTTTCACTACATCGGTTTCCACGCAGTTTAACTGTCTCCGTTATGACAGTTTTCTGAGGACATCAACCTCGGCAGGACTCAGGAGTACCAGTACTGCCTTTTTTTTTCCCCCATCAATAATGTCAAAAAAGGATCCATGAATATTTTGGAACTGAAACATCCCATCAAACAGCGTTCTTGATTTCGCCTTGGCAACGATTGGGTGGAGATATCTGATACAGATATCAATACAGCAGGTCACGGGGTGAGGGGTAGACTAGATGTTTGGTGTGATCGTCAAACAAAGGAAGTGGGTCATTGCCATGTAAGTTGTGCATCTCCGCAAGTTTCTCGGCAAGTATTTGATCTTGCCGCTCATATCTGAAAATTTTGGGCGCTTTAGATAGTCGAAGGACGTAAACAGGGATTTTCTTTCGTTGTATATGAGCATACTCATACACATATTCACTATTGTTGAGGTCAAGCACAAAAAAGGAATGGCGCCCCTCAAATTTGGTGATAGCAATCCAGCGAACTTTGGTGTCTGGGCGGCAAGTAGCAATGATGTCTTTGACGGCTTCGATAATCGTCTTGATTGAACCAGCAAAATCGCTGTGATCAATAATACTGTTTGGTGTGTCGCCTAAAATCCTGGTTGCGGGAATTGATGTCGAAGGATCATGTTCATTCAGGAAGTTTCTGATGACCGCAGGGATTTGGTCAATAATAGGGGCACGATTCTCCATCTCCAAGTTTATTGCTTGAGTTGCTGATAGCTGATTAAGATATTTAAGGACAGAAATCAGAGGAGAGGGATTTGATTGGAGCAAAACACAGGAGAGATTGTTTGATAGGTGAAAACTTGAGACTCGAGATTGCCAGCAGGGGATCATGTGACGAATCTCCTTGCAGGGCCATGTACCCAATAGAAAAGGGGGGATATTGGTGGTCCGAATATGCGTACAAAGAGGCTGAGTTACGAATAGCCATGGAAGCAACTTTGGTTTGCAAAGATACTTTACCGTACAATCTATGTTGGATCTAGTATAGACCCACCTTATCCTGCCTAACCGTGGAACCAGATCATTCTAGGTCTTATCTTGCGGATCTATCCTTTTTACTATTTAGCCTAATCCTCTTGCCAGTTGCATTTCACTTTTAATCCCTAAATCAAGTACGCTCTAGCAGACTGGGTGCTTCTTAGTAGCATTTTCTCAGGTAACTCAGCCACATCCTGAGACTTCCTGGTACGTTACATATTTTTAAGTCAGCAATCAAGTTGAAGGATTCCAAGAGAAAAGTGAACGGGCAATAGAATTAAGCTTGCAGGAGAGTTTCTATTCCCCAATCACCTTGACCTCACTACCCCCAGCCCCCCCAAGGATCTTGTCGGCCGGCCGCCTCTTTCCGAGCGGTGTGTTCCCTCGCCTCCTTTTCCATCTTCTCCCGGGCAGCCTTGGCCCGCTCTCGACTTCGCTCTCGCTTAGCCACGAGCTTGTCCTCCACCTCACGAGCCGCTACAGCCCATTGTCGGAGCTTCTCTGGCTCCTCGAGACAGAACATGACCAGATCCCGGGTTGCCCGTGAATCCTCCATGGCACTGTGGCCTGACCTGCCGCCTTGGATGCGATATCCAAGGAGCTCTTTCGCCAGGCACTTCAGGCTCCAGGAGCGCGGGACAGACTTTTCGGGGGCTTGATCAGGGAACACCGCGCTACAAGCCAAAACTGACGAATCGACAATCCTGAGATGAGCAAAACGGAGAACGTGCAGATCATTGAAGAGGGCGTGCCCAATGAGCACGGTGTCCGTATCGGCCAAGCTGCGCAGCCGATCTCTTGCCTCTTCCCAATCGAGCAGTCTGCCCAACTTCATGGCCATGTCCATGGTTCTCTGACTAACGCCGCTGTATTGGGTGTTCCAGTGAACGACTGGTTCCCTTGGCTGCACGTGGTGGTCGATGAGAGTCTCACCGGTGAGGAAGTCAATTGCGGCCAGGAAGGCGAGCTGTAGTCTGCCCCCATGAGCTTCTACCATTTCACAGTCCATGACGATGGCTTTCCTCTTTGCCTCGGTTGTCATTGGAGAGGGAATAGGCAGGGTTGAAAATTCTTCGGCCGGTATAGACTTCTCGGTCGTTTTGCCCCTCCGTTCCACAGTTCCATTGGATGGAATGGTGAAATGGTGCGTGAGAAGAATGCTGGCTGGATGACACTTTGACACCAGACGTTTAACTAGGATCTGAGGCTCTTGCGGAGGTGAATTTGGACGGGTGTCGGCTCTTAAGGCTAAGAGGAATCGCGTTAGTATACAAATGAGAGACGATAGAGTCATATCGCTTACTTGGAGGGTTGGTCCGTTCAGGAGTCATTGGAGGCTTGGCAGAGCCAGTTGTGGCTGTTTCTGTGGCAGAATTTGTTGTCTGCGCGTCCCACTCGCTTGTACACGAATCGCTTGCCAATGGCTCTGTTGCCCAAGTATCCGTTGTCCATGGGTCTTCTGCCCAGGGGCCCGCTGGTGAAGCGTCGGATTGGGATTCATTGTTTCTCCTGCTCCTGCATCGTGGCTTTCGTCGTCGTCGTTGTCGATTACCCTGCTGAGTGGAAGCCATCTTGTTTTGATAAAGATCCAGAGTACAAAGTCTCGAAGATCAGCACATAGGCAATGCAAAAGGAGAAGATAAGTGAAAGATTCCAGAAAACTATCAGAAGAATGTTGAATTACATCCAATGAAGCAGACGAAGATCATCCAATGATCTGAAAAGGCGAGGCACTTGAGAAGATGAAACCAGAGGATTCAGAGAAATATCTAGCGCTAGCCGCTAGCACTTGAGGTATGAGCTCAATATAGAGCATTGGGCAGTCATTGTAAGAGCTCTTTTGCTCATATTCTACGTTAACCTATTCTAGACGAACTTTCCAAGATTCTCTGGACTCTGGGGCGTCTAATGCCCAGGTGCACCTGCTGTAGACCAAACAGGTGGCTTATGTCCACGTGCGCGTAGATCAGCCCTGTAGGGAAACCTTTTTGATACTTATTACTGTAGCTAGGTACTACTATCTAACATACATGTAGTACTTCTGTAGTTATATGCGCAAAAATGCGCATTCATGCTCATGGTCCGGTGCCTATGTATTACTACATACATACCTAAATAGGTATTGATACCTGCAGTGCTGTTAGGTATTGCCTGGGTTCACGGTTAGCATTTGATGCCATCCATTTGCTAGATGAAAATTGGAAACAGACATCAATTGATGATCATTCGCATTGGGCATCAGATCACATACCCCTTCCTGAGATGATCAACTTTGAAAGCATTCTGGGCATACATATCCATCCATGGATGCCAGCATGTTAAACGGACTTTGAATTGATTCAATTTCTGAGATACATATATCTTGCGGTAGCATGCACACATCGTGCACTTGATTCAACACCTGTTTTGTCAACATTTGAATCATACCCAGGCCCTTCGAATTATCGCTGGCGATTGCAAATTTTTCAGAGATGAGATAAACAAGTTTATCGGTTCTAAAATTAGTCGCTTTGGAAGTCCTCAGTGACATAATCCCACATCAATACGCCACAACCAAGACAGTCAATGGCGTGAATCGTCATCTGGGGCCAAGTTCGTGCAGTACGAGCACGTTGCCTCAACTCAACCGAAACTTCCGTGTCGTTCAGGCCCAAAGGAAGGCACATATATGAGAGCATAGCCGGATCAGGACGGGTCGTCCGCTCGCCCAGCCATAAACATCCCCTGCACAAGAAATGGCGTTCGGGCTCGGCAGTCAGGTACTTCGCGTATGGAAACGGCAAGGCGATGTTGCTGAACAAAGGATTGTGATTTTTGTAGGGCGGGCGAGGCTTCTGTACCGGCCATGTCAGGATATCAGGTGGGGGTTCGACACTACGGTAGAGTCGAAATAACTCCCCGTCTCTCAATTCAGCGCTGGATACATCGGGGTGTTTGTCCGGGGACAAATGATCACCTTGAATTTGCATCATTTGCCTGCTGCCCCAACGCTTGATACCAGCTTCTACGCCGCATTTTACAGGACAGTAGTACCCGGATTGTTTGACTGCGTTGGGGAAGGCCCTCATTCGGTACACCATTGTTGACAGCTGAACAATGGGTATATGGAAAAGATCTACTGTTTCGAGAGCAAATGCATCCAAAGCTTCATCTATCATGATGCACCAGTAGTCCTTATTATTCTCGCAACAATTGATGCAGATACGCTCGCAAGTTGGAAGAAAGATGTACGCACCGCTTGAGCCACAGGATCTGCAGTTGGGAAAGTGTAGCTCGGCTCTGAAATTGCGGAGACTATTCCAATATCCCAAACCCAAACGATCAACGGTCTTGCAAAGGGAAGGGCAATGTTCGGCGAGGACCCTGTGACTCGGGTGATGCTTGACAGCAGTATGGGCGTAGTGGCAAGTCTGAGAGAATTTCGAAATGGTCGTGAAATCCATGTGGTCAATAATCTCATATAGCACCTCCAGAGACAAGAGTTTAAGTATTCCAAGGCCATTAGGATCGATGATAGCCTTCTCCTCAACTCTGGGGATGCGTCTTGACGCACCACCCACTTTGAGGTCAATAATGTGGTCGATTGCGATCACGGACTGCAGTAATTCTGGATCCCAAAGGGTCGGGTTCGTAAATTCTTCCCATTGCGCATTCGTTAAACGACTGGAGACCGTGGCATTGCTGGGGGAATCTTCAGAGTTTGGGGGTTGTGCGAATGCTCCTCCTAGTGGCAGGTTTAGAGGTGGAGCCAGATTCATGGTGAGTCGCGCGGTGGTAGTGGTGGCAGAAAATTTGCTTTGAGGAGGGGGTGGAAGATTTGAGTCGAGGAAAATTTTTGTTGTAGAAGGATGTGATGGTGAGAAGAAGAAGAAAAGTCCAACGAGGAGGAGGGTGCGTTATTTACCTCAAGTGAACAAAACAGAGTGAATAGTCCGAAATGGGGTAAACAAGCCCACCTCCATTAACAGCACGAAGCGCGAAAATGATTCAATAATGTTCATGTGATGCAAATACTAGTAAGTTGTGTACATAGCCATACTGGCATATTAAGCACGCCAGGCACTTCGGAATAATCTACTCCACCTCTTCCATGGGATTTGCAAGATGGTCAGTTCGGACAATATAATCGTCATCCTCATCGTTTCCCCCACCATATTGCACATCTTCTTCATCACCTTCTATCGAAGCATCAGACTCCGCACCGCTCGGGCCCTTGCCCTTCCTTCCAGACGCGTTCTTTCCTTTGCCTTTACTGCTCGTTGTGGACTGACCGCTAGCACTGCGGACCATTCCTCCCGGCCACTGCTTCAACCCTTTGATGCGACCATGAATACTCCCTGGGTAATTGCCATCCCCATTGCTTAACGAGAAATCGTTCGGAGACTCAGATCCTGCTAGGTTGAATGCCTCCATGGCATCTGCAATGGTCTGGGGAGCGGCTGCTGCCGGATCTTGTTTTTGCTTGTCGACTGACTCGAAGGATTGGCGAATTCGCTCAAAATGTTCGAGTTCCTTGGCGCTGTTCGCAGTGTTAGCACTGACTGTTAATAATAGGATCAAACCAAAACTTACCTAACAGAAGGCACAAGCTCTCCTTGCGCCGCCACGAAGTCCTCTTCCGTCACATTGACACTCACATCCTCTGGGGTTGCAAGATGATCAAAAAAGTACGCCGTGGTGACTGGACCACCGGGTAGTTGCTTGATTTTATCATCGACGGCTGTTGATTTTCTTGTGATGGCTTTCAGCATGGCATCTGAGCAAAGAGCATACAAATCGGCGCCGGTGTAGGTCAGAGGAAGCTGCTCCGCCACTCGATCAAGAGACACATTGGGATTGAGGTCAAATTTCCTAGTAAGTGCCTCGAGGATCGTAGCTTGCTTCCTGTGCGTATCTGACACGCCCAGGTAAAGCATCTTGTCAAATCGACCAGGTCGAAGAAGAGCAGTATCGAGCAGATCAGGCCGGTTCGTCGCTCCGATCACGAACACCCCGCCGCTATTCTCCTCACCGCCGTTCATTCCATCAAGCTCCGCGAGCAACTGACTCACGATGCGATCCATGACACCGCCGCTGTCACCCTGGTTTCCACGCTTAGGTGCTACCGAATCCAACTCATCGAAGAAGACAACGCAGGGGCGGGCATCTCGGGCGCGCTGGAAAACCCGGCGAACGTTGGCTTCAGACTCACCAATGTACATATTCAGCAACTCTGGGCCCTTGACCGAGAAGAAATTGAGGGAGAACTCGGTAGCAATGGCCTTGGCCAGCAGGGTCTTGCCAGTACCAGGGGGGCCGTAGAACAGAATGCCACTCCGCTTCTTCATGCCCTTGGCGAACAACTCCGGCCGCTCGAGGGGCAGCTGGATAGTCTCAACCAAGGCATCCTTTACGTTGCTTAGTCCACCAACGTCATCCCAGCTGACGTTAGGAATCTTGGGCGCGCCGATGGAGTCAGCGAAGTTCTTTCGGGCAGCCTCAACGGCTGTATCAAAGTCAATCTTAGTGACACCTCGGGCTCCGTCTCCTCCAGATAGCAACACATCTCGAACACAGACTTGAGATCCAGGGAGCTGCTTGCTTGCACTCTCCGCAAGGCCCTCAAGGCGGGCAGTTCTAGCAGCGGCAGCTCGTTCTACTACATCAACCAAATCCCCAGCAACCAATGCTGCGGTCTTCAGCGCAACTGTTCCCAACTCCACATCGGAGGACAGCTTGATACCACGTTCTGCAACTGCATTACGGAGAATTCCTTCACGCTCTTTCTCTTCGGGCGCTCCCATCTCAAACTCATGAGTGAATATACTGCGAATTCCTTCCGGAATTTGCTCGACATCAGTAGTTGTGGCAATAATAACTCTGGCTTCGTTGGCGATATCAGTCATAGCAGTGACCATCCGGTCTGCCGTCAGAACCTCGATATGCCTGATGAGCAAAGCGGTACAGTTTGATCCGCAGTGGAAAGCTCGCTCTGCGCGTGCTTTTAGGTATGCCTCAGTCTTGACATCGCCACCATTTGCACCACCTTCAGTAAGAATGTCATAAGAATCAATGGGGAAAGTGTGGAGTCCAATATCCGCGCAAGCCCGAGTGGCTATTGTTGCTTTACCGATGTGTCTCTGTTGGGAGCTCAGAAGAATTATCACGGGCTTCATGCCCAGCTGAATGGCACGCGGGCTTGTGGCTGCGGACATCAGGTCACGGATGCGTTGCTGCAAAGGAGGAATGAAGGCCTGGGGAGGGTCTGTAGAAATTCCGTGAGCTGCTGGAGCCTCATCGACTGACTTCGGGATAGTTTTGACCCCAAGCCAATATTCCCATCCATTACCAAGAATTCCAGGAATACGGCTAACATCGCTGCCAGCTTGCACCATTCGAGTACTGGAAGGGTCAATGACCGCAACGCCACCCCATTGGTCCTCCTCGGTCTCTTCGAACTCTTCAGCCGCGATTGGCGCCACTTGTCCAACTCGGAACCAAGCAACACCAACCTTGCGAGCTGCAGAGTTGTCGGGGTTGGAGTTTTGGCCTAGCCTGGATGTGATATCATCCTCCTGGTTTGCCGCATCACCACCAGCAGTTCCAGAGAACACAGCTCTACCTAGCCCTTCATCAACACTGATACCAACCAAATCACCGCTCTTCAGAATCCGTCGGCGAGATTCAAAATACTGCTTAAGCCCAGCAAAGAGAGCCGGTTGAAGAACCCGGTCCATCGATAGTGGAGTCGAGACTTTAAGCAAAGTAACTTCTTTCGCCAAAGGTGGGTTCTTTGCTGCAGTATTCTTCATGTGATGCAAAAGACCAGACTTCGCGGCATTCATGGCGGGAAATGACATGGGAGAGATGCGTAAATACTTGGGATTATCAATATTTCCGAGCAACAGAGGCGGCACGAAAATGGAAGGCGTCAACCGTGTCTGCGGGCGTTGCGAGAAGCTTGACCGGCGTTCGCCCGAGTGGTTGATGGCATATCGAGGTTTCGACGATGGCAGTCCTGGTAGGCCAAATACCTTGACGGGGCGCCAGTCACCAGAATCCTCGGGGGACTCGTTAAAGCTTCCGAATTTAAGAGATGCAAACATATTCAGCTGGGGCTCTTCTGTAGCTTCAATTCGGACCCAGTCTCCAGAGAAACAGCCAATCTTGGCCAATGTATTGATGTCAACGAACACAAAAGAGTCCACATCTTCATCGTCGCGAGGGCGCGGGTGCAAAACTTCATTCGGAACTGGCTGCAAAAGCCCTTCAACCTTGAAAACCTTCCCACCACCACGACCAGGGCGCATAGTCGCCGATGTGAAGTTAGAAGCCACCGACCCGGGAGTGTGAATTCCATCAGTTCGCCGCCCGCCTGCGCGGGGAGTCGCAGATGTAATTGAAGACATCACACCCGATGGTGGCTGCGGCAGCTCAGGGGCCGATAGTGATATCATATCTTCCAGAGAATCGTCAGATGAATCACTAACAGAGCCACAAGACCCTTCAGTCTCTGAGTCTTCGGCGGCTGATGTGGTCTCCATATCCGTCGCACTCTCCCCAGGCTTATCCTCGGCAGCGGAATAAAATTGTTCATTGGAGGTGTCATCGGCCTCGTCTTCAGCGACTTGTCTCAATAAGGCCGATCTAGGAGGCATTATCTGCTGGCTGCGAGTGGCTTGTGAGCGGGCTTGAACAAGCACAACTTTTGTGGCGGGCATCAAGAGTCCCTGAGAAACCGGCTCGCAGAAAGAAATACGGGCGGGTGGAGCGGGCGCATAAGTGATAGGGTGTGCTGGTAGAGGAAGAGGCAATACATCCCCAGTATGAACGATGCGCTGTGTAGCTAATGCCTCGCGCACAGCTGCGGTCAATCGTTGCTCTATATCAGCCGCCTCTCTCTTTGAGTATCTCTTGCTCTCTGGGCCCTTTCCAGTTTTGGGCCACATTCCATTCGGCCCGGAATTCTGGAAACCACCACCAAATTTACTTTGAACATCGTCATTGTTTCGCAGCAAATGTCTCTCCACGGTCACAAATACAGTGTCTAGATGCAATGGGGCAACATCGAGGATCCGGATTTCTACACTGCGGTGTGTCTGCAACGATTGACGTGCGGAGTCGACCTTCCCAAGTGCCAAAAGAAAAGATTGGAGTGAATCGGCCAATTCGGGAAAAAGTATAGTCGACTGAGATGTCGGGGTCTGCGATCTTGCAGGTTGAATGCGAACTGGGAGAATAGTCCAGGCCGAGTCCTCTACAGAGGTATAAGTGGGCGTGTGCGGGGAAACTGCCACGTAAAGAACTCCATCTCCGGTCGCAGCATCTGTATATCCGACATCAGTCAATTAGTTCAAGCTGCCATGCAAGTGTTTGTAGGAATTGACATTGGCCTACTCACCCAGGAGAGACTGCTGAGAGAATAGGTCGTTCGCTATATCATCCGATAAAACACCAACATTGCCGCGAAGCTGTGGGTCGAGAGCAAGACGAGCAGGAATCGGGGGTTTGTTATGCTGCCTCCTCTTTCCTACTCTCTTGCGCCTTTGCTTGGGCTGCTGGGAGCTTTGCCCGTAGTTATCGTAATCCATTGCGGTCCGGGGCTCGGGCTCCGGGATCTGATTGCTTGTCGGGAAAGGTATTGGGTGTTTTCGGGGAGGGATGGACGTAAAATTTGAGAGTTGGGTATATCGGTTCTAGTCTAGCTGCACAAAACAGAAAGCATGGAGCCCGCAAAATGAAGATGTAGTCGCGCAGGAGATGCAGCGGGATTCAGAATCCGGGGGAAATCACCACGCGGGCAACTCGGCACCGCCCGCCATTCTGCCACTTCCGAAGCCGAGGTCCAATGCGTCCCAAAGGGGACTAGATCAGGGACATGCCGATTGACGAGGTTAATGATTCAACAAGTCTTCCCTTGGTTTTGCCCTTTTAATCGCTTTGTAGGTCCTTTGATGCATGCTTTGCGAAATACTGAATAGCGCATACAAGTCTTAAATAACGGCATAGACTATCCAAATGTTACTATATTCTCATTGAGGCAACGTTCTGTACTTTCAAGGTTTCAATGCTGGCTTGTGATCGGTGCTTTACCTGGTAACAGTCAAGAGCACTACTTTATAGATATCATACCCTGTAATCAAAGTGTAAAATTACACTAAATTAACATTTGAAACCCACAAAATTTTCGTCTAGATGTCACTAACAACCTATGGGGTCTTTAGCCGGTGCTGGCAGCATGTACAGACTAGTGACTTATTTTGACAAGTCATATACATATGCATCAATATCTGGATAGTTCACTACCAATTAAATTGGAGGCCCGTGTTGCTTCGGAGTTGGAAGGGAATCCAAGGCTTTTTAGGCAATGCAATTCAAATGATCTATGTACAAATGATGATTTGAATGAGGGTATTCCAAGGTTGTGTGGGGTCGAGATAAATGGCGGGTCCGAATTCCAATCTAATCAATTGATCGGAGATATCCCCGATGGCCCACCCCCACGAGTAGAAAGATTTCAAATAATGGAGAGATTGATGTACTCTGTACCATTCAGAAATTGTAGGAGCCTCGATGCTCGGTTTTTGCTTCTTCAGGCAGAACTTTTATTTCAAGTTACGTCTCAGCTACGAGCAAGTTGGGTCAGCCTTAGGACTTGATTGGACAATGGGAAGCTACTACCCGCGGGATGGCCGTCCTGCCACGTAATGGTCCAGGTCAGTTTAAATGTTATATCCATGGATTGTTTGTCTAGAACTCTGGAGGCATCAAGATTTCAAACCGCTGGTGATGTATCATTTCCTTGAGCTTTCTTATCTACGACATCATGGATGTCAAAAATTCTACGTCTGTACTACACTACTACATACTATGCATAGCTTACGAGGTCTTTAAGAATCGCGCTTCTCTTTCAGTTATGAACTGAGGAAGAAAATTGGCATTGAAATTTTCCAATATTAATTATTCAAATCCCCACAGAATAGTCCTCAAGAGAAAAGCTTTTCAGATATAAGGATCAGAGAATACCGAGAACAACCTTGGAAGATAAGAGGGAATAGTAGATGGGGCGGAGTGCAGAGATGCCACTTGGCAGAATCTGCTGGGCCGAGAATACCAGGCAGAAAGAATACGAGGAAAGGAAATACGAAGCCGAGCCATCCGGGAGGCTCATTTCACGTGCTCGTGTGGCCCCACCATAACAACGACCATGATTTTTTGTATTTTATCGTATTTTATTTGGAGAGTGGATACAGGTGGATCGGAGGAACATCTTCCCTTTTTTTCCCGCTTTAGGGGTCAAGTACAGATGCTATTTATACAACACCATCTATCCGTAGTTGGAAATGGCCTGAGTCTTGTAGATTATGTTGACAGGAGGTATGTGGGGAAAAAAAAGAAAAAGAAAAAAAATTTAAAACACACTTGCCCATATCTATTGCCGTCAGCATTAAATCACTGACATTTTCGATTATAGGCAGACAAATTTTTTAGCGCTGATATGCACACAAACAGATCGGAGGAATTTATTGAGCCGCAACGGACCCCGTTACTTTTTCCACTTTGGGAGCCCGAAGTTTGGATCGTGGTGTAGAACGGGTAAGTTACACTGATACAGGGGAATGGGGCGATTTCCCACCATTTCCTCACCATTTCCCCCCCGTGATCTCCATGAATACAAGGCTGAGCAGTGTATTTGGGTTACGGAACCTTGACCAATCAAAACAACAAATAACGTACTCAGCCATCCACGCGATCCCCAATTGGGGCTAGCGGGCTTCGTCTATCAGGCAGACACTTCCATCCGTCATTCCTCCTGCAACGCCCAGACGTGAAAGATTTCCCCCCAGGACCCATCTTTCTCCAGTCTCATCTTTGGATATTTTCTCTCTCCACCCCCCGTCAATACTCTCTTCGTCTTTATACCTGGCACTTGTTGCTTTCAGTTATATATATTAGCACTGCCACCAATCTTGGCTTGTTTCTCGGGGTTTTTATCTCTCTTATCATACCCACCGCCTTGACGGCTCTATCTCGAACGCTGGTGGTCGATTCTCGACTCCAGTTGATTTCTTCAGCGTCGCTGATTCAAAAAATCATCCCGACCTCTTCTTCCCACCCGAAAGAGCAATCCTACCTCTCGATACATCATTATATCCCCCACCGTCGATATCTTGCCGCCTAGTTGAAGAGGGGCGTAATCCATTCTTATATAGTCTTCAACCCCGCATACGATCCATCTGTGACTCAAGCGCTAGTCTTCATTTCGAACTATCCATAGCCTTGCTACCTAGTGAGTCATAACTGTAAGGCCAATCATCACCGTCCCCTGTGGTGCAGGCCTCGAAGTGTCCCGTGCTTACCCGACATCAGGTGTAGACCAGCCCATCATGTCGAAGTCTCATGTCGATTCCACCCGCGTGCATCCACGTCGCCGGCCTGTATTAAACGCAGACCTCCCATCTCTGGTCACCGAGTCAGCGGAATCCTCCAAGATGGGGTTAAGAGAAAGGAGAAACCTTCCATACTCCCACATCGCCTCCATCGACCGACCGTGATCCCATTTTGAACATTCGGTCGCTGCCTCGTCGCTGTCCCACCTCTCTCGACGCCTTAGCAGCTAGCGAAGAGCGTATGACGTCGATCTTGAACCGGCTTACTTTGGACTCTCCAAAGGACAGTGGAGAAGAATCATCCCACTCAGGAGTCAAGGCTGCTCAGGAAAGTGTTAAGAAAACACCCACTGGGCTGAAGTCTGGCTCTCGCACATCACGCCGATCTTCAGTTGATGACAGCTTGAAAAAAGCCGAAGGTCACGAACATGATTCAGACAGCGGGCTTGGAACATCTGTTAGCAGTGATGATGATTTATCGGGCAATAGCACTACAGGTAAATCTCACTCTCCCTTTCCCCTTTTTTCATCTTTGTTCTTTGTCTTTCTATATTTTTGGTTGGAAGGGAAGGGATTCGACACGTCAGGAAACTCATTCATCAAATTTTCATCAATCTTTCACCCTTGAGATTTCAGGTGTATCCTTCTCGACGCGAACGGAATTTCCCCTTCCACTTCAATCCTGCGTTGGTTTACATTATGAGTTCCAGCCGAATAGTCTCTGTGTATCCTTCCTCTGGGTGCCTTGGGGTGAAAAAGATCTATTGTCTTCTATTGTTCTTTCTCTTCGGGCAACATTTTATGTGATCGGAAAGAAAAACAGCCTACCCCTAAACCTCGCAATTTTTTTTGTGATGGTATAACGCGCAGTTTATTTTATCATCTTTATAGTCAAGGCCTTTTGTTCGCAACGGAGCTAACTCAATCTAGTCACTGGAACTACTACTTCGGTATCATTGCTCGATTCGGGTCTCAGTGAGGGGAAACGTCAGCTCAGTTTGGCGGCGTGCAAAAAAATTGAACGCCATATCCTCCTCCCTATCCTCAAAGATCCAAAACTTAAGCCTTTCCATCCCCTCGTGAAAACCATCCCTTCTCGAATTCTCAATCGCCATATCGTGTGTCTCAGAGACGTTGAAAAGTCTTTGCTTTGGCTTGCTCCTGTAAGTGCTGAACGTCCTTCTACTAATTTCATGCGTGATTTAATCTTTTGGATTCTGCGTCTGTGATCGTTCAAGAGCTCATAATTCGTTAGAAGTTCTCTTCGTCCCGGCACACATATCTCGATTTCGCCGAGTTCACTATTCAGTGCTTGCATACTTCCGCTTCTCATCTTAACGACCGCGAACAGAGACTACCATCCGACCGGCCATATACTAACGGATACTTTCTCGATCTCGTTTCACAGGTTCGTCGATACGCTGCCATGATTCGTGCTTCTCGAGAGAGAGCCGAACAGGCTCAAGTCCAAACCTCAGAGGCACACTCAGAGGGCAAGTTGTCCCTTGAGACTAGTGCTGTTCTCGAGGGTGGCATCAGCAAGAATGGAAAGCCTGCAGAGCTCGTGGTTCTCCACGAAGGGAAGCAGATTTCCATGCTGACTGGTGAACCATTCGTTGCTGCGGAGACACCTGCGACGTTTAAGCGTGGCGTCAGCTTCGATGAAAGAGCTGATGAAGGTGTGCAGCGCTCCATGGCTCGCCGAAAGAAGAATGCTCCCCCAATGGACATCAATCAGAAGTGCAGTCATTGTGAGAAGGTCTTCAAGCGCCCATGCGACTTGACCAAACATGAAAAGACTCACTCCCGCCCCTGGAAGTGTTCAGATTCTACGTGCAAGTTCTTCTCGGTTGGCTGGCCAACCCAGAAGGAGCGTGACCGTCACGAAAATGACAAGCACTCATCGACTCCCGCGATGTACAAGTGTAATTTCCAACCATGCCCTTACACCTCAAAACGGGAGAGCAATTGTAAGCAGCACATGGAGAAGGCACACGGTTGGGTGTATGTTCGTTCCAAGAACAACTCGCGTGTTAATGGGAAACGTGGCACGTCGACCCAGGCTTCTCGCACCCCCAGCGTGTCTACGCCAGCCTCCAAGTCCGTCGATTTTCCCACTCCTGTCACCGGCCCCAGCCCTTCACCCGCGCCGTGCTCGTCGCTTTTTGATTCCACTCCTTTCAACTTCAATGACCCACCTGTCCCTCAGAGTGATGATTACCCCCGTATGTTCGAAACTTCGCCATACACCAGCTCCTCTGCTGGCCTGAGCACAGACTTCACATTTCCTACATCTCTCAATCTAGACTCGTTCCAAAGCCAATTCGAGTCCGGAGATCCTAATGAACTTATTCCCTCTTTGGAAATGCATCGCCAGATTTCGGTCCCCTCTGCAGGGTCAGTTCCTGATCTGATGGGCATGTCTGGTTACGACGGCTCTCCCCAGGCCACCACCGAGAACAGCTTGAACTTTGAATTGGACTGGAACAACTTGGGTTACAATGATATGGATACAGACTACACTGCTCTGCACATGCAAATGCAAGCTCCGGGACATCCCGAGAATATCTACCAGGGCTACTCGGGACCGATGACTACCGATTCATCTCAGCTTCCAATCAACGCCAACAAGATGTCGGGTCTTTCTCCAAATGCACAGGGCAATCCCATGCTATACTCCCCGGGCTCCGAGCACTATGAGTACAATGCTCAGCTCCACGGTGGCAATGACTTCATGCTTTATGGTGAATACCCAGGCATGAACATGCAGATGGTCCCTCCCATCACTCAGCACCAATCGACTCGTCAATTCGCTCAGCCGCGCCAGGAAGGCCAGGTTGTGTATGACATGGAGCTGGAGTACATGAAGTAGGCTTATTTTTGCAATTTTCTCCTTCTTATTCCTACATCTCTTGTCTATTTTTTATTTTTCTATCTATCAGCGAGGTTTCAAATGTTGAGCGTGATATGTCACATCTCCTTTTTTTATCATGGATAATTTAGCTAGCTTCAAACAATGAATGCTTCTCTCCGATGAAAAAAATCCCCTAACATTTGAAGTCTTCCAAGGTTATTACCATAATGTAGGTGTTTATCATACAAGCGTGGAAAGATGGCCGAATCTAGGAAATGCTATGTGTAGTACCTGTCTCTGGAATATTTGAAACGTCAAATCAACCCCTGTCGCATGACATTCAGCCCTGTGCCCCACGATGACCCAAATTCCAACTTTTAGTTAGTTAGGGCCACCCGTTGACTAAACCAGACTAACCTAGAAAAGACTGCGTAAGCGTTGCCACAAGCCACATAACTAGTAGTTAGTTAACTATAGCATATGACAACATTGATGACTTTGGGCTTGGCTTTCTTTTAGCACACTATTTATCCTCATGATTATCTGAATAGGTCACCTTTACATAGGTGGTACAACATAAATCTGAATTAAAATATGGATGATTCTGACATGCGTTACATACAATCTCCGCCTCGTACCACTTACATTTCGTGAGTACGAAGTACTTAGTACTAGATAATACATACAAGCTGCTCCCCCTTTGAAATGTGGCTGATTTTTTTTCTCAGTTGCCCCCAATTACATGCGCTAAGAAAACGCCTGTTTCTAAATCCGTCATTCCGGAAAAATACCGTCGTCTTGTGCTAAAAGTCCACGGGTCTAGCGCAGTGATCGACGATCCTCGGGGCGGGACAAGCTCAACACCTTTAATACTGCCATTTCAAAGGTGACGACATCATCTCCCCGCTTATCTTCCAACTCCTTTTTTTTTTCTCCCCAGCTGTTTCGTTCATGCTTGACCTTCACTCCGGGAATCACGAAACCTCAATTTGTTGCGGATTTCACATTTACGATAGTCGCAGATTGCCAGCCTCGTTGCGAACGCTTACCGGCTGTGTTCGGCCACTCTTGATTCTCGGCGCCAATACAAGACCCCAGGCAGACGAATTCCGTCGCATTTCCCCCATCACCCTCGGTCTCCTTTAAAAGGTCGAACGAGACGGGCAACCTGGTTTGAGTGTTTTATTATAGCACAACAATGCAGGAATCACTGCCCACATCCCCTAACGGCGTGTCTGGTCACGATGCGGCCCCGCCAACAAGTCAGATCCTGACAGGCAAACAGGAGCACTGTGAGATATTCGCCCGCCTTTTGCCTCTGGGACGCTGCTACGCATCTTCAAAATGGATGGCTTTGGTTTCCTTCATTGCTAATTCCAATCACCATCCTCAGATCTCAAGCGCGAGCTCATTGCCCGCCAAGTTCACGGGGAAATCTCCGAGCTAAACTCCCCAACAGCACTCCAGCGTTTTGGCGCCCCTTTTCGATCAGAATTCGGTGAAGTCGCCCCCGTTGATTCCGAGCTCCCTATCCTACGCTACATTTTCGTGCACCATGTTCGCAATTTTCCCTTTCTCAACCAGGCCGAGGAGAAGCAATTCTGGCAAGATAAACTACAAATAGTGGGTCCCACCAGTGTGCCTACTCAAACCAACAATACAGAAGGAATACTGACCATCCTTCTCCTTCTAGTTCCTTGAATCATTCGCCAATAAGCATGTCTCGTCATCGGAAGATCGTCTAGAGGAAACAAAGCGCCGGAAACTGGCTCGCAAGTGTGAGAAGCTCGTGGAGTTGATGATGGTCTCTGGCGTGCCGACGGCGTCAGGATATGAAGAGCGCATCCAGTTCTCGGAGATGGAAGTTGTGGAGCGCGGTGCCAATGATAAGGGTTTACTTGTCAATATGCCCGAAGGAAACGCGATCAACTCTTGGGACGTGAACGTGGCTGCGGTTCGCGTGACTTCTGTCAAGCGGACGGTCCGATATCATCCTCACGCTGTATGTTACTCCGCGAACACCACAAGGTTGAAGCGCTTGCTAATTATAATGATAGGAATTCCTCATCAGGGTTCGTCGAGATGACAAGGAAGAGTTTCACATCGGCAGAAGATATGGCAAATTTGTCGACCTCCACCGAAGGCTGCGCACCGAGTTCCCTGGCAAGCATTTGCCGCCTCTCCCACGGAAAAACAAAACTTCAACATCATCCAGCTGGTTTGGGTCGGCAGATGACGATGCTTCTTCCATCTCTTCCCTCTCCTCGACCCAGGACGCCAGTATTGTTGAAGATTCAAACGGGCTCTCCGGTCGCACTTTGGCACCCGGAGGCGCCCATAAGCGATCACCATCACGGGCGTCTTTCCGTTCTTCGAAATCTCCTCGCGCATCTGCTGATGTTTCAAGGGAGACAGTTCTCTATCGAGAGGAACAGCGGGTGTCTTTGCGTGCCTTCCTGCGTACCCTCTTACAGAATAAGCGTATTGCAGAGTCCAAATCGATGGAAGAGTTTTTGACTTCAGATCCCATCAAATTAAATGAAGAGGAATTACTCGATGTTCAAAAGCGAAAGAATATGGACGCTGTCAGGATTGAAGAGCAAAAACGATTCTATGAAATCGCAAGGCAACGAGCTGCGGAGTTGGACGTTTATATGGAGAAGTTCCGGAAGGATATTGTGGAGGACAGTATGTCTTTCCCCCATATATGTAAATTTGTATGGTGTTTGCTAACCTGAAACAGATGGCTTGACGAAGCTTTTTGCTGAGATTCGAGAGAAACCCTCCATTGCAGACCTAAGCCCGCAATATCAGAAATTCGCCGAGTGGCTTCGCATCGAGTAAGTGCAAAGACTACTTTTCATGGTCCATTGACTAACTAGAATCAGAGTTGCTGCGACCGTCTACCACCTATTCCTTGCAGAAGACAACTCGCCTGAATTGTTTGCGCAGGCAAAGAGAATACATGGCCTTGTCCCGTATACATTGCTGAAGAATGTGATTCGCATCGCCAATCCGGCTGCCGTCATGTCAGGCGTCCTCGACCTTTTTTTAGCACAACCATTTGGATCACGGTCGCTTCTGCAGCGCATATTTTCTCTGACTCTCAACGACAGCATCAGGGACTTCCAAAAGGGCATTGCTTCCATGACTGCCAAAGTTGAAGATCCAGTACTCGCTCAAAAGCTCAAGAGCTTTGTTGATTCTGAAGAGAGTATCAAGAATGACATCCGTCTAGAAGCAGAGACCGACGATGTTGATCTAATTGTGGCCATTCTTCGTTCCGAGGCACTGTCACCAGATCTCACCCCAGAGCAAATTGGGAAGGTTTTCAACAGCTGGGTCGCTTGGAACTATGCTGTTGACAACGTTGACCTGGAAATGCAGCAAGGTGCTCAGTGGTTTGCAAACATGAAACAGCTACTCAAGCTGTATACTCGCCAGCGCGACAAGGCAATGATGCTCAGTATTGTCGAGGAGCCTGCCACGCTTCAACTCTTCCGCGACCTGTTCACCATCTTTTATGAACCGCTTGTCCGGGTCTACAAGTCTGCCAATGTGTACAGCAGTATTACAGATTTTGCTCAATTCGCTGATGATGCGATATCCGTCATTGAGAGTGCCCAGCGCCAAGATGCCTCAGCCGACCCCAACCAGACAGTTCAGTCCTTTATTGACCTCTGTGCTCGTCACCAAGATAACTTCTATAAATTTATCCATGAGGTACACCAGCATGACAACGGACTTTTCCAGTCTCTCATGTCCTGGATTGAGGAGATTCTTGACTTCCTACGCAAGGGACCCCAGGGTGGTAAGCTGGATATGAACGCTATGTTCCAGGGAGCTGCCAGTGCTGGCCAGGTAAACAAGGATGTTGCTCTCGCTGAGATCAATGCTTTGATCAAGTGGCACGAAGACCGCAAGCGGTGGCACCTCAACAAGACTCGCCAAAAGATGGCTGCTGAGGGAACAACTGAAAATGTCCCAGGTTCTGCGACGTTCAAAGGCAGTGACTTTGGCCTGGACGAGGTATGTCTCCATTCAAAGTCTTTTACCCAGTATTTCTGTTTTAAGCTGACTTTTTTTTTTTTACCAGGCTGATCTGGAAGATCTTACAATCTCTGATGACGCATCTGACTCTTCTGATGAGGGAACTGAAGACGATGAAGAGGATGATCCCATTGCATCCGAGCGTCGTCGGCGGGTCAAGAAACAGGACCAGCTCCGCCGTACCGCGGGAGAACCACCAAAGCCTGAAATTACGGAGATTCTCAAGCTCACCGATCCTTTCGTGGTCATGTTACGCTACACGCTCGCCGAGTGAACACCCGAAACTAATAGACTAGTACTAAATACGTCGTTCGCACACCCAGCATGGTCATAGCTCCTTGCTACTATTAACTCTTTTCTAATTGCTATCATGATACTGTCCATGCTTAGACATCTCCCGGGGCGTTTAAAGACCCATTGATTTATTTTCAATACAATGTACATGGTGAACTGGCTAAATGGCTTCCAACCTCTTACATACAAGTGGATATCCATAATCCCTGGCTATATCTAACGGGCTTCTTCCTTCTAAATCCCCCAAACTGGGGTCGATGCCGACAGCCTCCAACAAGGCATTCACATTCTCCAGGAATCCCATTGCAGCAGCCTTGTAAAGCGCCGTCTCGCCATTCTGATCCCTCGCATTCAAATTGGCCCTCCGTGTCCCTGTTACTAGACTATTAATCACACTTCCATTGCCTTCTCTCGTTGCAGCTTCACTCAATGGCGTAGTCCCATGAACATCCGCTAATTCCAGATCCACTCTCTCGCTCTCCATCAACACATTGACAACAGCCACCCGTCCTTGCTTAGCTGCCACAAAAAGAGGCGTCTGGTGTTGCCACCCATCTCGCAAATTAGGATCTGTTCTCTCCCAGCTCAGCAGAAACCGCACAATGTCAATCTGCTCCCTTTCCGCCGCTATCGAAAATGCTCCCCGTCCATACCCACGATCTCCGCCATTGGGATCCAGCTTTTCTCCAAAGAACTGCACAAGATACTGCACAATCTCCAGCTGCCCCATAATCGCCGCATAGAAAAACACATGTTGTACATGGCTTTCCTGGTTATGACCATCAAGAATAAGTCTCAAATGCGCCGCGAATAATAGATCCACATCCCGCTCTGCATCTCGTTCTCGACTTGCCTTCGACAACGCTGTCGCACCATGCCGATTCTGCAATCTGGGATCTGCGTGTCCACTCCCGACTAATAAGGAAACGGTCTCCCAGTCGGAGATATGGGCTGCGGTCAGTAGTGCCGTATCCCCGTTCTTATCCTCCAAATTAACGTCCACGCGCTCGTCTCTTATTAGCGCACGGACAATATGTCGATGACCCTGCTTTGCGGCCCAGGAAATTGGAGGGCGGAGATATTTCCTATCCCGTGCGTTTGGGTTGAAATTTATGTCGTCGATTTCTAGCAGGAGGTATAGTACATCACTGCTGCCGTAGTAGGCTGCAAGGAGGAGTGGGGTGCAGCCTTTCATGTTTTTATCAAAATCCGACGCGATTTGGGGATCTGCGCCTGCGAATAGGGACTTCTTTGCTGTTGAGAGCTGATTGTGTTTTGCGGACCAGTGGAGGGCCGTGCTGTTTTGATGGACATCCAGGCGATATAGCGTTTTTGTAAGGAGGCTGTAGAATGTGCTATTTGTGCGGCAGAGAGCGCTGAGGTCTGATGTCTTCGAGAGGAAAGAAGATGTATGGATTAAGAGTTCCTTTGGGAGATCCATGAGAGAAGGTTCATATTGTTCGGCCATGGTGCCGGTTGTATAATGTTGATATAGGGGTTATCGGAACGGGTCGCATTTGGGTGGTTTCTTTGTTAACCTCATCAAGGCTTATGGTTGCGGGAAGTTTGAAGGGGGGTTTCCAGAGATTTTATATGAAGCCTTTAAGATTTGTGCGGGGAGTTGAGGCTTTTTGATGTGCGGGTATTCAGCCCCATCTTTTGACGAGGTGAAGAGAGGATTCTGGTATGACGACATTGGGAGAGTGAGATGTCCCTAACGAGTCCCACGTACATAAGTCACCCTCTGTTACTCCCAGTGGCTGACGGGGGGCTTAGTGGCCGTGGTTTCAGTGGGGACTCCACATAATTGTCTTCCGTATATTAATGAACCTATAAAGAAAGATTCCTGTCACTCTTAGGGCGTAAAGTGACTAAGGTCTTAGAAAAAAGACCAGAATGCGGGGCGCATGTCTTACTATGGTCCGCGATTAGACGATAAGATAACGTGATAAGAGTTTCCATGGCGACGATCCTCAGTGCACTTCGCATTCTGACATTTCCACTTCTTCGTTACTTTGGAATTAGCCCAAAATGCTGTCTCCTCGTAAACGCGATTTCGGATCCCCCAGATCTCCTCGGACTATAGCTCCATTAAATGGTCTCTTCAAAGAGAACGCATGGCACTGCAACTGTCCAGCCCGTGAGCGAGCTATCAGATTTCAAGTGAAGAAAGAAGGGCCAAATAAGGGCCGGTGGTGTAAGAACACCCCATACTGCTTGCTCTTTGATTCCATGCTAATTTTATTGGCCTCAGTCTACACATGTCAGAAACTACCGAATCAGCGGTGCAAGTTCTTCCTATGGAACGAAGACGCGGAGGTCCGTGAGAAGACCGTTCTCATGGCCAACACCGACTCAGAAATAGACCTCCGATCTCAACATTCCTTTAATACACCTCAAACTCCGACCAAGTCCACCCAATACTCTAACGGTTTACTCACCCCACAAACCGAGCGCAAAATACTGGACTTGCCGCCGTTCCAGTCTGCCCCTAAACCCAGCCCGGTTTCGATGACACCAAAAGCCCGGATGATGGCCGAAGATACCGATGAATTTGGCTGGGACCTCGACTCAGATGACAATGCTGAACTCGCACAAGCAAGTCAGTGCGCTGAAGAGTCCTTCATATCACAACCCGACTTCTATGGCGCCACCTCCCCGAACAAAGCACCCCGCACCCCGCAAAGGACGTCCCCAGGCAAGCGCAAGCTTTCTGAATATGCATTTGACAAGGGAAACTCCACCTCTGGCTCTCCAGTCATTGCGACGCCCGGTTCTTCATTCTCATCTCGAGTTCCGCCTGCATCGGCTGAGATGTGTCTGACGCCCACACCCAGGAGATACCGGGATGAAGATGTACTGAGTGTCGACTCGCGATCTAACACCTCTAGTCTGGCCAAGGATCTTCTGGCGATCTTGGAGAAACACGACGCGGTTATTCCCAACAAGGCACGAGATGAGCTTATTTCGCGTATCAATCTTGAAGACTCGAGGTTCAAGGGCGCGGTTCGCGCGAGGGATATGCTTAGGGTAGCAATGAAGGCGAAGGATAAAGAGATTTTGGAGCTCAAGGAAAAGAACACGAACTTGAAAGCTCAGGGCCAAATGGATCAGAGCATGATCAATTCTTTCAGACGCTGATGCTGGCTTTTTTGCCCCTACGATCTGTTCTTTCCGGCTTCAATTTGTGGCAGCGAAATCTTGTGACTTATGACGATACCACGACCCTGTTGCGTTGTATGACATTTTAGCATAGTGAATAAATTATATCCTGACACCTGGAATATACAAATATGATTTCCAAACGAAGAAACAAGCATTTAAGCCTCGAAGCATGCTATAGACCTTAAAAAATCGTCATAAATATTATAGATCCTTCTACCCAATCACCGCCCGAGCCAGACAGCCGCACCTCACGTGCCCCGATAAGGAAATAAATGCTACTATCGAACGCCCGACATTATTCCACCGCACGCCAGCCCCGACATCCCCAATTGTGCACAGGCCACTTTCTCCGAGTCCTTTCAATGGAGCCTTCCACCGACGAGCGCCAGCAGGGTTCCCGCGACCTCCCCGTCATGTTCCGACCACCCGTCAACCGCGCAATGCGCACCCTCGACCGGTCGTTTTTCCGCAAGACTATTCCGATCAGCGCAGCCAAGTTCTTCAAGAACTCAGAGATCTCGAAGGTGCGCCAGGAGCTTCACAAGGCACGGGATTTGCTGGCAGGTCCGCGTATCAACGTTGTGCGCGATCTGAAGGAGCAGGATGGGGTGAAGAAAGCGCTTTTGCTGCGGGCGGACTTGAAGGCCGATGGTGGGTTGGGTTCCATTCGCTGTGATTTGGGGGTCGCGTTGGTGCGCGGCGCGGCCTGGATTTTTTGGGGATGATGCTGATTCTCGTTTTCTATTTCACAGATAAGACGACTTGGGGTCCGACTGTTACTGCGCTTGTTGAGAAGGGAAACGTTGATGTGACACCTTATGACTTGGTTTTGGATTATGACTACTGGTCTTACTGTATGGAACGACCTTTGATATTTCCGTTGACTCATATACAAGATCTGGCAGCTAACTTCTTTCACTTCCAGTTGAGATCATTAACGCTATCTTGCCTGAACAAGAGATGCAAGAGATCCCTCAAGGGTTCACTCAGGTGGGGCACGTTGGTATGTTTCTGCCCGATGCGCCAAAGACGATTTCTTCGATTCTTCAATACTAACGGGACATAGCACACCTCAACCTTCGCGAACAATTCTTCCCTTATAAGTATCTTATTGCCGAGATCCTGAGAGATAAAAACCCTTCCATTCGTACCGTCATCAACAAGCTCGAGGATGTCGGCTCTAAAAGCCAGTTCCGCACATTCCCATTCGAGGTCCTTGTCGGCGAGAACGACTTGAACGTCATCCAGCACGAGCAAGAATGCGAGTTCCGATTCGACTACGCCCGTGTGTATTGGAACAGTCGCCTAGAGACCGAGCACCGCCGGCTTGTTGAGAAGTTCAAGCCGGGTCAGATGGTCTGCGACGTCATGGCTGGCGTTGGACCTTTCGCCGTCCCTGCGGGCAAGAAGAAGATCTTCGTTTGGGGCAATGACTTGAACCCGCACGGATACGAGGTGATGCAGGATGCGGTCACGCGGAACAAAGTTCAAGACTTTGTGACACCCTTCAACTCAGATGGTCGGGATTTCATCAAGTCCTCGGCCAAGGCTCTATTGGAAGCCGAACCGGTCACTGTCACTATCCGGCCCAAGGTCAAGCGCAGCGATAAGCAGCGTAAGGATGGAGAGGGCCAGGTGGCGCCCGTGGTCCCAACCGAGGTGTATACCCGCCCGTCCATTGTGGACCACTACGTGATGAACCTGCCCGCGAATGCCATTGAATTTGTCGATGCTTACCAGGGTGTTTACGCTGGCCACGAGTCGCTTTTTGCTCCCAACACCTCTCAGCTTCTCCCCATGGTTCACGTCTACTGTTTCTCGGGCCACTCTGCAAACGAGGTGGACGATCACATCGATATCTGCGAGCGGCTGTCTAAATACATTGGGTATACCATCACTCACGAGGACCGAGTTGGTGGAGCTGGCAATGCAGCCATCGAGTTGGCCATTCATAATGTCCGTCTGGTCAGTCCGAACAAGCAGATGTTCTGTGCTAGTTTCCGTCTGCCGGCAGAGGTTGCTTTCCGGAAGGTGTAGAACTGTTGGAGCTAAAATTTGCATGAACGGCGTTCCAGAGACGTGAAAAAGTATATATAGACATTTGAAAGAATCGATAGATACCCTACTCACTTTAAGCTTTGTAAAATCCTGCGCCTTTTAAGCACTGTATCCTTACATAATATGCCCAGCGACTGAAGTCGGAGATTCTGTGGACTACTACTGTGTAGTACCAGATCAGTAACTGGGAGTATAAATAGTACGCTATGCCTGATCGAGAATATCACGGTGAGGTATTCACCGCCTTCATCTGCCGGCAGGAAACCTGTGAAGTTTCGCGGTTCGGCTCTCGAAGATGAATAGCCTCAACGTCTCATCTTGTATCCTGTCGCCATCTCCCAATCCCTATTTCTTACGATCTACGAAAAGCTGCATAATAATTCCATCTCATCATCATGAGCATCCAACTACCTCCCCCAACACACCGCCAGCGCGTCCTGCCGCAAGGCGAACTTGAAGCCGCGTCGACCCTGAAGCTGGGAGCGGACCAACACACGCACACACTCTCCCTATCCGAAGCCCGACTAGTCATTCACAAGGTGTTGGAGAACAAGCGACGCGGTGGAAATAAATACGAGGAGCCGGAGTATGTCACGAAACTCCGAAGCTCGGACCGGACTTGAAAAAGAACGGGAATATGCTGATGCGGGGTGGATCTGTTTAGGAATCTGACCAAGACTCTGGACTACTTGGATGTGTTTGCCCGATTCAAGGATGAAGAGAACATTAAGGCCGTGGAGCGATTGTTGAACTCGCATACGGAGCTGGAGATGTTTGAGCGGTCACAGCTGGGTGAGTGATACAATTCCCTTTCCCCACTCGGTCATATCATACAACACAGACACAAACACATATACATATATATATATACCCACATACATATTTATATGTCTCAATGTGGTGGGTTATGTACACCTGGGCCTTGGGGCTAATCTTTACGGGTGTAGGAAGTCTGTGCTGTGATAATGCGGAGGAAGCCAAGTCCCTGATCCCCAGTCTTCAGAACAAGATCTCGGATGCGGACTTGCAAGAGTTGCTGGATGAGTTGACCAAGTTGCGCAACTTTACTGAGTAAAGTCCTTTCAAATGTTTGGATCAAGTTCAATAAGTCAAAGGGACTTCAAGGTTGCAGATCCATGCAAGGGAGCGGTTTACCATTAGGTAAGAGATCGGAGGACAGTTGACCGTTTGAGCCAATCTAAAAATTGAGCCACAAAAAGAAATGCATAGGGAATGGCGTTGGGCATGGGAGGATTTCCGGGCTCTGTAATAGACTTTTTGAGCATTTTCCGATGGAAATATCCCTTAATAGTGAGAATTGTTACAAATCAAAACTTTTTAGTGTACGCCCTTGGAACCCCGGAGTAGGGAGCACTAACTCCGTTGGTTTTAGGTTTCATGAGTTGCCACCCGGCTCAGTGTTTTAGAGAGTAAGAGAGAGAGTAAGAGAGCACATGCTGACTCGTTTTTATTGTGGGGCATGAGTTAAGCTCTGTAAATCAAGATCAAGTTCAAGGCAGTTCAAGAGAGCAGTTTCCGTCCCCATACTTTTGCGCTTCGGTGATTGGTTCCTCTCCCGACCGTTATCCTGCGTTGATGATTGGTGGGGAGATCTTGTTGCTTAAAAAGAAGCCCAGTGATTGGATTAAGGGGGATTAATGAGGATTTAGGGGGACTCTGGGGGCAAAAAAAGAAGAACAAAAGTTCTTTTCCCTCTTTTCCCTCTTCTCCCTCTTCTCCAGTTTCCAATCCCTGAATATACACTGTAAAGAAAACCTATCAGATCATCGAGCCCATATCGAATTACTAAGAGATGACATGAATCATATGTTACCAAGGCAGCTGAGCAAGGAGGATTCACTCAGTACGTAATAAAGATGGAGGCTCGTTTGGGGGATCCAATCAGGGAAGCGGGTCTTATCTCTGACAATTTCCAAGTCATAATTGGCATTTTATTAGTCTTTAATTCCCATCCAAACGGAAATTCTCTTACGAGAGCAAAAAGGCGATCGTCTGGGTCAAGTCGGGAGTACCATACGGCTTCGTTCTATATCGATGTCATCATGTTCCCTTAGTTTTCCTTTTTTTTTCTTTTTCTAACAATTCAACTACTGCTTTATTCAACCTGCCTCTTTCTCTTTGTCCAGAGGAATGACGGAGCGTACAATCCGACATCTCATCCTATTACAGTCTCTGGCGGGTTCATCAGCTTGAATTTGATTATAACTTATACTGGCCCCAGGAGCTTTATAGGTTGATCAAGAGATAAAAAAAAAAGAGAACATTTGAAAGATAACGTCTGGGAATCTTCTTTACTTGATAAGGAAATTACTCTATCGCGTGTGTTGTTCTCTCTCTTACTCTTTGCCTTATCTATATACATTCCTTTCTTAACGAATAACAGCTAATGATTTTCAATTCCAGTCCCCAATTATATTACCCCAATATATCGAATCTCCGGATTTTTTCCTCTTTGCGGAGATTCTCTTTGGGGGTTTTGTGTCGTTATCCTTTACGTGACGATAACCAAATCGCTATCAATTATCTTTTTTTTTTCTCTATCTCCCGATTGCCTTGTATCTGACTACATTTTTTTTGCCCTTTTTTCACTTATCTTGATCCGGGTTATTCCCTTCCTATGGCTACCGTCACCATTCAGCCTTCGACGGCTAGCCCGGTTGCTTCACCTTATACCCAAAGCCATCATTCCCCGGAACTACGGCGCCGACCCCAGACCTCCACTCCCAACCTTTCTCCATCTCCTGTCAATTCCACTCTACCCCGTCTTTCGGCTCGGGATGGAGCCAGTTGTGACGCTTGTCTCCGTAGAAAGAGTCGTTGCGCTATGAATGATATGGTCAACAAATGCTACTCGTGCGACTTCCATCGCCAGGATTGCACTTTTACCTTAACCGCTGGAGACGGCCCCACCAAGAAGAGGAAGCTGTCCGATTCGGTCCGGGACGATTCTGCCAAACGGTATGCCGATTGATATTCTTCCTATCCCAGAAAAGAAACTCGAAAAAAAAAAGAGAGAAGATGATGCAGAAAAAGAAAAGAAAAAACCAAAGAGAAGAAAAAGAGTCATGTAGTGGAGATCCTTTGATATACTGACTCATTCACACCCTAGCCCTTCTACCGTTCAGTCAACCCAGTCTTCAGAGGAAGTTGCTCGCCCGGGCCATTGTCACGCCATGATCCGCCCAGGCTTCTTTAACCAAACCACCCAACATATTGGCCTGACCACCGAGCTAGAACCAGCACTATTGGAATTCTTACCCTTGGACGAATACGACGAGTTCTCTGTTTCCGCTTCTCGCATTCGAAGATGCGCTGACGACCACACTTTCATGCGCGTCGTCAATACCGTCCCCATCGGTGACTCGCAGGCCGTGTCACTCGATGCCATCGAGAGCCTGGTTGCTCCGTATGGCTCCACCCTGGTTGAGAAGTTTTTCGAACATGTGCACCCGTCCTTCCCCATTTTGATGGAGGATGCCTTCCGTCAATCATATCGAGAACGTCGCCAACTATCACCCTTGCTTTTGGCAGCCGTTTATGTATTGACCTTGAAGTTTGTGGATGTCGGAGCATCCTCCCAGACAGCTCGACGACCGGATTCCGCTCGTCTGGAGAGTGCGGCTTTGAAATTGCTTTTGGACTCACTACCATTCCCCAGTATCTCAACTATTCAGGCTGGTTTGCTATTGACACAGAAGTCGACACTAGCCACCTCATCCCTGAACGGTCAGCTCGTGACCGCCGGGTTTGAGCTGGGTCTGCACCAAGACTGCTCGAACTGGCGTATGAAGGCGTGGGAGAAGGGCCTGCGGAAACGACTGGCTTGGGCTCTATACATGCAGGACAAATGGTCCGCGCTCGTGCACGGCCGCCCCTCGCACATTTTCGCATTCAACTGGACCGTCAAAGATCTTGTGGAGCAGGACTTCTCAGATGCCTTCCTGTCCGGTACCCACTCCGCCCACGACGAAGCAGCCGTCGGACACGGTCCCCTCCTCTTCTGCCACATGGTAGCTCTGACAACCATTCTCTCCGACATTCTCGACCGCTTTTACACCCTCCAGTCCGCAGAGGACTTCCACGCCGCAGGAAACCAGCGCACACGCATCATCCTGGAAAAGGCCAAACCAGCCCAGATCCGGCTGAAGGATTGGTTCTCTTCACTTCCAGCCGCGCTGAAGATGGAATCAGGCAACGGCGAGCTAGTGGAGACAATCACAGATGAAAACGCCCGCAACGGCGCCCTCCACCTCGCGTACTTCGCCACCGAAATCACCCTCCACCGCTGCATCGTCCGTTCCCTCGCCACGGACGGCTCAGACTCCTACCTCGCTCACATCTGCCGCTCTGCGGCCAAGACTCGGCTTATTTCCGCCATGGACTTTGTCAACCGGCTCCGCCCTGCACACCTGCGCTCATTCTGGCCCGCTTCCGCACGCACCAGTTTCTCGCTGATCGGGTCCTTTGGCATGTTGCTGCGTATTACTGCGCCGACGACGGAGGAATCTGAGTTTTACCGTCTCCGCCTGTGCGAGTACCGGTGGACACTGAGCGTTAGCCATAAGAACGCCGAGTTTATGGGCTTTGCACTGGAGAGCTTGGATAATGCTACTGCGCTTGATAAACACGTTCCGGTGAAGCCTTCAATCGCTGAGCTTATGGCTTCGAGCAAGCAGGCTACCTCTCGTTTGCCGCCTATGCATGCTGCGACTTATGATGAGGCTATGGGTGATCCTGATGGCATTCCCGGCGGAACGGGCGCTTCGTCGTCTGTTATCTCTGGCTTGGCTTCACCTGCTACATCTGTCAGTGACATGGATGAGAATGACTCGCCTATGATCTGACCTTGACACATACATCCCCTATCACCTACCACATGCATACTTCCTCTCGCCTCTCTACTTCTTGACCTCCCACACACACACACCCACCTCTTCATACCCCCCTCACCTCCTATTTCACGACATATTCCCCCGGCGTTCCCCAAACGGAATCCCAGTTTGAATGAAGCGAATCCCTGATTATTATTTGACATTTGATTTGAATGAATTTGCTATTGCATGTACCGCCCAACGAAAAGGCATCTGGCATGATGGATACGTTGATTTCTCTTGCTTTGACCCTTTTACTTTACCCTCTACTCGCTGGACTTGAGTTTCCCGGATCGGAAACAAATCGGATATTGGCCTGGACGGATTGATCGATTCTATGTTTATAGACCCCTCCTAGCCGGGACACATAGATCGGCTGAAATGAATTATGATTGAACATTAAATAATGCTTGCTATCCCTCCTGATGGATCAGGCTTCCCCATATACATACTTGAATCTCGTACAACAAGACCTTCTAGGCAGCCCAACCTTCTAAAAGAGCGAAAACTCCTGCCCCCCAAACGCAAAGTCCTCCAGAATAGACGGATCCACCAAATTAGCCAGCATCTCCGCCCGTGTCCGTTCATCCCGCTGCTGCTGCTGCGAATCCTGACTAAACAACGAGAAAAAGAAATCTTCGTCATCCGGCCCCACCCCGCCCTGTCCCTGCTCCGCCAGAAGCGAAGAACCCGCATCGAACGAAAGCCGCGGCAAAGCGAAATCGCCCGCTTTGCTACCACCGCCACCCAGCATATCCGCAGACGCAGACGCAGATACGAGCGGATGAGAGCTAGAATGAGACGCGAGGGACGGCGTGTGGAGATTCTCCAGCCCGGATGGATACTGCGTATGTGGTTGGTGCGCTTGCGTAGAGCCGGACGCCGACGGAGTAGCTGCAGCTGCAGCTGTACCTATACCTATACCTATACCCATACCCATACCCTGCCGCCTCCGTGCGAGACAAGCACGCGCCACCTCGAGCACCTCGCGTAGCATCTCGGCACAGCGGCGCGCAACGATGATATCGTCCATGGACGAGAAGATTTCGAGCGATTTCTCGACGTCCTCGAGGAGTTCTTCGTCTGGTAGACCGGGGAAGTTGGAGAGGATGAGGTGCAGGAGGATCATGGAGCCGTAGAGGGCGTAGGTAGTGTTGTACCACCTTGGATTTTTAAAGTTAGCTAGGATCAAATCTGCTTTATACTATTTGCAACCTTGAAAGCTGGATGGGGTTGGATTGTTTTTTGGGTGGATTGGATTGGATTGGATTGGATATGTCTTACCACGTGCGGATGTAGATGCGGTGCATGAAAGACTCGTACTGCATTTTTATGCTCATGCGGGCTGCTTCGAGGCAGATGTGGAGGTGTTGTTGGAACTCGGCTGATTCGGCATTTGTGGTTGAGGCGACGAGGAAGGGCTTGTGGATTAGGATGCGGGTGTTGTAGTATCCTAGTAGGTATAATTAGGTCAAGCTTGGCCTGAGCTCTGGACTGATGTATCCAGGCATGGAAGAGGGAGGGAGGGAGGGAAAGATGGGACTGACTCAGTCTTAGCACGAGCTTTTGCTTGAAGGCCCATTCTGGGTCACTGAGCGGACGTGCGTCGAGGTTTAGGAATGCCGGGATGTTGGACTTCCACTCTTGAAGTCTTCTGTCGAGGCCCATTGCTAGACGGGATTTGTCGCTTAGAGAGCGTTGGGCTGAATGGTAGAGTTGGTGGGATGCTTCGGACATGATTTGTGCGAGGGATACCATGACTGGGATCATGGCGACGTCGTTGTCTTCGGCGTCGGGGTCAAGATCTCCGTAGTGAATCTGTGGCTTTGTTAGTACTGAGCCATATGTTGCATGAATGTTTCTTTTCTCCTTTCGCTTGCCTTCAATTTCGGAAGAGAGACTTGGTAGTAATTCAGCTCTTTCATGCTATCCAGGCGGCCTGATGAGCAGCACATTTCTCTGCAAAACGTTAGAAGCGTACAGAAACAGGTCTGACTACAAAGTCTCACATTTCGTGTGAATAGATACACCTTTTCGTAAATCAGTATTTGTAGAAACATCTTCGGTTCTCTTGCAGTACTTACCACCATGTGCGCTTCGCCTCCCGCCGCCGGCTAGGAGGCAGCGAAGACATGCTCGACGCAAGTCCAATGGCCGCAGCTGTCCGGACAGCCATGCCACTGTACATGTAACAGCTATGAGGCTGGAGGGAATTCTGGCGGAAAACGCTCTGTCACATGAATTAGCACTGAAAATACTATAACTCCCAAAACGCACATACCAAAAGGAACAACGCTTGAGCCGTCTCCAAACAACTACTCTCAAACAAATCACCGAGTGCTATCTTTGCGATTCCGAAATAGAATTTCGCAAAGTCGAGAGCTGAATAATAAGTCACCGGTACAACCCGCTCCGGATCGGCAGACTGCTGATAGAAATGATCCAGTAAAGCGGTCTCATTCGGGCTAGCATTGATGGCACCCAGCGCAACCACGGCAAAATACAGCCCTGCAAACTTGGTGGTACTGCGGAAAAGACCGGCTCGTCGGGAGATGGGCCATGCTTCGCGCTCGCATCGTCGCATGAAGGCACCTTTTGATAAGATCGGATGAATATAGTGCTTGTTTGTGAAGTAGCTGCCGATGAAGATTTTCTCGATTTCCGTTTGTGCTCCGTCTGTCAGTTGAGCAAATAGCGCGGGTAATCCACCATTTTCTTGTGCTATTTTCTTCTGGTTAGAGGTTTAGTTTGGAAAATAGCGCTGGAGTAGCTCACGGTTATTGATGGGTCCAGCTGCGCTCCCTGGTGCATTTGCCTTTGCGTAGGAGGAAGTTTTGTTGGGGCCACCTTCTGCACCATCGTAGGATTGTGGTGATGGGTGGCCAGTATAATCTGCATTATAGAGCAGGTTCACAATGGAGAGTTGCGACTTGCCAGGCGTGGATCTGTTCTCAGGTGATGATGGCTGTGGTCTGTTTGTCGTGATTCTTGGTGCAATATCCTGGCTGCCCACAGAATCACGACCCTCAGACTGATGCTGGGCCCTTGCAAAGAGGTTTCCAAGGAATGCCAAATTCGATGAATTTCCATAGAACTCAGTTCCCTTGGTATGGAGGTTGACTCCACTCAGACCATCTCTGCCTGCGGCATCACCAAGCTCCGACGATGCTGGGTGGGGTGTCAGTTTCTGGGTGTCGTGTCAATCTAAGATTGTCCACTTACATGATTCATCATCGTCGTCGTCGTGCTCAGTTGCTGTTGTTGGAGTCTCAGGGGTCGACCCGAGGGGGCCAGTCTGGTAGAAAGGCCGTGACATTTCTCGCATCCGTGAGATGGGGCAATCTGCGGCTCCGGATGTTGTTTGATTCAGATTTCGGTTCTCATGGTTGAAAGTACCCGAAGAGGTAGCACTTTGGGCTGGTCCAGCGCCTGGCCATGGCGAAGAGTGGATCACATTATCACGGCTGTCTAACTGTTAGAAGCATCTCTAAAAGCATCTCACTCGATTTTTGTCTCTCAATTTTCGACACAATAGCGGCGCTGGGGGTGCGTACTTTTCCTGTGGGGCTCTAGCAACGCGCTTCTTTTGAGAATGGGGCAATTTTGCAGTTCCCCTGCCTCCAGAGGTACGGTAGACACAGTTAAAAGAGTGATCTGAGCTTTGTCAGTTTGCGTTCCTTCAGGCGTGGGCCCGCCAAAAACAAAGACATACAAGCGCAATATGAGCACGGTTGAGCTTGATCACACTGAAGTAATCGTTAGCTCAAGGTAAAATTATTCAAGGAGTAGATATTTTATTAATACTTATGGATGGAATTGACCATCTAAAGAGAGAGGCAAACAAGAGACATACCTTAGTCTTTCGAGAACGGCAGGTTTCGCATGCACGCGACGCTCGCGGCAGACGTCGTTGCGATGGCAATCGTGGCTTAGCCTCAGAAGAGTCCATAATGTGGGATTCGCCGAGTTCTTTATCAGCAAAATTGGCCAATCTCCTCCCTCATATCAAGCGATGTTTGAGGAGAAAATGTTGCGGCGGGCAATAAGCGCAGAAAATCAAAGCATCCCGAGCGATTTGCCGAACTTCATCCGCCGCACTTTTTGAGCAGCGGTTTTGATATCCCATCGCGGGGAATCTGGGGATCTGGGGATATCAATGCATAGCCGGATCATTTCTTCTTTTATTTATTTTCTCCTATTTTTTTCCATGTCTCATTTATCGTCTTTCTCGAGCTCTAGAATTGGCATCGGCTCGGGACGCCGGGATATCGGGATCTACTTATACTACGGGCATGAATGTAAATTTGAATTATTCAATGATTTAATCCTTAACTCTACGTCTTGTCATTTTGAATTCGGCTAGTCGACATCCTTGTTCAAGTTTAAATAAATTAAAGGATTTCAAGGCGAGTTGAGGGTAAACGCTATGACATAGTACGTTCCGCCAGCTTCCGACGGAAGTCCCAATCCCGTCGGATCTTCCGGCGCAACAATACCCCAGATGTTGACTTTCCAGACCACTTTCCCGAGAGTCTATGAGATATTTCCGGGGCATATGGGCGTGTGGGGAATATGCACAAGCGCTGGAAGTCGGTTTGTATGGATTATATTGTTATATGTGTAATTGAAATCGGTGCTTGGACATTGAATTTCCGAGCACTTGAGATTGATGTATAAATTGACAGCCAATTTTCCCAATGGACATCATTTTGAAATAATATCAGATCAATTGTCATTTACATTCAAAACTGCTATGCCCGATTCAAGTCAAACAAATGATACCGGTGCTGCTGGGCTCAATGGCATCAGTGATCGCACCCGAGCAAAATGGGCAGCAGGCTCCCCAGAAGACATTGCAGCTCTATTGCCTCCAATGCTCGACTTGACCATCGAGAATATCACTGAAAATGTGATGCAAATTAACTCAATGTGCGACAATCCTCGTATGATGTATCTCATTACGAAGCTAGTCAAGGCCTCACATGACTACGTGCGAGATGTCAACCTGCAATTTGATGAGTGGGAGCAAGCCTGGCAGTTCCTCACGCGTGTAAGTACCTGCGTTCATGGTCATGAGATTTTATTCTCACGTCAGAATCAATAGGTTGGCCAGATATCAACCGATGTCCGTCACGAATTTGTCCTGTTGTCTGATATCCTGGGCATCTCGGCTCTGGTAGACGCATTGTCATACCCAGCGGTTCCAGGCGCGACGGAATCTTCGGTGTTGGGGCCCTTTCACGACGAAGAAGCACACTGTTTTGAAAATGGAGACTCAATTACTGCAGAGGGAACTCCAGGAGAGCCCACTATTGTACGTGGCGTTGTACGCGACGTAGATGGCAATCTTCTCCCCAAGGCCTTGATTGATGTTTGGGAAACCGACGGCAACGGGGTGTACGATCTTGAATACGATGGAAGTCAGGATCCTAATTGTCGTGGAAAGATCTTCACAGACTCTCGGGGTGGTTACCTTTTCAAATGTGTCAAGCCTGTCGCATACCCAATCTCCAATGATGGACCAGTCGGGGAGCTCCTGCGCAAGCTGAAGAGGCACTGGTACCGACCAGCGCATATGGTAAGGCTCTTGGCTATTTCTTTGGGTTTTTATTTTTTGTCAATTTGAACTCTGACGCTCGAAAATAGCACTTCATGATTATGCATCCCGACTACATGAAGTTAATCACGGCACTATACTCCCGCGACAGCAACTTTGTCGAAAGCGATACTGTTTTTGGTGTCAAAAAGAGCTTGATTGTCGACTATAGATGGTCCGAAGATTTGGAGATTGCCAAGCAGCACAATCTGGCTCCTATGAAGAGAAATATTGATGGACGGGAGTCCACGGGATTTTGGTTGCTGGAACAGGACTTTGTGCTGGTGAAGAAGAGCCCTCCAATTCCCCGTAAGGTTCATGATGACTGAAGCGGGAAATGGATATGGGCAGTCTATAACACTATAGGGATGGCTTAGATATACAAATTTTACCGAATCAAATACGTACCATCTCGTTTTTCATCGCCCATTTTGGTTGACTTCATTGCTGGCAGAGAAATAAAGTGGTTCCTGGTACTTTTTTTTTTTGTTTGTAAACTTGAAATCAAGCTTGGTATTTTGTATAAGGGCAAATTTGAAGCCATTCACAACCCATAGATCTTTCTTTTCAATGTTCAAGGCTTTATTGGATCTTCCTCTACTTCAAAATATTAGCCAAATCTTATTATTTTCGTCTGTTGAAAATACTATACTATCAAAGTTGCCTATGCGCTGTAGGTTCTCGTTCTCTGCTTCTCCTAGCCTCTGGACGGCACATCCGGCACAGAAAGAATCTTGAAATTCCGACGGATCTGCATCCGATTGGCTTGTGTTGCAACTCTCAGGTGCCCCACGTTCCATTGTCCGCTGTCCTGATCTCTTCCCTGCCGTTAGATTGCTAATAGAAACATACTAGTAGTTGTGGAACTTGTTCCCCGCATCTGTTTAGACCCGATAATCTTATCGCTCCGACGGATGATAACGGATAATCACGGCGATAACAAAGTGTATTGATATCGGTTATCGGAGGCTTGTTCATTGTACAAAGCAAGAGTTGGTATATAAAGAAGCGATTGTTATCTGTTGGGCAAGATGCTTTACTCATTATTCCTTCAAAGACCCCGTGGGAACCCTCAAACATTTGAACATCAATTCTTCCCTCGATCACATCGTCTGAAATCAACCCTTCACTTCGCCAGTCAACCAGAGTCCTTCTATAGTGACCAGTCCTTACCATGACCGAACATTGGGACCAGAATGCGCTACGCGCTCGCTTCTGCCACGCTCTCTCCGAAATGTATAAGAGTGAAGTCCCTCTATACGGAGATCTGGTCGACGTCGTTTGGGAAGCAGACGCAAAAGCAATCCAAGCGAGTCAAAACTTAAAAGGAAAACAGATTATCAACCCCGATGATGTTCTGCCTTCTCGACACCGAGTGGAAAGACATGGTGCCATTCGACTAGGAACACCCCAAGAACTCAGCACAGTCCGACGCATGTTTGCCGTCATGGGAATGTACCCAGTGGGATACTACGACTTGAGTCTCGCTGGATTCCCCATGCATGCCACCGCATTCCGACCCAAAACACACGATGCTCTTACAGAGCACCCATTTCGTGTCTTCACCACAGTGCTCAGAATGGATCTTTTAAAGGAAAGAACACGAGAACTGGCACACCAGGCACTTGCGAGGCGTAATATATTCACAGCGAGACTTCTCGAACTCCTGGACCTTGTGGATATGAAAGGATCCTTGACGCCAGCGGAGTACTCCGAGTTCATCACAAACGGCCTTGAGACTTTCCGATGGCATTCGAAAGCAACGGTCACACTGGAAGAATACCAGGTGCTCAAGGCTGAGCACCCTCTTATCGCAGATGTTGTCTCTTTCCCCAGCTCACATATCAACCACTTGACTCCTCGCACAATCGATATCGATCTAGTACAGCAACTCATGGTAGATCGTGGAATGCCCTTCAAGGAGCGGATCGAAGGACCTCCAAAACGGGAATGCCCCATCCTTCTGCGGCAGACAAGCTTTAAAGCCCTGGAAGAGACGGTCTACTTTAAAGATACATCGGCCGAATATGTGAAAGGGTCTCATACGGCTCGATTTGGCGAAGTAGAACAACGGGGCTACGCTTTGACTCGAAAGGGTCGTCAGCTCTATGACCGGATATTAGACCAAGTCAATGCGGAGGCAGCAAAGAACAAGATCCATGGCAACGACTACGAAGTGCTTCTGGAAGATCGTTTCAAGGCTTTCCCCGATAATCTGTCTGCCTTGCGCCAACACAATCTGGCATACTTTTGCTACCGGTTAACACCAATGGCCGAAAAACTGTCGAAAGATGGTGTCGATTCTTCTAGATTCGGAAGCCTTTCCGTACCTATTGATAACCTTTTGGAGGAGGGAATTTTGAGTTACGAGCCTCTCACTTATGAAGACTTCCTACCATTGTCTGCAGGGGGTATATTCAACTCCAACCTAGGAAATATCTCGCAGTCAAAACAACTCATAATGAGCGCCGAGCCTGATCTTGATGGTTTCCAGCGCTCACTGGGCTGCCTTATTGCTGATGAGTTCCATCTTTATGCCAAAATGCAGGCCAGCTCTTTAGAGCTTTGCAGAGAGCAGCTGGGATTGGAGACAATTGAAATTTGACAACATTCAACATCCCAGGCCTGCATGCTGGTCTTATGTACCTACTAACTAGTCTCCTGGTGTACTATCTCTTCCTAGATGCTTCTTTGCGAGATAGGAAGCGGTTTCATATAATTTAACTAATAACATTGGAATTCAGTACGCGTTCTTTCTGGAGGGAGCACGTTGAGTAGTATGTATAAGGATTATCAGGATTTTGGGATAAATTTTGAGAAGATTCAAAAGAAAAGATTGATATAAAATACAATGCATGCAAAGGATCAGCCAAATTCCATCTATCTGTACAAGTGTGCTGCAAAAATACCATCGCATCACATCTCAGCTGGACAAGTCACCAACAGCTATTGGTAATTTTCTGCTTCAAATCATGACCGAGCCTCAATTTGGGGAGAGTCCGCCGCATCTTCAATCACCACAGCACCCTCCTGCAACAGCTCCTCTGGGCTCTTCACCCGCACTTCCATAACTCGCATGGTAGTATAACGGTGTTTGCTCCGGGCCTGTTTTGTGTGTCTCTGTCTCCGCTTCGTCTTCTCCTTAATGCGCATCGGCTCGGACTCCACGCCAATGACGCGAACTCGGCACTCAAACAGTCGCTCGTCGATGTGGGGTGAGCCTTTCAGGGTGAAATCGCGAGAACCAAGCGCGGAAGCACGGTTAAAGCGCAAGATGTCACCGGTCTTCACCTTCGGCATAAGGAACGGCAGACGGATGTGATCGCCCTCAGTTAAGAGGAAAGGCCGGGCGTGCAGCTCAGCAGTGACATAGTGTGGCTTCTGGCCAACGAGGTGAGGAAGCTTCGACATGAGGGACTTGGTCACTTCGAGGGGAGAGTCGAATGTCGGAGCCACGGGCTGCTTTGCGAGGGGGATATCATCGCGTGCTTGGTAGAAGGGGTCGATGGAGGAGGACGCCTGGAAGCCCTGCTGGGTCTCTGGAACGGAGTCTTGTGCGCGGGGTGTGGCAGAAAGAGGTGATTCGGGGTGAAGAGATGAGGATGGAGTCTGGGATTGTTGTTGCGAGTTCCGGAGCCATGCTGTTTGGTGGAGGCAAGCTCGTTGCACAAGGGGAGTTGGTGAGGAGATCAAGGGCGCTGACAGGCGCAGATCGGAGGTGAAACTCCGCAGTACTGAGCGAGAGAACATGGCGACAAATTCCTTCCCGGTAAAAGACGAATTGCGGGAGAAATTGGAATCTTGGTGATCTGGGTTGCTAGAGCGGCTTCCTATTTCGAGAAAATCAGATGCTGCGCTTGTGGCCGCTTCGCCGACCGTATAGTCACGTGCAGACGCATTAGATTGAAGAAAGTGCTATATTACTAGTAGCCTTTCATTGTGCATAGATTTACATGCATTGGAGAATTCAAAAAACATTGAAGAAAATGAAATTTTATGCTCTCTGTTATTTGCCTTTAAATTGTACTTCGTTCGGATTTGTAACTGCTTGACTTATGAGTGCTCCAAAACCGATCCAATCCAATTGTTGATAAGGAAGTCACGTGTATCGCTATCTTTGCCGCCGAAACAACTTTTTCGGCTGCGATTAGATCTTGCAGACCAAACCCATCACTAACACCCCACCCTCTGAGCTCATTTTGTATTCATCATGGTACGTCCCTGAATCGATAAATACGGTCTCTGTGTGTTGGACAAGTCAGCTAACCAATTTTTTCACAAATATAGCCTCAGAACGAGTCCGTACCCTCCCCGCCAAGCACACCGATAAAACTCACCTAGCTAACACCTATTGAACAGATACATCGAGCGCTGGCAGAAGCTTCACGGTAAGCGTCTCGATCACGATGAGCGTGCCCGTAAGCGTCAGGCTCGTGAGGGCCACAAGGCCTCTTACGATGCCCAGAACCTCACTGGTCTGAGAGCCAAGCTGTACCAGCAGAAGCGCCACAAGGAGAAGATTCAGATGAAGAAGCGCATCAAGGAGCAGGAAGAGAAGAACGTCAAGTCCGCTGCGCCCGACGAGCCCTCCAAGACCCCTCTTCCTCAGTACCTGCTCGACCGTTCGCAGGCTACCAATGCCAAGGCCTTGTCCAGTGCTATCAAGGATAAGCGTTCCGAGAAGGCTGCTAAGTTTGCTGTTCCCCTGCCCAAGGTTAAGGGTATCAGTGAGGAGGAGATGTTCAAGGTTATCAACACCGGAAAGAAGACTCACAAGAAGTCGTGGAAGCGCATGATCACCAAGCCTACCTTTGTTGGTAACGACTTCACCCGTCGGCCTGTCAAGTACGAGCGATTCATTCGCCCTATGGGTCTGCGTTACAAGAAGGCCAATGTGACTCAGTATGTTTTCTCGCAGTTGTCGAATCTGGTGGTATGTTCAATGACGCTAACAATGGCTTTTTTCTTTCTTTATAGCCCCGAATTGGGTGTTACTGTCCAGCTCCCGATTCTTTCTGTCAAGAAGAACCCCTCCAACCCTCTATACACTCAACTTGGTGTCCTGACCAAGGGTACTATTATCGAAGTTAACGTCTCCGAATTGGGTCTCGTTACTACCACCGGTAAGGTTGTCTGGGGTAAATGGGCCCAGATTACCAATGTCCCCGAGAACGACGGCTGTGTCAATGCGTAAGTGATACCGGAACCTTTTACCCCCTTTGAGCAGTGTACTAAATGCTTTACCAGCGTTCTCCTTGTTTAAAATGGTCGCTCTTGAACAAGACCGGCATTCCTTTGTTCATCACTTCTGGCAGACAACTGTCTGTCTTCGATACCACCGTGTCCTGGGCACTACTATTGATTCTCGAGGTTTCATACGGTTGATGTAGACCATGCTATTACTCTGGTGTTTCTGGCGCATTTTTTAAATATCTGGTCTTTGAACGAAAAGTATTCTGCATGCTTTGGTTTTCCGTGATTTAAGTAGACCAAAAATAGTTACACATTCATGCATTTATTCGAGATATCAAGTTTTACGGTATCCAGATGTCTTCACGCTTACATTTTCCCCGCATGCATCCTTGGTAAGCTTGGAGCTTGTTTTTTCAAAAGCAAAATTTAAATTTAAAAAACAAAGTACATGAGGCTGTCAGTATGCTACGTATGGACCAATACAAAAGATTGAGATGATTGTCGATTAAACTTCGTATCCAAAAACGAAGCCAATGCATGTGTTTCAAGGTCCAATAAAAACGGTACCAAAGTTGGCACTGCAATGCAATAGGAAGAAGTATCCAAAGAATCATATACATGAGTAAAGATCCACGGGGTTCGCTGAATCGCTTAACTGGGGTGGTCATGATGGGAAACGGACGCCGAAAGGAACAGGGAAAAAAAAGCAGGTTGACAAAGTAGATAGCAGCCAGATCAGCTGCATCAGTTTTAAACAAACAGGAAAGAAGAAGAAAAAGCTCACATGAAACACCGGTCATAAAGTCGTTCTAGAAAAAACACAAAAACTAGCCACAAAGCCTGTGACCCAATAATGAAAACAAAGGAAATGATTACCGGTTAGGTGTGTCAATTATTTTCTTCTTCCAGGGCTGCTTTGATCTTCGCGAAGAATCCAGCAGGCCATGCAGCAAGCTCCTCATCTTTTGGAATGCCACGCGCTTTGCAGTGATGTACAACATTGGCGAGGATGCGACCAAGCATATCTTGAGTCACAGGGACGGCGCCCTCAAGTTGAGCATCCGGATGAAGGAATTGGTCTCGAGGGCCGAGCATTTCTTCGATAGTTGGTCGAAGAGTTTGGTCACGCTGCAGACAGCGTTTCAGTGTTCGAATAAGTCCAGGAGGCACCGTGACTCCACCGATACCATGAGCAGGGAAATCAATTTGTACACGAGGGTTCGGAATTGCCATGATGCGTTCATAGTACTTGGCGATCTTGGCAAATGGTGGCTGTCCATAGACCATCTTGTACAAAATGCAGCCCAGACTCCAAACATCACTGGGTTTTCCGAGTTTCATGACCTTGCCGACGCTTGCGGGCAGTCCAAGGGATGCGTTGGAGTCAACCAATGCTTCGGGGGACATGTAGTTGGGTGTTCCAACTTGTTGTTCTCGGTGAACGTTCACAGTGTGGTCTTGAATGGCGTTGGCAATACCAAAATCAATCAATTTCAAGCGTCCCTGTACCATAAGGAAGTTGGCCGGCTTCAAGTCGGAGTGGACAATGTTATGTTCATGAACAGCCTGTACGCACTCAAGCATCTCCTTCCAGTAAAATCGAGTGAAGTTGATATCGAAGACAGCATCTTCCGCATTGAGACGGTAAACAAGAATCTTCTCTAGATCAGATTCACCAATCTCCATGAGGACGCTGAGCGAATGTTTGTCAGAATTGAGTTCCCAATCGAACAAACGCACCACACGTTCAACGTTCTCCAACTTCTTCAGCAGGTCGATTTCACCCTTGTAGCCAGTGAGCGTCAGTGGGTCGACATCTTCCAGGTTGACTCGTTTTAGGGCGAAGATCTTGTAGTTTTCGGCCATCACGCGATATACACGAGAACTGCCACCACGGCCAATGCAATCAAGTCGAGTAAATTGCTTGTGATTGATGGTTACCTGTGTTCGCTTTTTCCGTGATTGTGATGTTGATGCACCACCAGTTGCAGTTGCCGTCTCGAGAACCGACATTTTTGGGGGTGGGGGTGCAGGTCGATGTGGTGTGTTATTACTTCTGGTAGCAAGAACCTTGCGGTGTGAGTTTCCTGCTGGTGTCTCGGCAACTTCTTTCTTTTCGGTTTCGTACATAGCTGATAACTTGTTGGGCTTATCCAGCACATTTAAGCCCTGTGGCTTCGCTCTTCTAAAAGTTGGCGGCGGATCATTTTCCTGATCCCTGACTGAGGGTAGATGGGGTAGGGGTGGGACTTTGAATGCGGGCTGCTCTCTTGCACTGGATTCCCTGGAGGATTGTTCCGATGATGCAGGTGTGGACTTGGACTGTGATCCATATGATTTTGGGGAAGATGGTCTGGAAAAAGGACCTTCATTCCGTTCTGTGGTTGCAGGTCGATCCGGCCGTCGCCAGTCATTATCCTGTGGGGGGCTTGGGTCCGCCCATGATACCTTTGGTGATGATGGCTTTGCAATGTCTTGGGGTTGTGATTCAAGATTATCGTAATCGGGTTCCGCGGTTTCCCTCAAATCGTCATTGAGATGATAGTTATCTTCATTATTCTCTTCACTCTGGCGACGCAACACTCCTCTTCGAGCAGGTCCGTTGAGAAAGGTTCCGGTAAGTCGCCCGACTCGCTTGACCCTCAATGAGCTCTGCGGGCCAAAATCCTCCAAGTTACGCCCTCGTAGAGCTGAGGCAGTGCCGAATCGCGCTGCAGGGTCATCCTCATAATGTGATTTTCGATCACTATCAGACCGATCCGCGCTGCCGTACTCATCACCCGAGTTGCGTTCTAAAGAGCGGTTCAGGGACGGCGACAAGGACGATGGGGACCTTGTATCGCTGCGCGATGCATTAATTCGAACGCTCCGAGGTCGTGGAGCGGGAGTTTTGAAATTATCGGGACGGCTTTGCGCTTCCGGTTCGGCAACATGGTTGTTGGATAGCGGAGAGCTTTCACGGGAGAACCTAGAGGCACCGCCGATGCGAACCACCCTTGGTGCCGGGCTACCATTAGAGCTTTCGTGTGGCGATGAGTTCCGTGGTGATTGGCTGTGTTGTCTCAAGCCGCCCATCGCAGCAACACGACGCTCATATGCTGCATGTCCTTGTTGAAGATGAGGCGAGGATCCTAAACCATCTCCGTCCAAAAGTGCTTTAACGGATGCGCTGAATTTTGGCTCTGGAACTTCATCATCAGAGCTATCACCGGAGTAGTGTCGGGACAGAGATGATTTTGACTCTGTGTGCTGGAAGGCTGGGGAGACCCGTCTGGAACCGGGACGTGAAACCGCGGATCGGGACACCGGTCGGGATGGTTGTTGATACAGGTTGCTGTTGTATGCGGACGAAAGGGAATTCGGGGAGGCCATGGCGACTAGCGCACTACATTGAAGTCGGGAATCAATGCAGCCCTCGGCGACCCGATGTTGTCGAATGTCGAATTATGGATGTTTGTTGTTCTCAAAACGGGAAAGTCCAATTAATCTGATGTTCCATCGCGAGTGGGCGCGCCAATCTAGGTCACGTGTCTACTGGTTGTCATGGTGATCACCACAACAAAGAATGTCTCGATGGGTGTGTTCCTTTCAATTTCTACCCTTAGCCCTTGGTATTTACAAGATAGCATAAATCAAGTGATGTGTGATATATGCATTTTTTATGGGGGGACTTTGTCATACCAAAATTTATAAATATCATCGTTGGCGAGTGTAAACATTTGAAAATGAAGAATCAATGGATGCACGCTCTACGTAGCGATCTATGTCTACACTTAGCCCTGGAGCTAGATACTAGTAGTTATTTGAACCCAATTTTCCTACTCAATTTCACATATCAGCCTCACACTATATTGTAATTTTCTTGCTCAATAACTCAATCAAAGGTAACCAGAAGCTAGTAATTCGCAATGTTTAACATTACATTTGAAGATCGACATCGATTATATATATGCACCTGTGTATGTATCAATGTATGCAAGGTTTAGCCCTGGAGCATCCAGATGTCAACACAGTTTTGACGGACTGGTTACATATACACAATATATTCCAACATTCTGCCCTAATGTCATTTCCATCAATTGATATCAAAATGTTTTAGCGCTCAACATTTGAAGACATATGTAGCTTGACTTGAGCCTTCAATTTACAAATACCTATCAATACTATCAATTGATGTAATTGCCCATGTCGATATCCCCAGGTCTGGCACAATTGATTGATATACATTCGAAGGAACCTTGCATGCGGAAGTTACAACTTTTTGAATCCTGAACCAGTTGACCTCACCTGGGCAGATGTGAGCCTTGAAAATATGGAGGTCCTAGTACATAACATTACATATGCCCAAGCGTACATACACAACTTCCAAGATGGATCCTGCACATGCACATGTGTATTCCAAACATTGAACTGATAACATTTCTATTGATTTGAGTAACCGCCTTATTGATCGGAACATTTGAAATTTTTATGAGGAAACATGGGCCTGTACAGGCAGGATACGTATGCACCAAGCCGAAATCTGATTATTGTCACCTCGACACTTGCACTTGGCAATATTGCAACTAGCTATTTCAAATGTTGAGTCCTAGGTCGACCACCTCCCGAGAGTTCCTAATCTCCGCTCATCTAATTTAGCTCAGGACGAAAGAGGTATTCCTACTAGGTACCATCGTGAAACTTGTGGAATAGACCTGCCTTTGTGAACACAGGCATGTGTGCAAGGCATCTATTCAAACAATGCTCACAGAATAGACCGACCTCGGGAGTCAGCAAGCCACAAATCATCCCGAGGCTCTTATAGATTTGCTGGTGCCGTAATTACTAGATATCCCTGCCAGGTGAGAACAATCAGCATCCAGATGTCGGGACGAGGCTCTTTCCTTTGTCGCAGAAGCGCCACATGCATCCAGACATGTGAGTTCCAAGGTTCCTTTGCAAAGATGAATACCTATTCAGCCATTCTTGGCGGCGGCGATGCATGTCAGGGATGCTCACCAAGTCATGGGCCAACATTTGAAGAATCACACCTTTGAATCTTATTCCTGGGTAGATAAGGCAGACATTTGCATTCGGTAAACATACTTGGATTTAGAGTTCTTCATTTTCGAAAAATTAGCATTGAGAGCATGAGTTTCCATTTTAATAATCACGACGCAATTGAGGGCGAACTTGGTAAACAAATGAATTGCTTATCTCGGAGCTTTCCGTGGTTTAACAAAACCCAGTAATGCATGAATCCATGATTACATGACTCCGTGATTCCGTGTTTCCGTGATTCCACGGTGCCGAGGTATCAAAAACTCACTAGATCGCGTCCCAGCCCTGTAACTGTGTAAGGTAGAACACAGAATACGCAGCTGTCAACAACGTGAAATGATCGGAACATTTTAGAAAACGAAGCTATCGAGTTGGATTGCTCATGTTGTATTCTTCGACATTACGCATGCTATTCTGAAAACGACCAATAAAAACCCTCTACTCTACGAGTCCTTCTAAAATTATCAGAACGAGGTCTTGGAGGTACTAGCGTTGCATGGGAAGACGCAATCACCCTTTAGTGGCGCCAAGGCCAGGTTTCGATTGGGCCACCACCGGGTTCCTGCATGGATTCGAGTCCCTGTTTTGGGGAGATCTGAATTCTGGATTTCTCCCTTTGTCACGCAGATGTGAGATGGCAAGTCCTGATTCTTCCGCATGTGCGGTGACCCATTCCAAGGTCTAATTTGCCATGTGAGATGGATGCAATGCAATGCGATCCACCGCAAGCCCAAGGTTTGTATTTTGGAGCAACGAGGTCCATTGGCAACAATAGGCGAGATGCACATGTGAAATTTTTTTTTTTTCGATTTTCTCTCGGGAGATCGATCGGATTCTGCTTGAATGTCTCGGTTGAAGGGTCCATTTCTAGATTGGATCAGTTTCATGAAGCGTTTCCATAGTTTTGTACTTTTCCTGAAAAATGAGAGATCTGATGATAAGTAAGAAAATGGGTGTTCCCGAGGTCTCAGCCCCAGTGGTTCAGGGTCAACTTTTGCTCGGATGCTCGGATGAGGCGTTTCATAGAGTTAAAATGGTTGAACTAAAAAAACCGCCAATGTTTGGAAGCGAAATGCCAAATCAATAGATCAAAATGCAAATTCCAATGTGAATAGTGGCTTCAGTTTCTTCGAGTCGTAAGTGTATCCATATTCCATTGAACCATTGGAAGTCAAAATCAAAACAAAATAATAATAGAAGAGAAGAGATAATACAGGATTTCTCTTGATGTTCAACATCCGCCGGTTACCGACCGTGGATAATCAAAGCAAACATTGAATCAGTGATTCCAATCTTGAAATATACGTTTCATTGTAAATCCGACTTGTCGCAATTTGACTCAGCAACTGCAACGGGCTCTAAAAGTCGTTGGCTCAGAAACCTTAAGCTTGGGGGCTTAACATGGGCTTGAACTGAATATGGGGCTTTTTTAGAACTTTTGGGCTGAGACATGTTCGAACATGTACTATATCTCTTACTCCTATGCTCCATTCCAACCTAAGAAAAACAATACAAAAATAAACAAAAATAAACCAAGTAAATAGAAGCCAAAGTTAAAAGCTTTTTTAAGAAGCATCTGAACCATACAGAACATGAAACCTCGATCGCTTCATAGCTCAGGGTCGAGGTTCAACGAACCGGTTCCCCCTTCCGAAATGTGGTGATGGCGTAGCACTAGACACTAGCGTTGTTTGAGAACATTAGTTTGTGGAGTTCAAACTGCAGACAAGCTTAAAGGCTAGCAAACACAACTCCGCCTTTTCCGCTCAGAGGAGTTAGAAATCTTCCCTGCTCCGAGTGGTACTACTCCGTATGAAGTTAAGCCTAACCCTCGGCGTGTGGGACATCCAGAAGCCCCCTGGACCTTGGCGTTTCTTCTTAAAATCCCACGCTAGTGTGATCAGAATGCCAATTTTAGGAACAGCTTCAATACTCTTTCAAATTTAATTTATTTAACATTTGTGGATTTGCATAGCCTTGGATCCTCTTCAGGTTTTGCAACAACATGGCTACTGTACTTACTCCGTACTACGCCCTTTTACCCTAGCAGGTGGGGTAGCTTGAACTGCAGGGGAACCTCAACTATTGTTACAATCCCAGCCGTGGCGTGCATTAGTTTTGGTCACAACCTTGGAAACAACCCTGTTCCTGGGACTGAGGGGATTTTTCTTTTGCTGGGTCGACCAGTCTAGCCTTCGGACGTCGACCGTGGAGAATGGTCCCTGGAGGTTTCCACATCTAATGCATCTGTACATCTTTGCCACCTTTTAGCTTACATCTTTCCGAGATGTCACTGCACCTGCATATGGTATTTAGTCATGAAATCTGTTTTATCACACTGGGAAGTGGAGAGAAGAAAAATAAACAAGAAATCAAAAGAGAGGGGGAGGAAAACAGCAAAAGATCATCCATAGGCAACGAGTCACCGTACGCAACACCATACAGTAAGTCTATGGGGGTACATACGTCAACGGTCCTATAAGTACAGGATTATTTGAAATACAAAGAAATGAATATTGAGGTCAAGAGTCAATTGACTATACACCGTGCACGCCCTTTCATACCCCCCTAAGAGGATAAATGGTCACCCATTGAGTAATCTTGACCGAGTCAATGGTGTGTTGTGCATAAAGTACTTTTGGTTATGGATAGGTCTTTTTTCAGGTTTTCCAGTGGATTTGGCAAGTGTCCAAATGGTGGAATCCACATACTTCCTAAAAGCGTATAGATTGAGCTGTATGTTCCATGTCTAAACCCAGGGCTTGTAAGCCATATTGGGCGTAGTTGTAACCAGCCACTCGGAAGCCTTTGTCACCGAGTTACCCCTGCAGAGGTTCATTTGGTGGAAGAGTAAAAAATCCAAAAAAGAGGTCTGTGTATGAGACCCGACTGCTCCAAAAAAAAAAAAGGGGAGGTTGTTTTTTTTTTCCCATGCATCCAAATCAATTCTCGGGATATGGGTCAACCGTTGGTGGGTCGCGTGTGTCGTGACGATCTTTTCCCCTGGCTCACGAAAGCGGGCAAGGTGGGTGATGACCGAATGTTTGCCTAGGGATTTTCATTATGTTTACCTCGTTGAGATTTGCCGACCTCGCCCTCGTGCATTGGTGTATGTGCGAAACAGTTGCATCTCAACTACATAGAGAGAGATCTGCTGCAAATTCAATTACCCGACAACGTGTGGTGCGGTGATGGGTCAATTACCTTTCAAGGGCCCCATGAGCCCTCGGTGGGCCAACAGTTGGTATGCAAATCGAAGATTTGATCCGTAATCTGACACCTTTTCTGACGACCTTGCCACAGATGGACGGCACGAGTGGACACGGCTTTGTTTCCAGTCTGCCGGTGGATCCCCACTGGCGGTCATGGATCCACAGCTGCCCTGGAAGATCCAGGTCTGTCCGCCCCGTATCCGAGAGTCTAAGGGGTCACAGTTAGCTCCAAATGTGGACTAAGGCGTCGAGACCGGGGTAGCCCTCTTGGTGAAGCGTGGATCGAAGTTGAGAATGGACGGCTGGCTCCTGCCCAGGCCGATTTCCTGGCTCACAAGACGATCAGGGCCCAGGGGTATATAAAGATCGAGGATCGTCACCTCGATTGTCATTGCTTCATCAGTTCTTTCTTTTCAACCTTTACCCAGTCTATCGTTAATCACTTTCTTTGCAGACGGCTTTTTCTTACAAAGTCCGCCTTGCTACAATCGCTTTTTTCTATTCTTGTCTTTTTTTCTATAATTACGACAATCTTCTTGTATAAACACATCGCCATCGCGCCTATACACACACTCTTTCTCAACTGAAGATGCGTTCTTCAATTGCTTTGCTCGCCGGTCTGGCGGGCTCGTCCCTCGCCTACCCGGCTGAGATGTCTGTCGACCGTCGTACTTTCGGTCTCGTTGCCGAGATCCTTGGCTCCGTCGGCACCGAGGTTGGCACTATCATCGATACCGTTCTGGGTCTTGGTGTCAGCACATCTGACTCCGTTACCCTGCTCGCTGGCCTGAGTGCTCGCGGTGCCGCGGCTCTTGAGGGAGGTGCTCTTGGATGCAGCCACTCCATCATCCACGCTGGTGCTCGTGCTGAGCTGAAGACCTGGTTGTCCAGCCAGACCCACATCACAGGATCCCTCAAGACCTCGCTTCTGTCTTGGTGTGAGGGCTCCATCACCACTCTCGATGCTGGTGTCACTGCTGGCTTGGCCGTCTACATCCCCACTTGCGCCGACCTTGCCGCTAAGGAATCTATCTACGTTACCATCGACGGTATCTTCGAATCCACTGAGCTCGAGGCCACTCTTGTCCTCAGCGCCTCTGCTCAGACTTCTCTCACCACTTTCATCTCCGCCAACGTCGATCTCGATGTGGATGTTAAGGCCGGTCTCCACCTCTGTGCTGCTGGTGGTATCGTCGGCAGCTTGGGTGCTGATATCAAGGCTTCCCTGCTTGCTTGGATCCAGGGCTCTGACTGCGGTCTCGATGTCACCCTGAAGGCTTCCGTCCTTGCCTGGATCAAGGGTGAGGCTGGTGCTGACCTCGTTGCTATTGGCTCTATCTCCACCGATGCTCTTACCTCCCTGTCCGTTGGTGCCTCTGTTGAGGTTCTTGTCGAGGAGACTGGTATCCTCTCCACTGCTGCCCTTGCTTCCATTACCGCTTTCCTCGAGGCTGATGTCTCCGTTGACATTGATGTCAACATTCGTGCTGCCCTCAAGGCCTGTGCCGGTGGTAAGCTCGCTTCTTCTCTGGATGTTGAACTCCGCACTGCCCTCGCTGTCTGGTTGTCTGGCTCTAGCTGCTCTCTTGGTGTTGAACTCAAGGCTGTCATCCTGCTCTGGCTGTCCGTCGCTGTTACCGCCGAGGTCTCCGTTGACGTTGTCTCCGGTCTCCTTGTCGACATCACCTCTTTCCTGACTGAGGAGATCTTCGCTCTTCTCAGCGTCAACCTCCGTGGTGCTCTCTCCCTCCTCGCCGCCGGTGAGAGCCTGACTCTGCTTTCTTGGGAGGCTCGTGCCGAGCTCGCTGCCTTCCTCAGTGGCTGCACCACCATCGACATCAGCGTTTCCATCGAGGTCATCATCATTGAGTGGTTCACTGGCTGCAGCATCTCTGGCTCCGGCTCCGGCTCGTCTCCGTCCGGCTCTGCCTCCGTCCCCAGCCTGCCTTCCTCCACCGTCTCCATCCTCCCCAGTGTCCCCGCTGGCTCTAGCCCTGCTCCCTCCGGCTCTGTGCCCACTGGCTCCGGCTCTGTCTCTGTCTCCGTTGGCGGCCCTGCCCCCACTGGCCCCGCTGGCTCTGCCTCTGTGCCCTCCGGCTCTTCCCCTACCGGCTCTGGCTCTGCTCCTTCCGGTCCTGCTGGCTCTGGCTCCGTTCCCTCGGGTTCTTCCCCTACCGGCTCCGGCTCCTCTCCCTCTGGACCTGCTGGCTCCGGCTCAGTTCCCTCGGGCTCTTCCCCCACTGGCTCCGGCTCCTCTCCCTCTGGACCTGCTGGCTCCGGCTCCGGCTCCTCTCCTTCTGGCCCCGCCGGCACTGGCTCTGTCCCCTCTGGCCCTGCTGCCACTGGCCCCGCCGGCTCTGGATCTGTGCCTTCCGGCTCATCCCCCACTGGCTCCGGCTCTGCCCCCACTGGCCCCGCTGGCTCTGGCTCCGGCTCTTCTCCCTCCGGCTCTGCTGGCACTGGCTCTGGTTCTTCTCCCTCAGGCCCCGCCGGCTCGGGTGCTATGCCTACCGGCCCTGCTGCCACTGAGACTGCCACCCAGACCGGTGCTGTGACCACCCCCTGCGCTGGTGGTGCCGGTGCCACTGAGACCGTCAGCTACAGCACTGCCTTCACCGAGACCGTCACTGGCGGCGCCGGTGCCGGTGGCTCTGCCTACACCGAGACCTTCACCTACAGCACTGCTTACACCGAGACTGTCCGCTACACCGAGACCGTCTCCGTCTCTGCCCCCGCTGTCACCGCCGCTCCCTCCGGTGTCTCCCCCGAGGGCTCTGGCTCCGCCAGCACCGTCTGGGTCACCGTCACTGCCTGCGGATGCGAGTAAACGGATTCATTCAATCATCCACCATACAATACCCTCACGACGCCTGTCGTCTCTCTTCTACCATTTTCATTTTTTTTCTCCCTCTCATGACAAGACGACCTTGACCTCTTGAAGTGGTGTGGCCTGCAGATCTGTTTAAACTCTCCAGGGCCACGGTCAACAACATTCCCCTCACCCAGTCGGTGATTCGTTTCCTTGCCTTTGTCCTGCCTGTAGATATCTAATTCTAATTCTAATCTGCTTTTGGCGAATTGGTTCAACTGTTGGATAAGACTCTTGGCGGATTACGGCTCTGTTTTCTCGCCGAGCGAAGATCACTTGTTATTAAGATCTAAGATTTCCTTTCTTATTCCCCATCAATGGAGTACATTCCTTAACTTCTTGTGTATTTTTTGACCTTGCATTTTCTGATTCTTTTGGTTTTTTATGGTTATTTCATCCGGACTTGTAATGCAAAACGGAAAAGTTATTTCTTATACAGCAAACGAACTAGAAATTGAACATGCTTCTCATTCAAATCACTCTTTATGTTACTAGTCTGTAATGTCTGGTTGTTTCTCGAGCTTGAAGCAAAAGTCCATATAACATTGAAGGTTTCTTAATATTCCCAAGTCATAAATCCAAGATACTATCGTATGCAAGCTTGTTAATTGAAGTGAAGTTGTTAGCGACTAGCAAATGATTCATATTTCAATGTTAAAACACATCATAGCGAAAGACATTATTAAATTGCATCATGATAGACATCAAGAGAAAAGAAAATATGACAGAGCTATCTACCAACTCCTCCAAAATTCTTTCAAGCAGCCATCGGCAATTGTATACCGTTAGCTTCCTCCGTTGTGGCCGTCTTCTCTTCTACCTCACTCTGTATCACAACCTCCGGCTCGGGGTAAAACTCAATATTTCCACCCTCTTTGATAACCCCCGTACGATCCAAAAGACAACGAGCTCGCACATAGGGGTCAAGCTTCCAATAGTTTGCCGACAACTGCTCGATCACCAAGTCTCGGCGGTTACTCAAGGAAGAATCCTGGGAGCCCGTGACCCACTCCGCATTCATGTTGAACAAATCCCCAGCTAACGCCTCCCTCTCCTCCAAAATGACATCCCGAGTAGCCGTGTCACGCAGCCTCTCGTTCTCATTCGGTCTAGGCTCGATATAGTTGTTTTCCCAGTCCTCTGGACCGCCAAGCTCTTTGATTATGTGCTCCGCAGGGACGAGACCCGCCAGCTCTCCAGCGCCGGTGACAAAATGGACTTTCGAGGCGACGACCGGGTCGAGGAGGCCGCTGATGATTTTCCAGAAACCTGTGGCGTGTTAGGAGCTTGCACGTGGGAAGGAATGTGGATCCAGGATCGATAGACAAGAGTACGGACCAGAGAAGATCCATGGGGCGTTGTAGAAGATCATAGCGCCCAATGATTCGGGATAGTTTTCTTGAAACGAATCGATAATAAACTTCACGGGAGCCAGTTCCTGTCAAACGTTAGCTTGTCGGTGATTCAAAGCCTAAAATCAATAATGGAGCAATAGATCCACATACCCAGTTCGAGATGGAGAAGGCCGTCAAGTCGAAAACGATAGCCTAAAATCACCAATCACGGTTAGTCGATTTGAAGCTCGTTACCCACCGAAACCATTGAAGTCTAAGTATGAAAAACGGGTCCGCTAGAATCAAAAGAAAACACGGAGTTCGCGGGGCCAGAATGCTGATAGCCTGATAGCCGGCATTTCCAAGGTTCAAGATCGGTAAAAACGTACCATCGACTCCACAGGCGGGACCATTAGTAGCCGCACGATCTCAATCATTTGAATAATATAATCATTCAACCCCTTTGTCGTCTGCACACCAGGCTGATGCGTCCGCACCCGCACAATACAAATAGGACGTCCCTCCAGATCAATTCCGCGCAGATGTCCCTTCCCCGTCCGTGCCTGAAGCAAGAATCCCTCCCCATCTTTCTTCTCGATCGAATCCCCCTCCTTGTTGGAATTAACGAATGCGTATTCCTCACCCCTGGCCATCAGCTCATCAACTTTGTACCCATTTACGCGCCAGTCGAGCGTGCGCACCAGCTTGATCCACGCCTTGGGAACGTCCCATTTTTCCGCGCGCAGGAAACGTAGGCATAGAGCGTCGGGATGATCTTGTTTAAGCATTGACACGAGCGCAGCGCGCAGTTTGGCGCCTGGGAGCTGAGTGAGGATGGACTGGATAGCTCGGAGCTCCGTCACGCCTGCGCCCAGGCGTTTCAGGGATCCTAGAAGATTGGGCGGGATGGTAGATAGGAGGTCATCGTCCGTTGGCTCTGTGGGCGCGCGACTAAAGGAGAAGAACCGACGACGGGATTTTGTGTTTGTGACACTCGAATTGGCTACGGAGGTGGTATCATCTGCATTGAGTAGACTGGCATCCCATGATTGCTGCAGTATTTTCCAGAACTTTTGTAGTTTCTCTTCTTGGATTGGGGTGAGGTTTCCCACGTAGCCTTCTGGTATGGGGGTTGGGTCTGGCATTGGATTTGGCTTGGAGGAATATTTCAATATTTCAATATTTTACCGGGGATCGCACAAGCTCTTTATTGGGATGGAACTTGGTACTTATGTTACGGGCTTGGGCTTGGGCTTATTCTTTTCCTTTTGCTATGGCTTTGGACCCCAATCTTGTCCGTCATTTGCTTTTCTTATTTGCCCATGTGATCTCTCCTGCATGAGCCCCGCACGCGAAAGCCGAGGGCGATTCCGGAGAAAAGGTGGATCTGCATAGGTTCGTGACATCTGGATGGTATTTAATTAGATTAAGGGACCATTTGGCTTATAATTCACTTAGTTTATGGGAGTTGCTATATATGAAATTCTGCAGTTGCACGAGATCATATACATACAGTACTAATAGAAGCAGGGGCAATGTGACACAGGGGATTCATTTACTCCGTCAACCTGATCGCCCCCAATGCTCAGGCCCCGAATTCCAAATAGCTTTGCTTTTTCTCTGTTGATAATTGAGCCCATGTGAAGCCGAAAAAGATAATCTTGAAAGCACTCGGGTATTCCCGTAAAGCGGAGTAATGGTCATTAGTGGTCCCGTCAGGATTTCGCATGCACATTTGTAACATGATTGAACACTGGTACAATAAAATCGTCAAAGATATTAGATCACTGGAAGCTACTATTGAATAAACAACAGGATTCCAGCTTGAGTCCTTTCTTCTTGGTGTTGAATAGAACTGAATTCGCAAAAACGCCTACCGCTAAGTTGCATAGATTAATACATGCCATTTCAGTCGAGACAACACGAGACAACACGAGCAGTGGTTTAATACTGCAAAAAATTCCATGGGCTAAAAAATGCAAACAGATGCTCAAAAGCTCACAAAGTCCTCAGGTTATGGACTTGTCCACCCACCTCATTCAGCGCCCTTCATAATCTCACTCTCCAACTTCTCATCCCGCGGGGTTCCTTGGTCCTGAAGCGCAATTAATTCATGTAGCTCCACAGGCTCACCAGCAAGCTTTTGGTATTCCTCGTCAGAAACAGAGGATTGGAGTCTGCGATTGGCTGGAGGGTCAAAAGGTCAAAAGGTCCACTCAAAGTTTGCGGTGACCGCTGCGGTGTCTATGGAAGATGTTGCTCATTTGAACGATCATTCGGGTTTCTGCGTTGACGTCTGTAGTTAGGATCCATGGCGTCTCTTGGGTAATAGCTGTCATAGCGAGGAGAGCGACAGCGTGGGTAGGGATGATAGTAAGCCCAATCTGGAGGCGGAGGCGGAGGTGGAGGTGGACGGGAGTAGTATGGCCGGTTATGCATCCGATAGTATGGGCTCACGCCGGGGCCGAATCTGTGCCAAGGCCTTTCATTTCTTCTGAAAACTGGTGAGCGTGGGTCCTGGAAACTGGAGGAGTTGTATCGATCACCATAGTTGGGGCTGCGCCTTATTCCTCCACGGTTGCGCGAGTCGGGAGAGATGGGCCGATCGTAGGGTCGGGATGGTGATCGGGATCGGCGACGAGGGAGATCAGGAGATCGATCACGGCGGTTGCGTGGCTCGCGGGAAGTTGAACGACGAGGAGAGATGGGGGACCGGGATCGGGATCGGGATCGGGACCGAGATCGAGAAGGGGAACGAGTGCGACGGCGTCTGTTAGAGCTGGAGGGGACATAAGAGTCGAAATCACGGCGGGATGGGGTTTCACGGTATCGGTCACGGCTGCGGTTGCGAGGGGACCGAGATCGTCGGCGGTCAAAGTGGTCATCACGAGAACGGCCACCACCAGGGCCTCTCTGTCCTCGTCCATAATCTCCGCGGTTTCCACGGTTTCCACGTTCCCGGTTTCTGATATCACCTAGTTCTCGTTCCCGGGCGGCTTCTTCGTCTCTTTGTTGGCGAGCGGCCTCAGCAGCCTTCTCGGCTTCAAGCTACACATGAATAGCATCAGCGAAGCATTCGACCCGACTTTCAGGCTTAGACCTACCTTTTCTTGGATAAGTTCCAGTTTCTTCGCCTCGAGAAGTTCCTTTGGAACACCCTGTGGGTTCTCTTGACCACTCAGGCACAGTGACCACAGGTCTTGGCAGAACTTGGGCGTGTCTTTGTCAAGGAACCCGGTTAGTTGGATTTGAATTGCCTTGATATCAGGCTAATTGATTCACGAATGCCGTTAGTACTGCAGCACCAGTAAGGATAATCTGATACCCTGGGAAACATACGTAGCGAATGCCCTCGATTAAATTGAAGCAAAGCGCGATGACTACATCATCTTCATTGCCAAGGATTTCCGAGATTCGGCCAGAGATCCATCTACAGCCAGGGCGATTAGCAGTCGTCGCGATCAAAATCCGGGGAAGGGTGGACTAACTTCTTCATCACCTCAATATTGACTTTGTTCATGTCCACCTTGCGGCTGAACTCCGGAGGGAACTTGGTCTTCCGAAGAAGCTTTGCATCAACGGGAGAGGCCATGGTGGCTGGTTGTCAAGTGTGAGGTGTAAGAGTTGGAAACACAAGTGAAAGATAATGTTGTAAGGATACGCGCGCGTCTGGACGATCTAAGGCGGTCTGTAGCTAATTTGGCATTATCACTGTTCTAATCGCATGAAAGGCGGTCAGTTATTAATTAAGTGGTTGTACACTTTTTGTTTTCCCGCAAAAAACAGCAAAACTCGCTGACTTCAATGATATTCTCTCTATAAATTCTTATATAAATTTTTTTTCTGATCATGGTCAAGTCCTAAATACTAGTGATTAACGAATAAGTACTTCCTACTATAATTAGAAATTCTAGTATAGTTTTTGCTGGCAGAGTTGCACAACCTTGAAGTTAAGGCCATGTGAGAAAGATTGTTCAAGTTTGTTAGCAAAAGGGCCGCATCTCTATAGTAATTAATAGAAGTTACAATAAGATGACAGTGAATCCTGATCACCCCGTCTCTGCAGCCTCGCAAACTGCAACACTCAAGGCCCATTCCGACCTTAAAACTTCTGCTACAGTAATTCTTGACCACCAATCAGGGTGTAGCATTGCATAGATGACATTTCGGCAGCGCTATCAGTTCTCAAACCATTAGACACTTTTCTCTCTTTCAGCCTGTTTGCAAAACATGAAATATTTAGACTTACATTTCCTAGGACCTGTATATGACTATATCCATCAACCGTGAGACGACAGTTAAGGTACTCGGCAAAGGATTTTTCAGGATTGACTCTCTGAGCCTTATGCCAGAGAAGCCTCCCAGAAACTAGAGCCATGTAGAGTATACCACATGCCCATACATCACCTGCTCGAATATCGGAGCCATGGTGATGTGCATAGCTTTGACGGCGAGATTCACGCCTATCGGAAAACCTCTCCGGGGGAAGATAAGGATCACTTGACTCCGAGAGCTTTTTCCGAATACACATCTTTGGTTTGTAGTTAGAAGTTGGAGTCGAACCAAAGCTGGGTCCAGACTCGGAAGTAGAGGATTTGTGATTATTCCCATATAATAATTCAACCAATTCTCGAACTGATTCTTCGTCTTCCCCAAACCCACCTACCTTGACCGCGCCTTGAGACGTGAACTGTATATGTTCTGGCCTCAAGTCACCATGACCGATATCGTTCTCATGTAAGAATGCCACCGCACGAAAAATTTGAATACTCCAGCAGTTGATCTCTTCGGTCGAAATCTTTTCTTTTCGTGGACCTTCTTGGAAAAGAAAGGAGTGGAGGCTGCCGCCAGTACAGTATGGCATGACAAGGCAGAGGTTCTTTTGCTCATTGTAAAGGATGTCGATGATTGGGATGATATTCGGGTGACATAGGGCAGAAGAACGGCCTTGACTTCGGGGCGGGAATGGAGTCGTCGATTTGGCGTGGTGAAATACCTTGACAGCATAGAGTTCTTTCACAGTTTTAACTGTAGAAGCCCGTCGCAATTTGGTCAGCATACCGGGTTTCTGTGGAGACATCCCTGACGGTATGATCTGCTCAATTGGGGCTTTCTTTTCGTACAGCTGAACGGTATTGGAGTCGTCATAATAGAGAACTTTACTGAATTTGCCGTATTCTCCTGCAAATGATATGTCGGTTGCAGCGGTTGTAATGCGATTTTTCTCCATGAAACCTTGCGCCGGATTCGATTCAGCAGACGGGACAGTTGTAGAAAATTGACCTGATAAGGTCCTTCCCGAATTAGGACGAGCTTCACGTTCCGGGGACATCCATCCCCATCCAGTCAAGGTGTTGGTCAGGCCATCGAGTATGTGAGGACTCACAAAATCCCTCGTATCCCTGCCCTCGTCCCTTCTTGTGTGATGATGATGGGAGGATAAGGGACGAGAAGGTGATTGGACTTCCTCGAAGGGATTGTGCGGTTGGGCATTAAGGCTCTCCTTTGGCATTCTGTCGTTTTGTTCTGCATGCGATGACTATTTATCTGTTGGTTCTTAATCAGAGGCTGTTCAAATATTCTTGGGGTTACTTGTGAGCGTTGAGGAGAAGTGGTAGATGACGAAACGACCACATCACCTGACTTTTCACATGGCTGTGTAACGTGTTCAAGATCCTCGGGTCAACCAATGAATTGGTTGCAGCTTGCCGGGTGTGACTATAACCCACACCCAATCAATCCTGATTATTCATTTGCTGGAAGATCCGTGGAAAACAAAGAGAAGATCGGAAGATCAAGTGGGGGAACTTTGGAATAAGCTTCTATGTAGCGCCGGAATTCCCCGGATCGTCAACTGCCAAGACATGCTTACATCTTTCTAGGGAACCGAAATTGTAAAATATACTCGGTATAGTAGCTCGAGCCTAAATTGAATAGCACTTTTATAAGTCCATTTTTTTTGACTCTCTGATGGCAGATGTGATCCTTAGGAATTTGTGATTACGGGTCTATTCCTACGGGGAGTACCTGGCCTTGTAAATAATCTGTGACAAGGTAAGTCGATGTAAGAGAAAAGATTCCATTCAACAATAATATACTAGCAATATTGTTAATTAAGGCCGGGGAGAAAAGAGAGAGAGAAAAAAAAAACAACAAAAGGAAAGGTGAGCGTGTAAACATGTGACCCCCTCCCCTATAAAGCCTCAGTCTCATGCTTCATGACTCGAGTTCATGATAGAATCTAGTTTGTCCAAAACTTTTGTACCCAGTGTCCCTTCTCTGTCTGATCCCATTTCCCTAAATCAAAGTAACAGCTCCAAATTCAAGGGAATCATCCTGATGCTTCTGGTCTATATGTAGAACTTTTTACAGATCTCCTGGATCTATATAGAATAAAAGATCAGAGAAAGTCTTCAGTCTCACGACTTGTGAGCTGGGAGGTACTGTACATGGTAAATAACCCAGTCCCAAAAACTTTGTAGCTAGTCACTCTTCTCTCTCTGATCTTACCTCCCCTTAAATTAATCTTTCTTCGAAATTTCAGGGAATCGTTGAGCTGCTTCAGGTCTATATTTAAAGCCTTTTCGATCGACTTTTTTGATCCATAGGGAAGGAAAGATCAGGGAATGGCTTCATTCTCATGACTTATTTGTTGGGAACTGCTCTATACAGTCCAGGTGACTCCCATATTGAGCTCAAGCGACTCCTATACTGAACTGATCCTTGCGCGTGATTGGTCAATCCTAAGCGAGCTGGTTGATCTGGGGGACGCGTTCAGGGTCTTTCCTGGGGCATAAATGCCTCGCTTTCCCCCCCCTTCTCCTTCTTTTCTTTTTTCCCCTTCCCCAAGTTTCATCACTCTCAAGTCTTCTCTTCATACTTTCAAACTTCCATCTCACACTTCCATCTCACACTTCCATCTCACACTTCCATCTCACACTTCCATCTCACACTTCCATCTCACACTTCCATCTCACACTTCCATCTCACACTTCCATCTCACACTTCCATCTCACACTTCCATCTCACACTTCCATCTTCTATCTTCTATCTCATTCAAGTTCTTCCTTCTTACTTTGAACTTCCATCAATACATCTATACACCTTTGACATTTATCATGTCCATCTTTGAACAACCTCATGTCCTTCGACATGTATGTTCAATTTATCTTCCTCCACTTACCTCTTGTTCATACTTATGATGATATAGGTCTCTGAATGTTTTCTATCATTCACACCTTGGTCACCTTGACCAACACTCCACTTTGATCACTGATCAACACACATTCCCAACAAACTAACCTTGACGAGTTTCAAGTACATGGTATGCTTACAATGGATTATTTCGAGTTCCTTGTCTAACAATTCAGACTGCCCAAGTTCTTCCAGATGACCATCAGATGCTTCCACACCAATTCAGTTTGCTCCAAAACAAAACAAAAGACAAAAGATAAGAAGCAACAAAACAAAAAGCAAAAAGCAAAAAGCAAAAAGCAAAAAGCAAAAAGCAAAAAGCAAAAAGCAAAAAGCAAAAAGCAAAAAGCAAAAAGCAAAAAGCAAAAAGCAAAAAGCAAAAAGCAAAAAGCAAAAAGCAAAAAGCAAAAAGCAACAATTACAGAAAGCACTCTTCAGTCACAAAGCTTCAAACAATTCTTCGGCATCTCAGAACACAGTCTTTGAACTCGTCCATGGGACCTTCTCTCTCGGCTCGGGTCATCCTCTCTTTGAACAGGCATCACGTTTCTACGTGTCAGGACAAATTCATTGAGGGCTTGATGCCGAAAGCCGCCATTCAATTCCTCGCTCTCGCTCCACCTTGCCCATCTCCTCTGTGAACAGGCGTCACGTATCTACTACGTGTCAGGACAAATTCACTGAGGATTTGGTGCCTCAACTCGCCTCCGATCCGCGTCACGTATTTGCGTGTCAGGACAAATTCACTGAGGACTTGGTGCTCGCATGGTTTTCTCGATCTTTCTCTTCTGGCTCGGCTCATGTTTTCTCTGAACAGGCGTCACGTTTCTACGTGTCAGGACAAATTCATTGAAGGCATGATGCTTGGACTCTTCAAATATCTGTTTCACTCCATCATGGAGGCACAAGGCAACAAAGGAAATTTCGGGACTGGGCCAAAATGCCCATCTGGTCTCTCTGTGGTTGATCTCTACTACTTCCCATCAACTTGCTGATACATGTCGTTAATTTGACTTGATTTATTTGTGCTTCTTTCTCTGACATCTCCTCAATGTCTTCCGAAAGATTGGACATGATAATGCTGTTCTATTCTACAATGTACTTGTGTTTCGTAGCATTGCAGCTCGTTGTTTTCCGCTTTGCTATCTCAGTGAAATACAAGTTTCTTCCAACTCAAACAATCTGACATCGTAACCACATCTAGTATTTGGTTGTTAGCAATATTTGCTTTTTTCATGTTTAGTACCCAACGGTAAAGATCCTACTACCACATAGAGGCAACGACAATTAGATGATATCGGCAGATGAAGAAGCGTTGCTGATGTCGGTTAGCCGGGTATTTTGGTGTTGGTAAGCACGAGCGGCTTGGCTTTTGCCACGTCGTCCGCCAACAGTTCCACTCTACCTAGCAAAACTGCAATTCAACATAACCTCATCACCATCTGGCCATAATGAGGGGAATGCGCGTTTTTGAAAATGTGCAAAAACGCGCATTCCCTCACAATAAAGTCCAAACCAAACAGCAGTATAATTGGAAGGATAAAACAAGGGGCATCAGATTGGGTAAACAGACTATTCAACGAATCAGAGACTGCCATTGCTACAGTGAGATGGTGATGTGTGTGATACGACAACATAATTTGCTTATTCGATTTTCAATAGCCTTGCATGGATAATCTGTGGACTTGTACTTTTTCTTTGTCCCACGTATTGACAATTTCAAATGTTAAAAGATCTTACTCCTCTCGAAGGAACTTGGATATAATCAGAGATTCTCCGCTTCCGGTATGTGGAAGAGCAAGAGCTACTTGGATCGGGAATATGGATCGCTATCCACGAGCAACAACAATGACCTCCATTATGAGCTATATGGAGAACAACCACCACTAGAAACCATCTCCAGGCTATCGAACCAAGACGAGATTATAATCTACTACAGAAGAGATGTCGTTAAATTTTTGTTTGCGCTCTTGGGGTTGGCTTGCATGGCTATTCTGTTGGTGATTCTCTTCGCACTCAAACAAACGCACTCTCCGACCAGTCAATGATGTTCTTCACGAGGTGGGTTGGAATCGAATCCAGACTCGAATTCCTCGTTTCCTTGCACAAATTTGACTTTAAAAAAAGAGCGACTGACCGAAATACAGCCTTCGCAAATATTTTCCTTCATCCTGCCTGCACCATATTTTTATTTCACTACACTGCGTGAGCTTCGCAGATCTGGAGTTCTGGGGAATTTCTCTTGTTCCTCTATACATGTAACTATTTTCCTACCCGACTTTCCAACCATCTTTTTGCACATGAAATCGTTACCAGTTCTTATATGTTTATTACTCATCAACTACAATCACATACAGAGCGAGCTCTATACACTGTCCCACCGAAGAGACCCACCCAATGACTCGAATGATGCTGGAATCGGATGTATGGGGAGATAAAAGGAGCGGAGAATGTGGTCTTCAAATGTTGAAATTGACCTTTCCAAGACATTTCGCTTTCAACGAAACAACCTGTGTAATTAATTAATCGAGTTGTGTTTTGAATAGGGTTGATGTGTTGCACAGGGCCTGCTGGTATTGGAATACGGCATCCAATATGGAAGGATTGTCGGACAATACTTGATCGGGTAGTATTCACTTAGTAGTAGGTATGGCTGACGGTTGTATACCCCACACGGTGGCTTCCAAGCACTTGAGATTAAACATTGTGAGCCCTGCTACTATTCCAATTAAGAAACAGCATATATTGGATAACCCGCGTAGCCAATGAATGATGCCACATAACAGGCGACCATCAGCAATTTAAAGGTGATTAGCCCATCCTCGTCCAAAATGCGTCGGCAAAGGAAAAGTATTGAGCATAGCAGAGCACATAGTTATCTCACCACAAAAAGAAATGCCGCGAAACATCCTTTTCCTCACCAACAGCGAGCTCGGTCAAGCCAATGTGACCCTCGCGGTGGCCGAGGAATTCCTCGGCCGTAACGAATTTTCCGTCCACATCGCTTCCTTTGCACCGCTAGCACGGTTGGTAAGCGACTTGAATCAACGAATGTCTTGTCCCCAGTCGGCGAAATTCCACGAAATATATGGACCTTCCATGGAAGATCTGGCTGTCCGTAGCGAGGTCGGCTTGATGGACCACAAACCAGGGGTCGTGGGCGCGGTTCAGGGCTTTCAAAAGGTTCGTGTAGTGATGTCAAGTTGGACATCTTCAGAATATGGTAAGGCTTTCCAAAGCTGCGTGGATCTTTTAAATGAGCTTCGCCCTGCTGTGGTGGTGGTTGATCCAATCCTTCATGTTGGCTTGAATGCGTGCCAGAGCGTTGGATCTCGTGTCGCTGTGCTGTGGCCGGTTCCGCTTAAAGACGTGGTGATATTGAATCAGCCAAATGCAGCTTTTCTGTGGAAATACCCCATGTAAGAAAGATTCTTATTCGTCGTTACCCATGGAGGGTGTTGTTGTTGTTGTTGTTGTTGTTGTTGTTGTTGTTGATGATGATGGCGATTAAAATGCTCGAGGCCGCTGATTCACATACAGGACTGGATCTGGGTATTCATATCCCCTTCCTTGGACGCTGATACTTCCAAATATGTATTTGGCGCTTCGTGCGGCGCTGGCCTTGAGTACGAGGGACCCTGCTTCGGGAACGGGAGCCGTAGAGAAAGGCTCAAAGGAAGGGAGCCCATTTCCCTTGACAAATGCATATCAGAAGGACTCGCTGCATTTGACGCCCGCATTTCGAGAAATGGACTTCCCATTATATGTACCAGAGAATATTGTGAGTTGTGGGCCGATTCTCCGGTCTTATCAGTCACTTGAGGAAAAGGATCCTGAGATGGCAGCTTGGCTCACCAAGTCCACCATCCTTATCAGCCTTGGATCCCATGCGAAACCGACAGAAGATGTTGCTATTGAAATGGCAAAAGCCATTCAGAGGGTACTCGGTAATCATACTGATCATCAAGTATTATGGAAGCTACGATACGAGTGGAAGACCTCGGTAGCTTTTCAAAAGATTCTTGGGGCATTCCTAGATTCCGGATCTGTGAAAATAGTGCCTTGGATTCAAGCTGATATCATCACTGTTCTTGAAACTGGAAAAATTGCGGTATATGTTCATCATGGAGGTGCAAATTCATACTTTGAGGCATGCAAGTATGTAAACATGACCCGAAGCGCAGCCCACACACATGGAGAAATACCTCTTACTCATTAACGATCTGATTTATAGAGTGGGAGCTCCCCAGGTCATCCTCCCTCAGTGGCTTGACACATATGACTGTGCGACAAGAGTCGAGTGGTTGGGTATAGGAGTCCACGGAAGTCGCAAGGCAGCCCCCGGCATCAACGCCGCGGAATTTTCCCAGGCACTAGAGGCAATATTGCGCGATAAAACGATCCAGGCTAAGGCCGCCAATATGCGAGACGTTTGCAAAACGACGGAGGGGCGTATTTTAGCCCACGACAGAATTGCGGATTTCGCGCTTTGAGCAACTATACCGACCTTCATGCTAGCTCGGCCAGAACCTGCTCCACATCTTCACGAGACTTTTGCAGCGCACTGTCCACTTCGCCATCCGAGTGTCTTGATTTGAATTCGTAATGCAGCTTGACCAGTTCTTTGGCTCGTCGCAAATGATCCTGCTTATTGTTCAGTTGGGTGTCATGGGAGGCATTCACGGTTGAGCTGTTGCTTATTTCGGTCGCGCTGGTATCTGCGAGGGACTGATTTGCATTCACCAAGGAAAGGGCTTCGTTGTGGCCCTGAGCAGTGTTAGGTGGTTCTCGAGTTGGCAAGGGATCGGCGCGTGGAGGGGCAAATCCACTGTGGTAATCAGGGGACCAAGACCTCCAAGCTGCCAAAATAAGAGGTTTGAGAGCGCGAGACTTACACAGACCCGTAGAGATGTGATATCGGACAGTATTTCTGCGACCTGCATTGTGAATGGGGGTGATCTGATTGACCTTCTATGTTGAGGAACTTGAGTGTTCGGGGAACCGATGATGTTCGGGATTCGGGAAGAAATAAGGCATGTCTTGGCAGTGAAGTACAAAGATTATGCACCGTGATGTTACTATAGTCGGTTTTTTTTTTTTTTTTTGGAAATGAAGCTCTAGAATGTGCTTCCCTATTTATTGCCCAGATTTGATGAGATATGTTGCATTAATGATTTGAAGATGTCTAGAAAAGTCCCCGCACCTTATAAACATTATTGGCCTGCCCCTTTCTTGGGCCCATGATGAGTCTCGCCGGTGTGGCCATTAAGCGGTGAAAAAGACGTTCATGTGAGCCGTGGGGTAAATAGAAAACCCCCCGCCACGTTCCAGATTTCTCCTTTTCAATTACGTCTCGTTCAGCATTGCATAAAATGTCTTCGTCAGAACAATCGCTCCAGGCTAACCTTGCCTACGAGCCTCAAGTCCTCAAGTTCGGCACCAGTGGTCGACGTGGCTTGATCGTCGATCTGACCCAACTAGAGATTTACATCAACGTCCTTGGTGAAATCCGCTATCTCCAGTCGATTGCGCCCTCCGATGGAGGAATTACACGTGGCGACGACTTTTATTATGCCTACGACCTTCGTCCTAGTTCAATCAACTATGTTGAGCCAAACCGCGGCGGGCTTTGCCAGGCAGTTGAGAAGGCCCTGAAAGATGCGGGTATGCGCCCCATCAGCCTAGGCGCTATCCCCACACCAGCTCTCACACTTTTTGCACTACAAAGGGGCAAGGGAAGCATTATGGTCACAGGTAGCCATATTCCCTTCGATCGCAATGGCTACAAATTGAACACCTGCCAAGGAGAGCTGTTGAAGAAGGACGAGCAGCCTATCAACGAGTCTGTTGAGGTCGCCCGGAAAGAGCTTCTTGCCCAACCATTTGAGAAGTCTCTTTTCAATGAACAGGGCATGCTTCGGTCTGCCACCGTCACTCTTGAGACCCCAATCCCCGAGGGCAAGAGTGAATATATTCAACGCTACCTTGATTTCTTCAAGGGTGATACTCTCCAAGGCATGAAGCTACTGGTCTACCAACATTCTGCTGTTGGTCGCGATCTCATCGTAGAGCTCCTTGAGCTGCTTGGTGCCGAGGTCCTCCCTGCAGGCCGCAGTGAGACCTTTGTCCCCATCGACACCGAAGCCATTGACCAGGCTCAACTCGACACTGTCCAAAACTTGTCTGACAGCACAGGACAAACTTTTGATGCGGTCATTTCAACTGATGGCGATAGTGATCGTCCCCTTCTCCTGGCTCCAGAGGAGAACAAGCTCCGCTTCTTCAGCGGAGATCTCCTGGGCATGGTCGTCGCTGAATTCCTCGGTGCCGACGCAGTCGTCGTTCCCATCAGCACCAACGACGCTATCGACCGTGGCCCACTCGCCCCTGCTTTGGAGCCCAAGACCAGAATCGGAAGCCCCTACGTTATCGCCGGTATGCAGGATGCAGCTAAGAAGGGGCGCAAGCGCGTCCTAGGATGGGAAGCTAATGGTGGTTTCCTCACTGGCTCCGATATCGAACTCGATGGCCGAAAGCTCCCCGCTCTACCCACACGTGATGCCGTACTCCCCCTTCTATGTGTTCTCTTCGCCTCGCGCAAGAAGCAAACCAACATTCCTACTCTTTTCAAGTCATTGCCTGCCCGATTCAGTCGTGCCGCGGTGATTCGGAACTTCCCTCGGCCAACCAGCGCAAAGATCGTAGCGCGTCTTTCTCCCCTGAACAAACAACATCATCAGGTTGCATATTCTGAGGGGGCTTCCTCACCATTGGACTCGCAGGGTAATGACCTACCAATGTCCGTTGGTGATGCTAAGCACGTCATTCAGATCCGCCAGGAGCTTCAGCAGGTGTTCTCTGCCGAAGCTGGCTTCACGCCGCTCAAGCTGACGAACTACACCGATGGCGTTCGCATGACTTTTGAAAATGGCGATGTTGCGCACATGCGACCTTCAGGTAACGCTGATGAGCTGCGGATATACTCTGTTAGCGATACACAGGCTCGTGCAGATGAGATTTGTGAACAAGGGATTATGGAGCCTAATGGCTTGTTGAGGCAATTGGCAAGCTTGGTTTAGAATGTAGATTTCATACCATCTAAAAAGATCTTCAACAATATCACAAAGTTATGATTGAAAGCTTCCAACATTGCAAGGTTCCAGCCGTCAACGTTTAATTGAAGATGCATTAAAAAACCCCCTCTGGTTACTTCCAAGTTCCATCAAGATCACAACATCGCCAAGTCCACGGTTGCGTGCGCTTCTTTGAATCCTGGATGTTCTCTCTACTCCGTATCCTCACCCCATTTGACCTAAGGGCCTCCAGCTCCACGCCCGCCTCCAGCTCCACGACCGCGCCCAGCTCCAGGTCCGCCTCCTTTGCCTCGAGTGGGGCCAGGAGCTGGAGCAGGTAGAGGGGGACCAGGTGGAGGCCCCACAGGAACCGGAGCGGGTCCAGGTCCAATTCCATAGTAGCCGCCGGGGGGAAGTGGTGGTAAACCAACAGGTGGTAATAAGGGTGGCGGAGCAGGTCCACGGGGAACCGGGATGGGTGCCATAGGTATTGCAGCCATCCCTGCTGGCGGTCCTGGGCCGAACCAAGGTGGCGCGGTGAAAACTCCTGGACCAGCGGGTGCCAGGCCAACGGCAGGCCCTGGAGTTTGTCTGACCAAACTATGGTTCATGCCATTCCGTGGTGTTGTTGCAAGATCGAATCGTGGCAGTTTCATAGTTGCGCATGTCGACAAGACTAGCTCGCGCTGGAGATGATTGTCCGGCGCGGTTCCCATGTACAAAAGTGACCGCAGGGCCGGACCATCAAGGCGGGTTGCAGAAGGCTGATTTGGTGTATGGGGTGTGACTATGGCTTGGACTCTGGTCCATGGCATAAGTCTTCTTCTTCGAGCGTCCCCTCCGCGAACAGTAATCTCAAGCTCGATTACGGGGCGTACTTTAGTATCTCCTGTTACTCCCTTTATCGCCGAAGAGCCAAGACTTGGGATAGCCCGATATTGACCGTTAGCAGCATTGGCTCCCAAGAGGTTTCCAAAGGGTCCTAGAATTTCATTCAGGTCTTTTTGGTTGAGAATCATACATGAGGCTCCAGTATCCCAGAGAAAATCAAGTTCTGCATAGGATTGAATACCCGGCACTCGTACAGCCAACCGAATCTGATGTTCGAGGGATGGTTAATGATAAGAAAATTAACTAGGAACAAGGGGATAGTCATAAAATCTCACACAATTGAACCATGGGCGGTGCCGATCTCTTTGGTAAGTTATCTGAGGGTAGCATGGTATGGGCCCGGGAGTGAGAAGCTAGAGTAGCAAGTGTCAGGTGAGAAGGAGGCCACCTAGTGTAGAAGTATCAAATTTGGAAAGGAAAATTTACCCCTTCTACCCAAAAACTCCAAATTTCACCAGACGCTGAGGCGACACACTCGTATTCATCCCAGACGAAGGGCCTTGGGTGACAGAGCTGCTTCCCTTGCTGCCAATAGGTGACAAGGCCATCGTTCCAATCAAGCGCTTTCGTTCTATAGGCAAGCAAAATGGCATCAACTGTCACTACCTTGTCAGCAGCGTCTCTACTCTCAATCAAACCCTCACGGATTACTAAGAGATGTTTAATTCGTTGGAGAACATTCCAGTCGGTGATTCCAGCCTCGGTCTGGGAAATCTCCCTTAAAATAGAACGTTAGAATAGAAATCAGGAAAGATATCTCGATTGAAAACTTACTGGCGCATGCGACATTCCTCTTCCAATTCGGCCAATCTGCTCTTGAATATATCAGGTAGAATATTGTCGACGATTCTTTCCTTGCATCTCACTATCTGAGCCGAGAGATCCCTATCCAGAGTCAATCTCAGGACAGCAATTATGCGACACCCGCGAAATTTAACAATACTTACGATGGGTCAACATCATCATCATGCATAGTCCAGCCATCAGGCAGTTTCGAGTAATCTGTGAGCGGCACACGCCCAGCATGCTGCCATCTCTTTCTTTCAAGCTTTGTCGGTTTCGGTAGTTCCTCTTCATCTTCAAGCGGCTCTGGGGTCGGCGCGCCTACCCAGGTGAACCCAAGGCCCAGTTTGTTGATGTCAAGAATGTGACGTCTCGTGCCGTCCATAATATCTCCATAGGCCCACCGTTCGTTCTCCTCGGTCTGCCCCGTCTTCCTCTTTCTTTTGAGTGGCATTTTGGAGAGATCGCGGCAATGAAACTGCCGTGGTAATGTACCGCAACTCGAGATGCAAGGATAATTATGGAGAATTATTCGGAGAAAACCAGGCAGATTTTATAGAGTTGACCGTGCTAGGAGCCGAACAGGCCTCCATCTTAACAATAAAGATCCATTGGTCGAAACATTTCGTGGGAAAACTCGGCCATGGTAATTCAAGTGAAAGAATCGAGTTGAGATGCTTTCGGCTGGATATTTCTTCTTTGTTCCTCTTCTCCATCCAAGTTTGAAGGCCTTCACTAGCGTGAATTTAACGAGTAAAGAGATAGGAATGGCGCTAAAATCAAAGGATTGACGGTGACGAGTCATCCGGATTGGGGAAAGGTCACAAGGATATATGATCAAAGAATGTGCCCTTGACCTCAAAATTAAGAAACTTCAATTCCCGAGCTCAAGGCTCCGGAGGTCATGGGAGAAAAAAAAAAAAGGAAAGGAAAGGAAATGTTCCGTGCTAAGGAAAGAAAGGAACAAATAAATAAATGGCACAGATTATATCGTGTGAGGACGACGATTTCCCCTAGAGGCGTGAAGTTGGAACCCCCTCGCATGTCGGCAAAAAGATTGTTCAAAGCGAATCCCCGTTCCCTGGACATTGTAGGATTTGGATGCACACTTTGTGAGGATGTAAACCTGTAGTAATCAATACCGTATTATCTATCAGGCTTTCGCTTTTATTTGCATCTTCTTTCAAAGAATCAATAGCATCTCGGAGAAGAGAACGATGAAATCACCTTCTCCAAATATCAGCTAGATCCACCGCTACTGATCTGCAGTCTCAGACCAAAGCCAATCGTGGCCCGTGGGTAGTATGTATTAGAGAGTATTCATACACTGTTCAGCCCTGGAGTTGTCGTCAAATAAAGGCTCCGATGTTAAGATTGTGAGATTGTGACTTACACTGCATCCACTTATTTGATTCCTTCAAAAAAAAAATCGGGAATTCTGTCGAGGAAATGCATTTTCCATCTCTTCATTGCGAAGCGGTTGATATAGAGAGCGGGATAACTACTACATCTCCCGCTGTCTCCTGAGTCCCGCTAAATCCGCCTTAAACTTAAATAAGACTCGCCCTCTTTTGGCCTCATGTCAACATTTGAAGCAACTCCAGGGTTTGGGCAATGCTTCTAATGTCTCGGTCTTCTTAGGCATATTTTGACCAGAATGGTGCTTCATTGGGCCTTTCTACTTCTCTGCGATGTTTTGGAATATTGGTCTGATTGCATGCTCGTGGCTGACATCTGGACACATGCAGGGTTGATGATTTTGGCCATCATTCCCCTAGTTTGGTTACACTGGAAAGCTGGGCACTCGTAAAATGTTTTTTTTTTTTGGTAGTCAAATGCAAAGCTAAGGCCTAATGACATTGTGTAATATGTTCACCCTCGTCTGCCAACGAGCCGTATCCACCATATCATGCATGTAGCAGTATCCTTTCCTCTCTCCCGGATCCATAACACATCATGATAAGGCATATGTTTCGAAGAGAATAAAAACCTCGTTTCGTCCCTTACTCCTTCTCAGAGGCTGTCAGATCCTCCTCGTTGATAGGCTCGAGGAGTATAAATCGGCGCTGTCTCGTTCCATCCGGCAGCTGAACAGACCCATCATTGAACTGGTGCGCAAGTGCGTAGTCCTGCTTGAGGAAATACTTCTGTTCGTGGACGATGTAGAGGACTATATGCTCGAGCCAGACCCAATCGTAGGTTTCCTTCTTCAACCAGTGAGCAATTCGACGACGGAGGGTGTTGCTGTCCAGGCCTTTAAGGAAAATGTCAATGAAGTCGTGATTAGTGCCCGTCTCGAAAATGCGAGAGTCGCGACGGTGGGCTTTTATGAAAAGGAAGTAGCTGTCCAGGCTTCGTCCCTTCTGCTTCAAGCTCGATTCTCCATTGTTTTGCGCGTACATCTCTTCGTGTTTCTTGCCATCTTCACCTTCAGTATCATTTTCTGATTCATCTTTGATAGGCGTCGGAGATGACGAAGCCTCGACTTCAAGTTCGGGGGTCGGTTCTCTGTTGATCATCCTTTTGCATTGGTTGACGAAGCGGTTGATCTCAGTTAGGCAAATGTTCAATGGCACATGTTCTGTATTCACCTGTTGTTCGCATAGATCCACCCAATTCAAAGAGTTGGCAAAATGTTCTCTCAGGTCAGGTGCTTCAAAGTTGAAGCTTTCTTGGGGTCTACTCCTTTTGACAACCAAGATATCAGCCATGACTTCAACGGCGGACTCCATGGTCAGCAACAGCTGCCTGTTAACCTCGCTGATTTCAGTGATGATATGTAGTGCGTTGGTAAGCTGCGCGGTGAGATTCCCGTTTTGGCGGTCGAGCTCCCAACGCCAGAGCAAATGAGTTGGGTCCAGGCACACATGCATATAGTTTCGCGGTAGAAAGTGTGAAAAGGGAGGAGGTGGGGTGCTCGCCATTTTGATGGTTTGGAGTGAAACTCGGTGGTGCAGGCGAGAGAGTATGGGGAGGGGATGGGAAAGGTGAAGAGGAAGCTTGGTAAGAGGGGAAGAAAAAGGGCGAAGAACATCCAGGGCCTGGGTTATATGTATACATATACTCAAGCCGAGAGAATATTGGAACTGAAAAGGGAACAGCAAGAGGGAACAATAGGATGATGGGGAACCCTCAAGTGCTCAAATGTTCTCTATAGGACTCCCGAGTGCAATGTCCTGATTAGGCAAAAGAAAAAGAAGAGAGAGAATCACCTTGAATAGCATCATGGATAAGAATAGAATCTTGGATGAATACCAGTAGAATAGAATCATGAATAGGATCGACGGTTGATTTCTAATAACATCGCATTGTGAATACCATCTAGGAAATTAAACCATGAGGAAACAAGTCACATTTTGGCCCAATCTATTGATTAAGTACGGTAACAGAGACATCCTTAACCAACCTGAGCGAGCTAGATACAGAGGAAAACAGGAGAAAAAATGCGGGGGAAAATAGAAAAGCCGTGACAGCAAGAAAAAAAGGCACGAGCATGTCACATCTCCGTTAATTGCAGGGACATAGGAAAAAAAACCATAGCAGTGGCGCCGATGGCGGCCTGCGTCCATCAACTCTTTCATAATAGATAGGCTACTCGGCCAATCCATCGAGCCACTGCGGAGAGCGGGAATGATAAAACACAGAAAGCCACTTTTGACGCAGGTTCTGCGATCGTAAAAATCCGCATCAGGACATCAAGGGGTGAGAAGGGGGTTTATGGTGTTTAGATGAGGTCAGCAACGTTCATGGGCATCTCCTCAACCTGGGTGGAGTAGAACTGCTCAATCTCGCGGAGCATGCGAACATCGTCAGCGGTGACGAAGTTGATGGCAACACCCTTACGACCGAAACGACCACCACGACCGATACGGTGAATGTAGTTCTCACGGTTGGCGGGGAGATCGTAGTTGATGACCAGGGAAACCTGCTGGACATCGATACCACGGGCAAGCAAGTCAGTGGCGATCAGGACACGGGAAGAACCGGAACGGAACTCCTTCATGATAACATCACGCTGGCCCTGCTCCATGTCACCGTGCATGGCGGAGACGGTGAAGTCACGGGCAGTGAGCTTGTCGGTGAGCCAGTCGACCTTTCTGCGGGTGTTGCAGAAGATGACAGCCTGGGTGATGGTGACGGTCTCGTAGAGATCGGACAGAGTGTCGAGCTTCCAGTCCTCCTTCTCAACAGCGATGTAGAACTGCTTAATACCCTCAAGGGTAAGCTCCTGCTTCTTGACCAAGATACGGATGGGGTCACGCATGAACTTGGTGGTGACCTCAAGGACATCCTGGGGCATGGTAGCGGAGAGCAGGTTGACCTGGGTGGACTGGGGAAGGAGCTGGAAGATGTCGTAAATCTGCTCGGTGAAACCACGGGACAGCATCTCATCGGCCTCGTCGAGAATGAAGAGCTTCATGGTGGTGGTGAGGAGAACGCGACGCTGGATCATGTCGTGAACACGACCGGGGGTACCGACAACGACCTGAGGGCCCTCGCGGAGAGCGGTCATGTCCTCGCGGACGGGGGTACCACCGATACAGGCGTGGCAGGTGAGGTTCATGAAGTCACCAATGGCGACAACGACCTTCTGAATCTGCTGGGCCAACTCACGGGTGGGAGCAAGGATCAAAGCCTGGCAACCCTTAACCTCGGGGTCGATCTTCTGCAGGGCGGAGATGGAGAAGGTAGCGGTCTTTCCGGTACCGGACTGAGCCTGGGCGATAACATCGTTACCTGTAGAAAACAGAGTTAGACTGATGTCGCTCAAGGGATGAAGAATTTATAAATTTTGAGGATTGGGAAGAAACATACCCTTGATGATGGGCATGATGGCGCGCTGCTGAATAGCAGAGGGGCGCTCGAAACCGTAGGCGTAGATACCTAGAAATACCTCTCGTCAGTTAAATTTCCTTTTTTTTTTCGATGCCCCGCCGCCCACGAGGGGAAACGGGCATCGGAAAGTCAAAAATTCTTATTACATACCGCGGAGCAACTCAGGCTTGAGGTTCATGGCATCGAAGGAGTCGGTGATCTCATCGTAGTTGGACTCGATCATTCCTGTAAAGAGGAACGATTCAGGTTAGTCTTGTGCTTCATGGTTTTGTTGTCTGCCCTTTTTTTTTTCCCTTGTGTCGCCACCAAACAGTGTTCCCAGTGTGTGTAAAACCCACAAGAGGATTACCGCGAAGGGTCTCATTTAGGAGAATAAGAAAATCAGGGACAGAGGTATCACATACCCTCGGGAAGATCCTCAAGTCCCTTATCGTTCGACATATTGGGTGGTTGTTAGGGGTGGTGATCACAGACGACTTGTCGCTGCGATCTGGATGGTGGGGGTGAGAGGGTTTTTAGCGAACGTGCCCTGTGGGGTAGTGTTCGCGAGTGTTGGAAAAACTAGTATCTGAACTCTTCAAATATGAAGAGTTGACAGGTACTAGGTAAGGGTTGTAAAATAGGGTGGAAGTGGAAAGTCGTAAAAGACTGAAGTGGGAAGGGAAAAGAAGAAGAAAAAAAATCGACCAGCGGGAGTGCCTATTTGCTGTGACGGGTTTTTTTTTTTTTTTTTTTTTTCTCTTTTTTTTCTTTTTTCTCCCTTTTCCAGTCAGCGCACGGACCACAACATGAAAAAAAAAACTACATTCACCGCTTGCCACATGTGGGACCTTCCCATTTGAGAAGCGAGTAGTAGTCATTCAATTTCAGTTCAACGTTACTTTCTATATATTGTTCTTTAATTGTTGGTCTTTGTTCCTTGTGGGTCTTCCTCCTAAGAAACTCCATTCTGTCCCTGCTTGGTCATTCACTGGCAATTTAATTCATTCATCTTTGGTTGGGCTTTCCTAGTTGGGCTCTATCGCCAACTATTGGGCTTTATTACAAGAGCGCTCGGACGGGCAGAAAAAGAAAATCTTGAAGCCCTAAAGTCGCACCCGTGGGCCATGCCTGACATCACAACTCTAAGTCATCCACTTGCCCAAGAGGATCAAGGCATAGAGGTTATTCCAAGTCATCCTTTGGGCGTCAAGCCAAGTGGGAATGCTCTCCTAGCCACGTCAAACCTTCGCTCGGCAATCGGAACATGGCAATTGCTCCCCGATGAATTGATCCTGTTATTGTTGGAATGTATGGATGGGGCCAGTCTTCTGGCCTTTGGAAGGACATGCAAGGCTTTCTATGCATTCACCCGGGCAGAGGAACTATGGAAGGCTTTGTTTATTAGGTAAGTTTGAATCGAAGCATGTGTTTCGCCTCGGGACACCGAACATTGAATTCTGCCAAGATCTTTGATCTATATCTTGTGGCTGGTTCTGCCGGTCTCCACTTTTGAATATTGAAGGCGACAACAGCCCTGATTCCTGAACCACCTGAGCATGAAGAAAATCAACCAAAACTACTGAACATGTCGAATCATTGCTAACATTGTATGACAACATCATTAGTTGTTCTCCAGAGTCATTCACTTGGCGAGGAACATGGCGATCAACTTATTTGAATCTGCCAGCCTCCAAAGTCCCCATCGTGGATTGTTCTAACCTTTACTCTGATGCTCTATACCGACCATTCAATTGCGCGCATATTTTGATGGACCCCTATGTCTCCAAGATCCCGACGCGCAATCAAATTCCACGTCTACCCGACTTGTCACCGGAAGAGTTCCACGAAAAATGGGCTGACCGCCCATTCATCCTAACCGAGCCTGTCAAAGCCTGGCCGGTCTACAAGAACTGGACGGTTGGCCACCTGCTCTCCAAGTACGGATCGGAAAAATTCCGTGCAGAAGCAGTTGACTGGGTCCTTCGCACTTATGGCGACTACATGGCTGATAATGTGGATGAAAGTCCCCTTTATCTATTTGACCGGAACTTTGTCTCCAAGATGGGCCTGGCAGTTGGTCAACCTGATGAGACCCCCGATGCAGCCTACTGGCCACCGTCATGCTTCGCGGAAGATCTTTTCTCAGTGTTCGGGAATGAGCGCCCGGACCGTCAGTGGTTGATCGTGGGACCAGAGCGGTCGGGCAGTAAATTTCATAAAGATCCGAACGCCACCAGTGCTTGGAATGCAGTGCTCAGGGGTCCAAAGTATTGGATTATGTTCCCGTCTGGCGATAGGCAGGATCCACCGCCCGGCGTCTTTGTCTCGGATGACCAGAGCGAGGTTACCTCGCCGCTTAGCATCGCCGAATGGCTCCTGACATTCCACGCGGAGGCGCGACGAACGGCCGGCTGCATGGAAGGAATTTGTGGCGAAGGCGAGATCTTACATGTCCCGTCTGGATGGTGGCATTTGGTTGTCAATTTGGAACCCTCTATCGCCATTACTCAGAACTTCATGCCTCGCTCGCACCTTGTCGCTGCGCTGGACTTCCTCTCCAACAAAGCTGATCAAGTCTCCGGATTCAAGAAGAATGTCGAGAATCCGTACCAAAAGTTTATTGACGGCATGCAAGACGCATACCCTGAACTTTTACAGGAGGCCCAAGAAGAGCTACAAAGGAAAGCGGAAGGGAAGAAGCGCAAGTGGGACGATATTGTTCATGGAAAACCAGAGGAGTCCCAAGATCAAGAGGCTGGAGGATTTAGCTTTGGATTTGGAGACGATGGGAGTGACGTTGAAGTCCCATAACCTGCAATGTCGAAAAGAGGGGAGGTCTCATTCCCATGATAACGACCATATAAAAACGTTGATAATCAATCATCTCATAGCAACCGATGCGAAATAAAAAGGAAATTACGGATTCATGCTGAGTGAGCCAAGTCCCGATCATACAACTCAAACACCGGGATAAGCCCGTTTCTTAGTGACAGGCAACCGACTTGGCAGCCGGGGTGCCGTCAGCGAACGCCAGGTATCCCACAAAAGCGCCCACAGCAACGGCAATCATAACGGAGCCGTTATAGGTCATGAAGAGAAGCCTTCGACAGAAAACAGCAAATAAGCATCCATCAACTAAGTCAGAGCAAGGGGATCACTCACATGATGAAGAAACTATAGAAGACCTGGATGGCATATAACGCAGCCATAGTCAGCTTTCCTTGGCGCACAATGGCAGCCTGATTGTCCCTTCCTACAAGCAGTGGTGAGCGCTCGTCGTTGTTAATTGGGAGACACGCGCTCTCGGAGACGACGTTGGTGAAGGAGGGGTCGGTGATGCCACCATCTGAAGAGCAAGACATCAATGAGAGCTCGCTCAAGCAGGAGTGGGGAAAGGGGGTCCGGTGTTCATGCAACGCCCAAGCTCAACCTCGATCTTAAATCACCAATGCCAACGCCATATCACCCACGCAATAACCATCAGAGAGTCTATGTTTGGGGGTCGCAATTTCTAGGAGAAATAAAACCTACCTCCTGTGGACGATACCGCTGTAAAGGCATTGAGGCGGCGGGCATGTGCAGCCTCATATTTGCGAGTAATCTGGCGTACCCCTTCGTAACCCGCGGTGAGGAGGACGATAAGGATGAGCGAGAGGAGGAAGGAGACCGGGCCTGTAATGCGCCACTGGCGGAAGATGATGCAAAGATTATCAGAAGACCATGTGAATATCATCTAGCTCAGAAAGAAGCTCAGTTAATACTCATTTCATGCGACTTGTCAAAAGCCCAAGACTTACGTTCATACTGCATTGCCCGCCCATATCCATATCGCCGTGTCCGTGATCCATGTGCGAATGATCCATAATGAAAAGTAGGCAACAGATAACCCGAGAAGCAAAAAGGGCAGTATTTAGTAAGTTTGAGATAAGAAAGAAAGATCAAAAGCCCCTGAGTAAAGTACCACGACGAAACAAGGGACCGTACGACTACTACACAGTCGGAAAGTAAACATGACAAGTGATGCGGGATTCGTAAGATGATACCATCAACGTGCAAACAGAACAAACACCCCGATAAGCTCTCGGATCCGAACCGCCTCAACTCTCCAATTCAAGCCAATCCAATCCAATCCCGCATTGGTCGCTGTTCCGCGTCTCGACCCAGCTCTCACTTTTCTCGCTTGCATGATACGCGCAAGTGATAATTCTTGCTAGTGACTCTTCCCAACTTTCCCCTTTCACATCATGGCGGACACCGCCTCCGCCACGACGGCAGCGCCCGCAACCGGCGCGCCCGCGGTGACAGCAGGCGGCGCAACAGCAGGGGCCCCAAATGCGCCTGGCGACCAGAATGCCGCGAGTCGCGGACTGCCATACTACGAGAAACTGCGAAGGGAGCTCAGGGACACGTTAGCCCGTAAGCGGGCGATGGACAGGAGCATGGTGAGTGAATGGACTTTCAGTGGCGCGTCATTTTTTGTCGTTCTGGCGGCGAGCTTTGCAGCAGCTCAGCTCCCAATGGGCGGCTCCAAAGTGAGCGATCATTGACGGGCAGCTGTTACTTTTATTGATCTAGAAGGAATTCATCTCATTCTCATGGCATGATCACAAACTGATGACTGCGAAACATCCAGGGCCAACTCGAAGATCAAATCTATCGGTTCGAGCAAACGTATCTGGAGGAGACGACCGCCGGCAACATTATCAAGGGCTTCGACAACTATATCAAGGGATCGGCCAATGCCTCCAGCCTTGGCGCTTCAGGGCTAAGTCTTGGATCGAATGTCGGTGGACGCCGCAAAGCACAAGTCACAGATTCAGATCGGGTTTTCTCGAGGAGTTCAGCAAGCTACGCGCTGGTATGTTGGGGAGCTTACGACATGATCAACTCAAAACTTGGTGGATCATTTTGCTAACAGGGATCTTAAATAGGACTCGCCTGGCCCTTCCTCCGTACAAACTACACCATCGCATGCGGCTACCCCTACGTCTACTGCTGGGGGCAATGCACCTTCAACCAAAAGCAATGGAGGCGATGCGTCCGTGTCTGCTAAGAATGCATCAGTCTCTTCGAAAAACAAGAAGAAGTCTGGTGGTGGGTCGAAGAACACCAAGGGGAAGAACCAGACGGATGATCTGTCTGACGATGGAGATAAGCCGCCCGTTAAGCGGTTGAAGATCAGCTATGGGCGGGATTAGATTTTGCTATTGATTATGATTTTAGGTTTGGAGTTTTGGAGGCGTTGTTCTGCGATGTTTTAAACGGGTGAATAAAGCCCATGGCGCAGGGCAAAAAGGTCGCTTTCCATTGCGCATCATGTACATCACGAACGATTAAGAAAGACTACAGTGTGTTACTAAATACCATATTAGTTATCGGGGGTATGGAATAGGAAATTTGGAGTATCAAGATACACAGAAAAGCTATTTCACTAAACCCATTCAAGCAATACAAGAAAGAGGATTGCGAGTCCATCAAAGCTGCAATCGGAAAGTAGCGATCTCAAATGCCCTTAGCGTAATGACCACCTCAACGCCATCGCTCGTGTTCTTGATTTGCAATTCCTCCTCGTCATCCTCGAGCACATTGCATTTCCAGACGCGCTTCACGGGCAAGGTGCTCAGAATGAAACCCCGAGCTTTGCCACCAAGGGACTCATAAGCACGCAAAACGATACTCTTTCCACGACGGACGGGGATCCCACTTCCAGTCGATACATCCTCATCATCTTCACCACGCTTGACAGCATCCAGGATCACAGAGGGTGCGCCCTGGATTGAGACGGCCTTGAAGTCAACGTTTCGTGCTGCGCGAGAACTAACTTCCTCAATGGCAAGCGGATGATTGAAGTTGTAACCGGCACGAATAGTCCGGTCATCAAGTGCACCGGAGTGAGGAAGAATAGCATAGCGAATACGGTGACGACCCATATCCGCATGGGCATCTGGGGCTTTGGGGGCACGGAGAAGCGAAAGGCGCATGAGACTGCCACATGTAGCAAACCCATACTTGGAGTCATTGAGGACCGAAACGCCATATCCGTTCTCAGAGAGATCAGCCCACTTGTGGCAGCAGACTTCAAACTTGGCCATGTCCCAGCTATGTAGTAGGTCAATATCGAGTTCTTTCATAATCTGTAAACGGGGCATACCTTGTGTTATAGTGGGTCGGACGACGGATGATGCCATATTGAGTTTCATAGGAGGCCTCAGTGTTGGTGATATCCACAGGGAACTCAACCTTGAGGAACTTCATGGTCTCCCGCCACTCAACTTCGCTTTCAAATTCAACATATGAGGGCTCGGAGGACACCGACGCTGAAAGGCTAATAGTTGTCTTGATCCAGCTGTTCTCGCTAATCTTGGTCTCGGTCACTAGGCTTACTCGGTGGGGATTGTTCTCCGCAATGACTGTCTTTCCAGGAGCAAGCTCTTTGCGTGACTCGAGGTGGAAGACCTCGACATCCCAAGCCTGCCAGTACAATGGCTTGTCATCGAATATAACGAGCTGACCAGCCTTCCCTCCCTTTGAGATGACTTCTCTGTTAGCCGCAATATCAAATAAGGAGGTAATGACACCGTCCTGAACTTCAACTTTAAGGTTGCCATTCTCAAGACGGAAAGCTCCAGGTTGGGTTTCTGTCACGGTAACTGAATTGCTGGTCTTGAAATCAACTTGTTGGCAGTCAATTACACCCGTCGAACCATTGACGAGTGCATACTCAGAGACATTCTTGGCAGTTAGAGATTGGGGAATCTTGACCACCTCCGACCGAGGCCAAGGCAATGTGTTTATAGCCACCAAAGCTGATTTATCACCAACGGGACTAGTGATTCCTAAGGCTGCTAGGGCATCTTGACGTAACTGGGTCCCAATCTTGAAAACCTCGGCGTAAAGCTTGTCGGAGTCATCGTAGCACATCTCAATTGAGCTACCAGGCAGACAGTCATGGAATTGGCAAAGAAGGGTATTTTCCCACATTTCATCAATCTCCTTCTTCGGGTACCGGTATTTCCCATCGGAGCTTTGGATGGTAGTAGCCAATGTAGACAAAAATTCAATCTCACGGAGCAAGAATTCAGACTTCCTGTTGTTACGCTTATTGTTCGCCTGGGTAGTATATGTACCTCGGTGGAGCTCGAAATATAGTTCCCCGTACCACGTCGCGAATTCGGTACCACTGGCAGCAGCGGCCTCAAGCTTGTCAAAGAAGTCGTCGACAGACTCTCCCATCTTGACCCGAGGAAGAGTACCAGTCTTGTCACTTAGACCGCGGCAACGACGGAGCTTCTCAAGATGTTCGAATGTGGGTCCACCACCGCCATCTCCCTTGCCAAATACAAGTAGGGAGGACTTATCAGCGTCCAGTGATTTATGCTGCGTAATACTCCGCTTAAGATCACCAAAGTGAGCTTCAGCGGTATATGTCTCTGCAGGAGCCATATGGCACATCACTTGACTGCCATCCAATGCAACCCACTGAAAAGTGGTATGAGGGAAAGTGTTAATGTTGTTCCAACTTAGCTTTTGGGTAAAGAAGCGACTCATTCCGGCAAGGCGGCAAATCTGGGGAATTTGGGTTGAGTAGCCAAATGTATCGGGCAACCAAAATGTCGTGGATCTTTTTCCGAAGTGACTCTCGAAAAATCGTTGGCCATAAAGGAATTGTCTGACCAAAGACTCCCCACTAGGCATATTGGTGTCATGTTCAACCCAGCTACCTCCGATTGGCTGGAAATGACCTTTGCGTACCCATCGCTTCACACGATCAAATACCGAGGGATAATATTGTTGCAGCCATTTGAATTGCTGGGCCTGCGAACATGTAAATCGGTGTTCTGGGTACCGATCCATCAAGTCGCATTGGTTAGACCAAGAGCGAGCAACCTTTCTCTTTGTCTCTGCCCAGGGCCACAACCAGCAGGTATCAATGTGGCAATGTCCAATAGCATACACAAAAGGGTTTGTATCTGGTTTGTAGACATCCGAGGAGTCAACCTTGTCACCGAGATACTTTTGGGCGATTTTTCTACCCTCGAGAATAGACTCTTGGCTTCCATTGCCTGCGGTGAAAACATCGATAATGGCATTCCCGACAACATTTGCCTCGTGTGCCTCCCAAGAGTCCCCAGGGAACTCGCGAGCAGCATCGCCAATAATCCAAAAATCATAGAAAAGCGCCCGTGCCGCCAAATTGACAGCGGTAATCCGTGCTGTATGGAGCTGATACGACTTGTCCGGTCTCGGCGGTTGGATCGAGTCGCCCCCGGGCGCATTTCCAAACATTCCATTACAAGCCATTTCAATATAAAAGGTGTGCTCCTTTCCATCACGCCACGCATCAGGGATAATCCATTCGGTACGTTCGCCGCCACCGGTAAGACCTTGCAACGGGTGGCCATCCTCGGTCCATACTAGTCCCTCATTGTTGGCATCCCAGTGGAACTCCAGCCGTTCCTTCTTTCGCATTTCCTCGGGCACGGTCAATTTGATCCGGAACCAATGTGTAGACCAACTGGGTCCAAAGGATTCTCCGGTATGGGTAGGCTTAAATTCCTGCGAGGTTGCTTCCTTGAAGGTTGGTCGTTCGAGGTTGGGGACAGAATATACCGATAGCTTGACATGATCGTCGTCCGAATTGGTTGCTTCAAACAGTTTGGAGAGAAGATTCTGACCTTCATACTGGCCTTTGTCTGTGAACTGCTTAAGTCGGTCGGTGTAGATCTTCGTGATCCGCTGGCCGACCGGGCGCTCCGCTAACACTGGGAGGGTCTTCGTAGCAGGAGTGGGGGTGAGATGAGGTTCTCCACCCATGTTGACGATCGTCTTTTCCAACGTGGTTCAGATAGAAAGTGTTTTTATCCCAGAGGAAGAGATAATCTGTGCAGCGAGATGTTGGGTCAAGTGGTGAAACCAAAGGGAGGAGCTGCGTTCTAAATGCGGAGGCATGACGGAATGTGGAGTAAGGCACGGCGGGGAAAGATCATCCAAGTTACATCCACTTCATATCCACACAGTACGGAATCTGGATACATCAATCATGTTCTGTATACATCCAACAAATTATATCAATATTTGAACATGTTCGTGATATAGAGAATTAAACTATCCAATGTAAGTAGCATATTTCCCAAACTCTTCATCTGCCCTTAACCGGCCCCAATCCTCCTCACGAACGCAAACTGCAACGGCCATGTCCCCCTGTGGCGACTTTGGCATAATGTATAGCAGACTTTCAAACGGCATAAATGCTGGCCTCCGTACCGACTCTGGTGTTCCCAGTCCGAGGTTAAAATCAAAATCATAGCACTTTATCCGGGCCCATGAGCTAAGCGCAATCCCCGTCAGTAATTCTACACTCGCAAGAAAAGACACCTTCGTCTTATCTGGAGATCTGGTGAGATATGTCGCAAGAGCGCGGGTATTGTATGCCAAATCCCGCACTTTAGGGTCCAGTTGTCTTCGAAATTCTGACGCGATGGCTCCCAATGGTTGTTCGACAAGATCTTGAAGGGTACTCGAATTGTATGCCATGCTCTGCAACATTCCAGGATATGTTGTAGGCACTCCCAATCGTTCTCGGACATCGACAGCGCGGGCAAATGTTGATTTAGTGGTCGAATCCAATCGTTGGACTCGAGCACGAGACACACATTTCCACATGAATGCACACACAGTGTCATCGGTAGAAACGAATCCAGATGGCACAGTCCTGGAGTTTGTTGCCGAAGATTTAAGAGTTTGTAGCGCGCCTGGTGAAAAGTTCACGTACGCCCATTTCAATTTCACAGGATGTAGACCAGAGACATCAGGCATGTTATTGGATGGAGGCTTAATGGTTTGTTCATCCAGCTCAGGACCAGGTGTATAATCTTCGTCTAATAGGGTGATTGTTTTGGTTCGATCCATGTTACCGATGGATACCTCTTCTGCTGTGAATGGGATTCCGTGACAGGCTTTTGACATCCACCGAATAATATTATCTTGGCCGGTCATGTCCATAACATTGTGTTGCCCGACAATGGTAAGCATGAGGCCACCGGTGATGAAATTGGCTTGGACGGCGAAAACTGGGGCAGACTCAGCTGCCAATCCGACGGTATTTCCCGGGAGATTGATGGTCAGACATGGTGCTATAATACTCTCTTCAAGCATCGACATCGGGAATTTGGATTTTCGTAGAGTGTCCATTGTTGGCGCAGAATTGTCCAGACAGAGATCCTTGACGATAAGAGGAATCGTTTCTGAAGGAATAATTCGATAGATGCCGGTATTACCGGCACTGGATCCCTCATTAATAACCTCACCAGCAAGCCACGGGAAGGTCTTTGCCAGTCTATCAAGTCCGTATCTCAAGGTATTGACAATAGTATCATGAACGGATGGGTCAGACATTGGGTAGACACAGCATATCTGGGTATAGAGCCTGTGCATGCCCGGCTGTTGGCCCAGCACGTCGAGAACGTCATATTCTAATATGATGGTCTTCATGATTTGGTTCAGAATGAAATCCTTATGCTGCTGCTTTCGCGGAACACGTCTGTCTATATGTAAGCAGAGACACATAGTTAGGCGGGACCTAGTTATGGACATACAAACATTGTCGGTTTGATGTGGGTCTTTGGTGAGTGGGTTGGGCCCACTTTGTCAGCTTTAGCCTTTCCGTTTAGCCTTGAGTCGACGTGAGTCAAGGTGAGTCGAAAGTGGGGGCTCCAAAAAAAAAAAAAAAAGACAAAAAGAAATGATAAGAGTGGGATTTGAACCCACGCCTACAAACGTAGACCAGGAATTAATGTCAAGGTGAACCTTAACCTGGCGCCTTAGACCAACTCGGCCATCTTACCAATTGATGGGATTAGCTGATGTTTTTGGCGTCATAAAGTTTACAAAAGCCCATTGAGATAGAATCGATCCGGAAATTGAAAATTCACGAGGTTCAAAGTTGGATGGTAACAAAGTTGCAAAAAGAAAGGTTCAGGTGTACATTGAGTTTAAAGTAAGAATAAAACTACCCACATAGGCAGCACCTATCAATTCCGTTGGAACTCTCCAGTGAGCTGAGAAAATGCACTGGAATTTCCAACACTCAATGTTTGAAGCTGATATATACTAGTAGCGATACTAGTAGCGAGGCGCGACTAAGTGACTCTCCAGTATAAACTAAGTACTTAATATGAGTACCTACTCGGTACTTCCATGTCAATGTTGAGATAGCACTGTATTGTACTCACTAGGTACTTAGTTTCATATCTTAATTTTCCTTCAAATGTTTGAACCAAGATGATCCAGACCCACGACATCAGGTTTCAAACCTCAGTATTTAAAATATGTATCAAGGTAGGCGAGATATTATTATGATCGGGTCCAGAATAACGAGAAAAAAAATTCCGCAAAAAGAAACCCCAAGGTAATGCCTACAAGCATGCTAATCTTAGGTTCCAAGGTCAGAATGCACATATTAACCTCCAGCGCTGGCCTGAAGCAGCACAGGTTTCTCTAGGGAATAGCTTTGACTACACTCATCTACGCAGATCCTTGAGGGCTGTATCTAAATTTACTACCTACTAGGTAGTACCACCACCTAATAGTACATACTTGACTCCGCATATTGCCCAAACATAATATTTGGAGAATTCGACAAGCCAGATCCACAATACAAGCTCCAAATATACCATTGAATATCATGCCAAGCTCCGGTGGCAAAAGCTAAAGAACTAGAGAGAATTTCCTCGACATGCACCCGTACATCAGTGAAAGGTATGGACATATTGACCCGTGCGTGGATGTGCCTGCAAGTAATTGGATATTTGAAGTCCAGTATTTCAGCTCCGGCATCTAAAATTAACTAAGTTATTTAGCTAGATAAAACCTTGGAACTCCTACAAGTAAGCAGCGAGCCTCACTGTAAACTGGCCAGGTAAACCCTGTGCGTGGACAAAATCCACATTCCAAGCAATATATCGCCCCCAAAAACCCACAAGCCTCTACTGTAGATCTTTTGAACTCCAGAAACCACCATTATCCAATCTGATGGGTTAAGGATGTTAAACAACGTGGATGCAAATGAGGCAAGATCTTCGAATCTGGGAAATCTTATAGTTGAAATAACCCAATCAAGGACATAAGCTACTATGTAAGCCCAGCGGAGTCAACTCTACTGTTGCGATGGATGCTTACCGGATCGGGCAATGGGCCTTAATCCATTATGTCATGGCTCATGGTGAGATCTATTTTTAGGGCCCCCACGTGGAATTATAGGTTGCACCTTGGAACCATAGTAACCAAAACCTAAAATGTAAATAGTAGGTAACTAATAGATAGCGTGATGCGATGACCATCCATTTGAATCCTGTTTCCCCCGCTAATTTGATTGATGAGGCTCTTTTCTAGTGTGAATTAGCGTAGGGGGTTATCCAATATTGGATTCTAGTACTATCTTCTTTTCCATAAGCTTGGAAATAGTGGATGTTCAAGGCCAAAAATTAGCAGTTCCAAGGATACAACCCATAAATCCATCAAATACATACAGTCATAGGTGCCTATCAAGTGTCATCTTAAGGTGGCAAATTCCTTCCAGCGACAGTTCGGGGAATTTGACTGCCGGCCCCCAAAAAGGATCTCGTGCGTTGGAATTTCCATATCAGTGGGTACAGGTAAGTACATATGTGGTGAGATTCTTTTTTTTGCTTCTATTGGAATAAGGGGGCGTAAGTGGCTGGATCTTTAATTGAGCTAGCGTCGATATGGGAATATGCAGATATGTAATTTGCGAGCGGGCACGGGTTGTTTGTGGGTATCCTTGTCGCATGGTTGACCCTTGAATTTCCAGCAGTTTGAGGGCAGTGGACCCCAAATAGAGGGTATAGTGGATCATGAAGGAAGGTTGTGAATTTTGAGGCAGTAAAATGCATAGTACATTGATGCAATGAAGACAATAACTAAATTCTATATTTCGTGGACCCGCCAAGGATCCAGCCATAGCTGCGGGTCCGGGGGGAAGAAAAGGAACAAGCAGAAAGCAAAGGAAACAGACGCTGATGAAAATTTTGACAAAAGATGTTCCCAACTGGGGATGAAAAAGGAAAGAGAAGAGAAGAAAGAATAGAAAATAAGATGCAAAGAAATCTCGAGAGAGAATGTCAGGTCGTAGGTAATAGGAATAGGCTAGTAGCTCATGTGGTGATCGGTATAAAGCGCTAAATCAACAAGGCAAAAAAAAAAGGCAAGGGATAGCACAAAGGAAAGGAAATGTTATCATGGGGACCAAGGATCAGGCTGAGGCGCACACAGATGAGGGTTCACAGCCCCAATAAATTTGATCTGAGACTTCAACTGCTCACGCCGACGATCATCCGGCGTCTCAGTCATCCTCTTCTTGGCATCATCAAAGGAAGTCTGCAAAGCCGCCAGAGTCTGACGTCTATTAATCTTAGTAGGCGAAGCCAGCGGCAAAGTGGCATTGGCAAAATATTCCGGCGAGGTGGTAGCTCGATTCATCCTCTTGAACATACTACCCCTTCTCTTCTCCTTTGGCGCATCGGGCGACGAGCGCGGTTGTTCAAAGGCGCCTGTCCGACTGGAACTAGCCGTCGACGTGGCCACCAATTGGGCATGGAACTCATCCAGCTCGGGCTCATCATCATACTCGTCATCATCGCCGTCGCCCGTGATCGAAGGCGGGTGTGCGCTCAATGGGCCCATGGGCGCCGTATACCTGCGCGACGGCGGGTGTCGAGGAACATTGAGCGGGTTATCCCTTTCCTCTGCGTCCTGGTCCCGAGTCAACGTCTTGTTGACGTACGACTTGATTGAGTCGCGATGCTTGGAGTACCATTTGGGTTGCTTGGCGGAAACGTTCAAGCGGCCTTCCTTGCTCCTGCTGCTGGAAGCGGGGCTCTTGCGGCCGCTAGATTGGCGGGTGGAGGTGGTGGGGGTAGCGAGCTCCGGGAAAAAATCCCAGGTTTTTTCCCGAAAGTAGTGACTGGAATCTATTCTCTTTCTCGTCCAATCTACGGGTCGGCCGTAGTGGGCGGATGTGCCGAGGATGACGGAGGTAGCGTCGATGTCGACGGAGACAGGGCTTGCGTTGATGGGACTGACGTCCGTGCGGGCGGGTGGGTGATGGGGTTTAAGTGGGGATGGGATTGGGATCTCTCGCATCTTTGCGTGATCTGCGGGGTTGGGATGATCTTCTAGGTCGGTGAAATCATCGGAGTTGGAGCGGACAAAGACTGGGAAATCCCTGTCGCGAGAATAGCTGGAATAGACACTGGGGCTTTGGAGGCTGTCGTCGAGGGTGCTCTCTGTGTCGCTGTCTGAGTCGCTGTACATGCCTGACTCGGTGGGGGAGTCTATCATCATGATGGGAACGGGACGACCGGGGAGGGGTTTATTGAAGAGGATTTCCGAGCGGTGTTGAGTGAAATACATCATTCTCGGTGGAACTACTTGTTCCATACCTTCCAGCGAATGGGAAGTATAGACTGGAGGCGCAGTGCGCCGGGCAGGGTTGGCGGACATCATGAGATGTGAGACTGGTCACAAAGAAATTAAGAGGATGAAGATGTCAACCTTGGTAAGCTTTCTCTTTGATCGAAGAATTCAAAGGAAGAGAGAAAAAGAGGAGTAAGCCCGTTTATTATCTACCTTGCGATCGTCGTGCACGGACAACGCGAGGGGCCGCAAGGGATGTGGGAATTAACGTCGAATAGGACAAGACAAGAATAACTCCTGTGCTCTAGAACCCGAGATATGGAAGAATTGGCCTTTTTGCTATTTATTTTTCCAAAGGAGATCCATTTCTGTTTCCAGAAGAGAAAAGCCCATAGTCCGCTAGTCCCAAAGTGATGCGTTGTCAAACCAACGATCGATCTTCTCTTGATGACGAGGTCAGCCCCCAAATAGCCCCAATTGCAGGAACTAAACCATTTCAAGTAATCCAAATCACAATGACCAGATCCAAAAAAAAAAGGATATCATACTAGTAGTAGTATAATATAATCGAATTTCTACCACTGCCTAGAAATGGACCATTTTCCATTCTTTGCTGTATAGAACTAAAAACCCCCAAAAGTTCTAAATCAATTTGGATGCCCTCTCGAGTGTCTCACGGGTCAATTGGTCTGAGGGTCTACGCTCCTCACTCAGACGACCCAGTCGCCTTAACTTGGCGATCATAGCCTCGTCTCCAAAGTGACTATTGTGCTGGAATTCGGGCTCTTGATCATAAGCCACGCGTGCGGCATCCACAATCATCCGTGCTGTCATTCCAAACACGCGATAGCGCTGGACCTGTCCACCCGGATCCGCCGCTAGTTCGCCATTCTCCTCCTTATTGCTGTGGGGCTTGGGCTTGACGACCCGGGTATTGGCACGAACAAAGAATTGATGCACTAGTGTTGGAATTCTGGTTAGTTATGGAGCTGGTTTTTCTTCTCTTTTCTCTCTCAGCGTTCTGTTTTGGAATAAAGCAATAGGCTGTAGAGAAACCAAAAGTGCAACAGACAAATGTCTCCCAAAAAAACAAGAAAAAAGAAAATCATCAACACGAAGCTCTTCGTGTAACCGAAAAAAAAAACATGGTTTGAGTACAAAGTATGAACCGGAGTGGGTCCCGGTCTGACAGCCCTTGCCATGTGTGATAAACAAAAAAAACCGGATTAAGATTAGGTGAAGAAAGGGGGGGGATTTCGACATCCGAAATGTAATTAAACTGGTAAACGAGGGAAAAAAAGGGCAAAAAAAGGGCAAAAAAAAAGAATGGAAGCAACTCACTTCGCCAGTTGGAATTGTGCCACAAACTCCACGATCCACGATACCATTCCCCCGGATTATCCTCATCCTTAGCGTCCGCGCCCAACGAACCCTGATCAGCCCGAGCTGAACCACCGAAATTATCTGTTGTAATTGGCGTATGTGAATTTTCATGCTCATTCAATTGCGAGGTTGAATAATCCAGCCTCTGGGATGGCAATGGTGATTCCCCATCCCTCAATCGCAAAAAACTGTAAAACGGCGCCGTAAAGACTGCAGCCACCTCCCTCGGATCGAGCTTAGGAATGAGCGAGATCTCCGGGTCTGCATTCTGTCCTGTCTGTGCATCGTACGAGTGCAGTAGAGCCACGCAGGGCCGCACCACTATTTCGGTTTTGGCAAGATTTGCCGGGAACTCGCAGAGGTGTTCGACTGTAAAGGGATGGGGAAGGGGTTGGTCGATTCCCGGCAATCCAATCTCTTCCCATGCTTCGCGGCGTGCGGTCTGGAACGGCGTCTCCGAGAGTGCATCTGCTCGACCTGCATGGGATTTTGGTGTTAGCTTCTCCACTTCGCCGTTGGACCTGTTTTATTTGCATTTGTTTTGCATTTATTTTGCATTTGTTCTTGCGTTTTGGGTTCTTCGCTTCTGAAGGTCTAGATTAGAAGCTTCCAAATGGTTTTTTCTTCTTTTTCTTTGCTTTTCCCACTTGCGGTATAGTGCCTGTTGATCTCTTTTTTTCTTTCTTTTTTTTTTTTTTTTTCTTTTTCTCCTCTTTGTTATCTTCTTGTCCTCGTAACCCCACCCATTCTTCTTGTCCGAGATATGAAGTTGTACGGAGTAGATAACCCTTGAAAACAGAATGGAATAAAAGCCCAAAAAAAAGACTCACCTCCAGGTAAAGCCGCATCTCCCGCATCTAAAAGCGCAGCCCAATAAAAAAAAGGAGGGCTTCAATTAGCGCAATCCCTCAAATGTCGTGCAGCTTATCGGCGTATGTAGCCCTGTTTCCAGGTCTAGTCGCGACCTCGCAAGGAGCCAAAAAAAAAAACAAACAAACACAGGCACTTGAAAGCTATCATACGTACAGGAACTCAATGTCTTGGCCCGGATCGTAATCACTACTCTCAGGTCTCCCTTAGAATCGGCATACAGCAGCAAGAGTACTGCCGCCCGCCTGGTCACCGGGACACCCTCGTACTCTGTCGGCGGAGGAACATAGTTTCGGAGTCGGTGGATGGCTTCCTATTCTCATAGATCATATCAGCCTAAACAAGATACTTCCAAGTCACCCCTTTTCTTTCATTCTTTTTTTTTTTTTTTGGAATTTGAGTTTTGACTTTGAAGTGGCGGTCCTGTCTCGTCTTCTTTCTTCTCTGCCACGCGAGTTCGGGTTGGGTCTCAGACATCCATCCTTGAGAGGGATGTCCATCCACGGGTGACGTCAAGCCAAATCCACTTGCAGAAATGTGACATATCCCAATGGAAGGCCTGCGAGACTTGGCGGCGGAACTCAAATATGCGGACACGGCGAAAATACGTCAAGACCGGAATGAAATCGCGACATCGCAGAATCAACGAGATAAGACAATATACTCCGGTGGTCGCATAGGTGTCATCCACCCCGGAATTGATTATTAAACGCGTGGAGACTCCGTACCAGAGAGGCTCGCTTAGATGCGACTCGTCATGCGAGTGTATGGGGCACACATGCAGTCCGACGGATACACACAGATAAACTGCATAAGTACTCAAGGTTCGAGCAGTATGGAGATACCACCCACCTTCCCAAAATGTAAAGACACTGCAGTGGTAGGCCGGATGGCTTATTGGCGCATCTTGATCTTGCACATAACGTCATTTCGACTTACCAAAGAAGCCTGGTTCAGCGGCGCCATACTGGAAGATGTACGGCCACTCCGTACCTGGCACAAAAAGAGACCTGTGAAGCGAGCTGGATTTGGATTGGCGGGGATCGGGGTGCGGCTCTGAATAGTTCGGATCAAGTGCAATGGATGTCTCCGCATAACCCTCTAGTACAGACTGTACAGTGTACTTGAATGTACTATACAGGTACACGCCGTAAAAGAGTTTGAAATGATGAGTGTGTCAAAAGAACACTTGGAAGAGAAAATGATATGTAAAGCTAAGTAAACCTTGTCGGAGAATAAATGATGTAGGTACTTCCAAAGTTGGTGCAGCGGGGGCCCCCGGTCTTGCTTTGAACATTGAACATGGCAGCACGTGACCCGTGTTACAGAAGTAACAGAACTGAGAAATCATAATTAATTCAACAATTAGTTGGACCCCGCTGGATGCATCACTTTCCAGTGATTGGCCCTCGGACGAGTCCAATTCTTGGTTGCGGGGGACAGTTCTATTTGGAACAGTTGATGTTGCCGAGGTTGGTTGACACAGTTTCGGCTAACGATATCATTGCCAACTACTATAATAACTCTCCGTAGTTCCAAAGTTTGACATCAAGTAGACACTTTAGGAGGTATTTGAATTCAAATCAAATTAGATGCATCATGTGGATTGGTTCTATCAATACATGGCTTTTCGCTCTGAACACCACACCAATGGCTTTGCAGCCCGCCTCGGAAATTTCAGTCTTACCCATGCATAGGGACATGGCAACAACTCACACCGACTGCTTTGCACACCGTAGAATCGCAAAGAAAGAAAAATTGAGACACGACAAACGAGCTGATATACGGTCCAAAGGAGCATATCAGCAAAGGACCCGGAATATCAGGGCAAAGAAGCGAAAGGGATGGGAGACAAAAAATAAGAGGGAGAGAAGATGCGGAGGGAGATAAGGGGAGGGGTCTATATCAAAATGGCAGAGAAGTAACACAGGGGGAGAAAAGGAGCAAGCAAAAAAAAAAAAAAAAAAACAGAGAGTAAACAAAAATCTATATGTCATCCAATAAAACAATTCCCGAAAATGAAATGGGAAAAACGCAAGTGCAAAACGAGCCGTTCATGGGAAATCTATTCGCTCTTCTTGGCATCCTTGGTCTGTTCGGCCTTAGCACCCTCAGCCATGGCTTCATTGGCTTCAGCGGATTGCTTCTCGGCACCGTTGGAAGAAGATGACTCAATGCGTGCTTCCTCCTTCTCATCAATGTCCTCAATATCCTTGGGGGCAGGGACGTTGCCATCGCTTCCGCTGTTCTGCTCGCTCTCCTCCTCAATAAGCTCTTCCTGCTCCTTGATAACCTCCAGACGCTGCTTGTTGGTGGCGGCACCCTCGGCGTTGTGGACCTCCAGCTCAATCTCGTGGAACAGTTCCTCAGGAATGCTGGAGAGAACAGACTTAAGAGCATCAATCTGGGAGGCCATGTCAGACTCCTTGCCACCCTGGGTGTACATGTAAGCATTGCTCAGAACCAGGAGAGTGGACGGGACACCCTGCTGCAGACGGAGATCGAGCCACATGGTAAGGTCCTCGCGAAGACGGGCAGGAGAGACACCGTGGGTCTTGATACCACGAGAGGCGCTAGCCATCTGCAACTCCGGAACAGACAGGGACTCAACGCCCTCGTAGTAGATGGCACGATCATCACGCTTGATCTGGCGCATGCGGTGACGAATGGTGTAACGAAGCATAGCGTCGGTGCCAAAGGTGTTCAGGTTCATGTAACGGCAGATAGCCACCAGCTGGGGGCGAGACAAGTTGTCCAGAGTCATATCATCCTTGAAGATCTTGCAGACCTTGACAACATCTTCGGTGGAAGGAGATTCGCCGGTTGTGCGAATCTTACGGAAAAAGTCGGTAAACTCTTCGTTCTTAACGGTCGCAGCGGTCAAGGGCAGACCAGTCTCACGCAATGTGTTGCGCAGGAAGCTAGACACCTCCTGGCGAGTAGAGCTCAGGTTTGTGGCCTTCTTCTCACGAGCCGACTTGCCCTCGTAGGTGCTGGGCAGCAAGTTGGGGAAGATCTTCAGGGCAACAGGCAGGAGGAGTTCGGCGAAAGGAACAATTAGGAAGACGGAGAAAGGAACCAACCGACCCAAGTCCTTGGTGGTACGTTGAAGCTGCAATGGACGGACAGAAAATTAGTCAAATAATCCAAAGCTAGTAATGTCGGCGATCTGAGCTTTGACCTACCTGGCGGTGCTCTCTCCGGCTGAGCTCGTATCCAGCAGCCATCTTCACAGCTAACCGGGTACTGATCTTAACCTCTGTCGCCAACAGCTTTGTGCCATCCCAGTAGTGCTGCAGCTCCTTCTTGACCTTTTGTCCAATTGTCAACTTCTTGACTTCCTTCTCCTCGACCAGGTTCTTCTGCGAGTCTACCGCAACGGTCTTACTGGAAGCCAGCTTGGCATCCTTGGGAGCGGGCTCATTCTGCGCAGACTTGGCAGCTGTTTGTGACGATTGCGCCTGGTCTTGGGGGAGAGGCTTCTTCGCTTGCTCGACATTGAATCCAGGAGGAGGGTATGATTGGGATGAGTTGTTGGATGTAGATTGCTCTGTGGCATAGCCACGCTGTTGGGGAATCAGGATCGCAAGGGCAGACACATGAGATGGAAGACCGCGTCCGGTCCGGAGGAAAGTGTTGGCCGCGGCGATGGAAGCTGGGCCGAGAGCGGTAGCACGAGTACGAGCTATTCAGCGGGAGTAAAAACGTTAGCTGACAAATTCACTGACAATTTGTGACATAAGAGCAATAATTTACCAGTCAGAGTCGGCCGCAACGCAGAAGTGTTGCGCACTAGTTGAGCAGACCTCATGGTGGCGGATATTTGCGGAAAATGTTGGGGCGAGAAAAGGGTAGGGGCTCGATCAATCGAGCAGGGGGTCGCGGAGGACGCAACAACAAAAAGACTGCCTTAAATCAAGACAGTTTAAGAGAATACAAGATGATTGAGACAAAAATATGGATGGTATGGATTTGTGCAGGTTGGAGAGAATCCGGAAGATCTAGGTGACGCTGCCGGCCATCACGTTGAGCCACGTGACCCGAGCGGCCTCGGAGGTGTTGGCGGAGATAAAATCGATCCGGTTTCTATTGCTTTCACTCATTGTTCTCTGCAGCCTTGGCAGCCTTGTTTCGCGAATATTTATCAGATTTTTCAAGGTTCTCTGTTATCAAAACACATGTACTGCATGTCATTTGAAAATTGTCACAATATGCCAATCTGGATACGAACATGAAATGATCGACTCTAATGTAATAGCTGAATCTCAAACGTACTACTAGTATTCTACCCGCCATTTCAATGAAATTTCCTAAACAAAACAATGGGGCATGAAAATAAGGTATAAGCAGACAATGAACGCTATATTTGCAAACACAACATTATTTACGCCAGAGGGGTATCATGAATGATTAAAGAAAGTAAGAAACCCCGACAATTAGGTTCTCTCGTGAAGAGTAGAATCGGTATCCCGGGCAGCGTCACGGAAGGCAGTCGAGGCAGCCATGCTAGGGTCCAACAGAGGAATTCGGTCAACACTGCCTCGTTTGTCGAGAGAAGCATGTGTGCGGGATGCATCGGTGGCGACCGTCGCGGGAGTATCCGGGAAAAGGAACGGGCTATTCGCTCCATCGGGCGAACTTTGCCACCTTGCAACGTCCATCTTCAGCTGGTCCAGTTCCTTCTGGAATCGCTTGCCAAAGACATCGATGTAGTATGTGGCGCCATTATGGATGCTCCATACAAACAACGCGGAGATGTAGAAGCCACTAGCATTCCGGTACCAGAACCAGATGGGGGATGGAATCATGGTCGAGAGTGCAAAGACATATTGAATCAGCATAAAAGTGGGTTCTTGTAGTGCCTCAGGCAAACTCAGGACGAATCGTCCAATCCATGCCTTTGAGTATGACTTGCGAAGCCAGGTAAAGCTGGTTGGACGTCCCGCCGCAATCTGATCCGCACGGCGCACGGTGATCATGAAGTGGTAGCCCAACTGCCAAGTCAAGTATGGAACCGTAGACCATATAATCATGGCCCACAGTGAGTAGTGTTCAGGGTCGCCCGGCTGACTGAACTTGATGGCATATACCGCTGGGAATCGCTCCTTGAGCATATCGACGGGAGTCAAGTGAACGACACAGTGTAACGTGACGGGCGGCATGATGTGAATGAATAAGCTGGAAATAAAGATATCAGTTTTACAAGAACACGGGAACAGCTTTGAGTGGGGATGTGGGATACATACCTGACGACTTTATCCATGCTATGGAAAACCAATGAGTTCCGCCACATGGCGATGGCTGCCGCATTGTTTCCAAATGTCAAGCAGAAGGTGCCTAAGAATAGGCGCTTCGACCCGGGGAACACCCAGAGACTCAGCATGCAGAGCATGTTGACAAAGTAACAAAGATCGGCGAGGAAGTAGTGATAGCCCTTGGCGTGGTAGGTGTAATACCGGATGGGCATAAAGTAAGCGAGCTGAGCAGTAAACCAGATGTAGAAGTATTGAGGGCAAGCACCGATCAGGTACCCGCTAATAAAGATGTTGAGTACACCGGCAATGAAGGAGGCCTTCTCTCGGAGAGTAACAGTGGCAGTCTTGCTCCATTGTTTACCTAGTCGCTCCACCCCAGTCTTCATGCGCTGCCGGTATCTATCGAGTCGCTCGTCCGCGGTCGGGACTCGACGTTTCCACTCTCCCACGACACGCTGCCTAGCGTTCTGCCCGGTCGATCGGAGCTTCTCACGTTGGATGCGCACCTTCTCCTTCTGCATATTGATTGTATGTTGCCATTTTTCCAGGCGCTGCGTGAGCTGGAAATTATCGAGGAGGTCGAAGATGGTCAACTTGTCGAGTGGCGGGAAAGTTTCCCAGTCCTCCTGGTACGAGCTGCTATTGGAGAAGGAGCCGTTGCGCGAAAGCTTGCCCGGGGAGGCAGGGGGAGAGTAGAAATCATCGGCATCGGCGAACTCCTCCAAGAATGGGTTATCCAATTCATCAGGCCCGGGAGTCACCAACGACTCTGGCGCGATCGCCGGGTCCGACTTCCGGCGTTGTTGGGCGCTAGATTCCTCCATCATGAACTGCTGTTGGAAGGAGAAGAGCGTAGGACCGTCCCGGAGGTGAGGGTAGGGTCGGCTAAGAAAACGACCAAACGTTAGCATCCCCATGGTGGCTCGAGCGCGGACTTTGCAAGGACACCGCCATGAGCGGCTTCAACCCTTCTTATCTTGTATACTTGAGGGGCAAAAAAAAAGAGGCGCGACACCTACCTTATCGGAATGGAGGGGGCAGATCACGACCACGGTTCACGCGGAGAACAGCGGAGACAAGCGGAGCCCAGGGGGGTGATGTGGTTGGTAAAACTCACCCCAATCTGCAGCGACAAAGTCACGAAAACAGAAGGTTGACTTTGGGATGGAAGTGTCGACTAGGGTGAGAATCGACAAGATGAGCCAGCAAGAAGTTGATGACGGAGGGTGTGCAGTAAACTTGACCGCTGGTTGGTTTGTTGGGGTCCCGTTCAGTGATGGCGGGTAATCCAATCACGTAGCTCGACTGGGTCACGCCGATCAGGGCCCATGTTTATTGTTGCTTCCATCTCTGGCAATTTGCTGGTTCGGTTTACTGAAAACGGTATCTATTTCCTACATGGTCACATGGCTTAAACTAATGCACCGAGTAGTAGTAAAAAGGTATACACAACAGCTCGTGTGTCATCTGTTCACCATCAAATGTCCCTCGAGACTTTGACCTGTCATGCAGACTCGTGTGACTCGTGAGGCTCTACTAGTCAAAATTTCCTCCACTTGATAGGCTAGGCCGAGTCAAGTTAAGTATTATATTGTTTGGATTTCGTGCTTAAAAGCCCAAAGTCCGCTTTAAATTCGAATAGGGTGTCATTTGCTTCCCAAGGTTAACGAAGATCTTCTTTCGGAAAAAGTCCGACTCGCTCTCTTTCCCTCATCGCTTCACAATTTGAGCGCTCAGTACAGTCGGCCTGTACCTCTTGTCGTCGTCGGGCAAATAGTGCTGCACCTCGAGAGGCTGCGAATGTTGGATTAATGGCCGTGGAGACGATAGCAGGACCCGCATGATCTGATTCTGAGATATTCCGTTGAAGATTCACCGGCAAAATGGGCATCATTTCAGCCAAGGCATCTTTCAAAGTAGCTAGAAAGCGAGGGTGGGTTACACTCTCCCCAGCCAAAAGAATATGAGTAAGAGAACGGGGGTATTCTCGAGGAAGGATCAATAGCTGCGATCGAAGGTGGGACCATAGGGCATCCTGCTGTGACTCGTTTGTCTGGAGAAGATGATCTAGTCCGACCTCAAAATCCAGAAGCTGCGCTTCATCCCAAGTGAATCGAGTTAAAGCCTCACCTCCGACAGGGGCAATAATGCTGGTATATAGAAGATGTCGACTGTAGAAGATAGTAAAGACATCGACATAGGGCAAGGTATCAATATCAAAGGGTGAGATATAAAACTCGTCTTCGCACTCCCAAAGATCCTTATAGTTCACGCAAAGTCCAAATCCATGTGCTGCATAAATAGCATCGGCCTGCACTAGGGGATTGGGGTAATAGCCGCTATCACCCACCCATGTGCGCAGGTTGAGGTCCCCGAGTGCGGCGTTGACTGTTGAACTAATCGAGCTGATATCAGGAGTTACAACGGCAACCCTATCAAGTGGTTGAGATATCTCCTTTTCGGTAGAAACTCTGAGTTGTTGAAGTAAAGCGCTGATGATTTCAATGTCGCTGTGCGCTTTGATCGGGCGACCAAGGTTCTTGTTGAGCCAACGCCACCAAGCGCCCCATGCAGTCGTATCAGATAGAGAGAAGCGTGATATGATGATCTCATAGAGAGATTGCTTGGTCCTGTCTGACTGTCGCCTGGGTTCTTCGCCTGTAAGTCGTCTCATAAGGTCTAGGTATTCAGAATTTCCCTGGATATGAGCTACTTCTATGATAGTCCCGTTGTAGTAATGTACCGAGGCTGTTCTTTTCTAGATATTAGATATGTTAGAATGTGAAAGAAAGACATGACTTGCTTACCCATATGAGGGGGTCAGATCAAAGCCGATCCCGGGGGCATCATGGATCTGCGTAGAGAGGCATGTATCACACGACGGGCGAGGGCAATCGTACATAGCATCAATAATGGACGCAAACTGGAAGGATAGAAAGGCTGTCACTAATTTGTTCATTCTGAAGGATTGTTTGGATTTCATGGTTGCTGTCAATAACGATGGCGATTGTTCAAATGTCAGTTCAAATGGTATTTACATACGTGGCTGCTCGATTCCAACTTGCCAAGGTTGTATTCAATGTTAACGTAACCGGTAACTTGGCCACCCCAAAACACATAGTAAACATTTGAATGCGATAAATTACAACCTCATATCTCAACAACCATGCGGTTTTCTAGATTCTCCCAAGTAAAGAACATTGAATGTTCCTTGTACTGCCAATAGTCTCCCTTTATTGTTTAATTTTTTGTTTTTTTACCGGTGGTTGGGTTCGATATATGTATTTAGAGCTCAGAACATTGGCCACAATCATGGCGTCAACTGGTATTTTATGGTTTTGAATGCGATAAAATCCCGTCAACTGGTATCAGATTATTGTGCAACATTGAAGTCTGAAGATACGTCAACTAGTAGTACTCTGTACATGGATGTTTAACCTCATTCTACTCTACATCATCTTTTCTAATCGTCAACTGTCAGCATACAGGGACTATAAACTAGTGTGTTGACAGCTTTGATATGTACGGAAAACCCCGAATTCACCATTTCCCCACAAAAGCACGAAACATGAAAGCAAAGCCAGATTGGTCTGGATTTCCCAAGTTGCCGACCGGGTTGACCCACATCCACGCATTCGCGGCCCGTGAATCACGATAAACCGGCGCTGCCCGACACGATAAGAATAAATATGGGACAAACCCGGACAATATGTGGGGCGGAGTATGCTTGTCCCGCCAGTCGAGAATCTCCTGTGTATTGCACTCTCTCCTTCTTTCGCAACCAAATAAGTTTCAGTGATTGAAGCTACTCAACGGAGAGATCTTGATCTTGCAGCTGCAGGAACTGACAAATCTGTCGACTTATTGAGATCAATTCTCAGGGTAGACATCGCGGGGCATCTTCCACAACAACCTCGCCATGGCGAACACAAACACCGGGGCGCAAAAGCGTCCCAACTTCCTTTTCATGCTTGCAGATGACCTGGTGCGCTAGATCAACTACCAAAGAAATGCTAGGATGCCTATCTGACTCAATTGCTTTCCTTGACAGGGTTTCTCCGACATTGGATGCTTCGGCAGTGAAATCCAAACACCCAACATCGATCGATTGGCCGCAGATGGCATTCGCATGTTGAATCACCACACCGCAGCTGCCTGCTCGCCGACACGCGCCATGCTCATGAGTGGAACGGATGCGCACCTTGGTGGACTGGGCTGCTTGATTGAGTCGAGGGCTAGTCCCAAGGGTGGGAAGCGGTGGAATGGTAAGGCGGGATATGAGGGATATCTGAACAACGATGTCGCTACCCTGCCTGAGATTCTGAGTGACAATGGATATTTTACGGCTATTTCTGGAAAGGTAAGAGACACCAGAAGTCGACTTTTGGTCACGAATTCGTAATTAGGTAGTGCTGATTACATTTAAATTGATAGTGGCACTTGGGTCTGCGCGCTAGCCAAGGACCCTCGGAGCGCGGCTTCCAGAAGGCATTTGCTATGCTTCCCGGATGCTGTAGTCATTATGCTTGGGAGCCTGTACAGGAAAGGTTTCCGATGGGTGGCTCGCCCATTCATACGGAGGGTGGTGTCAAATTTGATGTGTGAGTTCGAATTACACAAATTTGGCCCTTTTATCATTATCGGATTTCATTTTAACCTCACCTCTAGACCGCCGAACAAGACTGAAGATCCCGAAGGATTCTACTCGTCCGATTACTACACCGATCGGCTGATTGAATATCTCGATACACGGTCCGAGGCCGACGAATCCAAGCCTTTCTTTGCGTTCCTGCCGTATACAGCTCCACATTGGCCATTGCAGTGCTCTAAAGCCCAGCGTGACAAGTAAGCTCTGTCATGAACCACACAAAATCTCATCAGACTAACTTTCTTCCAGGTACAAGGGCATGTATGATGATGGCCCCTACGCACTTCGCGAGCGTCGCCTCAAGAAGCTCGCTGAAATTGGTATCATTGATGAGTCTGTTATTCCCCATAAAATGGAGACTACCACTCAAGATTCAGGCGAGTGGGAGGAGTTTACCCCCGAAGAGAGACGATGCTCCAGTCGGTCTATGGAGGCATATGCTGGTATGGTGGACTCAATGGACTATAATGTTGGCAAGGTCATTGAACACCTCAAGAAGGCTGGGGAGTACGATAACACTTTCATTGTGTTCATGAGTGATAACGGAGCCGAAGGCGCAGCGTAAGTGGTTCCATCTCTGGACTTGATAGGGTATTTGCTGATGGATAATTCTTGACTATAGACTAGAAGCCAGACGTGAGTGACCTGCTAAACTAACCAAGACTGTGTCCCAAACTAATCATTTCGCAGCTGTCATGGGAGATAATATCAAGCGCGCCATCCACAAGTACTACGACAATTCATATGAAAACATCGGCAATTACAACTCATTCACATGGTAAGTATCCAAAGAAAACCCCGGAACAGCCCACCATTAGCTACCCAAAAAATCTTACACTGTGACCCCAGGCTCGGACCTCTATGGGCTCAAGCCTCAACTGCCCCATCCCGTCTATTCAAAGGCTTCCCCTCCCAAGGCGGAATCCTAGTCCCCTGTGTCATCAAGCCGCCCCAAAATATATTCCCCCACTTCACCCCAGGCACCTTCAACCGCTCCTTCAGCACAGTAATGGACTGGTCCCCCACCTTCCTTGACCTAGCAGGCATCCAGCTCCCGCCAACCTTCGAAGCAACCAAGATCCGCAGCACGCCCGCAAAGCCTGCCGTGCTCCAAAAGATGACCAAATTCCGCGGCAAGGACGTGCACGCGATCCGCGGGAAATCCTGGGTCCCGTTCTTTGCCGAGGGCAAGAAGGCCGAGGACGAGGAACTGTGGCATATTCATTCCTCGTCCGAGCCGATTGGGTGGGAATTATTTGCGCGGGCTGCTATGCGCAAGGGAGATTGGAAGATTGTTCATATTGGCAAGGCGAATGGGGGCGTTGGAGAGGTTAATGGGGATGGGTGGGAGCTGTTTAATGTTGTGGAGGATCCGGGGGAGAATGTTGATCTGGCTGGGGAGAACCCGGAGAAGTTTGCGGAGCTCTTGGGCTGTTGGGAGGAGTATGTTGATGAGTGTGGGATTGTTTGGGGGGAGAATGCTTTTAATCCTGGCTTGTCTATTGAGGAGGCGCCTGAGTTGTGGGAGGATGAGGTGGAGTTGCAGAAGTGCTGGTTGGGTGCTAAGGCTGGGGAACGTGTTGAGTAGATCGGGATTTGATACTAGTTTTAAAATAAGTGTTTGAATGGGTGTTGAATTTGCATCCATCATGATGTCTGTTTCAAGAATGCACTCATTGTAGCAACTTGGACATGTACATGACCGTTCCACTGCCTGAGAGTGTAATGACCCTGATTCTGTACGACATCTAGACATGATGGATCCATGAATTTTGGAAGGCTAGTTATGATATAGGGACTAGTAAGCCCTGGAAGTCGGCTAGGGCATATAGCCAGCAAAAGATAGGCGCTTTTTCATTCTCTTCGGGATGATCAATCTCGACAATGACAGGAACAAAGATTTGTGGGTTCAGCATACTCGGGAGCATCATTCTCGTGTACATGCAGATACACTCCTCGGAAGCCAGTAACTTTCTTGCTTCCCTCATGGCGTAATTTGCTGATCGAGATGAAAAATGACCATCCAGCCAATCTTTGACATGAGAATAATCTTGACTGGCAAGAACTTTCAGACACTGAACTGTCTCGTGTCAGTTCTGTTCAGTTGGCTTATACAGTCGCTAGCTGCAGAGCTTGGACCATTGGCTGAGTAAGTTGATCATGGCTCTGTATCACGATTCACCCTGGGCCCGACCCAGCGATACCGAAGAAAGCGGCGATTCGTCAAAGCATTTAGAACACACCAAATGCGTATGCATTGCTCCGGCTTATCATGAATAAAGGCCGCTGAACATGAACAAATCACGATTCCTTCCACATTGGCCTAATCCTCTCGTGACCTGCGATCGCCACAGCCATCCGTCTCTCTTCTCCAGCTCATCGCTTCCTTTATCTCGGGTGAGCGACAGCCACTAAGAAGATCGTATGCATTGACGCCAGTCACGACGAAGAATATGACATCCATTTCGCGAAAACGACATCAAATCCAATGAATCAGATGTATTTTTTGACCTGCTTGCAGGAGACAAGGCCCAGCAACTCTGTAGCCAGAAACAGAGTGAATCCAATAAGATATAAAACAAGGCCAATCTGGAAGACGATTCTTTGAGCTTTGCTAAACCTGGAATATTGGTGCAGACCTATACAGAAGTATACAAGGCCTGTCATGACGACTCCCATTGCGGGTGCCATCTCCTTCCAGATGATGTCCAGCATCTTGCGGATAAGCTGGATGGAGATTGATTGGATTTTATTCCAAGGATATCCAAGGAGAAAAGAAAACGAGTCTATTGTCAAATTAGTAAATGCAGTTTCTTTTTTCAATTTTTTTTCTTTTGTTCGTCCGAGGTTCCCGGGTTCGGATGAGATTCCTACCGTTTCTATGTGGGGCCGATATAGTAGGCGTCGGGATAAGGTCAAGGATTACCGTTGACAGGAGCTCACTCGAGATTATGATATAATAAAGGTGTAGCGAAAGAAGAGGTAGAAAGATCAGAGTTTATTGAAAGAAATAAGAAAATGATCGAGAAGGAAACCTGGAAAAGAACGGGAGAAAGAGCCCTCTTTTTGACCGCGTATGCGTGGGGCTTCCACGTGTACCGCATACCGGGATTCCACTCGTTGATAAGATTTCAAGGTTTAAAGGGAACTTGGAAACATTTTAAGCTTAAAGAACTTCAGGGAGAGAGGTCAAAAGTACGCGCTTAAGAGCTGTCTTGAAGTATACTTGCATGGATTAAGAACCCCCAAAAATGTAAAGAAAAAAAAAAGGCTGAAAAAAAAATCGAAATCACCTTCACATGACCGTATATGGAGTGAGGTATAAAATTGAAAGAAATCCAACTCCAAAAGATCTGGCCCAAAGTAATAAAATCCATATTCGCCGCCGCTCATATCAAAAATTTTCTCAAAACATTGAAAGCCTCAAGCTCGCCATAAGTAACAAAATCACACATCAAATCACATCGAACTAGAACTGGCTACAGCTTAGTACCCATATTGCATCGGGTGTGGCACACTAGGCCAATATCCCGTGTTCTTCTCCGTAGCCGCATATGGCTGCGCGTAGTAGCCCGACATCGGGTGCGCGTGAGTATGAGCCTGAGCCTGAGCATGAGGATCAGACTGAGGGTGCTGAATACTCTGAAGTGGAAGCGGATCTGGCAACATCTGCTGCTTAATGGCCGGTGATTGCTGCGCGATCATAGCGGGCGGTGCCATACTGATGGGGTATGCCCCGTACCCGTTATGTGGACTGTGGATATGAGTCGGGCTGTGGGTATTGGTGGGACTTTGCGAGCCACTGGAGTCACTGGTTGCGGGGGATAGTGGCAGAGCCTGGTTGCCTGGGTGGTTGTACTGCGCCGCGGCATCAGAGACGGAGTCCTGGTCGTCATCGTCTTGTTCGCGTTCGGGGTCTTGTTCTTGTCCTTGGTCCTCTTCGTCGTCGTCATCAAATGATGTTGCGGGCGCGGCGTGGACGCAAGTTGCGGGGTCGGTTGCTTGGTAGTTTGCTTCGGGGAGGTGGGTGTGTGTTACTTGGACTAGTGTGTTTGCATCTGATATTGTGTTAGCTATATGGTTCACTGGAGTGGATAGCGCTTATGTTCCAATGCATACCGATCTCCCCATCTAGATATCGCTCTTCCATCTGTCGCACAAAATAGATTTCGTCGAGAACTTGGATACGATTGGCTGGGGTAATTTGGCGTCGCACATCTTGGCCTGCGTCTCGTAGCTTTTCAGCTGTGACTCCGTGGCTGTCTTTGAGTTCGCAGAGAATGTGAACGAGGAGACGAAGTCGATCTAGCTTATGGGTTAGTATAAATGTAGGGGGGGGGGGTTTGGGAATTAATTGTCATAAACTTACCACGCTTCAACAGGTGATCAGGCTCCTTGTGCAATACACCCTTAGGCCACCAGCCAGGCTTAGTAGACTCGGGATCATGGCTCTGTGATTCGCCAGCAATTACCCTCTTGCCGTTATAAGGGTAATGAACCTGTTTCCGAGGCTCTACCAATTTAATATAGGACTTGGCGATGGCACGGCAGTTCAATTGTTGAAAGTCCTCAAAAGCTTTCTCATAGTAGCGCCGCAAGAGGGCCGAGTTGCCCACGCGAAGCACACTTCGTCCGGGCGGGGGTGTAGTTGGAGGCGAAGGGGATTTTGGTCGAGTTCTAATCAGACTTGTTCGTTTCATGTCCCGTCGTTTCCGTCGATTGTGTTGCGATTGCCATTCACAGGGTATTAATTCAGCTGGGCGGGTTTGAACGGGTTGCATCCATCCTTGTTCTGATTGCACACCCCATGGTGAGGTAGGTGAATGCATTTGGGATTGTGTTTGATCTGGACGTTTCCATGGTTAACAAGACCTTTTTGCCTTGGAAATCTCTTTATCCTACTTACTGTGTTGCATAGGTTGGCCAGTTGGGGTCGTCATTTCCATGAAGCGGTCCGTCACTTCTGGCGTAAAGATGGCTCCTCCACAGCCAGCGATTGAGGGTGAAACCTGAAATTGGTACCTGCCATTGTGGTCCATAAAGATGACAGCGAAATGAGGGTGGGGGAATTCCACGTTGGGTGATTGATTAGAGACCGCCTATGAATCGTGTAAGTAACAATAAAGAAGAAAAGTAAAGAAGTTTTATCACTTCATCGCGCAAGGGAGATGATTGGCATTACCATATGGGTGTGCGGCACCGATGTATCGGAATGTCTGCGTTCCAGAACCTCCCCCGGAACCCCTAGATGGGACCGATTCATATCCATAGTATGAATTGAATACTTCCTGGAGATTCAACGTTGTGAATATGGCAGGTTTTCCCAAGGTAAAATATATAGATGGTATAGGAATGAAAGCAAAAGGCCGGTTGAGGAGTGGAATTGGGGATAAGTTGGAAATGAAAATACGTGGGAATGGGCTCTAAAGTAAACGAAAAGCAGGTAAACTTCTCCGGATTTATGAATTGACAGGGTAATCAGGAGTAAAGAAGACGGACAACTGCGTTGCTCGGATATAGTACCCGGGAACCAGTAGGGGAAGGTCCGGGTTAAATGTAGAATGTTCCCTTGGATACGTCAGCATGGACGCTGCAAGGGAAAAAGGAATATCTGCGGAGCTGAAGTGGCAATAGAGCGTTTCATTCGATCTCTGCAGCTTTTTCATCGGATCGCCGCAAGAGCACAGACTGTGAAAGTCCAGTGGGTTCCAGGCCACGCGCACAGACGCTCGAGTAGGGCTGTTGGGTGAGTCACTGTTGATTGGCCGCATCGAATAGCCGGCATCTGTATTGACTGGAACTCAACTTTCTCAACTTCGTATGAATCGTATCCACCTGTGTCGATCCTCGAGATCTTTGGGACTTTGATCTTTGAGTGCTTGGGGTCACTAGCCACAATATTGAATTATCACTGATATTGAAAATCCGGTGAGAATGACTGTAACTCTGGCATCATTAGGCTGGTTTTTCCTCGTTTCCCCTCCCTTTGCTGTCTCTTTCGCTTCTTCTTGTTCTCACTTCTCATCAAGCTTTCAGGGGACAATCTGTTTGACAGAAGCAAAGTCCCAGCGGGCAATCGCCGATCGTCCAATCTCCATAAGCGGAAACGACAGCCTTGGCTCCGCGGGCGAATCACAAGGCCGAATATCTGGGCTTTTTTTTCAGCCACAATCTTAGGCTTTAAGCAAAGACCTAGGTCTTCCAGAGTAGCGAGCGGGTCGGGACGCCATTGATATCATCGCCTGCAAGCCAGGTCAAGAGGCGCTGACAGAGAAGCACCAGCACCAACAACTTACAGAAATTCCACCCGGAGCGATCCTGCCTCTTTCAGTCGTCGTGCAGTCTTCCAGCATATGGCTAGCCACGTCGAATTTCCATTGATTCTGGTCATCTGTGCGGGAATTTACTGTTCATCTGGACGATTCCAAGCCGAAAAGAAAAACAAAACGAGGAAAAAGGATAAAATCGTACTTTTGGAAGTGAGTTCTTTCGTTTCATCGATTCCAGGGGAAGATCCAAGCGGCCCATGCTTCTCGTCCACCAATTGTTAGCTTTTGGAAGAAAAGACCATCGAATCTTGAGCTTATTCAAACTCTCGGGAGCGCACGTCCGAGAACTCCATGGCCTTTTTTTTTTTTTTTCAAATGCGGGATATGCTTTAGTGGAACCTTTGTCGGTGATGGCCGTATCTTTTTCATTGACTTTTTATTTTGTTCTTTTGTTCTCCCCCTCATTGCCTCGTTGCTCTCTGACAAATCTAATGAATCTATTGAAAGCATGGACTATCTTGCCTTGTTACATTTGCTTCATTTTTTTCTCCAAGGTAGGAAAGGAGTTTCGTATCTGGCGAACCGACTCGGACTTGCGAACACTTGAGCAAAGCCCGATTTTTAGCTGCATCGAAAGGAACACTAAGCAGATTTACCCATTCAAATCGATTCCATTTTTCCGGATCGACAATCGTTCCTTCCGTGGATGTATATCGACCCAGCGAATTCCAGGTAAAGCGCTCTCGGATATGTACTCCACCCATACACCATTTGCTTACCACCAGTGGCCAAACGAGCTGTGGCTTGCAGTAGTGGCAGCGTCTTCTGTATGAAGCCGGTCTTCCCCACTAAAGATTTCTATTTTTTTTTTCTATTTTTTTCTATTTTTTTCTTTTCTTTTCTTTCTTTTTTGTTGGATTTCCCCTTCAATTCCTTTTGTTTATGCGTACTTTCTTGTTTCGTGCCCGGACGCTATTCCTAGCTAGTCTAGCTTTGTATCACACGGAGAAATCACCCGGGTACAATGGACTAGTTGATTCGTCTAGGAGTCCAAGTTGAGACTATTGTTTTTTTTTATCTTCTAATCTTCCTATCTTCCCAGCCATCTTCATATAATGAGTTAGGCATTACAGCCCTTGAGAGATGACGAAGCACATTGGATATTCAAACGGTATAAAAAGAAAGAGAAACATTTGAATACGACTGGAAAGCAAAAGCCAAAGTATACCAAATAAACTTCCGGGGAACATTTGAAGTGTTGGACAAAACAGCGCTTGAGCACTTGAGCACTTGAGAAGTTGAGATGTCGTAGATCGATCACTTCTTGGCAACCTGATCTCCTGATCTCCTGATCTCCTCTCGCTTTGACCTCTTTGCTTTTCACACTGAGTCCTTCTACATCTTCTCCGGTCCCAGTGGCGCGGATATACTACCTTTCCCCCCCCCTACCTAGACCAAAAATTCAACGAAACCCGACGCAGAGTTCCTTGGAACTGGGGAAGAACATTGGGGCCGAGTACATGAATGCACAGTACTCAAAAGTACCTCATTCGCTATCTCGTAAATGCCTCGGTTCAATGCGTTTGTATTACCTTTGTGAGCTTCTTGCAGGACCCGATTCCTGTTACCAGGTTTATGCAGTAGAATGGCGTTGTGGTACTCCACATCTGCAGCTGTTCTGGCCATGTTGATTGATGTTGGGCTGCAAGTTCGCTTGTCGCTTCTAGCTTATTATCTTGTCACGGACTTTTCATTTTTGGATGATTTTTCCAAAATAAAACAATCTTTACTTTTTACTGATTTTTGATTTTTGATCTTTTTTTTTTTCGAGCTCGGGGCTCCTGTGAGGCTGAAGCTCTTGGGAAAGAGAGGGGGAAAGTATTTGGAATTGTTTCTCATTGCAGAACTCCGTCCCAAGTACACGAATAACCGTCCTTCCCTTTCTCCTTTTCTCCTCTTCTCCTTTTCATTTTCTCTTTGATCTGCATTTTGCATTTTGCATTTCCAATCTCAACTTCGGTCTTGCAGTTCCGATCTTTGAAGATCATGGCGATCTTCAATGTTTCATCATGTCTGCCTACGGTCCAACGGACATCTCCCGTTCATCCCTTTCGCTCCACTCTATGCCACCACCAGACTGACTCATGAGCAAATCCCGATTCTCCATGGATGACCCAGGAAAGAAATACAATGATTCAAGAAAAAAAAACCCACATTTATCAGCCAAATCTCAACGGAAACGATAATTAACGATAGCCGGGCACTGTGCCCTGATTTTGCTCGCCAGATTATCCCTAATCCTCACTTCCTACCCACTTGGCACTCCCGGTGGATCGATCCGATGATTCAGACCCACCGGCGGAGATATACTACAGGTTCAAAATAGCACCACTTGAATATGGAAGTTTAAGCTCCACAATCCCCGATTCCAACACAGGCACCGTCTCCCCCACCGTGATATTATCCAAACGCACCGGCGCGCCACCCGATAACTCGTAGTTGTATGACCAGCCATCCCAGGTGATGCCGCTGATCGCATCGCTACCATTCGCCATAAGCCGGTGCACAGATAAGGATCTCGCTGAGCCCCCGGCACCACTGCTTACTGGTACGCGGAACGAATATGTCGCCGTGGGCCGGGATGCCGAGTCTGTAGATCCGCTGGTATTGTACTCTTGCATGTTGAGCACGGCGATCCGTGCAAGTTGCCCATCGATATATGTAGCATAGGCGGCGTCGGTGTCCTTGGTTAGCGGGAGGTTCACGACCTGAATGTTAGTGGAGCTGGAGCTGTCTCCTCCGCCTAGCATTGCCGCAACCATTATGTTTCCGTAGTATGGCGCTTTCGTGCCCAAGGTTGTCTTGTTGGTTTGGACGGGTTGCCATGCTGCATACCGATAGTCTGTTCCTTGGTGCATGTGCGTGCGTCGGATGCTCTGGGAGGCGCAGTAGAGATTGAAATCAACGCCCCAAAGGGCTGCACCGAACGAGTTAGATAAGCCCGGCTTGCCTTCATTGTAGAGGGAGTTGGTCTCGCCCAGAATATAGGGGATATCCTTGGCTAAACCGTCTTCCTTGAGGGTCTGGGCTAGCTTCACGTGCTGCAGGACACTGTTGACCGTTGACGTATGATTCATCAACGTCCGCTGGAGTGTCACACCTGGCTGAGTAGCACCACCAATATAGCTAGATAATACGATGAATAAAAAATCAGCCACATTTTCCAGAGACACATCAAAAGATCGACGATCATAGTCAGACCCACTTGTGCATCGAGTTCAACATGATATCACCATCTGCATCCAGTCCATCTTCCCACGTCGTCACGGGATCAAGACTATTAGTCAAACCCGCAAACGACGGAGCAAGATACTTGTATTCAGCATCCGTCGCCATCTCAGGACAAGCTTTGGCAATCTGGCGCTTGACTAGCCGGGTTTTTGACAGCCACTCCGTCACATAATCACTCTCCGACCAATTAGCTGGTCGCTTCGTGTCCGTTGCACTTGACTTGTACAAGTCAGGCTCATTGCCCATCTCCCAGTACGCCAGCTTGCCGTCCTTGAGAGCCTTGCATGCTAGGGGAGCGGTAGCAAGCAGTGTATTCATCCCTTCGGTTCCATTTTTGGCCAGGTCGAACCCGAAGCTGAACTTGGTGTCTGGCCATGTTGCGTACGACTCAAAGAACGAGGGTCCGATGTATACGATGGACGGGTAGTCGGTAGATATGGCTGGGACAACTGTGCCATTGATTCCTGTTTTCAGATTCGGGTCGTATAAGGCAAAGTCTCTATTCACGAATTAGAACAATCATGGAATGGAAGCTCGAAATATGCGTCCACTGGCTGGCTTACTGGGTGTTTCCGCCGACACGGATATAAGGCTTGATACCCTGGAGATCGGCCAGGTTATCTAGTAGCTGGTTCGAGAATTTATTCGGCAAAGACAGATTGCCTGGCACATGGTGACTTCGGTTAGCCATTGATCTCCTGAGTACGCCAGAGTCTTAGGGATCCATCCATAGATGGATACAGTATGTACCTACCTGCAAAATCAGGGAAAGAGGCAAACTCAATTGAAAAGGAGACAAATGGGCGCAAGATTGCAGCACCGGCGTCTTCCGGAGCACTCTGGCTAACCGTCACAGCTGACGAGATATCTCTTGCAACGGTCGTCGGGCCAGCGGCCGCTACTGTAGCCCCAAGGAAAAGCGAGACGAGCATTGCGAGATGAAGCTTGATTGCTTGTTCGTCTACTGTAAATCTTCGACGTCAATTGTTTTTGCCAGGCCTGGGTTTGAATTTATTTATGCTTGGAACTATTGCCGACGTCAGTCTAGGTTATTGACCCTTGTCAAATGCCGCGTGTAACGGTAGTTAGATTAATAAGCTTTGCATAGTGAGATATGAAGAGAATTGCAGCGGTTCATTGGCGCGAAATTACCGGGGAAACAACTTGATGCGCATATACCCCCTTGACGATGCGGGGGTTACATCTGGGGTAGTAGTAAAGCGGGCGATCGTTGCTTATTCTCCTCAAAGTCGGCTATTGATATCTGGACCAGGGACGAGTAAACAAAACAAACATACCTTGGAACCAAGTACGTTGTCAACTCATGACCCAATGTTTCCAAGGTTCTTTCAATTGATATCGAGATATGTCTTTGGACCTTTGGCTATTCAATTGACCAGCATGTCGTATTCTTAGTCACCAGTCATATGAGAAACGGATTTTTGACTTGAGGGTATATACTGTCCAGACTCCAGGTACTTTTATCCTACTGAGTACTATACAAGCGACCCACCTTGTATCAGTTCCAGGAAGTCAGGTCAAAAGAAAAAGAAATTAAAAAATCCGTAAATTCCACATAGAAAAAGTGGTATCAGTTCAAAAATAACTAGCTCACGAGCAATGAACACCTTTGCCGGCCATTTGACCTAAGAATAGCAGAGCAGGTATGATAAATTATCTACACAAACGAAGAAAGAAAGGATAACCAGATCATCGTAAAGTCCGTCGTGATCCTCTGTCAAGAGATCAGGTGTATTTGCGGAGCTAGAAAAGGAAAAGGAAAAATTCGAGTTAGTATTGTTTTCATGCACATCCATCAGATGAAACGATAAACTTACATCAAGAGTCAGGGATTTACTGCTGTTCTCCACTTGATCTCTGTAGATTCCGACTAGTGCCTCACTGTTCTGGAACAGTCCAGTCTTCAAACTGATAACAATGAACTGCATACCGGGGGCGGCGTGGTCGTGGATGTAATTGGCAATGCGGGCAACATTGGTGTTATCGAGAGCCGCATCAACCTCGTCCAGCACGAAGAATGGAGAAGGTTGATATGAGTGGATTGCAAACAGTAGGGCAAGTGCGGCCATGGTCTTCTCGCCACCAGAAAGATGCTCCATATCACGGAAACGCTTCAGAGGAGGCATGGCGTGGTATTTAATTCCATCAAGGTAAGGCTCATCCGAGTCCTCGATATCAAGGTAAGCTTGTCCGCCCAGCGGATAGTTGGCACTGCGCGTCAATTCTCGGTAGATAGGGCCAATTTGTTCTGAAATGTGTGCAAAGGCCTTGTTAAAGAGATCGGAGCGCTTCTTCATCACTGCCTCGAACCCATCCTTGGCCTTTCGGGCTTGCTTGCGCGCATCCTCAAAGTCCTGCTCAGTGCTACGAAGCTTGTTCTCGACCGTCTCGAGGCGCTCCATGGCGCGAGTATTCGGTGCCATTTTATCGAGCTCACTGTTGAGAACGCGAACCTTTTCTAGCAACTCATCCTCGAGCTTATCATCGGCTTCCTATAGGCGAAATTAGCATATAACAACATTGGGGGTGTGGTTGAAAGTCAACACTTACTTCCTTGAGTGTCTCTCCAAGAGAGTCAAAGTCGACCTCGATTCCATAATCCTGGACCACAGGAGCCTCATCAAGGTCATCGGCCTCATCTACATCCATGGCATCTGGATCGGCACCCTGTACCAACTCATCGATGGGAAGTTTGTCGAAGGAATTAGAAGAGTCTGTCAACGGAACATCAATGTCTTCAAGCTTGCATCGACGCAGGAGGGCGTAACGGCCAGATGAATTGCGCTGGATTTCTGCTTCAAGAACATTAATGCTCTTAAGCGCTGCTTCGACATGCTTGCTTCGCTTCTGGAGTTCTCTTCGCTGCTCGGCTAGATTTTCTGCTGCCTGTGCATATATTTCCTTCTGCTGCTCAAGAGCTTCCCGGAGAAGCTCAAGCTCAGCACCGAACTCGTCTAGCCTGTTTCGAATCTCGTCCTGTTGGCCCCTAAGCTCCTGAATAAGACTCATATCGCGCTCATACTGGGCCTCGAGGCCGCTGACACGCTCTTGGGTCGCCTGGATCCGCTGCATTTCGAAACTGAGCTGGTTCTCAATGCGGCTCTTTTGAGTGGTGAATTCAAGTTTCTTTTGCGCAGCTTCCTCCTGCAGCGAACCCTGCTGGGCTTCATATTCACGGATATTATCATATCCAAGACGCTTGCAGAACTTCTTGTAGATCTCATCTTCAACTGCACTAACCGAGGATTGAGAGACTTCAATAGTTTGGTCCAGCTCATCGAGATTCTCCTTGCGCTCGGTATATTTGGGGCGCAGGTCCTCCATCTGGCGCTTAACAAAGTCCAGCTCACTGTGCTTGCTCTTGACGTTTCTTTCAAGTGCCTTCAACTCCTCGCGGGAATAGTTCAGTCGCTGCTCCAGACCAACCAGTTCACCCTGCAGAGTCTCCTCCTCTGATCCACGGTGGTGGCTCTTAGGGAGACTGCCGAGATCGCCCAACAACTTATCCTTTAGCTTATAAAGATTCTCGACCTCGGAATCTTCCCAACGCTTGGAGTTTTGCTGGGGGCCTCGTCCACCGGTCATGAGACCACCCTTGTGAATCACGGTGCCATCAAGGGTGACAGCCTTAGCATCAACGTTCCTCTCGTAGCAAAGATACTTAGCTGTCTCTAGATCATCACAAACAATCGAGTTCCCGCAGGCGTAGCTAATGGCACGAGCGACCCAGTCTTCATAGTCGATGGTCTCAATAGCCGGGCGCATATTTCGGTGCATGCCCTTCAAGTTGGAGTTGACAGGCTTGACCTGGATAGTTTCCAAAGGCAGAAAAGTAGCAAGACCTGCGCGCTGGTCGCGAAGATGCTGAATGCATTCCTTGGCAGTCTTCTCGTTGTCCACCACAATAGCATCGAAATGGCGGCCTAGGACGGTGCTAACTGCCTCGGCATACTTGCGCTGTTTGGGCCTGCAAAGATCACTGACGCGGCCCTTTACACCGGGGAAAATACGCTTGAGAGTTGAGATCATCTCTTTGGCGCGCAGCTCGCGCTCGTTTTGCTTCTTTCCATTGTCGGCCTCAAGTAGCTTCCTCAGCACAACCTGTAGCTTCTCCTCGAGTTCTGTTCTCATTTGCGAGACCTTCAAGCGCTCCGATGTCAAGGTGTTAAGCTCTTTTTTCTTGCGGTCGATGTTCTTGGATGTGGTTTTGTTTGTTTCGGTAAGAGCCGCCTTGCGCTCATTCATGTTTTGAGCATCAGACTCCAAGTTTTTAAGCTGCCACTCAGTATTCTCGAACTTGCCCTTCAGACTGTTGACAGCTTCTGCCTCGGTCTTTCTTTGTCGCTGGAGGTTGTCGAGGTTTAATTGGTCCGAGGAAGAGCGTTTGCTAACCTCCTCCCGAAGCTTGTGGTATTCTTGCTGGTCACTTTCGCTCAGCTGCACGCCCTGCTTGTTCGTAGTCTTTTTCCACTCAGTCTCCCATTGAGCCTGAGCTTTCTCAACAAGCTTCAAATCCTTCTCGAGCTTCTTAGCGCCATTGGAGTAGGTCTCACGCTCCTTGGCGATCTCGTCGATTTTTGAAGCATACCGCTCGACCTTTTTCTGGGTGATGTCGATCTTTTCATCGACGGGGACCAAGGAGTTGTTGAGTTCTTCGATATCCTTCTCCTTTTTCAGGATGTTCTTCTCGGCCTTGCCAACGTCCCGGCCAACACGGGCGTGCTCCTTCTTGGCATTCTCGACATTCGTCTCATACTTCTCGACGCCACGGCGGTATTCCTTAAGCTCATCCTGGTGCTTCTGGATGTCGGCACTCGAGTCGTCGATCAGGCGTTGAAAGTGGAAGAGCTTCCAAAGAATATGTGTAATGATTGCTTGGTCACGTTCCTCGGCCTTCTTGGCGTAGTTCTCGGCTTCTCGCTTCTGCTCCTGGTACTGCTTGACCTCGGAGTTGATGCCTCTTCGGCGGTTGAGTTGAACGGTCTGCTGTTCAGCCGCCTCATCTGCCTCCGCCTTCAATTTCTCATAATCGGCCTTGTACTCCAAACTGCCAGAAATCTGCTCGATTAGCCGAGTAAGGTCTCGAGGCGATTGAGAGGCAATAGCCTCAACATCTCCCTGGAACACAAGGAAGTTGCGCGCGCGAATCAAGATGTTTTCAGCCTCCAAAGCCTCGTTGTATTGCTGAGCAGTGACAATTTTGTTGTTGATGCGATATTCGCTGGCACCTTGGCTGGTGATAGAACGACGCCATTGCTGCTCGTCACCGGCGTCATCTTCATAGCAGGCCATAACCCAGGCAGTCTTAGGATCATTCGGGCCACCTGCGTCTTGCGACGCATCCATATCCTCGTCCTCATCCTCATCCGCCTCCTCTGGCTCGCCGTTCTCTCCATTGGCAGGAGGCGCACCGTCAACCTTCGATGTGCGCAGTACACGTCCACGGTAGACGAGATCGCGGAGGTTGGTCGATCGCAGGTGAGAAGACTTGATTCCTAAAACGAAAGAGATGGCATCCATACTGATACGGGTCAGCAAGTGCCTCCGCGGGGGAAAATTGGAAGATGACGATCAGAGTACATACGAATTCGACTTGCCAGACCCATTGGGCCCAATGATCGATGTGAAGTACGCATCTCCGAAGAGTAGCGTATGGTGTCCTTTGTAGGACTTGAAATCTGGAAGCAAGGTTAGCTGAATGCGCGCTACACTATTTTGAGGGATGCATACTGAAAAGCTCCAGGCGAATAAGTTTGCCCATGGTGCAAAGCAGCCGCTTCCTAAGGAAGCCACACGCTCAGAATTCTCAAGCGAAGGATTTGTGGTTGATGTCAAATCGCGGGACTGACTGGACACAAATGAATGGGAGGGGCGCGATATGGGGAATCGCGCGTCAACCCCGACGCGCCGATTTGGTCACGTGGTTTGTATCAATATTCTGCCCGCAATTTTAGGTAGTCGCAAATAGACATTATACAAATCTTTGGAAGTGGATTTAAAGCCTAGGAAACATCTCTAAATATTTCTAAAGAACTTTTATCTGCATTTAACCTCATGTGTGTGATTAGACGAGACAAAGTATATATCGAATCTTTCTTGGAATTCGTATTAGAACATCGAATATTTAGCCGAACTATGCACCCTGGGCATACTAGTATGTACTCCATACTATAGTACAGTTCATACTACATACAGATTCAGCCCTGCGTGTACTGGGTACAGATTTGACCTTCTGATTGAAATATTATGATCAATAGTGAACATTGAATTTCATGCTGATTGGTGTTACAGGTTGTATATGTACACTGTGAAGGACTCCTCAACATCGGAAGGATAAGGAACGAGTTCGAGAAATCCGTAGTAGTAAACAAGCGAATCTCGAATGCGGGAATTGCAAAATGTGTGAGTGCAAAGTATTAAGACAAGACGAGAAGGAGAGACCTTTAGTAGGTTACCGCAAAACTCAAGACCTCTTCAACTGGACAGGGTTTCCGAGAGCCATGAAGTCATTGGATACGAACCCATTGGAATCCACTCGGAAGGTTTGCTTGTAGCCTTCAACACTCAGGAGAATAAAGTCCTCACCAGTGAAAATCTGTCGCATAGACATGAACATTTTCCACAGACCGATACTCAGTGCCTGAACGGGTGCTTGGAAGAAACCTTTCTGCGAATCCTGCGCCGAGCCAAGCTTCTTGCTATCCCCCTCGAACCGCTGTCTCGAATCCTGCGAGACTACCAGCCGACGGGAAATAGAAACCTGGGATGGAAGAACCTCAAACTGGTAAGGCTTTGTAAAGGGTACCATGCGCCGCACCGCGAAACGAATATAAGTCTGGTTGTTAGACTTGACGGCCGTGATGTTCCGTACCAAATGGCCCGTTCTCACGACAAAAAGTGTACCCATGACACTCATTGTCACGCAAATACCACCAAACAGTCCCTTCTGCCACATTGGGCGCTCGATCTGAGCATCGCGGAAAACGTCATTGGAGTTGAACAGGGCGTACGCGAAACAGAATGCCGATAGACCGTACGCGCTCAGGACATAGGTGCGATGAGACGGTGACCGGAAGAGAACAACATCGCCTTCTCTTGCGACCTTAAGGGCTAGTCGTCCTATTGATCCTGCAGGGACACTCGAGCTTGAGACGGTGCTTCGTGGGGTGGGTTTTGCTGCTTGACCACGAGCTGCTCGTGGGGCGCTCGTCACGAATGAGCGCCATGTGGAGGTAAAATCTGCCTGGCAGGCATTTCGAGTTGAAGGCCCAGCGAAACGGTGCCAAAATAGTCGGAAGGTAGGAGGTCTAGCAGCCATTATTATTGCGCGGAGTCTGTTGATGACAGGGTCAGTATAACATTTCTGTCAAGAACGCCATTTCTACGGATGCAGGCACTCCAGTCAAGACCCGTCCAATGACAATTGAATTAGGCCAGGATAGACCTTGGTGAACAAAGCAAGACAAGACAAAATTAAGCACTTACGAAAAAAGCGATCAGTTCACCGTTGTTCTCCTCGGGAAGCGCAGCTCGAAAATAGTCCACTGCGCGGAAAAACCTAACCCGGCCGCCCGGTGAAACTCAACGGCCTCAACACCGGCTTCATTTCCTTCTCAATCCCTAAGCTCAACCAACGTCTCCGACCAAAACGAACCACACTAATTATCACGGAAAATAACGCGGCTTGACGCGCTGGTGGAATTTTGGCCGATTGTGTCCTTCTCTGTCGACATTCCAGCTCCCCGGAGAGTTGCGACCTTTGCTTAAAGCATCTCCGATCAGATCTAACGACCTCCCCGAAGTCGAAAAGTCACCGCAACTCACCATTACAAAATGGCCGCTCGAATTCCCGCCAGCAAGGTCCCGGCCATGTTTGCCCGCCGCCAGCCGCGCGTTGTCCAGATCACCAAGCGTAAGTCCAGACTTTGACTCCAGGGACAATGCGATCCGCAAGCTCCGCAAATGAGAATATCCTTATCGGAGCTCAACCCCTTCAAGAGCACAGCTCTCACCTACCGGGAAAAAACCAATAACTAACCTGGATTCCAATTATAGGCATGCAATCTTCCTCCGCCCCTCAATTCCATAATCCCGCCTACCCTCTCTACCCCTCCGTCAGCCAGCTCCTGCACCAACAGAACATCCCGGTGTCAGAAGTCTCCAAGATCCCGGCCTCAGGACCTAAGGGCCGCCTTCTTAAGGGTGATGTCCTCGCATACATCGGTCAAATCGCTACCGAGTACCCGGCCACACAAGCCGCACAGCTCGCCAAGCTGGCCCACCTGGACCTGAGCAACATCAAGATCGCAGCACCTCCCGCAGCGCCGGCCGCAGAGCCAGTTAAAGAAGAAATTATTGCCAAGCCGCCACCAATGACCTCAATCGCAATCTCCGTTTCTCTTGCGGCCGTCTTGTCCGCACAGAAGAAGATCCAGGATAACCTAGGGGTAACTGTGCCTCTCTCTCGTTTCTTGGCCGTGGCCACTGATCTTGCCAACGATGATCTGCCCCGCGCGAAGACCGACAAGCCTTCCGTTGATGAGCTGTTTGAGGAGGTTCTCGGTGCGGAGCCTGTGACTATCTCGCGCGGCGATTATATTCCCGAGTTGAATGCGTACGAGGCTACCCCGGCACCGCGCCAGACAGTCTCTGTTGCTGAGGATATCATTGATATCCTGAGTGCCAAGCCCGGTAAGAAGGTTTCTTCCCCGGTGGCATATGACGTTGAGAGCTCTGCTGGTGCCTCCAACGTTTTCAGCTTAATTGTTCCGGTTGGCGAGGAGGTTCGCGCCAAGGCGTTCTTGGAGCGTATTAAGACCCTTTTGCAGGTCGAGCCTGCACGCCTGGTCCTTTAAAAATTTCGGCTTTGATCGTTATAACATCTCCTTGATCTTTAGAGCTTTTTGTTTTCTTTTTATGACCCACAGCTCTTGTATTTAGTGTAGCATAGGTAATTTGACACCGCCTGGGTCGGCTTTCTAGTGGAGTTCTCCATTTTCAACATCAATTGTCCAATCAATAGCTTTTAGCTGAATAATACTGTGTACATATACATAATTTACAGTCATACGGGGAAAGTAGGGTCAATATAATGAATGAGGTATGCTTGACCTTCGTGATATTTCATCCTAAAATAGCAGAACCCCCGCGCCGGACCGATGGTATGGGATAACATTAGATCAAACCAGATATGAATCATAAAACGAATCTGTCAGTTCAAAAACAAGTGACAGTAAGAAAAAAGAGAAAACAAGAAAGGGGTATGGCATCATCAAAGGGCAAGTTGCTATATGAAACAACCATCCTTCCTGACGCCAATGCCGGATACCGGCGACCCAGTTGAAACACCTTGAGCGCCGCCGCTTGGACTGGAAGGGGAAAAATGCGCCGGAAAAAAAGGACCATGTAAAGAAAGAAAAGCTGGGCATAATGGTATGGGATGCCATATGAAAAGGAAACCAGCGGGAATACAGACCATCTCCGTCGAGGACTGAGAAGGGAGCAGTCTGCAAAATCCTTGCTGATGTAGAGAAATTGTGTGATAAGGCCGTTATTTAGCCGATGCAGAAAATGCTCCATGATCAGAATCAAATATTTCCCTTGATACCATGGAATGACAATCCCCGGAGGATTAATGCCCGAGACCCAGAACTCCATGTCGCATGCAAATGAAAAATAAGAAGACGTGAAATAGGCAAAGATGAGAGATCTAACGAATAGCACCCCATTCTGATAGCTTGCTACCCTCGCGCCGCGAGTCTCTGGTAGCTCGTTTGTCGAAAATCTTCCAGAATCGAAGTGTCTCATCACCAGCACCAGTTACAACCGTTTGGCCGTCTGGGCTCATAGCAAGGTACAGAACGCGGAATGTATGGCCTGTCAACGAGACAATCTGCTCCATCCGAGGATACTTCCAGATAACAATCTGGTTTTGACTATACCCATGGGTGCTGATGATCTCATCCGAGTTCTTAGACCAAGAAAGGTTGCAGACTTGACTTCCAGTGTCCACTTCCTTGATCATGGAGCCGGTTGACGTGTTCCAGAACTTGATCGTGCGATCTGCTGTACCTCCTCCCGATGCAAGCAGATGGTGTTGGTGAGGTGACCATGCAATAGCCTTCACAGCTGCACAGTGGTCTGAGAATCGGTAAAGTGGAGTTTCGCTCAACTTATCCCACACCATCAACTTATTGTCGTTGCCACCAGATGCTAATTGTCCGTCTTCGGTGTTCCACTTCAACCCGCAGACCTCTTGCTTGTGACCCGACAATCGTTTTACCCACTGATCGGGAGAGCGGACATCACGATGGTAGATAAGACGGTCGCGAGATCCAGAGGTGAGGATGTGGTCATTCCATGCCAGAGCACCGACCCTATTAGTATGACCGACCATTGTTCGTAATCGCCGGCAATGTTCAGCATCCCAGATTTGCACTAAACCTTTGCCTGTGCCGATGGCAAGATGAGTACCCTATTAGAGTATGATTAGTCGCAAAGATCATTGGGTCAAGTAATCAGAAAAGCATCTACATACCCTCTGAATCCAGTTCACACTGGTGACAGTATCATCTTTGAGGTCACAGAGTTTGGTGACTCGGCCGGATTGAGAGTTCCACATGTAGACGGAATTAGATAGTCCAACCCCCAGCACATTACTGCTTCCCCAGTCCACCAAATTCAAGTAAAAGTCATCCTGTAGATCAGGCGCATCCAGCACCTTGTAGGGGACCTTGTTCACATAACGGGGCTGCTTGCGCGGGGTTTCAAGTATGCGTTGACTGTCAAGTCGGATGGGCGATAGACTGTACAGTTCAGAGCGGATATTTAAATTTGGCGCATGCGCACTTCGGGGGGTTTTGGAGGGTGTGGGATGGGTGGAGCCCGGGCGACTAGGACCGTAATTGAAAAGGTTCTTGTGAGGAGTTGAAGGAGTCATGTTGGTGGGTGGGAGGTTGGAGACAAGGGTAGGTGGTGTGTGAGATCGAGTTTTGTCATTAATGCCATTGTTGAATCCTAACAATGGATCAGGCGAGGTGGAAGTGAGGTCGGGTTGAGGAACGGTATTTCCAAAGATTTCACTGCGCAGGACTCGGGAGAAAGTCCGGTTCGCTTCTTCGGCTACAGGCAGTGTCAGTCAGGAATTCTCACTACATTGTAACGGAATAAACAAACTCTTTTGGAAGTGCAGCTCGGAGTGGGGGGCACGTCTCTTTGACTTTGAAGGAGTCGATGGACACCCATCCTCATGGAGCAGACTGTATGTGGCCTGAAGGTCTTGTCCATCACGATTTGGGATAAACCTTGAATAACAGTCAGTTCAAATGTCTCTTTTTGAGCGGTTTACCACGAGTGAATTATTCTCAAGGGTTCCATGCGCTTGACTAACCGATCTCCGTAGACTCGCTGTCTCTTTCGGCACGGACTTGAGGCTGGTGTTCTCTCTCTTCCAATACCACCTTCATCATAATCCTTCAGTGCCTTGGCGAGCGCATTCGCATCCACTGGCTCTGATCCGTCCGGTGCTCGTGAGCGGCTTCCCAAGTTATCTGGGTACAATATCGTTCTCTTTGTCGGCATAGTGGGGGGTGTTTTTGAACCGGGGAGGAGAAACGATGTTTGCGGCACGAATACTTGAAGCTTGCGACCGGGTATTACTTGTTGTCGTCCTCCCAGCCTTCACACCAGCTTCCTTGTCCTGAGATCGGTCCCCCATGGCGGCGGCTGATCGTCAGGCCCCAGATTCGAATCGCGCTGAATATTGACGGTACCGAAGGTTTGCATACGATGAAAGTGTGATTGTGTGGATTGTTTGTGAATTCGCAGGGAAGTGTTGAAAGAGGTTGTTATTTGATGTGCGATGGTTGCCGGGGCTTTGTGTTGATTTGTGATGAAGGATTCCAGATCCAGGCAAGTGAAGGTGGGCGCTTCGACACAGGTATCAACCTGACACCTTTTGATCACCTCAGATGAAACACGGAGATTCCAGTGTCAAAGGAGCCCAAGACAAAGAGAATGGCATTCAAAGAAGATTGAGGCATAAGCGTTGGAAGGTATCCAAGGGCGACTTCAGTTCATCCCTCTCCCAGTCACGCGTCGGGTACGCTATACCGGATTGGGATGGTCCTGGAATCCCGTTTCGTTACATCAATTCCTAGTTAAACCACTATAGAAACCCCATGGAAAATCAAATTGAATAAAAAAGCCATGTCTCTTATTTAAAGATCTAAGATCCTTTCACCGTGACTCCACTTAGATCGGCAATTTCCTTTGGATCCTTGGGAATCCTTGGACTTTAAAAAGAAAATAACCTTTGTCACTAGTATCTATATGTACTGCGTTTCTATACTCTATGCATTATTTCAGTCTGGTCCGGGAACTGGGGTTCTTTGACTTGAACCTGTTCCACCCCTCTTTTTTTTCACTCAAGTCTCAGATTTGTTTACATTCACGCGTGTGAGGGTGGTTTCATTGGACTATGTCATAGGCTGAGAAGTAAGAGAGTGGGGGGATAAAGGTGAGGAAGTCAGACACGAACCCGGTGGACGCGTTACCACGCGCATTTTGCCCTACGCGCCAATCCGACGCGCTAGAGCTTTTAAGCCCATAAGAAATTTAATGCTTCCTACACCAATCATTTACTTCGGAGAATTAAAAAAAAAAAATTAAAAAAAGAGCCAATTCACATTCTTATCCCAGAAATGCAAGTGGAGTCCAAAATACTATTTCCTCAGACTTGTAACTCTCATTGTGTGCAACATTGTGATAATTAAGCTTGACTCTTATCGTCTCCGCACATGCGTCAACTGTCACCGCCAGCGGGAAAACCTTGCCCGCAGTTGGCACATCCCCACAACATCGACTCCAATTTGACTATGCGCTCTTCTGTTCTCCCTTTACTGAGTCGTAACATCCGTCGATCTTCTTCCACCATGGCTTCCATTTCCAAGGTTCCTGCCCAGCAGTTCCTGGACTTTGTCAATGCTTCCCCTACTCGTACGTTTCCCCTCAATACTTTAGGACCCCTGGTTGTCGATCGTGGAGTTGACTGGGTCTAGCCTTCCACGCTGTGCAATCTGCCAAGGACCTTTTGGCCAAGGCTGGCTTCCAGGAAATCAAGGTACTCCCCATTCCCCACAAATCTGAGCGGAACATTCAGAGCTTTATCGGCATCTTGTTCTTCTTTTTACTCACGCTATCCATAGGAAAAAGAGTCTTGGGCCTCCACTTGCAAGCCTGGTGGCCGCTACTACCTCACTCGCAACACCACCACTCTTATCGCTTTTGCGATCGGTCAGAAATGGAAGGTTCGTATCAGAGATCTATGAGTATATGTGAGTAATCAAGAATGTGGCTGATGAAGAACATTCAATTGTAGCCGGGCAATTCGATCGCCATGATTGGTGCCCACACTGACTCCCCGGTCCTGCGGGTCAAGCCCGTCAGCAAGAAGCAGGGTGAAGGTTATATCCAAGTTGGTGTGGAGGCCTATGGTGGTGGCATCTGGCACACCTGTAAGTTCTTATACTCATCGACCTTCTCAGAGAGTCACTAACAGTCTCAGGGTTTGATCGTGACCTCGGTGTCGCTGGCCGCGTCATGACCCGCGAGAGCAACGGATCCATTGTGCAGAAGCTGGTCAAGATTGACCGTCCCAGTAAGTGTGACACTTGTTGATCTGGTTAAATTGAGTTGGGCTAACACTTTACAGTTCTTCGCATTCCAACTTTGGCCATTCACCTTGATCGCCAGGAGAACTTCTCTTTCAACAAGGAGACTCAACTGTTCCCCATTGCTGGCCTCATCGCCGACGAACTCAACCAACCTGGTGAGATCAAGGCCACCGAGACCAAGGAGGATGAATACGCACCCCTGAAGACTGTGTCCCAGCGCCATCACACTCGATTTGTCGAGCTCATTGCCGACGCGGCCCAAGTGAAGCCCGAGGACATCTTGGACTTCGAGCTCACTCTATTTGATACGCAGAAGTCCTGCCTGGGTGGCATGAACGAGGAGTTCATCTTCTCTCCCCGGTTGGACAACCTTAACTGCACTTACTGTGCTACCGCCTCCCTCGCCGAGTCTGCTCCCTCCGAGAAGTCCCTCGAGAACGAGGAGGCCATTCGCCTGATTGCCCTTTTCGACCACGAGGAAATTGGTAGCCGTACTGCTCAGGGTGCGGACTCAAACATTCTGCCCTCAATCATCCGTCGTTTGTCGGTTCTTCCTTCAATCGCTTCCTCCTCAGAGGATGTGTCCACCGCATACGAGCAGACCCTTGCCACCTCCTTCTTGGTGTCTGCTGATATGGCCCACGCCATCAACCCTAACTATTCCCAAAAGTACGAGCCTGATCACAAGCCCGTCATCAACAAGGGATGTGTAATCAAGATCAACGCTAATGCCCGCTATGCTACCAACTCCCCCGGTATCGTCCTGCTCCAGGAGATCGCTCGCAAGAAGGGTGAGCAGGAGAGCTTGCCTGTCCCTCTGCAGCTGTTTGTTGTTCGCAACGACTCGAGCTGCGGTAGCACCATTGGTCCCATGCTGTCTGCTGCCCTTGGCGCCCGGACTCTGGATCTCGGTAACCCCCAGCTGAGCATGCACAGCATTCGCGAGACTGGTGGTACCTATGACGTTGACCACGCCATTCGCCTCTTCACTGGGTTCTTCGAGCACTACTCGGAGCTTGCCCCCAAGATCTTTGTTGACTAAATTGATAGTCAGCAGCAACCTTCGAAGTAAAGCGCATAAAGGCCTTAGAACAGGATATACATAGTATGAAGCAAATGAATTCAGTACATTCCCTGACCTTGGAATCCCCTGACTCTTATAAACATTGGATATACTTTATCATATATGCCAAAAAAAAAAAATTGTACTTGTGAGCTTTAGAGCGTACTATGTACTTTTGATCTTCTGATAGCACGAGGATGCATCGTATAGAGTTGCACGTGGTGGTCGGCCCGGGATAACTCCGCTTCTACCTAAAGCGCCGCGACTCCACACCTTCTCTTATCAACGACAGCACTGGACACCCGATTGCAGAGCAGTGTCCATGCCCCCATGACCCTCTATGACAGACGTCGATGTCTTCCGCGATGCAGAGTACATCGCTGACGTGTTAAGAATATCCCTCGAAGATGACAGCGAGGGCGATTCACCAGCCGGAACTGGTCCGCTCAGCGCCCAGGACCGCAGTCGCGTAAGGAAAGGCCAGTCAACAGCGAAAAACGCGTTCATTGACCGACTACTTCGGGATTTGGATATTCTCATCTATTGTCAATTATCAGCGCTGTATTATATGGAGTGAGTTTGGTCCATGACTTTCGCCTCGATGGCCGAGTGGGGAGAGCGATCGCGATAGCTGCAAGCAACTTACCCCGGCTTTTCATCCTCGAGCCCCACACCTACTACAGGCAACTTGCTGACAAGTTTTGGAATTTTATTCAGCTGCTCTGTCGTTTTGTTCGCTATTCGTGCCGCCGTTCAACTCATCTTCTTCACGCCTAAAGCATCGCCGTTTGAACCAACCCGAAACCAACCCTTCGTGACAGCTATTCTAGGCAGCAACCTGTTCTGCATACTCTTTCATGCTTTCATCATACGTCCCGAGGCCGGCGAAGCTACGCGCGGCTATCTGCATGGCGGCTTGTTCATCGATTTCATCGGACAAAAGCCCGTTCCGACATTCCAACTCATATCCTTCGATGTCTTAATCCTCCTTGTCGATTTTCTCATGCTAGGTCTAATTATCGAACGAGTTAAAACGGCCGCTCTAAACCCACCTTCTACAAGTACCACTACGAATAACGCTGCTTCAGCGAATGCAAATACGGGAACGGATGCGGAGACGGACGGCAACGGCCAGACCGAGCGGCAAGATCACGATGCAGAGGAACGAGGAGTCATGCGGGGAGCCGAGGAAACGGATACGACTGACTCCAATAATTCTGAGACTGGGGTTTCCACAACTCCACCCGTCGTCGATATTGATGATGACTTCAATGATGAACGTACGACCCTCCTTGCGGACCCCGATGACAATGCCGCAAGTCGGGATGGCCACCCACTCGACTCCTTCTCCTCGGGCGTGGCCGTTATTATGGAAATGGGACTCTTTACGACAATACGAGATCAATGGATGTACTCCACTACACCGCGACGGCCAGCAGGCTATGTGCCATCGACCGAGACGGCTACATTTCTGCGACAGCGCTTCGGATTACAGGTTGGAAGTGATGGTCGGATCGTTCGAGTGAACGCATAGACCCTTCAGGCTATGCGCTTCGTATACAAAGAGCTTTTTTTTGGTCGCATGGAAGGATTTATTCACAAGGCTTGATTATCTGCATGCCTGCCTCGGTGCTGGCTGCCGAGCCTGATTGAAACATACAAACGCATATCAAAATGAAAATTACTGATAGAGCTTGGTCTTTCCAAATGCATACTAAACAGTCAAAAATACGCTGTCAACTGAGCTTAAAAGGCTCCTTAAATAGCAAAACAGTACGGAGTGCATCCATATGCAGTGCCTCCAGGGCTAGTAGGTAGTACTTCAATGTTAGATCAAATTTTCAACACAGAACAGTAAATACAAATCAACATTAAATATTTTCCAGAATGCTACTTCAACACCGGGATATGATATCTCTGTCATAATTCAATCAGCCTCCTAGCAAGCACCATACAACATGCTCACTTCTCTTCCGGCTTGACACGACGATCTAAAATCTCATCAATAATTCCAAGCTCTTTAGCCTCTTCAGCACCCATAAAATAGTCTCGCTCCATCAGTTTCTCAATATCATCAAGCTCAAGCTTCTTCGGACCATTAAGATGGCGCTTATAAATCTGGTTGAGCTGCGCCCGAATACGCAAGATCTCCTTAGCATGAATAGCGATATCTGTCGCTTGACCATGGTAGCCACCGGAGGGTTGATGAACCATAATTGACGAATGAGGAAGACAGAAGCGCTTGCCAGGTGCGCCACCAGCAAGGAGAAGAGAGCCCATAGACGCAGCTTGTCCAACGCAGATGGTGCTGACGGGGGCAGCGATGTATGTCATTGTGTCATAGATTGCCAATCCTGAAGAAAGGGCATATTAGAGATATCCCACAGGACAGGGGAAGTATCACGTACCAGCTGTTACGGAGCCGCCGGGCGAATTGATATAGAGATGGATAGGCTTTTTGGGGTTGTCGGCTTCGAGGAATAGGAGCTGAGCGACGATTGATGCGGATGCTATTTCGTTGACTTCTCCGTTAAGGCAGATGATGCGCTCTTTGAGTAGTTTGGAAAAAATGTCGTCTATGATGCGGTGAAAGATGCGAAACGATCAGTTAAGTCCAGGATAGTCCGAGCAGGTATTGGGGTTGGAAATAAAATGTGAGAAATGCGGGGGATCTCGATCCGACGTACAGGTGTGCCAGCCACCAGCCTATAGAGATTGAGTGTTAGAAGTAAAAGATAGATGTGTTAAGCAAGAGCAACATACGACAGTCTCAGTAACAAGAGGCATTGGGGTCCAGCCCCGCGCTGGTGAATAGTCCATTGATGGCCCAGAGCTTGAGAAGAGTCGCGCGCCGGCAAAACGCGCAAGGGCGGGAATTGTGGAGAGAGGGGCCCGATGGCCTAGTCTCTGAAAGAGAGGGAGACTGGAACGCATCATGTTGCCGGTTTGTGATGTACAGATGCAAATGGACCGGGAGTTGGAGAAGGTGAAATCAGAACGGCGGAGCTGTCGAGCGATAAAGTCCACGATAAGCTCCAGCCACCAAGTGCTCCACTCTCTCACATACGAGTCACGACTCACGAGTCACGACGACTCCAGATGCCTGCGAATTCCAACGTTCAAATATTTGAATCTCTCTGGAACTGCTTCTAGCTTGTCTCCTGCCAGAACAAATAGGTCATGCAGCATCTTGTAAACCAGTACTAATTACCTAACGCTGAATACTTTCGGCCATAGTTCGCAGAGGAGTGTTGCTTGTCTCCGGAGCAACTCCGCAAATGGCGAGTTCTGATTGGCACAACCCGACAACGGATAATAGGAAATTGCCGCAACAAATGTGAACTTCCTTTCTACACGAGCATCAGCATGCATTGCACCAACCGCCGGATCCCACTTGGGATATGGCGCCTGCGTATATTCCACCAACTTCTATCAAGCTCTTATAAACAAGCTCAAACATCCCGCTCCTTCTCGTCAAAAATCCACCAAAAGCCATCCCAAGACGACGCCTCAATTCCTCCATCACAACGCCTACCCCAGTCACCTCTCCTCACCCGCCCACGCCCGGGACCAAACCAGGCCACCGGTCCCAAACCAGCCCCTGAAAATGCCAGCCTTGAACCTCTGGCGAAAAACCCCTGGGCACTAGCTCTGGCGTCGCCAATGAGAACATGTTCTTTATCGGGAGCAAGGTTGCCGCGCGCACTCATGGGAGATTGGGGTTTAGTGCGCAAGCCGGACACGGATGATATGTATTTTTTACCAGTGGATCTGCTCAAAGACTCACTTGCTGGAGGCAAAGCCAAAGCGAAACCCAACAACTTGGACGAGACTCAGGGCGCAGTTAGTACAGACAACAGCCCCGTGAAAGCTCGGAACGAACCATTTGGCCGCCAGCTAGTGTTCCATATGACCAATTTCTTGTCATCACTACGAGTCATCTCCAAGCCACTGGGTAGAACGGGCGGCAAAAGGCCTGCGGTTACGAGACTTGTGCCTTTCCGGTGGAAGCATCCCCAAGGGCCAATCACAGCGCGTGAAGAAAAACAGCTGGTCTGGATGGATAACATGCCAGATTACATGTTGACGCGTATGAGAAGTCATGTGGTGAAGCGTCTCGTTGCTGCGTGTCAACAAGCAAACCATCTTGGTGCTGCGAATGGGGTATGGACTGCCATTGAGATGCCAGAGTATTCGGCCTCGGCTCTTCCGGAGGCATTGGGCCAGCTGGAGCCGATTGCAAAAATGGAATGTGGTGCAGTGCTTCTTCTAGGAGACTCACATTTAGGTGGCAGAGGATCGTTCCCAGATTCGGTTACCCTTCCTCAGGTTCAGCGAGGTGTTCCTGTGTTTGACCTTTCGATAATCTTATCAGAGTCAGACTTGATGAAGCTTCGTGAGGATGTCTCTCACTTCCATCACTCGGCCTTGTTCTTCAGACCGAATAACAAAGCAGTCAACGAGTTGATGCTGTCGCTGTGGAAATTGAAGCAGTTCCTTGCAGAGGACCTCGAGGCGTGAGATGACATGAAGGACCTTTGTCAGTCTCAAATGTTTATAATCTTCTAATTAACCCTAGTATCCCATATAAATATAACAGTACTGCATGGATGACTTCGCTCACTACTATTCTACTACAAAAGCTCTATGGAAGCGTGGTGGAATATGGGATCAAGCCATTTTTTCTATCTAATCAAAGAAAACAAGCAACATTGAAGTCAGAGTCAACACGAACAGAGCAATCTCAAAAAGTCTTTTGTCCTTCAATTGCCAACATTTGAAGGTTCCATCTGTCCCAGACCTCCAATTTAACGTCAATACAGTTTCATCTTCTTTCTAGTCCGTGGGGGTCCATTGTAGGAATTCGTGAAGGAATACCTCCCGACTCCCGAGAAATGCGGTGGCCACTTGATTGCAGAATTTTGCGAGAGGATTCAAGCCGAGGCAAATAGCCGTGGCAAATGGAGCAGTATTTACTGGTGCTGAGAACGAGCTCTCACACAAAGAAATCGAAATCCCGTCAATATGATGTGAATCTAATCGAACCAGCTCATCAGGGCATTGTGCCATCTCCACATGCATATCACCTATATCACAGCGTGGTCAAGGCCAGTCAAATTGCAACCGAACCGATACAAATACAAATTTTTCTTCAGTGTTGGAGCTCCAATCTGTCGTCATCACCAATTCACGTTTCAGAGAGCAAGACTTGAGGAAAATCGAACCATTAGCGGCTAGCCCCATGGTCCCGTCCAAAAAGAAAGCGGGGCTCATCGGCGTCATCAAATGACGGCAGCTGCAGCAACGGCTCTAGTGATGATGCGTACGACGTCTACGAGAGCTCTATTAGATCTATCACATAGTGACTTAGAACCTACAATGACCAAATGATTTATTGGTTGTTTAGCGGAGAGTCAGGTGATATATGCATCATGTGACACGCATCTTGTTTGCTGTCAGCCTTGTCCCCCTTGATGCTGTGCCTTCCTTTCCCCAATCAAGGGCACCTTCGACATGTTCTCATACGTAGTCAAACGGTTTTCGTACCTACAGCAATCGCTCCTACACTTCATATTACAGCCGTTCGGCTTTTTCTCCCGCATAATTTCCTTCATTGAGAAGCTCACATGTGCAAAGAAATGCCCGAGCGATCTCGAGTCCAATATCCCTTTCGACATCCGAGCAGGCCCTTCAACATGTGAAACCTACACCGTGTGCTTACAACCTCAGTATGACCTTGATATATTAGGCGTTGGGGCTTCTGGACAAGTCTACAATGTCAGCGACCAAATTGTTCTCAAGGCTTGTCGGATTTTCGCACCACCTAGCAGTGATTCCTCTCGAAGAGACCTTTGGCATTATGCTTCGGACACACTATTTCATTTCAATTTATTGAAAGACGAACGAACCGTCTTGCAGCAGCTGCAAAATAAACCACATCCTCACATAATGAAAGCCATCGATACTGGTCATCGAGAAGGATTATATCTCCGCAAATATCGACAACTACCCGCGGAAGTAAAAGCAACGCAAGCTCGCCGGATTAGATTATACCGCGATATCGCGGATGCTTTATGCCACCTCCACAGTCTTGGTATTGTTCACGCGGATGTAAGAGTTGATAATGTGCTTTTTGATGATCAGTTTTCAGCTATCCTTTGTGATTTCAGCGCTGCCAGCCCTTGTGGCCAACCCAATCTGGTCTTTCCAGATCTCCCACTTCCTATCAATGGCCCCTCGCCGATCTTGACCGAGGCATCCGATATGTTTGCACTAGCCTCACTCATATTTCAGATGGAGCACGGATTCGCCCCTGGCCTATCACTTGAGAATGGGAGACTAGCTCTGCCTGAATTAACATCGGGGAACCAAGGCATTGACGAAGTTATACAAATGGCCTGGCTTGGAAATTACAGCCGCACGTCAGATATGCTACATCAACTAGCTTTCATTGATTCCCAGATGAATGAATATGCTGAAAGCACTGAGGTACCCTCTGATCTTGAAGACTTGAATCTTCAAATCTTGGACTGGAAAAAACACCGGATTTGTAATTTTGGTAGGCGTCAGCCTCTTAGGAGATTCCAAAGCAATTCATTTTTATCCGCTAACTTTTCTCTAAGGATGCGTCCTCGAAGGGATTCTTTCAGAGGAGCAATTGAAAGTCCTGGCTGAACGACACGATATGGATCCAGATGCAGATCTACGATTCACTCATTACATCTTGCCCTAAGTTGTAAAATGGTCATGTATAACCAGGACCTGGAGACGAGTGTTGGAGATGTAGTATTGTTCCAACTTTATCAGTGCTTCACTAATAGTGTCATCGTCCATAAAAAAAGTCCCCCGGCTTGGACCAGACGAGAGACGCGAAACTTTTGCGTATATACATATCATGCATCTAACTTTGAACGGCCAATCACGTACCGTGCTCTTACTAGGAGATACTTACAGGTGATGTTAATGGCCGTCAATGTTTGGAACTCTTCGGCAGTTTGCACATTCATCCCGCAGGTTTTGAGAACTCCCCATGGGCACTTCCGGCTACATATAGGGCTCAGCATGACTCTCAGGACACATGCGAGGCTACGTAAGAAACATTGAGCTTTGGAAACATTGAATTAGGCAAATCAAATAAGCTCTTATTAAATGCCTATGCACGCACTCTGTTTGCTGGAGGGCTCACTGTTCAAAGGCAAGCCCTCGGAAAAGTGCGTTCGTCAAACCTGGTAAAAAATTGCATTCCAATGGCCTGGTCGCTGTCACGGGCCTGGCCCGAACCTATCAATAATCTTCTCAAGACGTTCATCATGGACATAACATTGTAGCATTTTCGTCTTCCATGATTTCCAGTCTGTGTCTCTCTCAACTCCAAATGTAGCCCAGATACCTCGGATTAGTAGGAGTGTTTCATCCCAGGACAAATCCACGTTAATGCCAAAGAAGAACCTCCGCAACTTCTCATTTTTGCACATAATATCAGCCAACTCATCTTCTCCTTTCTCCTTCAAGAGGCGAGCTAACGCACAATCATAAATAGTCACGGATGGGAAGCCGTTATAAATATCATCCATTTCTACTGTCGCCAAAGAGGGTCCAAAAGCCTCATCGGCAGGAACCACCCGAGCCATTTGCCAATCAATTATACCAACAACATTCAGCTCTTCGTCCACCATTAGATGATCTCCCTTATCATTCATATACTTGATATAGAGTTGCTCCGTCTTTTGAACCGAGCTACAATTCAACTTTAGTGAAAAATCCTGGATCTGGGATTTTAAGTAAAGAAATAAGAGATAGGCATTTAATAGGAATAATAGGAAAAGCTAGCCATTAGCAATAAGGGCCATATTTTACTCTATAAATAAATTATAATAATCATTAGCTATATTATAGGGCCCAGAAGGGCTTAGAATAAGAAATTACTTACTAGCAATAATAGAAACTATTAGTTTTAAAGCTAAAGGGCCTAGGAGAAGAGAGCCAGCTTAGGAGAATGGATAGTATTTAAGCTTAATAAGAATATCTATTAATCTATTCTATACTTTCTCCTTATTATTATAATCTATAAAATACTTATTATATAGTCCTTACTGATTCTAAGGTTTACTAGGTATCTCTTCTATAAGAAAATAGCTTATACCAACTCTATTATTCATATTACTAGCAATACTATACCCAAATACACAAGGGGTAGGCACTTTAGTTATCTCAAGAAATTTAAGAGTAACATATTCACTGTGAATAAGATAGTTAATAAGTTGTTGAGGGAAGTTGCTATTAATTCGAGGTACTCAAATAAGCCAAGTAGAACCATTCTCAGTAAAACGAACACGGGCGTGATAATTAGCACAGCCCATAAGTGCTCCACGGCCCCATGCGGGTGGATATTCAATCTCGCATTTCAGGCCACCATTTAGTTCCGAGGCTCTCTCGCAGACAGCTCCGTCATTGATTTTTGCTCAAAGACTTTTTACTTCACCATAGACCTTGGCCTCAAAATGATCATCCGTGAGGGGCTAGTAGGAGTCAATTTTGAGTCAATCCGAGGATAAGCAAGTGAATAGAACGAACCGTAACCTCGCACGTATGAGATGGTGGTCGACCATGGGTTGAGCAAAATTGTTGACTGCATCGCTCACAGGGACCGATACTCCGTGTACTCGGTAGCACGCAGCCCGCGTAATCACAAGAAGAGAATCTGTCAAGCATGGGAGATCTGGTGGATGGGGGGGGGGGCCTCTAGTGTCTTCGTTACGCAGTGGCAGAGCGGGGGGAAATAAATTAGACGGGTTGGGCTGATAAAAACCTGCGCCAGTAGCCCCTGCGCTGCACATGTGTGCTTCAATGCAGCGGTCGGAGATGGCACAAATACTGCAGCCCCTCGACCACGACGAGTCCAGTCGCAGGCGAGCCCAGAGTACTTGAGAGAACTTCACTCGGGAAAATATAAAACTTGAAAGAATCACGAAAAGACAGTTTGGAAGCATTAGATACATTATCATGCGATAAACCACGCTTGTGGCATCATGAGAGAACCTTTATACAAATATTCAATGCCGACCAAGGCTTGGAACTAGCAAAGAAACATGAGAATAGGGGTAAAAGGAAAACCAGAAGAAATGCAGACCAAGGCCACATCGGCTCAAGCAATACCAGCCTACTGGGTCTTGTCATCCCTTTGGCGCTTCAGAGAAACTGGGGTGTACTCGGTGTCAAGAACATAATCCCACCATCGAAAGCTGCTGGAGTAGTTACCGATGAACTTTTCATGGTGCAGATCATGATGATCAGCACCAGCCCAGAAAGGAAGAAAATGGTGAAGACTCCACGGAAATTCATAGCCACTGTGAGCATCAATGGCCTGAAACAAACGCAAGACAATCCATATGTACATTGTGAGAATGTGCAAATCACCTGTCACAGCACACCAAAGGATAGGACAGCTAACTGTACCGAAGCCCAGGATCATCACTTCGATAGGTGAGGCATATTCAGCAGCCAAGCCGAACGGAGCCGAATACTGGTGGTGAATCTTGTGAATGGCCTTGTAGAGAGGGCCCCAGTGAAGAGAACGATGAACGAAGTAATGCCAAGTATCCTCCATCACGAAGAAGATTGCAATTTGGTATGCCATGGTCCAGAGGGTGGGGAAGGGGATTGAGGTTGAGAGTCCGCAGAATTGTGCCATAGGGTGAAAGAGCCTGGAATTAAGGCAAGCAATATGAGATTATGATCATCTTACAGGAGGACTGGAATCTTACCAAATCTGTGGCAGCTCAACGGTGAAGTGACTTAAGAGCACGAATTTCGCACAGTTCCACTGCTCCCGGAGCGATGGAATCTTGTTCTGCAGGGTGTTAAAAAAAAGGTCAACTCCAACCTTAACCAGAGGGGTTTTACTTACACCCTGAATCTTATAGTGGTTGAATAAGCCCAAAGTGTCTATGAAAATCCAGGGCAGTGACCGACCAAAGTAGACCATTTCATGCAAGACGAAAGACATGATCCCTGTGGCCAGGACATCGTTTTGCATCCAGGCATACCAGGCTGCCCATAATCTCTCTGGCACATTGAATTGGGCGTTGTGCTTTGAGATTTCTTCGAACTGGCCCCAGTATGTTCCTGGGGACAAGTCCTTTGAGTCCCTAGTATGCAGTGTTAGGTGGGCTGGTATAAAAGACTCGGATTTAAAGGAGGTGACCACCGTACATTGTGATTTTGTGTTCTCCCCCTTTTCTCCGATAAAGTGAGAGAATGGACAGATTAAAAGCAAAAATTGAAGAAGTAGAAACATTTGAATGATCTGGGGAACAAACCAATCCCGACGTGGCGTGACCAACTTTTTCACTATATAGGGATAAGCCCACTGGCTAGCGGCTAGCCGGTCGCCCGAGGTCACCCCACACCAGCATCAATTGATAATGTGGAATTCCCCCGTCTGTGTATGGCTGGATTTTTAGAATGGAAAAAGTTAGCTGTCTAAGTCGCCCTTTTGCAATCCAGGGAGAACTACGGAGCAGGCCCACCATCGCTATCTCGTGGGTTAGGTCATCCCAGGTCTTTTAAGATATCAATGTCTTTGCATATAAAGCGATGACCTACTGATTGAAAAGTATGTACCAAACAAACCATCTTCATGTTACTATGTTGAAATTTGTTTCTTGGATTATACTTGGCCCTATCAACATATACTGACAAACCTACAATCAATCCTGTCCAATCTTCCATAACATCACAGGCCATATAGATCGGCAAAAGGATCTATACTAGAATCTTCCTGTCGCGTGTACTCATTTCCATTGGCAATATCCGTAGCCGTCTTCTCGCCAAAAACTTCCGCAATCCAAGCAAGTGTCGCGTCCATCCCAGCACTAACGCCCGAAGAAGTCCAAATGTTACCATCGGCCACCCATCTCGCATGCGATACCCACTCCACCTGAGACCTTAAAGCCACAGTTTCATACCATGCCTTCTTATTGGTAGTCGCCTTTTTGCCATCCAGGACCCCGGCCCGCGCGGCAAGTCCAGCGCCAGTACAGACGGTAATCAGGTACCTGAGTTTCGGATAGGTATCTTGAATGAAAGTGATGACTTCTTCAATCAGCGGGCTATCTCCACGTGTGCCCAGGCCTCCCGGGACAAGCAGAACATCTAGCGGTGGTGCAGCTGCAAATGTATGCGTTGGGACGACACTTTGAGTGATTGCGTTGGGAAATTTGGATACAGCTGTCGACACGGGCTCCAAGGTCGAGGAGATGACAGCCAGTGTAAGACTTTCTGTTTTTGAGAGACCGTTCAAGTAGTCCAAGGGACCAAATACATCCAGGGCTTGGAAACCTGGGAACAAAGCCACCCCTAAGCGAAGTGGCGGGGCTGACTGGCCTGTGGTTTTTTTTTTTTAGCAAGCGTTTCGATGTGTGGTAGTGCAATGGGAACATTGAAAAAGTTGCCAGACTAACAAGCTTGCAAGACTCACCTGGCATAATTATATCGTGAAATTGTCAAGGTTGTATCGCAGGTGGAAAAGACTACGGGGAGCGTCACTGATAAAGTAGTGTTGATCTCAATTCTCATTGGCTCTCGACTTGACGGGTACATCCGCACAGATCGACACTGACGTGCTCCACTTCATCAGCATCTGCACTAAGTGCAAGTATGTATGATGTAAATCAATGTGAGTTATGAATTTCATCATCAGACTGCTTCGACTGTTGATTTTAATGTTGTGTATGATTGGTCCTTCGGTCACTAAGATCGAAACTTTACTCGAGAATCAAAAACGCGGTTAAAAATAACCAAGAACAAAGAAACTGACCAGTGAAAGGGCATTGGAAAATGCTTCGCATGTTTTCTTTGATCCAAAACAGTACAGTGAAACTGCACCGCCATGACAATAGAAAGAATAATCCGAGTGGAGTCCTTGGAATGTATATTCACAGTTCAAGCCTACTTGCAAGTCAAAGAATTTCCTCGGATACCCGACTTTCTCATATTGATACTTGAAATTTGGACCCATACTCGACACATGGTGGTTTATTATGATGCGACATGGACATCTTTGTTAATTAACTGGAGAGACAAAACATTCAATGAGGAACATGGTACTCAGTGCTCGTTCGCCTGCTTGAATTTCTTACCTGCTCTCTGCTCTCTGCTCTCTGCTCTCTGCACTCTCTTCACGCTCTTCGCGCTCTTCACGCTCTTTAGTCCCCCATTTCTTCAATTTCACTCGACCATCCAGCCCACCATGCACGAATTCTACACATATGTCTGGCAAGACACCAAGAGATGGTTCTGGAGATTCCTGTACAAATGGACTGGAATAACCTGGCTGGTTGGTCTATTCAAATGGTCTGGTCCGTTATATCCCCTGAGGATTTTGATCGGAAAACCAGCACCTGTGCCTTTTCAGGACGCAAGAGGCGGGTTTGATATCATTGACGGACCGGGCTTATTTGAAGAAGAGAGATTCCGCGGGTTCACTGAGGGCCACTTTTATCCCGTGCGCATCGGAGATGTCCTTCATGACCGATATACGATCATAGCCAAGCTTGGATATGGTCTCACGTCCACAGTCTGGCTTGCCGGTGACCTAGAGTAAGTCAAAAGTCTCCTTCTGATAAATTATCAAGCAGTCCTCAGATCCTGAAGCTCACATCTTATCGTGCACACTCCACAGAGATAACATGACGGTGGTTTTGAAAGTATACATACGCGATGACTACAAAGAGAAGTTCAACCACGCGCAAAACGAAATCAGAGCAATAAATACTCTCATGAAAATACCCACAAAGCACCGCGGACGGAAATATCTCAGAGACGCAATCTCCTCTTTCAGACTCGATGGACCGAATGGAGAACATACCTGTATTGTCCAGGGTCCAACGTGGCAGACCATCGAGGACCTTCGGAAGGCTCACTGTGGCGTCTTACCACCCATCCTCGTCAAAGTCATCTTAAATCGCATACTTCCGGCGTTAGATTTTCTGCACACGGAATGCAAGCTTATCCACACTGGTAAGTGCCGGTAGGGTGAAAACACACACGAATACTAACATGAAATCCTTTGCCTAGATATCAAAGGAGAGAACATTTTCCAAATATTCGATAAAAGCGCCGTCAAAACTGTGTACAACTTTGCTTATGCCGAGATGATGCACCCCTCGTCTCGCAAGTACGTTGATGGCAAGACCATCTTTGCTTCGAGGAGGTTCTCACCACCGCAACTCCTAACAGATTGCGTCCTGGGGGATTTCGGAGCTGCCCTTGCGGGAGACCAAGAAAGGCACCATTGTGCCCAACCAGAATGTTTTCGAGCACCAGAGGTAATGCTACAAGCGGACTGGAGTTATCCGGTTGACATATGGAACCTGGGTGTTCTTGTCTGGTACTGGGTACAGGGGGAGGTCCTGTTTGACGGCGGGGATCCCAAGAGCACCGACGACGAATGCCGCTACAGTACTCGAAATCATCTTGCAAATGTGATTTCCGTCCTTGGATTTCCTCCCCTTGACTTCGTCAAACGTGGCAGAAGAAGCCATGAGTTCTTTCATCAAAACGGTATGTCTCTTTCCTCGTTCACAACTGATAGCTTCTCATTGTCTTTTGTAGGGCTTTGGAGGGCCAAGGACTTCAGGCCTAAAAGCAGGCCGTGGGATAAACGAGATTTAAAGTTGCAAGGCTATGAGAATGAATTATTCTTGGACTTTATGCGGTGTATGCTTCGGTGGCGACCTGAAGATCGGATGACGGCAGCCAAGTTGAGTGAGCATCCTTGGATCAATACTTACACGGACGCAGAGCAAGATGTGATGACAAATTTTGTGGATGATTTGGAATAATAAGGGATAGATATGACACATCGCTCTGCTATTATTCCAGACTTCGCTTCGCTAAACATGGAACATTTGAAGGGGGGGGATTTACAGTATGGCAAAGCCTTACGCCGACATGCAGACTTTATGCTTCCATATGCCAGTTTCATATTGATTCAAGTCACCTAGATATTGTATTTTTTTAGAACATATGTAACAAATTTCAGACATCTACTGTGATCGGCAAATCGAAGCCCAAATGAAATTGCTCTTAATTTGCCCTGTGTAGTGGTCGTCGAAGCAGTTCAAACTACAAGTGGTAGTAAGCACGTCGGACTTACAAGCCAAACTCCGCGGACTTTCACACCACACCCTCACCAGTTCGAGGTATAAATTGCTCTTCAACAACTATCCAGTGAACTTGTCGTCTTGATCGTCCATTTATCTCGAGTGATTGCATAACGACCGACAGGTAAATTTTATTTCTCTTCTTCTTCTTCTTCTTCTTCCTCCTCTTTATCCTCCTCTTCCTCTTCTTTGCTTCTCATTTACTATACCTTCCCAGCAAATGAATGCAATCCACAACCACAATGCCAACAACCAAAAAGTTCGAAACCGGCCCCAAATGCTGGATTAACACCAAAATCTGGCCATGCCCAGAAAACAATCGCAAATCCCTCATGGTCCTCCTTCATTACTGGGGAGGCTCATCAGAGACATGGCACAGGCTTACCTCACCTAACTCCCCAACGTCACTGAGCAACATATATCCAACCATAGCCGTCGATCTTCGCGGCTGGGGCGAGTCCCGAGACCAGCCCTCGGGCCTCAGCAAAACCAGTGTTCGGACCTTCTCAATCGCAGCAATGGCCCTCGACGTAGGCTCAATCCTCCGACAAATGAAAGCCGACCCGCAGACTGCGGCTTATTTCGAGCACGGCTTCGTTCTAGTCGGTCACTCCATGGGAGCCAAAGTTGCTCTCGCGACTACCGACGCTCTGGGAAAACTTCAGCCACAACTTAAGGGATTCGTCCTCATTGCACCGGCGCCTCTTACTCCCTTGGTCCTGCCTCGTGAAATGAGTGAGCAACAGCAGTCTGCATATGAGTCGGAGGAATCTGTTCGCGATGTCATCGCCAATGTCCTTGCTGAGAAGGATAAGCTCAAGCCGTCTGATGTTGAGTTGGTGGTTCGTGATAGTCTGAGGGGAAACCCTGTGGCCAAGAAAGCTTGGCCTGCGTATGCGATGGAGGAAGATATTTCTGGGGTTGTGGAGGCCGCCTTGCGCCATTTTGGGGGCTCTTTCAACAAGCCATCGATCCGCGCGGTTGTCCTTTATGGTGACAATGATCAGGTCGAGCCCGAGAAGCGAATCATGAAGGAGGTGATTCCGTTCCTGCAGGCAAATAGGGTCCGGATTTACAATGTGAAGGCCGTCTTGGACGTGAAGCACCTTATTCCCTTGGAAGCTCCAGAGGTTGTCTATGAGCAGATCTGCCGGGGCTTCGCTTGAGAAATTCGAAATTTCTTTCTTCCCATTCTGAGGGTTTTTACCTGCGTTTTATGTTTCATCTCTTATTCAAGGCATCAGATAGAACATAGTAGTCAGCAAAACATGTAACCCAAAATTCTATTCATGAAATATTTATACCAGATATTCAAGAATCCGATTCTAGCAGATCAGAGAGTTTATCCAAGTACGCATGGGGCCGAACAGGACCAGATACAAAGTCCTCTTTCGAGCTCACGCCAGTCAAAACACCAAGCGTTCCACCCAGCTTGCCCTCCAAGCCGAACCTAATATCCGTATTGGCCCGATCTCCAATCATACAGGCGCGGCTACGATCGAAGTGGAACTTGCCCTCGATCGCATCCATCATCGCCTGACTCGGCTTACCCAAAGCAGTAGGTTCCTGTCCAAGCATCATAATCAGCGGCGCGCTCATCGATCCCGCGCCAGGGAATAAAGCCCCCGAACTCGGCAGCGTCGAATCGATGTTCGTAGCCAAGAAGATCGCGCCCCGCTTGACATAGTGGTAAGCCAGGGCATGCTTCAGGTAGTTGATGTGGAAATCGAGACCAACGAGCACAACGCCAACCTCAGGGTCGAGAATGGATTCGTCGCCCGCAGCAACGAGCTTGTAATCCGCCGGTGTGATCTCGCGGCGGTATGCGGGATCCGTGCCACCGATGAAAGGAACATTCTCGGAGCGCAATTCCTGCTCAATACCTGTCTCGCCGATGACGAAAACCTTGCGCTTATTCTCCGGTAGCTGCAGGATGCGTGAGATGTAGATAGAGGAGCTGTATGAGGAGGAAAAGATCTCTTCCTGCAAGGGGGTGGCTTGAGTCAGTCTTTTGATTTTGCGTATGTACCCGGGGGCATCGTGTGGTTTGGACTTACAACTGTGCTTGGGATTCCGAGTCCCTCCAATTTCTTGCAGTAGTCTGCGCGGGACTTGGTGCTGTTGTTTGTCACGAATACCACTTGCTTGCCTGCGACGAGAGTCAATCTCACTCCATGTCTGGTGGGTAGATGAGGTACCTACCATTCTTCCGGAGTAGTTCAAGAGTCTCAACTGTTCCAGGGAAGCAGTGATCGCCGGACCAGAGTACACCTATATTATCGTTCGGGTTTAGTCACTCGTTGCGACAAGCTGCCGAGCGGGTTGCGCGCGGACAGCTAAGGGCGGAGATAATGCCGGGGTTCGGAGGGCAGGCACATACCATCGCAGTCGAAGAGGAAGACCTAAAGAAGCAAGATATCAGTCAATTGAATCCAAGGGGCTGCTTTGCATGTTGAATGACGTGGGGATAGCACTCACATCGAACTTGTCGAGAAACTCGCGGAGACCGGCCTTGTCTCCGGTCAAATAGCGGGGCACGGTGGAAGACTGCAAGGACGCCATGTTTGCGAGATGAGCAACCAAGAAATCCCACAAAGAAGATGCGCTGATATATGGGAAATGAGAAAGGACGCTTGGAGACAAGAGAAGTACAAAGGGAGAATCTGAGTAGATTCACGATCCTGTATGACCCGAACTGACTCCCCGGTGACTCGCCGATCGCGTGGGGCAACCCGTGGGGCTCGTGGATTCTACCGTCAAATCAACTAAACGTCATATTTCTTCCCCATGTAAGAAAAACTGCTGTCTATGAGAAAAAGATTCTAGTTTTACTCTAGTCATAAATTATTCTTGCCATCATATTCGACGGCGATTGGTGGGGCCAGGAGCCAGGGCTTGATCTACTTGATCTACAAAGTTTCCATTTACGTCTGGTTGTAAGTTCGAGGCTTGCATGAGAAGAAGGCATAAAACACTCATTCATTTTAGAGATAGATGCGAGTCATCGCATGTTGAATACGCCACGTTAATACCGATGGCCATAATCATATGGGAAAGGGGCGTCAAAGAGACCTCATGTATTGCATGTTGGATGCAATGAATCAGACAGGTTTGGCTTTCATAAAAAAAGATATTTTTCATCATCTGGGACAGGTTTTCGCGATAGCACAAGCTGCCCCCAAGCCTAACGGCACCATTTCTGCCATAGACATCCTTGCCGAACAGCGTAACAGTGAGGGCATCCATTGTTTCCCCGACAATTGGCAATCGTTCCACAGAACTGATAGCATCTCGAGACACGTTTGTCAAGAGCAGTCGCATCTCTGGTCAACAAGGTGCCACCGCGAGGGCAAACTTCGAGTTTGTTTTCCATCGTCGATCCATCCGTCGTGTCCCTTAGGGCTGCTGCTGGCTGCAACACTTCCTGGGCGCGCTGGTTCTCCTGCTCAAAATACTGGCTTGCAGTGTCACTAGGTGTGAAGGACTGGGAAAGAGCAAGATCGTTGGATGGGTGATCGTATACGTCGATCTTCACTTGGTCGTTCTCGAGGTACATGTCCATGAAGTGGGTATCTTGAAGAAGTGATAGGAAGTCATCATAGCGGTCAAGGTCATCCTCATGGATAGCAGAACGAGGCGAAAGAGCCATTGCGCATGCTGTAATAGACATGGCGATGAAGAGTGCACGGAGGAGAGTTTTAGACAGCATTGATGGTTTGTTGACGCGGTGTCATGTGATTTTTTTTATATATACTACTGGTAGTGGTGACTTTGGTAGAAGTCGTTATCTTCTCACTGATCCAATGTTGGGAGAATCTTGAGCTCAGGAAAGTATTAGACAAGGTTCTGACGATACTGAGGGCAGTATTATCTGATTTTGAATTATTGAGGCCGTTCCTTTCTCCAACATTTGAAAGCTTGCCGGCCGAAAGCATCCCTGCTACAACTTACATCAAGCGATTTCCAGGGAATACCATGCAGATCTTCCGAGGCTATACTAGTGATATGCAGCTTACTATACTACGTTAAATTGTACGACCCATCTCCACTTGTTAAGATGGTTAGAACAACCGCTAGTTCCATAACAAGACGATACTTATCCACAAGACAATCAATTGATATGATTGACTAAATACAGGAAAATACAGATATGCAAAGTCTCAAAACAATGGGATAGTATGTGGATCCTTCACAAACATCTTACATGGAGGGCAGATATCGGGGGCCGAAAATCTGTTCAATGCAACATCTACCTGTGGTCTGACATGTTCTTCCGCTGTCCCTGGTCTCGGTGGGTTCAGCTCTCTAGATATCAGTCAATCGCGACAGGAATTGAGAATTTGCCAAGTAGATATCTTGATAAATATTGGTCATATGTCCGAGACAAAACCTACACCCAAGCGAGGCTCTAGTCATATACTATCGTATTCTGGAGTTGACCGCATGATTGATGTAACCTTACAACGCCGGTTAGGCTTCAGCAAAACTTCTCAACATTTGATTGAGTGCTGGGAGTTGATCTTTATCCTATTTCGTTCTTTTCATTAGTTGAACAGCCACCTGGCGTAGCGGAGCCTTTTGAATCGACCATACATGTACTGAACAATTGAAGACAAAGGTTAATTGATTGTTTGCATGCCCAGACGTTGTTCGTGAACATTAAGAAATGATATGACAAGTATTTGAACAAATTGAGAAAGCAGAACGAGGGTGGGTATTGTTAGATTAATATACATAAGTGACAGACAAACATTTGAATCATCCAGTTCTTCACATCTTTCCAGCGGGGGGTTCAATATTCCGTGTATTTATTCTTGATGAGATCCGACGCCCGCTCAGCCACGGCATAGAGAGTACTTGTCAAGTGACCGCAAAGCTGGAACGGCACAACAGATGCATCAACAACACGAACATTCTTGGTCCCATAGACCTTAAGTTGCGCGTCAACAACGCCGCCTTTGGCTCGAGGGAGCATACTGGCAGTGCCGACGGGGTGGAAGTTTGATCTGTCTGGGGGCTTGTCAGCTAGTTTCCAAGAAAGCAAGACACCTGTGGGGGGGGGGGGAAGAAGAAAGAAGGATGCTTACAGGTATCCTTGATCCAGCCTGTCCATTCAGCTTCGGTGGCATTGTTGGGCAAAAGTTCCATTCCTGGCACAAACTCCTCTGTCACAAGATCACTCAAAGGTGCGGTATTGAATGCATTGCGAATATAGAAGGCGATCTCGGCCTGAGCAATGATATCCTGGTCAAACATGAAGTAGTTTGGGTTGATTGAGGGTGGCTTTGAAGGATCGGCGGACGTGATATGGATGTTTCCTCGAGAAAAGGGGAGCAAAGACCAATATTCACTTGAGAATACATGTCCGACTGGCAGCCAGACAATCTCCGTGTAAGGAACTTGGGATTTGAAGATCAAGTTGTACTGGAGTTGAAAAGCAGCCAGGATGTTGGCCTCTTGGACTGCCCCGTTGGAGAAATTGGCGACTGTCTTTGCATAATTTGCGAGGCTAGAGTTGACAGCGGAGGCGATGGAATCAATCTTGTCACCGTATATTTGTTCAGCGGAAGGGAGGGCAGAGAAGGCAGGCAGGCCGCTCCACTTCTCACGGCTTCCGTACGTGAGTCCATTGTTTGTTTGATCCTGTAGGTTTTCGCCAACGGTGGAAATGTTGACCTTGACGGGGATGTCGTACTTATCGAGGATATCCGGGTTTCCCACGCCAGACAATTCTAGAATCACGGGTGATTTGAGGGAGCCAGCTGAGAGAATTACTTCCTTCGATGCATGAACCGTAAAGACACCCTCTGGCCCGGTGACCTCGACTCCTATCGCAACGGCCTCCTTAGTAGCGTTAGACCAAACAATCTTATTGGCGTATGTGTTCGTAATAATCTTGAGGTTCGATCGTTGCTCGTAGGGCCAGAAGTAGGCCCTAGCGGCATCTTGGCGAACATCTGCTTCTCTGTCGATGGTATCGGGGTGTACCGTAAGTCCGACCATGTTGCCCCCATTGACATCACGGTTATAGTTGACGCGGATTTGCTGTAAGGTTTCGTCGAGCACAGGGAGCACGCTGCTGTTGGCCATTGCATGAGGCCAGCCGGTCTTGACTGGCCCATTTAGTCCATGATAGGTTATATAATAGTCAGCACCACTTGCAACTTGATCGGGAGTGGGAATCTGGAAACCCTCGGATTTCTTGTAATATGGTAAAAGGCTCTTCCAGTTCCATCCTTTGTTTCCGAATGATTCCCAGGCATCGATTTGCACATTCTGTGCTCGTGTGTATGACATTCCTGTTCAGGGAGTGGGTATTAGTATCGATAGAAGAATACATGATCCATGGTGATCAACCTGATGCTGGAACATACCATTAATCGTACTTGTGCCGCCTATGGCTTTCCCAGCACGCATAGTCTGCTTTTTTCCTCCGGCGTATTTCTGGTCTTCGGTTTGATAGGCCCAATCGATATCTGTACCAAAAGCCTTGCCGTAGCCATAAGGAGTAGTAACATTGGGATTGTTGAGAACCGAATCGCCCGCTTCAATAACCGCCACAGTAACATCTTGTCGTTCTGAAAGTCTGTTAGCAACAACTAAACCACTTGTTCCTCCCCCAACAATAACAAAGTCGTAGGATGGAAGTAAGGCATCATGTTTCTTCGCAACGACTGCACCTAGCCATATACTCCCGACCACAATGGTTGAAATAATCATTTCCGCTCGGAGAGATAGAGATAATAGAATGATAAATAATAGGGTACAGGTAAAAAAGCGAAGATCTTTGGCAAAAATAACTGAGGGACCAGGCGGGAACACTTATTAGGCCTCATGGTTCGGCTCTCGACAGGGGCTGCTGGGAGGCCAACGGTGGAATGTTGGCGTCATTCTGTACAACTTTTGACATGCCGATGTTTCAGGCGGCAGGAATAACCGATGGCATGGTTGACAGCTGGACAGATGTTAGGGTATCATAATCATTCTCATTTAAATGATGATCAATCAAATCAAACTAAATACAGAACGCCTCGGCATGTTCCAAAAATGCTCATCCCGAACTCCTTCAACTCAGCCTGCCCATGTCTGACCGGAAGAATCTTGTCACTCTTTTAGGTAGTAAACAGATCATTTGCCTTGGAGAATTCCCGCAATGCGCAGGGTCAGGTCGAGGACAGACAACTGCTCGTCAGCACCATCAACCAATCGCTTATCCATCTCCGAGAAGGCCAAAACAATTTTGTTCTTCTGAGTATCCGGAATGGCCTCATTGAAGACAAGTCGTCGGTACAACTGCATAAAAAATTAGAAAAGCGGAAATTGGGCCACCAAAAATGGGAATATAGCACGAACCTGGCTAACGACCTGAGTCGCACTCCACCCGTCAGCCACAAGGTCTGTAACGACCTTGGAAACTGCCTCGTAAGATGATCCCGAGCTCTTCGGTTGCATAGCCTGCACGATTTCATCCAGTATACTTTCCGGAACAACACCAGCAATCTCCTCAATACTGCGGATCGTAATAAGCCCCGACTCCGGAGCCCCGGCGTCCGTCATTTCCTCATCATCGTCAATCTTAGCAGGGAATGCCTTGGTAGCACTAACCAACCTCGCCGCACTCTGCAAGTAGGTAATGGCACGACGTAAATCACCCTCACCGCACCGGATGAGCGTATCAATGACACCGTCCTCCAGATTCAAGCCCTCGGCCTGCGCAATATGTTCTATCCGTACTCCAGCCGCGGAATTGTCCAAAGATTTGAATCGGAACTTGCTGCAGCGACTGGCTAGTGGCTCAATAATCCGGGTGACATAGTTACACACAAGACAGAATCGCGTGATACGGCTATACTGTTCCATTGTGCGACGCAGTGCTGCCTGCGCATCTTGTGTCATGCTATCCGCCTCATCCAAAATGATAATCTTGAATGGAGGGCAAGGATATTGTGCGAGATACTCGGCGTCGAGGCCGGTGGGCTGAGAAAGTTGTGCACGGGCAAAGTTCTTGACCTTGACGCGGACGATGTTGATACCGCGCTCATCTGAGGCGTTCAGTTCGAGAATGCGGGAACGGTAGAGGGCGGGGCCGAAGAGGGATTTGGCGAGGGCAAGGATTGTAGAGGTTTTACCGGTTCCTGGGGGTCCGTAGAAGAGCATGTGGGGGAGCTGCAGGTCGAGAAATTAGCATTGACGCTGTAGAACGGGTTGCTCAGGTATTGTGTACGTTGGAAGCTTGCAATGTGCGCTGGAGGACTTTAGTGGTGTGATCTTGCGCGGCGACATCATCCAGAGTCTTAGGTCGACTATTTTCGATTAGCTCTCAGTCATTCAAAGCGAGAGAGTAAACTTGTCAACGTACTACTTCTCAACCCAGGGTTGCAATCGGGTTGAATCTTCTTTGTTGTCGCTGGCCTTCGCTTTGGAGCTGCTAGATGCTGCTAAGGCTGCAGCTCGTGCTTTGTTGTTGAAAAATGAGGAAGCCATGATAAGTCAGTAGCTTACTGGAGCAATGTTAGGACTTTTTTGGAGCTTCGAATAGCGATCGCCTTTTTGAAACAGAATTGACTGAAGATGCGGACACCATGCGCGGTGGACGGAACGCGTCTACACGTGACACGCGCACCACTTACATCTCCGCCAATCACTTCGATGGGTCTTTTAGTCCACTTCTAAGTAAAAAGCCGAGATATCAATCAAATCGAGCTATTTCTATATGCGCTACTATTTCGTAGAGACATGACTTACGTAGTATGCAATATTTTTGCTAGAGACATTGATATCGTTAAATTTTCCTGAATTCTATAATTCATCTCGTAGCACATCTCGCTCTCCCTCCATCATCCTCTTTTTAGGATTCCGGGGAGTATCATCGTGGTGCTGTCTTTCTTCCGCCAAGATTTCCTCGAGGCTGATGTCTCGCTGCTCTTTGCCATCCTCAACCATTTTCCCAATCTCGTCGATGAGCCAGTCCTCCTCTTCTTGGGAAGCCTGATCGTTATTATTTTCAAACACAGCTCCGTCTGTAGCTGTCGCAGCAGCCTCTTGAATAGTAGCAGATATACTAGCTGCAATTGAGCCGGATGAGAGTTCCACAGAGCTTTTTCCTGTAAGACCAACTACACCAAACACTGCGAAGACAAAGCGTAAAAGGAATTGGAATGGCAGCCATACCAGCCACCAGAGAGGTCCATAGAAGATACGTCGGAAGACCAGCCAGGAGATTGTCGCAATGAGGATCCAGAACGCCGTTTCAAGGTACCATGTATCGGATTTCTGAGAGCGGAGAAGGGAGTTCGCGAGGCTTCGAGACGAAGCAAGGAGGGTGTCGAGACTAGTATAAGATTCAGAAAGAGATGAAATAGCGGCAGTTGATTGCTCTTTCAGTCATGTCAGTATATTAGCCGATAGGTAATTGTCCAATGAAGTACCAACCGAGAGTCTCTTGAGCGAACTGGCTTCGGGAAAGCTCAGTTTGCATCAACTGATGAGTCCTGCGCAGGGCAGCGGTAACATCATTTGAAGCATTCAATGCCAGATCATCCTGCGTCAAATGCTCCGCATGTTTGTTCTGTCGCTCTGAAGACGGGTCAGATCGGGACAACAGCAGCTCGCGCTCCTTCCGCTTAGCAAGCTCATTTTGGCGCTTAGACTGTAACTGGGCATTTCGAAATTCGCTCCGGGTCCTATTAATCGTCAGTACCGCTTATTTCAGAATAATGGAATGAAAAGTGTAACCCACTTCTTGAGGTCGTCTGCAAGCCGCCCCGCCATGATTACAACACGCTCTTTCTCCGCCTCTTTCTCTCCAGTCGCCCCCGATTGTCTTCTTCTGCTATCTGAACCTGAATCCAGAGCTTCTACCTCAATCCGTAGCAGCTCAAGCCCGCTTTCGGCATCTTTAAGACTCGCGTGGATCTCCGCTCCAAGCTCCAGCCGAGCTTCATCGCTCTTCTCTGTGGGTGTAAAACTTCGGAGCTGTTCAACCAAAGGCTGTATTTGGCCTATGGTAGCTGAAAGCGTCTTCAAGCGCGCTTGAAGTGCAGCTGTTGTAGACATGTTTTGATGCTGCTGGGTGCACCGTGGGGGAAGGGACCGGGTTGTAGCCGCAGCGGGTAATTTGGCGGCTTAAGTCGTATTTAGGAGGATGCAAATTGTTATCTTATTAATTGAGAAGGCAGAATTTGTCACCTCGTAAGGCAGACTTGGTTTCAAAAAGCTGTTGATTGGAAGCCAACTTGGCTGTCGCAAGGTGGCAGTTGCGGCGCTGTATTGATGTGTTTGCATTTCCGGCAAACATCGGACTTCCCTCGAACTCACTCCTGCATATCGTGCATTTGCTCAACTTTGCCAATCGTTCCTCCCCAGCTAGAGAACTGACCAGCTCTCTTTTGTTCCTCCTCGCGCCTGTGCTGCCAATGCTTCCGAGCGTGTATTAATTACCCTTCGCGCGCCTCTTTGGTCAGAATTGTACTCCCGAAAAAAAACTTCCGAAACAACTTTGAGATTCAAGCCGATCAGGTACGTCCCTCGTTCTACGCCAGCAGACCAATTAACACACAAGATTGTGCGCTATCTAGTCTATCTGTTTTGTCCAGGTTACCTAACTATACCGGTAGAGGTTTCGTCCTTAATCCTTCGAACTACTCCTCCCTCTTCGCAAAGTCAACGACTTATCTACCGCCGCCATGCCTATCCCAATTAGTGTGATTACCACCTTCAAAACCACCTTCAACCCCTTCTCCCAGGCATCCCGCCCCTGCCGCCTCTTCCTCTCTCTCCTCCGAACCCCCAACACTGTTGCCGGTAGCCCAACCTTTATCGACATCAAGGTCAACCAATTGCCGCGCAACTCCACACAAGAACCCGTTATGACCATCGGCTTCAAGGGTGGAAAGGAACTGACCCTGGAGGTTGGCAAGCGTGGTCTCAAGATTGGTGACATAGTTGAGGAAGTGTCGCGAGTTGGTCGCCAATTGGAGCGCGAGGCTAGTCTGAAGGGCTGAACCATTCAAATATGGACATATCTGAATCGGTCTTTTTATTCATGTATTATAGCATTTGTTTGGGTTGTTTTACTACCGGCGCTGTTCTGAGTGTTGGATATCTATAATACCAGAGTAGATACCTTGCATTTATGCCTGATCTACAGTAATATCTATACTATGTATCAATAGGGTATTCGCTCAATGTGACTTTTTGTTGTCCGTCTCAGCTAAGTGAATTGGGTTTCTATGCAGTAAGAGTCCCTTGCTGCAAATACAAAGATGAGAAACATAAACAAAAAAAAAAAAAAAAGTAAAAAAAGAGATGCTTCAAATGTTACGCATCGTCGCCAGGTTTAATTTTGTTTGATTTTATCAAAGCAAGGCAAATCGCTTAAACGGCAGCACCGGAGATGAAGAACCATTTGTCAATGGAACCATCGATAGGAGCGGGGGTAAGGTTCTCATTGGCAGGGATAGCAGCAAGCTGGGCAGGCTGGGCACGGGTCTCGTTACCACCGGGAGCCTCAACGTTGGCAAGGTTGACTTCACCGGCGGGGGTCTTGCCGGTGATGAGCTTCTGCCAGGCCTCGGCACACTCGTGGATGACCTCCTCGGCGTACTTCTTGTTCTTGCACTCGCCGGAGAAGGCGAACTGGTTCTCGGGCTTTCCGTCGGGGATCTTGTAGATGCGGAACCACTCATTGGTAGCACGCAGGAGACCGGGAAGGTGACGCTCGACATCCTCGATGTCGTGCAGCTTGGAAGCAAGAGGGTCGTTGACGTCGATGACAATGATCTTCCAGTCAGTCTCCTCCTCGTCGATCAGAGCCATAACACCCAGAACCTTGACCTGCTTGACCTGACCGGGGTAGCCAACAAGCTCACCGATCTCGCAAACGTCGAGCGGGTCGTCATCACCCTTGGCCTTGGTCTCGGGGTGGATCGAGTTGGGGTCCTCCCAGGTCTGTTTAGATCAATTGGTTAGTTTCTAATTTTCTGATTTACCCCGCCTTGGATTTGGTATCAATCAACGGTGGCGGGGAAGCTTTTGATATAGAATTTCCGACTTACGCGAGGGAAGGCACCGTAGTTCCAGAGGTAACCCTTGTGGGGGAAGCAGTTGCGGACGAAGCGCAGCTTGCCCTTCTTGGTGTCCTGCTTAATGGGGTTAAGGAACTCATCCTTGGAGATCTAGTAAAAGATTGGATCGTAATTAGCATGGACGGTCAAAGTAATAATGAAAAGGGGTGATGATGCGTACCTCCTGCTTGGCGTTGGTCCAGCGAGGAATCTCAACGACCATGTTCAGGATAGTCTCCTCAGAGTTGGCGTAGAGGGGAATGTCGTGGAAGGGAGAGACGGGGACGCCATCCTTCTCAATATAGACACGGTGCTCCAGCGTGTAAGGCTGAGCGATCTTGCGGACGGTGTAAGCCATTTTGGGTGATGATGAGGAGAGATGCCGAGAGATGAGAGCAGCTCGAGAGAGAAGAGGGGAGGAAAAGGAGGGAGGGGCTTTGTAAGTGGGGGGCGCCAGAATCGCTGATGTGCGCCAAACACCTCGGGAGGCGGTGGAGGCACAGAATCCTAGTCGGGCCAAGGGAGGACAGGCCTGTGCCATTGGGCAATTTGAGAACTAGGGAATCAAGCAAAAAAAAAATCAAAAATTCCAAAGTAAACTTGGCTTTTTTTTTTGCTCAAATGATGGCAATGATCTGCGGTTGGTGCACCAAGAAGACTCAATGCCTGGTAATGCGTGGTAATATCTGGGTATAGAGATTGGTTTGCGTGGCCTGAAATGACGGTTTCCAGGGGTCGGTCTGGGTCCGGTGTGTTGTGTTGGATGTTGTTTGGCTGTTCCGTGTAATTAGTGTCGGTAATGGGACCGGGCCCGATACCGAAACGATGATGATCCCGACTATGTCGTGATTAAATGGGTAAAACTTCTTCGAAGTAGAGAGTGAGGTCAAGTTCCATTGACTGGTAGATTTTACAATATTCAATACTTGAAAACAATTGAACAATTAAGAACAATATGTGAGATGTCTCGTGCCCTTGCACTCCCGCTATGTACTCTGCATGTACTCCAGTGTTCCCGTGACAGCTGCGAGTACTAGCCGATATCGGCATAGTCCCATTAAAAATGTGCTGAAAAGGAATATAGCTTGACAAATGCTTAAAGTATGGGGCATTATTTGGATCTGATGAAGGAATTCTTGTGGAGAGATTCGAAGCACGTGTATGATAACTCACAAGGAGTATGCTCAATGAGACTTGGTGGCGAATTGAAATAAAACAGAAAGCCCAAAACCTTGGCAGGAACATCGAATACTACTAGTAGTAGTATGGCTGAAGGTTGGGGGGACAATCAAGGCAATAAGGCAGTTATTGCCACCTGATCAGTGAGGCACAATAAAAATCTATCCTCTATCTCCACGTGACTTTTAATCGATTTGGGCCATTGGCCAGGCGGAGTTGACCGAGACCAAATGCCAGGGAAAAAAAATATATCACCCCTCGATCTTTAACCCCACCTCAGCATGCTATGAGCAGACTCATCCCAGACAGAATTCTACGAACCCTCCGATCCACCATGTCCCTCCTTCCCACAGCTCGTGTCCCCATCCCCGAAAATGGCGTCGACTACCGCGGCACAGTCGTGCTCGCCCCAATGGTCCGCTCCGGCGAACTACCCTCGCGCCTCCTGGCCTTGAAATACGGCGCAGATCTCGTCTGGGGCCCTGAAACAATCGACAGATCCCTGATCGGCTGTGTCCGGCGCGTCAACCCCCGCAACGGCACTATCGAATTCACCCGTCAACCCTCCAACGGCGGCCGCACCGACATTCCACCTAAAGAATCCGTCATCAGTCGCATCGACACCGCACGCGAGAAGGGACGCCTGATCTTCCAACTGGGTACCGCCGATCCAGCCCTCGCAGTACAAGCCGCCACCATAGTGGCAGGTGACGTTGCAGGCATCGACGTCAACTCCGGCTGTCCAAAGCCATTCAGTACCGCCGGTGGCATGGGCGCTGCTCTCCTGCGCACACCAGACAAACTTGTTGCGATCCTTGAGGCTTTGGTCCGCGAGGTCGGTGAGCCATTCAAGATCGGTATTTCGGTCAAGATTCGTATTCTCAGTGATCCGGAGTTGACGAAGAGCCTTGTCTCGCGACTTGTGCGCACGGGTATCACCGGCTTGACAGTGCACTGTCGTACGACGCCCATGCGGCCCCGTGAGCGTGCAATTAGAGACCAGCTTCGCATGGTTGCGGAAATTTGCCATGAGGCCGGTGTGGCGTGTGTTATGAATGGCGATGTGACAAACCGCGATCAAGCGCTCAAGATGATGAAGGAGTATGGCGTTGATGGCGCTATGATTGCGACTTCTGCTGAGGCGAATTCCTCGGTCTTCCGTTCTGAGGCGGACGGTGGCCTTGCGCCGTGGCAGGAGGTCGTTTATCACTATTTGAAGTTCTGCATTGAAAGCGAGAACCGGTATGGAAACACGAAGTACCTTCTCAACATGCTTATCTCAGGCAAGAACAAGGAGTTTGCTCGTGCCAAGTTGTCCAAGACTTACACGGATATGTGTCGGAACTTGAAATTCGACGATCTTATCCCCAGCGCAATTACTCTCGATGAGATTCTCCATTTGAACGATAAGTGGGAGCAAACTCCCGGCGAAGATGAGAAGGTCCTGTCTAAGGCTGTTCAGAACGCCATGGAGAACAATGAGTCGGCCCGTGCGGCTGGTGGTCATGGTGTCAGATCCAAGTCTATTTCTGCACCTTCTCATGCCGGTGGTCCAATTCGTACCTTGGGTATTCCAGAGCCCTCGGCTTTGGCCAAGTCCCACCCCGATGTTTCTGTTGATGCTTCCATTCCCGTAGCAGAGGCAGCTCAGAAGCAAGAGTTGGCAGCTTAAATTGCTGTCCGGGATTTACTTGGCTTCTTTCATTCATTTCTATTTTTGCATAGCCTGGCTACCTGGATCCGGTACTGTTACATCTGCATTTTGAGGTTGTCGCGTCTCCTCTCCTATTCACATATTCCCCAAAAGATACATTGATAATATACAAGAAATGGATTATAATACGCTTTATTGTATCTCTATGGTACTGCGTAGCTCATATTGCTAGTTTTCCTCCTTTGCGTTCCTTAAATGTCCCCCTTATCCCCCTTGGCTACTTGGGTGCCTGCGGTTTTTTGGTTACATGATTTCCCCAGTTAGTAGTTGAAAAGTATGAAGATGAAAAGATGAAAGTAGGAGGCACTGAGTACTAGTGAGTACAATGCCTATCTCAAGTACTGATTATGTACTCATCTTGAGTACTCGGATGTATATACTAATCCTAAGTATCAAGCACACATTGTGTCATCCATCCAGAGCTACTGGTAGGTGCCCGTTGACCTATGTAGATGCCTTCAATGTTATAAGACCCGAACCAGTTGACCAGCAAACAGGACATCTGGAATAAATGAGGCAATTACTGACAACGCCAGTAAGAGATAACTCCATATGTATCCATCAGAAAGTAAAACTTAAGTGAGAAGAAAGTGATATTGAAGTCTCAAGGCAACCGCCATGGTTTTGATTGATTATTGCTGTCTCTACCGACAGCTAAGATATTCATGATGCCCAGCTCCGAAACACGCTGTGCACATCAAAACAAAAAAAATACATAATAATCTTTCCCGAAGGAAATACATAAAAAACTCCCCCAAGGGGGAAAACAAACTTCACAACCCCGGTGGTGCCACCGCACTCCACCCTCACTCCTTCCCCTTCTCCATGTCCGCCACCAACATGGACTCCACGGCCTTCATCCCTGCTTCCTCGCCCTTGGCAGAGGCTCCTTCATCATCACCAGCGACAGCCTGATCGAGGGCGAGCTTCGTCTGCCCAAGAGCATAGATCTGCTCTTCGATGGTGCCGCTGGTGACGAAGCGGAAGATCTCCACGGGGCGGGTTTGACCCACGCGGTGGGCACGGTTCTCGGCCTGGACGTCCTCCTGTGGGTTGAAGGAGGAGTCGAAGATGACGACCTTGTTGGCGCAGGCCAAGTTGATACCGGCACCACCTGCTTTGGTGGAAAGAAGGAAGACAGGAATTTCCTCCCTCTCGTAGAAGGCGTCAAGGATCGACTGTCGATCCTCGACGTTGGTCCGGCCGTCCAAGCGGACGAATTCGATCCGCAGCGTCTCAAGGACGTGCTCCAGGATGTCCATGACCAGCGTGAACTGCGAGAAGATGAGGGTACGGTCACCATTCTCGATGAACTTGAGAAGGAGTTCACGCAGCTGCTCGACTTTGCCCGAGTCCATCCATTCGTCGTTCTGCAGCTTGAACTTACCCAGGTGCTTGGGGTTGTCCACGCAGAGACGGTGGCACTCGAAGTCGTTGTAGCTCTTCAGTTCGCTGAAGATAGTCTCGGCATCGGAAAGCTCCCACTGGGGGTCTCGGAGGCAAGCCTTGGAGATTTTGCGAATGCGCTCGTCGTTGAAGTGACGTCGCGCGAGAAGAGGGTGAATTGCGGCCTGGCGGAGTTTCATGAGGATGTTCGCGGATTTGTTTCCGGTCTTCTTGCCCGCAGCACGGTCTTCCAGGAGCTGGCGGACCTGGTCCTTCTCATGCTCATAGATTTCGACCTGGGATGGTTTCATCTGGCAATACGTGACGTGCGAAGTTTTGGCAGGCAGGTCAATGACCTGGTGCTTCTTGCGACGCAGTACAAATGGCTTGAGCATGGACTTGGCTCGCTCGATGCGTTGAGCTGAGAGTAAAGTGGCATGAGATTCATCGGATGAAGTCTTGGCCTTGTTGGAGAAGACGGAATTCATGTCATCCTTATGCTCACGGAAAACGTCCGGAAGAATGAAGCCCAGAAGGGACGCAAGCTCCTGGAGATTGTTCTGGAGAGGTGTACCGGTAAGAAGAAGTCGGAATCGAGCCGGGATGCGAACAAGTTTATCGTACAACTGAGACTGGTGGTTTTTCAACATGTGTCCTTCATCATACACACAGACACTGAAGCGTTGATCTCTCAAAAACTTGGCATCCACTTTGGCTCGGGCGATGGTGTAAGTGGTAACGACAACATTGATATCGGCACGATTGTCCTCAATCTGCTCACGGAGATTCGCACGCTCGTTCTGGCCAGCGTAGTAGGGGATGACAGAGAGTGTCGGGCAGAACTTCTGGAACTCGCGAAGCCAGTTCTCGATCGTGGAGGATGGAACGACAATGAGGTGGGGTCCCTTGACACCTTGCTCATACAAGTGGGCTAGGAAAGCAATGACTTGGCAAGTCTTACCGAGACCCATGTCATCAGCAAGAATACAGCTCAACTTATTGTGGAAGAGCAATGACAGCCAGTTGATTCCAACAATTTGATAATCCTTCATTACCAAGGTGTCTGCCATAATGGAGGGTTGGGGGATGAAGCTCGATTGGGACTTGGGCTTTCGCACCACAGCCACGGGGCCATCTTCATCAGAATCATTGGGTGACTGAGGATTCGACAAGGGAGTAGCAATGCCGGAATCATGCGTGTTTCCGTTGGTCATCGATGTGAGTTCGAAATCACCGTCGTTCTTGCCAAACATGTTAACACCCCATTTCTTCATTTCCTCAGCAATCGGCTTGCCCAGTGCCTCACATTCGGCCACGAGGGAGTCAATCGCCAGATAACCAGTCCACATCTCGATGCATTTGTCAACAATCTTGTCGCCGATTGGCTTGGGGGATTTTCGTGACTTGGCCTTGCCCTTGCTCTTGCTGGTGTCTACAGGAGCTTCCACGGCGCGGACATCATCAAGTGTAGCAAATGGACGGTGGGTAGTGACGTGTTTAGCAGTTTCCTCAGGCACGGAAACAATATCGGCCAAATCGCGCACACTGCAGGTGTTGAAAAACTTCAAGACCTTCGAATTCAGACCGCCAGCGGTGGAATCATCTTGTAGTTGTACATCTTCATCGTCCGAGTCAGTCATGTTCGCCTCGTCGGACTCTGGAGAGGGCTCTCGGCGGCGACCCTTCTGGAGACGACCACCTGCCTTTGGCTTGGCTGGGCTATCATCAGAGTCAATGACAATTGTGTTCAATGAGGGCGAATCTCGATTTCGGGGACCCCGAATCAAACGTCCTCGAGGCTTTACATCGTCAGTACCACTTTGGTCTCGAGAGGTCTTCAAGCTGTGTGAGGTCCACTTGTCATGAATCGTGCCTCGGGCCTTAATCTGTTGCTTAGCCATTGGCACATGAGCCACTTGGGGCATAGCAGCCAATTCATCTTCGGATGAATTAATGACAATTGTTGCTTTGCCATTCTTTTTCGCTGCATCTTGGGAGTCGGCGAGGCGATCCAGCGCATCGTCGTAGTTTCCATTCGTATCAACAAGGGCCTTTACACAGTCGTCGACAGATTGATTCGGCATGACTTGCAGAATGCGTTTAACTTTAATTTTCAATCGGTAATCTTCGATGGCCTGCAGGGAAGATTCTTGGTCTTGGTTGGCCACGGGCAAGGCGCGAGAGGGCGCACCCTGTCTAGCTTTTTTGGTTGCAATATCGATAGTTCCAGAAGGGCTCATCTGATCAGCAGGTCGCTTGACCCCATTTTTCGAAGGATCATACAGAGCCGCAGAGGTGATTTCTTTAAAACGATCCATGGTGTCGTTGGCACGCACGGGCGACTCAGCGACTTTCTCTGGGCTTCTAGTTCTCTCAAACATGGAGGGCTTGATGTCGGTAGATCGAACTGTGTAGTTTGCTTCGTCTTCCGAAGAGCCTCCTCGGTAGGTGGGACCGTCGTCGATATCAATGGTGGAAGGTCTCTTGGAAGGGCGAACAGTGGTAGATGGAGAACGAAAGTGTGTTCCAGAGGGTGCCATGAGGGAAGACAAAATTCCGGGACGGCGGGGTGGTGATTGAATTGGAACAAGAGGGGAGGATGCAGCTACTTGAATGACGGATCCATTCGCGTGTGAATGAGGCATTTGGACGAGTTGGGTAGGTTGGGTCATCCGTTGCGAGGGAGTCAGTGAATGCGCCGCGATTGGGACCGTGGCAATTGTGTCGTATTCATCTTCGGGGGTATGCTTTCGGTCCCGAATAGGAGTATCTGGAATGGTGTCGTTCATTGTTTCCCTTCCCTTTTGGGTCTATTCAAGTGACATCCACCCTGGAACTTTGCCAAACAGGGATCTAAGAAAGCAAATGTTAATCGCTTTCCTTTTTTTCTGCCGGCGGAGAACGCGATACCGACGCGCCACGGGTCACGTGTAGCCCCGATAGGGCGAACATTATACATATTGTTCTATTGCACTTTGTTCCTTTACCTTTGTGGATTGTGGAGGGAAACAATTGTGAAACCTGGGGGAGTTAAAGTTGAATCTAAAAAGGCAAATTTGACTCCCTCATTGTTCTCTTTATTCTACCGCCAAAAACGGAATACAGAGGCCAAAAGGGGAGATTTAGTGGGGATTGATCTGTTTCATTGTTCTCTCCGCCATGTGACCGGGCGCTTAGACGATCTCCGCAATATAGCTTCGTCACCCTTCCAGCTCAAACAACACGGACTTTGCATTGACAAACCAACACCGCTCTGCAAACCAACTAGAAAATAAAAAATAAGTGTCGAAGCTACCTCCAACTAGAATCTCCAATCAAGTCCAAAAAAAAATGTCCGCCCGCCGTCCCCATGGGCAAAGCTATGCCGAAGTTGCGGCCAAATCTCCCCAAGAGAACGACACTGATGTGACCCCTGCAGTCCCGGCGTGAGTGCATTTACCTTGAGAAAACAACATTTGCCAACCATTCTAATCTTTCATTTACAGCCATGTCATCTACAAGCTTCTGGGCTTCACAGCCGCCATGGTGTTTGCTCCCATTGGCATGTACTTCCTTACCGTCAACTCGATCTTTGGAGGTGAGATTGAAATCATGTCTGGATTTACAGAAAATTGGAACATCGCTAACTTCCACCCAAGGCAATGCTACCTACTCTGGAATTACAGCAGCCATCACTGCCAATGTGGTCTTGTTCGCCTACATCTATGTCGCCTGGAAGGAAGACCAGGGAGACCAGCAAGAAGCAAAGAAGGCCAATTCAAAGAAAGGCCAATGACCAGAGAAACGCTGCTATACAAATTTGTACTTGTGCTATTCCAATGTTCATTTTCTGGCGTTGAAGGCGTATTAATCGGATAGACCCAGGTCTCGGGGTTCTACGCAGTCCATTTGATATTCGACAAACACAAAAGGATTGTTACAAAAAGAAGTATGTGAGAATTTTCAGTTATTATTTGGATATCATAGGACAGAAAAAAAATTTCCAGACCTGATCTTGATCTTGATCTCGATCTCGGCCATTCGGCGATCCCACCCCAATTTCGACAAATGTTAAAAAGAAGCCACAGCCCATGTTGAAGGGACCCCATCACTCCAAAGGAAACAAAATCACAACGCAATAATGCCCGAATCATTTATATGGAGACGCCAGTATGCTTTGTAGTCACTGAAGTTGCGAGTGCGCGACTCGAACCTTAAGCTGGACCTCCACAAAGACCGATATTCTTTGCTCAAGGTCGTCGCTTCACAAACTCTTCCAGGTCTGCCTTTGTAGCAACACCCAGAACAAACTTACGCGATACATCGGTGACCACGGCGAATGGGTGCTTCTCCCGCTTCTCGCCATTGGCACCAGTTTCGCTCTCGAAAAACTGCTCCAACTCCTCCAGGGGTGTCTCCATGGTGATGACCTTGTAGATGCCGCGCTTGCGATTGAAGCGCTGCATGGCAGCAGATACGGGATCGGAGTCCTTGACAGAGCTGGTCTGGATCAGCTCCTTCAGTCGGGGGATGCTCAGGTATCCGAGGAGGGATCGCTGGGCGGAGATGACGGTGAGATGAGTGTAGTCGCGTTCATAGGCGGCCATGAGAGCGGCGGAGATAGGGCTTTCGGGGGAGACAGAAAGGGCTTGGGGTGGGTCGAGGTCCTCAATGGTTGCCTGTGGATATGATATAATGAGCTGCTGTTTCAATTTGCCTATAGGCTTGGGCTGGGGGGTAGACTAACCCCGCGATACTTGTCGGCCCATGCTGATTGTGGTTCGGAGACAGCTTGCTGATTTTCACGTGTAAACGCCTCACTGCCTGTCATGTAGGACGCCATTGTAGCTTGTGGATATCCGGGGGGGGGGGGGGGGGGTGGTTGGAAGAATGGAGGGGCTCGGGGAGTGACAAAAAAATAGTGGGGAACCTCAAGACCGAAGAAGGCGTCACAGAAGTACTAAACTAGAAATTGGTCAAGGTCACGAAGAAAACCCAAGTCGAATTGGGTTATTTTGATGTAGAAATAGAAAAGCTCAGTAGCAGTACTTGAGGGACAAATGGAGGAGCTTCACCGATCAGAGCGGCCTCTTGTCAAACTCGGCGCTTTTCCTCTTTTTCCGGCGCCAAGACCCTGGACTTCTACGTCATTTTTCAATGTTCAACGAGGCGCTCCTTCAGCACTTGAGCCATGTGGCTATAGTCTCATCAGTGCTCACTATTCTTTTTTGCAGTACACAGGCAAGAACGTGAATGATTTTGACTCGCCTTGAAATCCATCAAACCACCTCATTTCATCGCGAATTGTTCTTTTCTACCTTGTTGACCTGAAGGTGGGGCTCCCGTCCGTTCTCGATCCAGCAAGATCGTCTTGTGGCTTGTTTGAGGAGTGTGTCCAGGTATTTATGATTTCTATCGTCTAGGGATGTTTTGGATCACGTCGTTTATAGTCCTGTGGCGCTAGCGAGTGAAAGACCTGAAAAATGCCTACATGTCCCGAGGTTGTCAGCTTTGATTGTTCTCTTCTCTTGGAACATTGGATAGAGCGTAAATATGTATATATTTCCAGTGGCTTTGTCACTGGATAGATCATGAAATGACACCACAGTGCTGGTTTTGAACTTCTTGTTTCTCTACTTAGAAGGCAAGCCACATATAGTAAGCTGCCTTTTGCAAGGTAGGAGTAGATAAGCCGCATGCACGTGGGAGTTGGATACAAAATATAGAGTGTAGTTAGTAGGGCAACCTTGGAAGTGATAAACGAGTAGACCGAAAACGTAAACCAGAAACTCTTCAAATGTTGACCAGGATTTGACAGATACTGTCAACCTTGAAAGTGCGCTAGTAATGAGCTCCAATAGAATTTCCTTCAAATGTTTTACTAATCATGTGATTTTAATCCTGATTCCTTCCATTTTCTGAGTCAGAGCTACAACACTAGTACCTAGTACGGGAGTATTTAGTAGTCAACTGAGTTCGTGCGTCGTTTTGAATCTCTTTGAAATCGACTAACTTACCCCATTCACTCCAAACTGTTCCATTCAACAGGTTCGTTGTTGACTTGAAGAAACATTGAAGTGGAGCTCCCGCGGCCATCCAGCAAGATCGCTGCATTTGGACGTCGATTGCCCACTCTGGTTACCCACATTGACAGATCACAGTAAACAAACCACCATGATTCCCCCGGACTCGATTTTCAAGCTCCTTGCAGCTCACCACCCCACTGGTGAATTGGGTCACCAGCATCCATTGCACGTGAACCAGCCCGGAAATCCCACCCCCTGCCGTGAACCCTTCCCCGCCTGGAGTGCCATCGACGACGTGAAGAAGACCGCGGTCCATGAATATGAGATCGCTAGTCAAAAGGCGCAGAACAAGGCCGGAAAAATCGAGCTTTGGACGCCCAAGTATTACGCCGCCTGTACTTTTGGTGGACTTCTCGCTTGTGTCAGTCATTCGATAGGACTTAATCTTACTGGGTGGTTTGAAAGTTATTGTCTGATCTTGAATATACATAGGGTCTTACCCACACGGCTGTTACGCCCTTGGATCTGATCAAATGTCGCCGCCAAGTTGATCCTAAGCTCTATAAGAGCAATATACAGGCATATCGCACGATCCGAGCGGCCGAGGGTCTACGTGGTGTGATCACCGGTTGGGGTCCTACGTTCTTTGGCTACAGTGTAAGTAGCACTCATGCCCGGGGAAGATCTACATATTGACACTGGTATCTCCTTTTCAAGGCCCAAGGTGCTTTCAAGTATGGTGGATACGAGTACTTCAAGAAGTTCTACAGTGATCTTGTCGGTCAAGAGCGTGCCAGCAAATACAAAACCTCAATCTACCTTGTCGCTAGTGCCTCGGCCGAGGTCATCGCCGATATAGCGCTTTGCCCCTTTGAGTCCATCAAAGTGCGCATGCAAACCACTATTCCACCCGATATCAAGGGAACCTTCAGCGGTATCTCCGGCGTGGTGGCAAAGGAGGGAGTAGCCGGGTGAGTCTGAAACACGTGGAAATAAAGTTTGCTTCTAGAATATTGACAGTTCCCCACCAGGCTGTACAAGGGTCTGTACCCACTCTGGGGTCGGCAGATTCCGTACACTATGATGAAGTTTGCTTCGTTTGAGACTATTGTGGAGATGATCTACCACAATCTGCCGGGACAAAAGTCCGACTACAACAAGGGGGCCCAGACTGTCGTTGCTTTCAGTGGTGGTTACTTGGCTGGTATTCTCTGTGCTGTGGTGTCACACCCTGCCGATGTGATGGTGAGCAAGTTGAATGCTAATCGCCAGGCTGGTGAGGCTTTCGGGGCTGCGATGAGTCGTATCTACGGAGACATTGGTTTCCGAGGATTGTGGAATGGTCTGCCCGTCCGTATCGTTATGATCGGTACTTTGGTGAGTGACCGAGGCTCATGCTGTTGACGGTCTATGCTAATAACTAAACCCGCAGACCGGTCTCCAGTGGATGATGTATGAGAAGCTATGTTTCATTGTTTTGGGATTCGTTGCTGACCAATTTTTAGCTACGATTCATTCAAGATCTTCATGGGTCTTCCGACTACGGGTGGAGGCGTGGAGCAAAAGAAGACCCAGTAAGCGAAAGAGAGAAAAGTCTATCTATAGTCCCACTCGGTTCCTCTTTTCGTCGTATTATTCCAATCTCTGATTATTGCAAGAAATTGCTCTATGGAAAGTGTGAATACATGTATGATTTATTTAGTTCAATTCAGATATTACGTTGCAATTGCACACTACGTGTCCTGTTAAACAGCCGTGATTTCTAGGAACGCAGAAGAGAAATAGAAATGCTCGTAGAACATATCTAATATCAAATGGTAATGACCATTGGCAACTTGAACATGCGCCAAGAGAGGTTATCAGCAAAACCGTTTAGTCACAACATCCACCAATCGCCGCCACTTATCTTATCGGCAAGATCGACGTTACCAATAATAAGCAACGCAGTGATTCGAACAAAAGAAATCACGAAACAAGATAGAAAACACTCTTGGCAGGTCAGAGAACCTGTTCACGTAGTCACGATGCCGTGATCATTGAAAAAATTGAGAAAAAAAAAAGAAAAGAAAAATACAAATACAAATACAACCCCGGTTGATCCTCGTAGCCTAGTACTAGTACTGTTTGATTTTTCTTATTTCTTATTCCTCAATACAATCTCCTTTCTTCTACTTGTCGCTTTCTCATTTTAGTACCAAGTTCCAAATCTCATTGGTAAGTCTTTACTCCGTGACCCGGCATGCGGTACCTGCGTCTTATCGTCAGTCCCACCACTATACACACAAGGTTCCCTAGTCCCGATCTGCGCGATAAGATACATTTCCCATTTACCTTTTTCTTCCACTTCATCTTACCCTTGTCCTTGTCCTTGTCCACTCTAATCCCTCACTTTTTCTGCTCCGTCCAGATCAAACATGCCCGACGAGTCTCCTATCGTCTCACACGGCCGTGGTGGTACGTACTTTTCTCATTTCCAACCTGAGGCTCCCCCGCACCCGCGTTACAAGTTACAACTTCTTCTGGACCTAATGCGCTAATTCAATCTGCTACAATCGCTACAGGCCAGGGAAATATCGGTCACGATTCTACCCAGTATGCGAATAACCTTGTTCTACCTCATCTGACCCCCATCCCATTCCCAATCTCAAGCAGAAACAGAAGCACCGTGTCGCATCATTGACCCCGCCCGTGCATTACATTTGCATTCACATCTACCTCAACCCCGTACCGAGCCACCCTAGAGCCAGCCACCTAACACACAAGAAACTAGATATATCGATGGCGAGATCGTCCGTGAAGGAGTCTACGGCGACCAAGGCGATGGCGCCTACTCTGCAGGCGTAAGCGTTACCCCAACTTCCTTGCCCTACGCAGCCTTGGAAGTAACATAACCCAACCCACACATACAATGAGCATAATTATTTTCTTATTTTGCTTGACCTTGACTCTACTCTAACCTACCATATCCATGTTCAAATCCCAAATCGCATCATGCTAACGCTCCACCAGCGCGGCGGCGCAGGCAACATCGGTTCCCCGCGCGTCCGCCCAACCTCAAAAGTACCCCACGACGCCGAGATGATCCCCGAGCTCGCGGTGCGGAACTCCAGTGACGAGACCTTCCACGTTGGGGTGCGTTTTTTTTTTTTTTTTTTTTTTTTTCTTTTTCGCGCCATTTCCTCGAAATCAATACCCATTGCTAACTTTGCCTTTTGTTGTTAGCGCGGTGGCCAGGGCAACGTTCATCTCGATGAGGCGGCGAAGAAGGAGAAGGATAGGAAGCATGTTGCCCATGAGGGGTTGGCGGATCGGTTGAAGAATAAGCTTTTGGGGAAGAAGTGAGGATGCTCCGTGTTTCCTTGCATTGCAATATGTATGATCCATAAATCATGATCATTGATACATTAGTATTCAATGGTGTGATCTACGGTGTGGAGCCTATGGCGGGAGTGGTGGGTTTGGTGGAGATGAGGGGCAAGTTTGATTTTGTGCTTGTTTTTGCGATTCCCATTCTTTTTAGATACTTGGATTTCTTTTATGATGCTTGATTGGGTTTGGATTGGAGGTTTTAGTATATAGTATATTGTCATGCGATGAATGGATATTTGGAAATGATTCAAATTCATAGAATCTTCAATGTCGTGTTTTCGTACTTACTACTAACTCCACTACGGTATTGGAACATTTGAAGGTTGAACACACTGCATCAAATCCCTGATATTTCGAGACTTAATGCTCAGATCTGCTCTGCTATACATATCATGAAACACAAAACATATAACTTCAAGTATATTGGTAACCCACATCTGAGCAGATAGGGGTCCCACTGCACAGATCAAATATCCAAATCACGGAGCAGCTGTCCAGGCAGCGCGAAAGAAAAGAAAAAGGACGAAGCTATCCATGTGCGCAAGGAAAATAAAATAAGAAAAATAAACACCACAAGAAAAGAACCATATCCCATAGACTTTCACCCATGTATCATAACGACATTAAAAGCATAACCCAAAGCAAATGAAATGTAAGTAAAAGATGGCCACATATCCCATAAGAACTGTGCAAGGTGGAAACGTGACAAGATGAGACTCAACGCCGATGGGGATGTTGGTACATCTTCCCTGAAGGATTGCAATGAAAAGCAGTGAGTGTGGGTGTGGGAGGAGGATAGAGAGAGAGGGAGGAAGATAGAAGGAAGAGAGCAACGGATCTAGTCCTTGCTGAACCGCCGCTTGAACCAGCTCTTCCGCTTCTCATTCAGATTCGTAGGCTTGTGAACCACATTCCTGCCACCCTGAGAAGGCACAAAATTGGGGTTCGCAGCAGCCTTCCCATTATTGTTCGAGCCACCCGCATATCCATATTCAGCAGCCTGCGCACGCTCATCCAGCCGCTGTTGCGCCATAACCTGCTGGGACAACTGGTCCATGGAGCTGTTCAACGAACTCGGGTCCGTCGACTGGCCATAAGGGTCGGTATATCCGGACGCCGATCCAGACATGGCGGTGACATTATCGTAGGAGCGTTGACCTCCGTGCGCATGGCCGTTTCCATTACTGTAGACGCCGTGATCGTTTGAGGGGCGGGACTGGTATCGGGGTCGACGCTGCTGTCCTCCGTTCTGGTTGTAGGGGTAGGGGTTCTCGGGTGCTTGGCTTGAGCTTGCGCCGTAGTCGATGACGCTGTCAGGGCGTGATTGGGCGCCGCGACCGTATTGTTCGCCTTGTCCGCGGGAGTAGTTGTTTGATCCTATTTCGAGCGGGGCAGTCAGCAAGCTATTCATCATTCCATTGAGAATTGGCCGGGTTGATTGGATTTAACTCACCATAGTAGCTTGTCCTTCGGCTGTAGTCGCCCATTTGTGAAGCGGCATCTTCTGTTGGGGAGTACCCTTGATCAGTCCGGGGTCCTGGGGTGGGGATTGAGCGCAACGAACCTGTACGGGCGTACGACTCCGGCCGTTGGCTGCTGTAGGATCCGTAGATGGCTGCCTCGAAGGATCGAATGGTATCCAGGGGGCGCTCGAAACGGGGACGGGTGGGGTTAGACCAGTCGGGATCGGCTGTAAACAAACGCAAGGGTCAGTACGTAGATCCATAGCGAAGAGGTGCCAAAAACATGGTCGAATGTTTCCCGATAAGATAAAAAAAAAAGTTTTTGCAAGGGATGAAAACGAACTGATGGGATTTCCGTATTGGTCCTTGTGTTGAGTTTCTCTCAATGAACCCAAGTTGGACTTCTCCAATGCCACGGCCACTATGATGAAGAATCAGTATGGTGCAAATGCGACCGCGCGGTCAAGGGAGCGGTGGACAGCGTGTAGGAAGCAGGATAAGGACGTACTCGGTTGTAACTCCGTCATTGCGACCAGGGGGTCGGCTTTGGTATGTAAATTGCGACGGGCCTTTTCTTCGGAGGACTCGGAGAGGTTACTCTTGTGACCGGAGGTGCTGGTACGGCGAGACTGGTCGGATTTGACACTGAAACCACGATTCCGCGTAGGGCGCGTAGGAACGGTGGCCGGTTGGGGGGCAGCCATTTTTGTTTTGTAGGGCGGGTCACCGTATCTTTGTTTAGCGTCCGGGACCAAGGCAACTGGAAGAGTACTGAAACAGGGTGTGATCTGCTCCAGCTACGGGTGTGTTGTGGAGCGCGCGATATGAGGGTGGGCACTGCCAAGACAGTTCACAGGCCACTTGAAGGACCGGCGCGAGTTCGTACGTGGAAAGCAGGACTAAAGCAAGCTTTTCTGTTACGCTAATGCCGTATCCTGGGAGATTGGGTAGATAGGATCCGTGTCGCCTGGTGATCTAGGTGGAGAAGGGCGGATGAATGGCAGCTTGAGAAGTCTGTTGGGGGAGAAAGAGAGATGTGGAGTTTCACCGTTATCGATGGAGGCGGAGACAAAATGGGGGGCTTTGCAGATTTAAATACAAATATAAGAGAGAGTTTTTTTTTTCAGTTGACGACAGACGCCACGCAATGTGAGAGAACAACGGGACCGAGAGTAATGAGCCCGTGGCGCTCTGGTGAAGCGGAGCCTGGTTGTTCATCAAGGCCGCGCAATCGTTTTTCTTTTTTTATGATTTCTCTAAAAAGCTTTGTTAATTGCCTTTTGGGGAATTTTTGTGGATCCAATCGATCTTCAATAGATCATACTAGCTTTTTTTTTTTTTCAAAAGACACAAGTACAAATGATCAAGGGCTGTGCTTCTTTACACAGCAGAGAAGGGAATTATTGTTTTTTTGGTGTGTTTTCATTTCAGTGCCTGAACCTGTTCCGTGGTACACAGCCCGAGAGACGATTGGCGAAGTTCCTTAGCGTCCCTTTCAACACCTGACTCAGGGACCGAGCTTACTATTACCGAGAGGCGAATGTATTAGTTGGGGCTTGGGATTGATTATTATGCACCTGCGGAGTAGTAGTTCATGCGAAATCATGCTATATGCTATATACTATTACTATTCCCTGTTCTAAAGGGCATGGCATAAATTTATATTACATAATACATACATTCGAATTGACTTGGAGCTCCTTCACCTATAGAGACCTGACAACTTGAAGATTTCATGAGATTCTCCGGTTTTCCACCCAGCCTTCTTATGTTTCACCTCGAGATATTGAAAATCTTGCTTGGAGCGTGTGATGCACAAGTTCCCGGCTTCTTCCAATTGGCTCCACGGATAAAGCTTTGTGCCTCGGTCCCACTCTCAGTGAGGAAAAAAAAAAAGATTATTTTTAGATCTCAGATCCATTTGTGCGAATTCCATCAATGCATACTTCTGTACTATACACATGTGCACAGCGGATCACAGATTACGAGACTGCATCGTCTGGATGTATCCTTTACCGAAATGAAGGTGTAACCACCTCGGTTTGAGAAATATGCAGTAGAAAATTTAATCCATGACCATATATAATTCATGGATACTAGTACGTTCATATGGCGTACGAAACACTGCATTTCTGTGGGGATCATTTCAAACGTTCGAACCATTCAAGAGAGTTACGATGCCGAAATCCCCACAGGATTGTCTGCCAGATCGAATCACATCAATTTAGTCGATTGCGACAAATTGGACGGGAATTGCTGATTAGGATTAGTCTCCTCGTGCCCCACTGTCGATCATCAGGCATCCAGATTCATTTTTCAAGCCACACGTCTATCAGCTCGGCTTCTTATCAGAGATCATCAACATCATGAATCTGGATCTGGTGGAAAATCGGAATCGAAACATTCAAATGTTGCGTTTCAACTTGAACCTTTCCCCGTGTTACCTGGATTCTAGTCTGGAATTCCATGGACGCATGACAAATGAACTGCCGTGCCAAGGAAAAGAGACCAGGTACTCCGGTCAGATATGTTTATTTAAGATTAAACTGACTTTATGCTAAGCATTCTCCGGTGTCCCTGTATATATCCAGTGAAGTCAACGGAGGGTTCATTTGAATGTTCATTTACCTAAATGCCCATGTATGCAAATTCCAGTCCACACATGGTGGTGCCATGCCTTAATATTGGAAAGCTCCCTTGAAATTGGTAATCTTTCACCTGAACAACCTTCAAAAGATACGTATTAGGTATACATGCATATATAGATAGTGTTCATATTAATCTTGACTCCGGGACCACCTATGTATTTCTAAGTTACATGGACTGTTCAAAATTTGTTCCAGGTCACATTAACCTACATATACACGAAAGTCGACTTCCAAGGTTACATGTAAATATATACTTACATATGTAAACATTAATGTCTACTACATAGATGGATGTCGGCCTCGGCCCTGGAGCCCTCAAGTGCTGCCCACATGTGCACCTGACAAGTCCCGAGGTCGTCATCAACTCCATTTGAAGTTCCAGACATCTGGACATTCAACATACTAGTTGACATATCTTGGGTATCGGCTTCAAATGTTTGGATATCCCGCACGTGCATCATGTGGATCCATGGATGATCTTACCTCCAGGGCTATCACCTGCACAGGCAGGCACCAATGTCCTCAAGCTTGACCTTACAAATGTAGAAATCAAACCTTGGAATCTTAGTTCAATGGCAAGACATCTACATTCAAATGTTATGTATGTATTCAAATATGCATGTACACCTATTGATCTAGGGACATCTGGAGTCTCGGGTCAACTAATGTTGGATATTTGATGGATATATTCCCTAGTAGTTCTTGAACATTTCCTCGAACATTTGCTGCATTCTAGCACTCAAGTGCTTGATTATTGCCTTGTCCAGAGGTTCCTTGAAAGTTGAAGCCCATGAGGTTGAGTCTATACCTACTAGGTAGTAGGTACCTTCAATGCACTGTGCAGTTTAGGGCTGAAGGCTCACATTGAAAATTTGCTGGAAGCACGTATAACCGATGCTGGTCACTCAATCACATCAATAATTACGAATTGGTCCACGCCCGGGTGCATTGAACAATCCAGACTCATCTTGGAATCTCTGAACATTGGAACCTCCCAAGGTAGGGCTGACCTCAAGTGCTCAAGAGTTAGACCATACGGTTCTCGCTGTATACTGCCCATACATCAATTGCCCCAGCTTCAACTTGAGAGAGTGGACCTTTCAAGTAAATTTCGATATCCACAAGGTTTTATATGCTCAGATCCACTTCAATGTTAAGTAGCCATACTACAGGCACATGTGCACAGTCCCTACAATCTATTGCAATGCTCCCTTCCAAGAAGCAGATACGAGTGGCCATCAGATCAGTCGCAATGGGTGGATATAATTTTGGTTCCTAAAAGACATGCAATGGTGGAGTAGCCAAAGCAGGGGAAATCTGCAATTCTTCTAGTACCAAGACGAGGGTCCACTGGGAAGAAATCGAACTCGATTGACCGGTCTGTTGAGAATGGTATGGAATTTGGTGTGTATGAGTCAGATACACAGTGGGAGAGAGACGACGCTGCATGACTGGACAGATATCATGCATGCGCCAAGGTGTCAGAGATAACAAGGAGAAATCACAAAGATAGCCCTCCACGACTCCTTTTTGAAGGAATCGAAAAACAGGAAGGGGAATCTCTTTCCAGGCTGGGAACTGACACAACTTTTGAAACGGAAAAAAGGTAATTTTTTTGATTCATCGGGCTTTGGATATGGGCCCTGTCTTCTCCCACGAATAGAACGTTATCAAACCGCCAACTCCATCACCTCATATCAACAACAAATCGGCTCGTTCCGTCGACTTTTCCTTGCCTGACCGACCGTCTGCGCGAAGAAAGGGAATCGCCCACTAGATACATAGTTGCCGTTTAGATGTTGGAGGGGTAGAGCATGACGCGGACGGTGGCACCGAAGGTCTTGGGGGGAAGGTTGTTGCGGAACTTGGCGCGCACAACACCGGAGTTGCCTGGCGGAGGATCGTTAGAATTTGCCAAATCCGGGAGTATAAGAATGTAGTTCATTATCACATACCGTGAGGGCGGGTGACCTTGCCCCAGATCACCCGGATGTTGGAGCCACGGACCTCACGCTTAGCACGGTAAACGAAAGCGACCTTCTTGCCGAGGTAGAACTGAGCGGCCTTGGAGTCCTCGACACCCTCAATCTTAACCAAGCTATATCATATAATCAGATTCCATTCTCTTTATTCGATCATTTTCGTTGTGTGCGGGAGATGGTATGTACCTGGTGTTGGGGTTGGTGGTGTGCTTGGCGCGCTGGTAGCTCAGGTGGCGACCCCTAAAAAAAATCCGTATTAATCTTCCATTCTGATCGTGTATCGGTTGTGGGTGCTTTGTGAATGATGAATGTCGTTTGGTAGTGTAGTGTGTGGTCGTGGGATTCCATGTGCTCGATATTCGATATTCTCGTTCTTGATGATCGAATGACTTTCGATATGCGGTGTATAGATGTGTCTAACGCGATGGGCGAACAGGTGATTGAAACTTACTTAACATAAACTAAAGAGAAGATGTGTTAGCATATCATATTCAGTTGCATCCGATCCATCATCCCATCTCGATGCGCTCGATCGTTGAACGGGTTCTTTGAGAACAGATAACGGAGTTGCTGGGGGCGCACTCACGGCGGTGACCTTGTTCCGAAGGCATGTTGACGGCTTTTCTCTGAACGGCGGGCGAGGAGGAGAAGTCGAAGAAATGACCCGCAAGAAGTCGTTGCCGGTTGTCGTGGATGTCGTCGCTTCGATAGAGTCGAGCGCACAATCAATTTGCAAGGTGTGGTGGCTGACTTTCGATCTAGTCCCAATTAGGATCTTAGCGACAGGGTAAGCGAGATCCCGTGATCCCGCACACTAGGCTGGTTCTGGCTGGATCCATGGATTCCTCAGGAACCCACGCAACATTTGTATCTCCGGCCTCCGTGGAATTCATCTGATAACATAAGCAGATTACTGATCTAAACTCTATCACCTGACCTTCGATCTCACTTGAATGACTTGAGTCACTTGATCCCACATTGTTCCTGATCCGCCTTGATTCCCCCCCCCATCTTCCCCACCGCTTTCCAGCTATTCTGCCCCCCAATTCGGGCTACAGTACTCCGAAGTCCGGC